GGGGGACAGTGAAATCCGGCTCAACTTACCTGGAGTACTTGCCATCCTCTCGCCACCAGGCCAGGACTCGGCTGCGACCGATCAGCCATTGTGCTCTGTGAGTTGGGAGAGACGACATAGCTACCCTTCTGGACAAGATGATAAATTGATGGGAGGTCTGCGTAGCCAAGGTATTCACAATGTACTGGGCTAGCCCGCCGGTGCCAACCACTGCGACCTTAATCATGACTGCGCGATGCCCAGAGGGATGGTGGTTTCCGCCGTTACTGTCGACTTATATCTCCTGCTTCTGACATTGTCCAAAGCAATTCTTTTCCTGATGACTCAAATATATCGCACCCCTATCGTCAGCACATTTATGCAAGCGAGGGACCGCAGTCCAGTCGGACGTTGCCTGACCTGCTAAGGACAGGACAATACATAACTAGCCAAGGTCGAGGTGAGAGTGTCCTCTGCATGGGATAGGGCGACGCGGAGTTTTTAGCCCTGCGCAGAGGAGCGGAAAATGATAGGGGAACCACCAATGGGGCCCCGAATCACAGTATGATAGGCAAGGCACGAAGGTAAGGCGGACACGCCCAGGTTCTCGAGAGAACCTGGGTGCCAATGACATCAATCCCTCTGGAGTCATTCTAGGCAGAACAGGCATCAGAAAGATTCAAGACGGTGAGTCGTCGCGAGAGTCACGCGGCGACTGTCTTGTCTGCATCGGTCTTTCCGGCAGCGCACTGCCTAGACACTGGACAGCACTTTCACCCGGTGTTGAACACGTATGCAGGGGTCGAATTCGGAAAGGTGACGTGCTAAGTGGGAATGGTCTGCGGCAAGACAAGTCCAAGTCCTCCGTTAGACAAGATGATGGACTGATGTGCGTGAACTTGTGAAGGGGCCGACAGAGCCATGGTTCGTCAGGACCCGAATGCAGACCGGGATCTTTTGCAGGACTTGCGCAAAGAAGATTGCTGCTGCAACCTGAGAGCTTGCGCAGGGCTTGCCGAACCGTTTGAAATTACGAAGAGTTCGGTGCAACAATCAAGGCTAGTGGTATCTTGGTCGGAACTCTGGACTGGTCAGCCCTATAAGGCCAGCCATGGGCCCGATCATGGCGTAGTTGGGATGACCAGGATGAGCCATGCGGCTGATGTGACTTGCTGACTCGTAATTTTAGTGCAGCCCGGCAAGGAATTTGCCGCCTGCTGTGGCCTAAGGGGGGGAGCCCCTCGGGGCGATCGTGAGACTCGTATTCCCCGACAGTGAAGGAACCAGGAGGCTCAAGTCAACTGTGATTGCGGACCAGAAACTCTGGAGAGTCGAGACATTGGCGTTGTTCCCTTCAGGGGGCCCTAAGGCCATGCCGTTTACGGATTTGCAGTCGAGTTGGGTCAGGGGTATTTCGCACACAGGGGTTTTCCAGGTGGTGTCCTGGCCTCTTGCGACCGACCAGGCTTGTGAAATTGCTTCAGATGGTGGGCCATATCTCGCATAATAACATAGGCGAGTTTTCGATGCCTCTGTTTTCTAAACTTTGCTCGATAAGCAACGAGTTCAACATAAAGAAGGATACCATTCTAGTTTCACTGCGTGGCCATCTCCCAGATGGCTATTACACCTTGGCCATCTATGCTCTCGCCATATTCAGCACCTCCATCACGTCTTCAAACTCCATTTGCCGCTTTCCACCGCCCCAAACATCCGTCATGGTCTTCTCGGCAATTTCTTCAACTTGCTCGTCGGATATCACGTTGACCTCTTGAAGAGTGGTGGAGAGACCTAGGGTCTTGACAAATTTCTCTATGGCATTCGCGGCAGAGGACTCTTGCCAACCCAATGCCTCATTGAAGATTTCGAGGATTCTGGTCTGGGCATTCTTGTAGTGGGGAAGGCTGAGATGAGCCGCTTGCCAGCGCAAAACTGGCGCAAGCATGATGCAGCTGGTAATCTTTGAAATCGGAGAGTCTAGTGATTAGTTGAGCTGGAAAAAAGGGGAGTTTGCTTTACGACTCACCCCGTGCATGACATGAGCAACTGAACCAAGCTGAATGCACGGTCAGTCGGGCAAAGACGAACTTGAAGTGGTGGTATCCTCATACCTGGTGTCCTATAGCATGACTTGGGCCCATCGGAACCCTCCACACCAACAAGCCCGTTAACGCCTCTCTTGAGCCGTACTGGGATTCAGAGATAGCCCGGAGTAGTGATTCGTCATCAGGTTGCTGGGCCGGTTTCTTGCTCTTCGCGGTCTTATATTGAGTCAATCCAATGATCATGCAGCGCAGTCCATTCTCAGCGTGGGCCTGCACGCCTTCAAACCCCGCCTCACTCGACAAGGGGTTACAAAGTAGTTCGGCGCAATGATCCACACAGCGTACGCCGCTGCTCAACCATAACCTCTCCGGGCTGGTACCGGCGAGCGCAGGGTCCATCAGAATGAGGTCCGGCTGACCTTCTTCCCACCGACCAAAATGCTGCTTCTTGCCTTGACTGTTGACAGCGGAACTCACGGCGTTCCATTCCGATGCAGACAGGCTGGTCGGCACTGTGATAAGGCGGCATGATCGGGCCACGAGCGGCTGGCCGTCCCTGGTATCTGCGATTCCTCGTTGGCTGTCGACGAGGGCTTCCATCTCGTCCACGCCAAACCCAGGCTCGAGATTTGCGGCTAATAGGCACGCAATCTTGCTGGCATCGCTATAGGAGCAGCTCCCGACGCTGACCAAGCAGTCAATCTGAAGTTGTTGGACGGACGTTGCGAGATCGCGAACGTCAGCATAGGGAGTGTGGCTGCCCATTCCAAGCTTCGTATGCACCAGTTTAGATTTCAGAGCGGATTGTAGCGCTGAGATCCGGTCCGTGGTGGTAGCGAGGCTTTTACTAGCCAGGAGCAGGACGCGCGAGCATCCATACTGCTCAACGGCCTCTGGAACGTCCTCAAGAAAGTTGGAATTGAAGATGGCGTCGTAGCCCTTACGGGACGCAATATCGAGCTGCTGAATACGACGCTTTGGCAGCATGGCAAGGTGAATGCGAAATTAAACGAACTTGGAAAGATGTTAAGGAAATCTTCGTGGATGAGATCCTTATTATTAGGATGGCCGAGGATGACTTTGAACAGATCTGCGTATTACAACTCGCCCCGCACAGATGATCTGTCAATCTTGAGTACAACCCCTCATCCCTAGAGTCTCCTGGGTCGTGTCCTCTAAGCTGGAGCAGCTGGAGGCTCACTGATCTACCAGGCTGTGCACACGGAAACATTTCGAGATCAGCACACCGTATAAGCACTAGCATCCCTGAAGGTTGGGAAAGGCGTGGTTGGGGCCGTGATACTTGGATCGCCGTGGGTCGCCAGAATTGTCGCGGGCGCTGCGGAGCCTCCATGTCCCCAGAAAGGGGAAATATAACGGCCAAGACGCAGATCTCGGAACGCGATATCCATCAGATCCGTCTCAGTCTACACCTGTGCAGGATGCTATCCTCGATCAGGGCCACCCAATGTTGAACCCAATGCTGTGCAGATACGGGACTTCTCATGGGCCGCCCGTGGCTGAGCTTCTGGAGAATCACTAGGCGGCTGCGTAACAATGAGCTGTAATTATTGTTATGATAATTGGGGCGGTGTTGGATATTTCAGCAGTGCCAGTCCGCTAAATACGTACTCAGGTATATATATTCTCTGGTACATCTCGCAAGCCACATTTGAGTCTCTTTACCTGCATTCTACGTCAAGTATTTTTTACATCCAAACAAACTACACGATAAAATAAAGCCTGGACACTCACAGGCCTAAGAACAAAGAGTCTGTTTTTGATCTCTCTGACAGTTAAGTTCAGAGAATTCTTTCAATATGTACCAAGGAGCGAACAACTACAGTCTGCCTCAAGGTAGCTACGATCCACGTACAACTCCGCAAATAACCATCAACACAGGAGCCAGCTATGCTGGTGGCTACGGCCCCGGGTATGGCCCTTGTTATGGACAGAGACATGGTCCGGGCTTCGGTCGGCGCGTTGCCCTTGGATGCCACATATGCGGATTTCGCCGTTGTCGCTGCAACAGCTTCGGTGGGCCGGTAATACTCAATGGAGGCCGCCAGAGCCTTCTAAGCACAGTCGTCGGTGGTGCAATGAACATGATGAGCGACCGCTCAGAGCGTGACCACGTGGAACGTCAGGCAATTGCGCGAAGAAGGATGGAGGAAGACATGCAATACGACGCCCATAACAGAGAACTGGGGCAGGATTACACTCATTCCCAAGACGCCACACGCGACTATCATCGAGGCCGCCAATATGGATCCAGGAACAGAGACGTGCAAAGTGCAAAGGACTACAGTGAGGACGAGTCTGACGAGGAGAATCGTGTTGGCCAGAGGAACGAGAAACATCTTGAGGGCAGTTCCAAGAGGGTGAGGAAGGAGAGATTGGAAGAGGAGTTGCCTTCTTATCAATCTGCCACGAGGAGAAACTAGATGATGAGCCTCAAGAGGAATTCGAGAGACCGAACGCGTTGCACGTGCTGACCTCTCGGCTGGATTTGTAGAAATTTCTGATGGGTGAATTGTTTTGGTGTGTATGGTGAGATGGTTCAGACACCAGAGCAGAACGATAGATTGTTGAGCACAGCTAATCTGCAATGGAGTTATTTTGCTGCCCTTTGAACTCAATACATTCCAGATCATCTGTATCAGTTCAAGCAGCCATTAGATGGATTGCTTCGTAAAGCCTGTGGCGTGAGATAGCTGGCCATGCCATGGTGGAGAACCTTGTCTGGATCTCAGACCGCCGTATCCAAACCATAGTTTTCCCAATACTCGTACCAAGCCTACCAACCGAGTCTGCCCAGAATCAAGGTCGTTCTCACAGTACGGCACTAGCTATACCCTGCTCTCCATTGGTTTGCGTCTGAATGGGTCTGATGTGAGAAGTGCGCACAGCAGTCCCTGTTCAAGGAAGCTAGCTAAGGATGTTGGGAGCGACTTTCTTCACATGATGCAACACACTCCTAGGCCGGCCGTGGAAACAAGCTACACACATGTATCACGCTTGAGCGAAAAGGGGCAATCAGTACGCCAAGACCGCTTTAGCACCGACTATGGAGACCAGCAGCTGAGTATTATGGGGCCTAAGGCCCTATGAGGTAATAAGGCCCCCCTCTCACGTCCCACGTTGGTATCTCTTGGCTCATATAATATCTGAATGAGGAAGGGACGGGGTTGTCCCTGTGAAATCAGTTCACTCTTCTGCCTACACCCCGATCTCTGGACTTCCTCTCCCCAATGAACACCGCAGACGCCACGATGAAGCAGGGCGAGCCGAGAAGTCATTGTTGGGAGTGCCGCCGACGCACATTAGTCTGTGACTTTACCTATCCTGAATGCGATCGCTGTACGCGGTCTGGAATCACATGTCCGGGGTACGGTGTGAAGCCAGTCAGGCTCAAATGGCTCGCTCTTGGACAGGTCAAGGCTCGCAATCGAAAGCGCCGTGTTGGTAATGAAGCAACAGCCGGGGTTCCGGCTTTGTCCCCTACCGCCATTGATATTCCTCGCGGGGTCGGGACAGACTTCCATGTGTTTCTGAGGGCTGCGGACTACTGTTGGTGTCAAAGAGTTACGTACCTGGATTTCGCTGACGCAGAGATATAGACAATACTCGCATATATCCGAATCTGTTGCCAATGCTCGAACTCGATCCAAATGGCGCCATTTATCCTATTACCTCGACAGTTTTCCAGAAGGGTCTAGCATCTCCTGATCACAGAAGACTCGCCCTCGTTTGCATGTCCCTTAACCATCAAATCAATCATTGCAAAACGGCCATCGAGAGTCACAGCTTGGGCATGGAACTTTTACGCCACAGAGGTGTTATGATCCGATCGCTGAGCGACGAGCTAAAAATAAAGGAAAAATGCACCAGTGATCCGGTAATCACGGGAATGTTGATTCTCTTACTCATAGATGTACGCCCATTCATTCCCACAATTCGATATGCTAATGTTTGTAGGCACAGCAAAGCACTCCGGCTGACTGGCGATGTCACCTAGAAGGGGTTCACAGAGCCCTCATGCTACGCGGTGGATTATCTACACTCACCGAACCGAAAGGTGTAGGGCCTCTACTTCGATCTTGCCTTTTGTAAGCTAGCCCATGACACCGCTGTTCGATGGATTATTGTGTAACTAACAGAGGCAGCCTCGCGGTTATGGGGGACACCACGTCACACGCCTCAAATTTGAATACGGCTCACATCCACTACCAGCTGTTAGAATTCATGAGCCAACGACACGGACATGCTTATTTGGCTGTTGACAGGTTCCCACCTGGATTATTTGCCCAGCTAATTGCAATCGGCCATCTTCGATTTCGAGCCACGAAAGCCCTCAAGCAGTCGAGAGGCACAGAGGATACACCCCATGAAGCTCAAAATGTACTTCAAAACATCCACAGTTTCTTGCCCGAGCTGTGGGCAGAGTCGAAACCTCGATCAAAAGCAGACTGGGTCTTGATAGGAAGGGCATATCAAGCTGCAACCATCATATACTGCATTTCATCCCTGCAAAGCCTGTCGGTGCTGCCATCAACTCCTACACTACGAGACAGTTGCCTGATGCAAGGCGAAATTGTCCAGAATCTCCTCGAAGAAGGCCTGTTGGTCCCCAAACTCCGATGGTTCTTGTTGTGGCCACTCGTTATACTGGGCACTCAAGCAACCTCCGCCAATGATACAGTGCGACGTGTATTTGTTCGTGATAAACTATATGAGATGAGTCGATTTATAGGTTTGTCTAGCCCGTTGGTGGCAAAAGAAGTCCTTGAACGATTTTGGGCGTCCGGGAAGACAAGTTGGGACGATTGCTTCGACAAGCAGTACGTCTTTACCTCCCTGATTGCTTTGAACGTCGGCTCGCAGAGCTAGATATCAACCCTGAGTCAGCACAAATAGATTAGCTTGGGCGTCATACCGAGACTATATCTCTTAGGAGGATGAGGAAGAAGACATACATTCACGTACCATGCTATCGTGCAGCGGGTGTCCATAACAGACAGATTGCCGTTTCGTTGCCTCCATTTGCTCGCCCCAACAGACAACCACCAAGCTGCGTCAGTCAGCTACATCTGCGAAAAAGTGTGCCTTGCATTTCACAGCGGGGTCCGCATTTTCGAGTCATGTTGTCTCAAGGTATCCGAGCTGAGCCAGTTCCTGAGACTCTATTCCAAACTCGAATCGTGGACACAGTCCACAGGTAACGTAGCTGATCGGGTTTTAGATACAAAGCCATAGCTTGGCAAGGCAGTATACCTATCAGGGCTATATTCCTGACAATCAGGCATCCTGTACCGTGAGTTTGACCATCTTGGAATAGGCCGGGAATCCCTACGTCAAGTCCAAGGGCAAACTCTTCCTAAACTGGGATTCATAATTGCCAAGCTGTTGTAGACTATAACTTTGTGTCATGCCTAATTACCTGATGATGACGGAGGCCACGAGTTTCGTTACTTTTCACGCTGATGGTCACAATTGTGGAAAACCTTGGTCTATAAATAATCAGGCACCAGATTGGAGGGTTCGAAACTGGACAAGAGACCATATCAACGGTGCAGATTTCTAGGATATAAAGCCGAGGCCCCCCTGAGAAGAATCAAGATAGATAAACTCCCATCGAGGCCCTCGAAGCTATCATACTGTACAACCATAACTCCCTCCACCTTCGGCATGCTAATTCCAACCCTCGTGATTCTTGGAGGAGCGCATCTTGCCTTTGCGAAATGCAAATGTGTATGTCCTTGTCATTCTAACCTTTGACTGGCCGAGTCTCGATCTGATTTCTGGCTTCACAGACCCCAACTGAAGACTGCTGGCCCTCAGTTTCAGCATGGGATGCGCTCAATGCAACCGTCGATGGAAAACTCATCCGCAACCACCCTATTGCCCAGCCATGCTATCCAGGCGCGGGCTACAGCGACGAACGTTGTGAGGAAATCAGCGCCAACTGGTCCACCAACTCATGGCTGGCACAATTTCCAACGGGCTACAGCTACCCTACGATTGAGACTTGTGCTGCGATCAACGCCACCCTGGGTGAAGGACACTATCCCCAGTGTGATCTTGGTAACTACCCAGTCTATACTGTCAATGCCACTGGAGCAAAGCACCTTGCAGCCGGAATCAACTTCGCCAAGGATCACGACGTTCGGCTTGTGATTAAAAACACCGGCCATGACATTTCTCAACGGTAAGATATGCTCCTCCAAGTCGAGAGCTACGCCCATGGTGCTGACGAGGTGGGACAGCTCTCAAGGATACGGTAGTTTGTCGATTTGGATCAAGAGCATCAAAGACGGACTGCATTTTCAGCAAACTTACACTCCCTCCGATGGCTCTTGTCCATCCAACTACACTGGACGTGCCATCAAGATTGGCGGCGGATATGTCTGGGACGACGTGTACAATTTCGCATACAAACATGGGAGCATAGTGGTTGGTGGAGATGATCGGGTAAGTCAACGAGTCGTGCTTGTCTCTGCTCATGAAACAGAACTTTACTGACTCTTTGGAGACGGTCGGATGCATTGGAGGCTACCTCCAAGGCGGAGGCCATGGTCCTGCAAGCCACCAATTCGGGCTGGGAGCGGATCAGGTCCTTGAATATGAAGTCGTGCTCGCATCAGGTGAACTCGTCACTGCCAATGAATGTCAGCATCAAGACCTCTTCGCTGCCCTCCGTGGAGGAGGCGGTGGCACATTCGGCGTCGTGACCTCGGCGACGGTCAAAGCATATCCGGAACTGACGGCACTTGGGCACGAGTTGACAATTGTCGCGTTCCCAAATGCAAGCTCCGAGCTGATTAATGCCACTGCAGACATAGTGGCCAGCTATCCCTCCCTTGTAGAAGCAGGGTACTCGGGTACAGGAGCTCTCACTCACCAGGATGGAGCCTTGATTTACGCACATAATTTCGTCAACTTACTTAACGACAATTCCACTGCGGCCATCAACAAGGCGAAAGACACCATGACCCAGCAAATTGTCAACCAATGGAGTCCATACAACGGAACACTTTTTGTCATTCAATCATCCTTCAATACATTCAATTCCTTCTTCAAATGGTACAATTCTCACCCTCATATATCGGACGGCCAAAACCGGCCCATGATGGCATCGCGATTCTTTGACAAGACATCACTGTCCTCCCAACAAAGCAACATGAAGAATCTTCTGGAGACCCTCGTATCAGGTCAAGGTACGCAGACCACGACAGAGTCTGCCACGCTGTTTAATCTCGTTGCGGGTGGCAAAGTCCTTGATCCTCAGCCGCTCACTTCGGTCAACCCGGCGTGGAGAAAGACCTATGTCGTGATGCAACAGATCGATTTCTGGCCTGACAATGCAGGCTATGAAGATATTGCGCAGGTCAAGGAAGCACTAACCTTGAAGAAGTTGAAAGCAATGAAAGAACTGGCTCCTGGCATGGGGACGTACGGAAATGAAGCCGATCCATATGACCCAGACTGGAGGAAGGATTGGTGGGGGACTAACTATGATTGGCTTGTGTCGGTCAAGAAGAAGTACGACCCAGAAGATGTGTTCTGGTGTTGGCGATGCGTTGGAAACGATGCTTGGGCCGAGGTAACGGGTGGGACATTGTATGGACCGTTGTGCCAGGCAACATGACTTTACTCAACTATCCTTGCATGCAAGGGAAATAAATCCCATGGAGAATCGGCAGCTATTTTGTACACAATGCGTGGCCTCCATTGAGGCTGCAACTCGCAAGCGATGTGTTGTCGTTCTATCTGCAGAGCTTGGCCCGGTATTCGCAGTTGAAGGTGCAGGCTTGTCTGTCCTCAAAGCAAGTATCTTCACATAGTTCATTGAGGTGTTTTCATTCAAACAGTTCCTCCTCCTCAGCACCTCCTGTCAGTGACTTCACCGTGATATTTCCAGTCCCATTTCAAGTTTTGCATTGGCCTTGGCCCCACAAGTCGATACTGTTTCCACTATCACTTGCAAGGCCAGTTCTTCAACAACAAGTGGGCCGAGCTGGGCCCTCACAGAAAGGAAAGGAGCGAAGATCTTCGTCTCCGAAGACACCTGTGGCCGTCGGGGTCAGACAGACTCTCTTGCCGCACGATCATTTGTCAACCGCGAAACCCGAAATAGCTTGATATGGATACATCATCCACGAGAATCTCTCCAGCAGCCTCTGAATGTGTGGGCTCGAGATCAGCAATGTTTGTGGGCTATGTAAGCAACGGAAAGCGCCTGGGCTGAGCTTGGGTTATGGCCCCAAACCCGAAAAGGGCATTTACCATGGCCAAGACGTTGATCATCGTGGAGACTGGGGATGGGCGAGGGCCCTAATCATATCAAATTTGGGTGTAGATCTGGACTGTGGTAAAAGATATAAGGTGAGTGATCTTTCAATCGTTCCCTGCACTTCATCTTCTTTCGAACAAGTCATTTATCAAGTGTCGTCGGTTTAGCATCCAACAACCCTACAATATGCCCCTTCTAGGACCAAGATCAACAGCCGCTGGCAGCTTCGGCTGTCCTCTACCTGACCACCTGGAACAAAGTAAGTGATTGCTCCATGACTCGACAAAGATGACATGGTGTTGTTAACATGCCATTTAGTCGGTGGTGGCCCCTTCGTGGGAAACCTCACCTTCTACCACTTTAACATGATCGTATCCGGCAGTTGCACTGCCGTTGTATTGATTGCCATTTTGGGCCTGATGGGACGACATGCGATGCACATGAGCAACCCCGACGAACAACTTAAGTAAGGCTTCACGATAGAGTTGATCAGACTCTGTGATGCTAACGGAATCGTTCATAGAATCATGCGAATCTGCAATCTCATTCCCTCCTACCAAATCTTATCCTTCATCTCGATCTGTTTTCCCAACTCCTACGTCTATCTCCAGGGGTTCACTGAGGTGTTTCAGGGTGTGGCGTTATATGCCTTCCTCATGTTACTCTGTGACTACCTGGCTCCCAGCGATGGAGATAAAGTGGAGTTCTTTTCTTCGCTAGAAGTAAAGAGACAATGGCAGCCGAAGAAGAAGAGGAACGGGATTGCCTTCTTGACAGTAAGCCTTGCAGCAGCAGAAACGCAAACACTGATCGAACAACTAACCGATTACCTGGTTCTAGTTGACATGGTATTCCGTGCTCCAATATCCAGTCATCACCTGGATTGCCGCTGTCTCCCAAGTGGTGACCCAGTCACTACATGTTTACTGCCTCGACAGTACCGCAGCTCATTTCGCGCATATTTGGGTATGTACTATGATGTCTTCATTTCATGCTCGGATTTAGTCTAACGAAGTTGATTAGCTTCAAGTCATTACCTCCCTGTCAACGTCAGTGGCAGTCAACGCCATCCTACAATTCTACGTCAACCTGAAGGAATACATGACTGAACACAGACCGCTACTGAAGCTGACGGCGTTCAAGCTGATTGTGGGAGTAGTTCTTGTGGAGAAGGTAAGTATCTCCCGGACAAAAGAGCTTGAAGAAAAATGTTAACCAGCGAGCCAGATACTTTTCTTGATTCTTACAGGAACAAAAGTCCTTACGCCCTCGGCCTCGATGACCTATATCGACGTAATGATGGGTCTTCCAACAATGGTGATCTGCGTGCAGATGGTGCCACTGTCCTTCCTAGTTCTCTACGCTTATCGCACGACACCTTACGAGATCTCAGACTCAGAGCCCATCCTCCGAGCCCAGGGATATCATGCCGTCGAGTCCGCTGGCGACGAAGACGCTTTTATGGGTGGCTCTCAGAAACGATACCAAGGTGGCCCCTGGGGATTACGTGCCTGGGCTGGCTATTTAAATCCGCTGCAGCTGTTCAGGGAAGTAATGTCAGCCCACGCCATGATTCATAAAGCACGGAACATTCGAAGAGCCCATTCAAGGGAGCAGGCACAAGAGGACGCAAACGCGAGATACAAGAGGATGTGTAATAATGATGAGCAAGATGCTTGATGATCGATATCGGCGTCTCTGGGAAGTTACTGGGAAGTTACTGGTGATATGAACTGCTTTACAGTGTTATAAAAATCGGCCATTCTCGTGTCGAGAAACATGCATACAAGGGGATCGGGACAGACATCAAGGATTTGACTCTTTAGGTTTGAGATAGTGCGTAAATATTTTGACTAAGTGCTCAAGCACAAGGCTGACCTCGAGGATATACTTTACGTGAGTTGGAACATTGAGGTCCCTACCGGTGATTCTCTGTTGCTTGGTTCTGGCTTCATCATCGTTACCGAACTGGATCAGAACTCCCCGTCTTAACGACGGAAGGTAGCCTGGTGTCACGGTTGTGATTGTAAGGAGGACTTGTCATCTTTCAACGGGGCCCGGGGGCTCGTCAGACTATATCAGTACGAAGTATATACGCGCGTCGAAGTACCTCGACGTCTTTATAAGCCTTAGCCAGGCACTAAAGCACGTGCTATTATAAAGGAGACACGCGACAGTCACGTGCTTTCGCGTTGGAGTCGCGAGGGACTGCGGAGATTAGTTGCAAACATGTATGATTGCCATCGAGATTGCAGATTGCCAACCTGACACGATCAAGAAACCAGTCAACCCGGTTGCTTCAGACAGACACTGCAACAATATTGAATATTGCCGGCGTAGGTTGGCAGGTCTGTACACAGGGATATCATCGAGGTGGAAGAGGGAAGAAGCACAAAACGACTGAGAAGAGGTGCAGGAACGGAAGCAGTTTAGCTGTGCAGCTGTGCAGTCCCGTGCAGTCCCATGCAGTCATGTGGTCACGTGCGACACTATGGCTATGACGTCTCTCTGCGGCAGGAAGGAGGAAGGAGCAAGGAGCAAGGAGGAAGGAGCACGTCGTGAAGGAGGTCTGTGGGAGCGTCCAAAATGCAGTGGTGACAATATGTGTACGCCGTATGGAGTATGGAGGAGGCGAAGGCGATCATCTCATCTCATTATTGCAATAATTACTCGTGCCTGGCACCTGGCATCTGTCTGGCAGCCGAGATGCATTTGGAGGATCGGTCAGTGACTCAGTGGTGTTCGTGTTGGTGGGCGTGCAGGCGTGCAGGGATTCAGCCAAGCCGCACTGGCACTGGCGGGAGTTAATGCTGCAGTGCGACGCGCCCTGCTCTTTACCATGGCGGTCAGTTGCGCGTCGTGCGGAGCCCCAAGCGCAGCCAGGTGCCATGACATGATCTTCATCTCTGCACCTCAACTTTGCGAGAGCACTCACTGCCACCATATTCATATCTCATATCCTCCCCTGTTATTGCCCCCAGCAATGGAGGACTCTTCTCAAGACGCGATAAAAGCTGTACACCATCCCAGCCCAACTGCTCAGTACGCGTTCCAAGTCCATGACCACTCCATGGCGCCCGCGACATCGTCCACAACCCTAGGCGGTGTGAAGGCCAAGCGACGAAGAACCAGGTACATTACCAGTGCTCAACCTCTCGATTTTTCCCACAGCACTAACTCTGTCCAGTCCCCAGGATCATGCTATCCTCGAAGCTGCTTACCAGAAAAACTCAAAGCCAGACAAGGCAGAGAGAGCACAGATTGTCAGCCAGGTCGAGCTGGGGGAAAAAGAAGTCCAGGTTCGCATCTACCTACAGTAACCCCAATCTTGCCCTGGCGCTGGCTGACCTTGCATAGATCTGGTTCCAAAATCGTCGCCAGAATGACCGACGCCGATCTAAACCATTGCAGCCCCACGAGCTCGCCGCCCATCTTCGCAACAGTAACGCCAGTTCCATTTCACCTCAGACCAGCTCATCGCCGGGCTCAGGACATAGTCCGGTGTCGCACGTTGCTCCAAACTCGTTCCTTGCCCCATGCGAGGTTATCGACCGACCTGCTTCAAGGGCTTCGAGTATTCATGACCTGCTAAACCCAGCCTCTTCGGCTGAGGCCACTGGTAGTCAAGACACAGTCCAATATGGTACCCAAGAGACGGCTCACCCATCCACACCTCCATCAAGTCTTGACGAACCCGCCAAAGCCATAGTGCGGGAAGCAACCCCTAACAAGGCAGATGCGCATGGGCTAGAGAGCGTTGAGCCTGGCTCCGAGGGTACCAACGAGCATGGTAGCGCTAGGAAGAGAGATCATGACGAAATGCTTGGGGAGAAGGGTCTGGCACCAGATGCAATCGCGCGGGTTGATGGCGAGATGTCAGCACGAGTCAAGGAGCCCCTCAAAAGAACGTCCAGTATGGTCCGACTGTCTATGACCGTTGATGGAGCGATGAAGATTCGAACCAACAATGAACCCACACCCTCACCGGAGAAACCCCGTGCGCCACCTCCACCGTCACTGCAGAGCAAAGTGAAGACCCCACTGGTTCGGAGCAAGAGCGCCATGAACAGCATTGAGTTATCTCAGAACTCTGGCCAGGGAGCACAGAACCGGCCTGTCGGGGCTAGCTTTGGTCGGTCGCGAGACGCCAGGACCTGGGAATTCTATTGCGACAGCAACACCAAAGATGCCCTATCCACTCAAGCAGAAGCTGAGACGGCCGGGTCTGCTGTTAGTGCCATCAACCTTATCCGAACAAACAGCTTCAAATCACGCTCGCAAGCGCTCAGCCCATCACTGTCCAAAGCGAACAATCGCCTCACCCCAGGGTTGAAAGGGGGCAAACCGAAACTAGCGCGTGCAAAGTCGTCTCTGGCCCGTTTGCAAGGATGTGATGGCACTGCTGAACCGTCGAAGAGCAAATCTAAGCGTCCCGGCCATATGCGATCAGAATCGGGAGATTCAGACAAGGAGAACTGGGCACCAGGCACGAGATTGTCGGAGCATCCACTACGCAGAACTCAGCCTAGTGCCAGCCAGCGACTGATTCTCCAAGAGAACGAGGACATGACATTCCCCGATGCCAGGTCTTCCCGGAAGCTGCGGGATGGGAAAACAGGAAGTCGAGAATCTCCGACGAAAGAGAAGGCCAAAGGCGAAGAACTTGATTGTGTCCAAGGCTTACTCTCGCTCAGCCAAGGGGCGTGGAGATGATGCAGCGAAGCATGACGATGCAGACCCGCTAGCATATGGAAGAATCTTGTCGGTTCAAGACGGTCAAAATGGGCATGGTCTGCTCATGAAGTTGGGTCGCATATGAATTGTCCTTTCTCAATTGTGCAATAGGATACAAGTAACCCCACAGCTGTTGGCAGCTGGTCCAAAGCAGACACATTACCAGAGGTAGTCGAAATGATCTTATTCAGTCTGAGCACGAGTGTGTCGCAGATATTCTTCTACCCTTTCCTGCAGACTCCTGTTTCTGGGAAATCTCTCCCTAAGTCATGTTGCACCAGGTTCTCATGGCAGATAGACACTCAGCTCCAAGCCTTTGGAGTAGGGGAGCGTCAAGTTGGTGAAGGGACTGTCCGGGGCTCGCATGTATGCCAGCAGATCCTTATATTTTGGAGCAGCGCCGATAGTGTTGTCTGCAATGACCACAGCTCCGCGCCTCAACCTAGGCTGCACCAGCTTCAAAACCGACAAGGCTATAGGCGCCCATACTTTTGAATTGGAGGTCCGTCAGCAAAAGCGTCATTATAGACAAGATCTGATGGGGGGTTAGGAGCGTCAGCCTTACTGTCCAACAGCAGCAAATCCACGTCGGGAAGATCGTGCTTCAATGTCTGCAGAATATCGCCTTCCCGAAGTTGAATGCAGCCGGTGATTTCGTCGCCCACCTCCTTCCAGTGTTCACGAGCCTTGTCGGCCTTGGTCTTCTCGTTCTCCGTCGCGATCACCACGCCCGGCCCGGTGCCGGCGGTGACGTTGCGGGAGACAGCAAGGGCCAAGTAGATGGTACTGACGCCGAAACTGGTGCCTGCTTCCACGATGGTCTTCGCATTGATCGCACGCGCGAGCTGGTACACGAACTCGGCCTTGTCGCGGTCCAGAGCGATGAACTTGTCGCGCATGTAGTTGTCGAACCCTTGCGCTTCAACCTCTTGGGTGTCCACCGCGTCCTCTTGCGTGCGAGAAAGCTGGTGAAGCCGGTCGAGCAGAGACACGACATGTGGGGGCGCCTTGACTGGCGAAGGGTACTGGATCGAAGCCATGGGATAGACTTAGACTGCCTTTTCGAACAGAACAGCGACTGTTGCTGACGACGGCCAAGTGGGAAGTTTACTGTCTGGGGTTTTATATTTATCGAAATTCACCTTGATCGCTTCTGCAGATGGGCATGGGCAGCACTGTGGTTGAATGACTCACACGTAATGGGTATAGATGTTGTATCTCCGCGGGCTTTGTGCACTGGTACTACGTACTATGGAGTATGGAGTACTCTGTACTGGTCGGTCGTAAGGATGGATCAGGTCTCCTCTCTTTCCACCATTAAGGGGAATCGTTTCTCGGCCTCCAGGCGTATAGTAATCAGCATGCGGTACCGAGGTGTTGAAGACGAAGACAGATGAACACATCCAGATTATCAGATATGTGATAAGATTATTATATGATCTGATGATTAGATAAGATCTGAAACCACTCGTCGTCAACAAATGAAGCCATCCTTTCACCAAGCACCCGAGCCGCGCAACAAAGCCGAAGAATACCACTTATATTGATCCCAGTCGTCCATGGTAGGTTGCGCTACTTCCGGTCCGCTACATGCACAAGCTGCCGGAGGTCTGACCGAGCATGCTTTTTGGACCGCCAGCGAGAGAGACGCTATGTGCCTTGCTTTGACCGACGACGTGCGGCGAATATCAATCACCGCTATGCTGGTGTCACTAACATTTGAATTTGTCTAGATGTTCTGGGTTGTCGAGCCAAGTGCAAGAAAAGCAACATGGCCGGTGAGCCTGCCTCGATCCTTCCAGCAACGATGCACAGCGGCCGCCCGGACCAAACATGACACGGGGTTGAAGAGAAGTACAACAAGTTGAAGATGCAATGGGCTTCAAGCCTCATAGTTGTCGCCGCTGTGACTTCTCAAGAGCATATTCACATTTGATTTTGACATCATTCGGGGAGGGTGGGTTTGACTGTGCATCATCTTGCTCTCAGGGAAACAGCCACCAGAGTTGCACATGCATCTTTTTCTGCCGGCAATTCACTCCCTTCACTTGCCAATGCGGTCTGTATAGCATAGCACGTGCGATTGCTTATCACCCCAGTGTGAAGGAAATCAGTGCTTTCGCGTCGTTGATTGTCGACGCGTTTTTCAAAACCTACCAAAATTCACATTGTTCACATTGTCTTGGTTGAGTTGGATCCTCTTACTTTTCACTGATCAGTTCCAAACCACAACATAGATTGCTATCTTACACGCAAGCAATCATGTCCCAAGAAACTGAACGTCCGACAATCGAAGCCGAAGTCACGGTCAAGTTCAGGGTAACAGCAACTCTGGGCCCGTGCCCGATCTCAAACGACGGGGAATTAGGAGTCGAAAAGGTCGAGAAAGTAGCTTCTGGAATCGTTGTGACGCATATAGCTGTCGAATGTGAACCAGGCGTCGCAGGAGTCTCGGTTGGTGACAGTTGCCCTCCCAGCGCCTTACACAGTACGTTGTTCTCTCTTGTCACGATGTCGGAGCCATAACTAAACTTGAACCACAGTCCAGCTAGCCAAATCTGTGTGCCACATGATGGAGCGCCTGGACAAACCGGAGGACGGTCCGCCAGACACTGTCTTGGTAGAATTAGGGGTAGCAGGGGCAAACCTGCCGGCACATAGATTCAACCTGCGTTCCAGCAACGTGTCGTCCAATCCTACGACTCCTTCCCATCGGGTGTCCAAACCTAGTCCGCGCAATCATGGCCCCAAGAACAAAGGCAAAAAATCCAAGAACGCACAGAAGCGTGAGAACAAGAAAAAGAGAAAGGAAATGGCGCTCCGATTTGATGACCCCAAGTTTGCGAACATAGCCGAGCGTATGTTCCTTCAAACCCTCCCCTCCCCTCTCCAGGCTTCTGGAGGCATCCCTATTTCATGCTACCTCTCCCATCCTCCTTCATCTGTCTCATTCCTGATCGACTTGAGCTAATGATATCCGCCTCGGCTCAGGCATCGGGATGGCGGAGGCTTTGGAGTATCGTGGATGGCTAGACCAGAAGAAGATGAAGGCTCGGCTTCACAGAGCGGCGAAGAGACGCTGGAAGGGCATAGGCCCCGAGGCCACCGAGGAGGCCAAGTTGGAAGCAATTACTAAAGGTAAGCAGTCCTACCATCCCTTGAGATTCATCCCTGTCCGTCGTTGAACATGGTCTGTGATGTGATGCTGACACTCCCGGATCGAACAGAATTCGAGAGCTTCAAGGCGGCTGCTTAGTCGAGCCTAAGGTTGAGGCCACCGAACTTGGTCAAGGATGTTAAGGGTCCTATCGCCATGGAAAGGGAAAGACTCGGCTTGAAAATCAGGGCTTGGTTGCCATGCGAGGCGGGTGGGGAATGCAAGCATGCTTGTCTTGTTTCGCTTAGCATGAAGGTGTAGACAAAACGAGTCGGCTGCGAAGCCAGACCACGAAACTAGGTGTTCGACATACAGCAATAGTCGTGTGAGGAGTTGCGAATAGCTTTATGATATGGAGATTGCATTCCTGGTGTATACAGTGCCACTGCCAAATCTTTCCGTCAACCAGAGTCTCGACCGACAAGCAAGCGTCAAGCGTCGACACAGCGCACCACATCATATCTATGCTCTCACCTGTGCCGCAGGCTAACCACGCTCCATGTCCATGGTTTTCCTCTCAGATAGCCAGCCCGGCTAGGTTTGCTGCGTCTGGTTTCGATGCATCGAGGACCTTCTTTTCTTCTTCCAGGTCCGGATGGCCCGTGATCGCCATTGCACTCGCCATCGCGTCCTCGGGCACGTCGACGCCGTACGCGGCACAGATTCTCCTGGCGACGCCCTCGCCACTCCACCAAGCGCCGGTGGTGGTGCCCAGGGCGATGAACGGGGCGGTATGCTCACCGGCCAGCCACAGGCCACGCGTAGACGAGATGCCGCCCGCGGCACGCATGACTTCGATGTCTTCGTCGCCGCGCTCCAAGCCGACCTGGAAATTGCAGTAGCTCCCGTTCCCGGCGAAGCGGTCGGCCTGCCACTGGGTCATGAGCAGCGACGTAGGTGTGCACGACGGGTCGGCGGCCGAATAGTGCGGCAGGCGACTATAAAAGGGCTCGGCGAAGGCGGTCAGCACGGCGTTGTATTCAGCCGAATGGGGTGGCAGGCCCTGCACGGATCGGACCACGTGCGTTGCACACGGCCCGTACATGTAGAACAGCAGGGTCGGGTGGGCATGTGGAGATGGGAGATGGGCCAGCGATACTACGGATTGGTTCCATGCCTCGTCGGCCGCGTGTGGGATGTATGATGGGTCGTGGAAGTGTGTGAAGATCGGATAAGTCGACAGCTCGAGGGGTTGTCTGTGCTTGTGCTTGTGCTTGGGATCGGCCTCGTCGTGCTGGTGCTGCTGCTCCTGCCGCTGCGAAAGCCAGAATGCTGTCGGGAACGTGACGTGCAACTTCTCCAGGCGGCCGTAGTTGATGTGCTCGATCGCCGCCGACAGTCTGGGCGGTAAGGCCGGGGCAAATGCCGTGGTGTGGTTGCGCTTGAGCCAGCCTAGCGGACATGTGATGACGACTTCGTCAAAGGTCAGGGTCTCGCCTGTCGCAGTCCTGACGGTGACTTTGTGCTCGGCACCGGCCCCGGCAGGGCTTGGAGCGGTGGTGTCGAAATGCACCACCTCCGTCTCGAGGCGGAGGTCAACTTTGGCCGGATCGGTGGCGGTGCGTCCGATTTCTCGGAGAATGTCCTTGTATGTGCCTGCCACAAAGACGTTTTCTCCTTCGATACATTCTTCCAGGAAGAAGAATTTGAGGCTCTGTTTCTCGACGGGATCGCCAACGAAGGGACCCCACATTTGTGCTTCGTGTAACAGATCCTGCCGTTTCTTGCTGTCGACCCCCGTTTCCGTCTCTGCGAGCTGCGACTTGAAGTAGTCGAAGAGACTCGTCTGTGGGTCGATGGTTGCAGAGTGGTCATCCGAATGCTTGAACGCCCCGACAACCATCTCCCAGATCTTGCTGGACAAATCCACGGCTTCGGCGTCAGAACGTCGGATCCCGCCCGTGTCGAACAGCGCCCCCTCCTCCTCAGGCTCCATGACTTTCGTGCCTGTCTTCTCGGCCAGCCCCATGATCGGGTTGCCCTTGGTCCCGTGGATCCAGTTCGGGCCCATGTCCACCAGATGACCGCCCGACTCGCCTTGGTGAACTCGTCCGCCAATGCGGTTCCGGGCTTCGAGTACCGTGACTCTGACTCCGGCGCGAGCGAGGACATCTGAACAGCGAAGACCGGCAACCCCGGCGCCGACTACGGCCACGTGCGGGGTCCGGCCCTGGGCCACTGGGCCTGCGTGTCGAAGCGCTTGCATGGCTGAAGGGAGCAATGTGGACTTTGAGACAGCAGTAGCACCGTCTGCGCGGCCATTGCTATGCTTATGCACACTGTTGGCGAGATCCTGGGAAATTCGAGACATACAATCCAAGATGGATGGCCAAGGTCTCGGTCTCTACTAAGCGCCTCAAATGGTGCTGGGGCTGGGGCTGTTGGCTGAGGTGGTGTAACCCAGAGCGTGGGATGCCTGATGGTAGCGGGGAGCGGGTTGCGGCCAATCGCAGACATGGGATCCATCTGACAATATATGCGTATGTGAGTCCATGGTCTGCAGTAGGAAGTAGGCAGGAAGGATACGGCAGATCACGAAGAGACATGGACATCGTTGGGCTGCAAAGCCGTCCATAGTCCATCGTCCATCATTCTTCGACCGCGCTTGAGGTTTAGACGCTCACAGAGAGCCCCCATCTTGACACATGTATGGTAGGACATTCAAGATCCCTGGACGTGGAGTTCTTTCTTCGTTGATATTGATTTGGTACTCCGGAAACGACAAGGCTGCAACTCTCCAACTGCGAGTGACGAGGCTGAACCACGTGGGCGGGGAAGGCAGCGGCAGCCTCCTCAGCCCTCGACAACAATCGACCGCTGCGTTTGTTCGACTTGCAGCAATACACCGCCTTGGGCCTTGCGAAGATACGCTCCGTTCTCGTGCAGCCGCACGCTGAGGGCCAGCCGGTGGCTCTAGAGTGAGGGACCTGTGAAATGCCTCCCAAACCTGCAGTCCGTGGCGAGTACATTGAAACTGTAGGTCACGAACCCCTTGGACATCAACAGCTACAGCCACCGCAGGCTCTCTAACATGTGGGCAGGAAACCGGCAACAAAATCAATCGGAAAGCCAGTGTCCTTGGACCGCGTCATATTATTTTGGCGGGCAAGTGTGTCATCCAGCACGACGTCGTGATCCGCGGTGACCTGGTCCGTCCTTCGCAACCCAAACCCCCGACCCAGCAGGGCGACCAGAAGTCGGCCAGCCCTGATCAGACCTCCATCCACCTCGGTCGATACGTCTTCATCAGCCCTGGCTGCACCCTCCATCCCCCTTCCCGGCTCACCACGGTCGCCAGTCCCAATGGCGGCGAGCCACAGCAGATCATGACCTACTTCATGCTGAGAATATCCGACTACGTCTACATCGGCCCCAACACGCACGTGAGGGCGGCGGAGATCAAAAGCAACGTCTACATTGGTGCCAATTGCACAATCGGGAATATGGTCATTATCAAAGACAACGTGAAGATCCTCGACGGCACTGTCCTCCCTCCCAATACCGTCTGGGCCGGCGGCACCGTCATTGCGGGCAGACCTGGGAGAGTGGTTGGAGAAATCGGCGAGGGTTGGGCTGCCAGCGGGACTAGTGGCTCGACTGTGGATGAGGGCGTCGGAATCAGAAGCAGAGAGAGGTGGGCATCTGTTGGGAATAAGCGGTGAACGACACTGATGAGCACTGGACGCTGCGCGCGGCCATCTTACGACATGCAATTCCAACAAGTATGATGATGAGAAACTTGAGGATATTCAGATCCCACGGTACACACCCCTGGCATAGGGCTCCATCTGCTTCTGGCTCAGACCATGGACTTTCTCTTGGATCAACCATCACCGAAAAAAGAAATCGCCCGAAATCTGACACGGACCTGGACATGTTCCTCGGCTCTGGCAACATTGAACAGGTCTCCGAGCCCCCAAGATTACCAACAACCTTTCAGAATCCTCTCGCCTCCCAACACCTGCTTCCATTTCAGTATCGTCATCCCATAGCAACCGTTTCTGGCAGCCAGAGACCGCCACTTTCTTGCTTCATATCCACTCTGTCTCTCTCGGAGATCCAACTTCACGGTTCTGATTCTGGTGCAAAGACAGTGGTGTGAGTCGCCAACATATAATGACCGATGATTGAGTCGTTGTAGCGACGTCTCGGAGCTAGAGGTTGAAGTACGTGATGGTGAGCTGGGATAGAATTTTGAAATGGCGGATTCTGATGCATATCTGAATCTTCCTGTGTGCTTCCTGCTTCCTTTGATGCCAGATGGTGACCGTCCGACGAAATGGTATCATCAAGAGGATGACTTTGGAGTGGATGTGGGTGGGAGCTGGTTCGTGATGCCTGATGCTCCCTGCCGTCAGGGGTTGTCGGAGCTTGAACTTGTCTCGAGTGGTGCGGAGTTGCCTGACTCTCCATCTCCTGAGGTCGATGTATGCGAAGCGGTGCTGGGACTAGGCTCCCATATCGGAAGTTCGTTAGACTCGGAGTCTGAGATTGAGCCGGTACAAGAAGCGGTGGCATTCCATCGTCACTAGATGGATACATGACACTGATTCCACCTGTGCCATCACCACATCCCGCCTCTGCTTCGATATCGACCTCCAAACTCCACTCTTCCGACTCCAGCCTTGAGCTTGAGCTTGAGCTTGAGCCTAACCCCGACCGTCCCAATGGTGCCTTAAGTTCTCCATAGCCACTCGTTGGGTCCTGCGGAACACTTCGAATGCCACAACTAGTCTTTGCCAGCCCTCCGCTCTGGTTCATGCTGCTTAATGGAGGCTCGCCCAGGACAACATCGGCGCATTCTCCTTGACAAACAGGCCCTTTGTCACTCTTGCGCTGGCACTCAGTCCCAGCCTCGATATTGTCGAAGCCTGGCGCTCCATGGACATGGGCCCGGACATGTTGATTTGTTCTCCACCACAACTGCACTGCCGCTATGACCAAGATAGTGCCCATGACGACGCAGAACGCCACTGCTGCCGGTGCGGTCATTTTCGAAGTGTACTTGCTATCACGCTTGTCAATGGTCGACGACCTGGACAGTGGCAAAGGCCGGCCTCAGAATTGGCGTGCACACACACGCACACACACGCAGAGAGGGAGAGAGAGACGAGAAGCGATGATGACGATGCTTTGTCGGTTGCAAGCCTGTTCGATGCACTTGTACGAGGGAAAGACGTAAGTTTCTCAAAAATCCAATTCTGGAAATCGAGCAAGACAGACACCGAAAAGAAACCGCCTCACCTACTAGTACGCATCGCACATCCCTGATCCATGGACGTGGGTATATATTTGAGTATCCTGAATCAATCACCGACGGGGCACGCTGTCCCATTTCCATTTCCAATTCCCATTTTCCATTTCCCATGCCTTGGTCCATGCCTTGGTCTATCAAGTACTACACTACACTACACTGCCCTGTCTTGTCGTGCTGTAGCTGTTGGCACACCCATTAATTCGTGCCATTCCCAACCGACGCTGTCTTGTCTCGGTCTCGGCCTCGGTTTCGGTCTCGGTCGGACTCGCAATATCCAATATCCAATGTCTTTCCTCTCTGACGGATCCTCGCTTCATCAAGATCAAGATCAAATTCCGACCATGTCTGTCGTAGTCAGTAGGAGAGAAGGAGAAGGAGAAGGATTCCCTGAAGAGCTCTTCTCTTTCTGCCGCCTGGTCTTTGTGCACACTTACCACGTACACCTACACCTACACCCACGTCACACGTGCTGCTTGTTGCGTCTTGCTTGTTACGTGTTGCTTGTTGCTTGTTGCTAGCTGCTACTTGTTATCGGGCTGGCTGGATTTAAGCCTTCCTTTATTTATGTACAACCAGTTCTTGAAACCCTTGAATTGAACACCAAGAACCAAACGTAGAACTGGTGCTCCGTACGTGTAGCTATGTGCTACGTGCTTGCTTCCCGTCTGTGCATCGACCAGAGGAGGGAGGGCTAGCAGAGATTGAGATTAATGTCTAATTACAGCACTAGCTTGAGCTTGAGCTTGACCTGGAGCTTGACCGGTGGAACTGGAGTGTCTCACTGACAAGACGGGCAAGCATACTTTGATTCACTGGACAACTACCTATCCAGTCAACCTAATTCCAGACCACCCTGCTATGATGGATGACGGTATCCTTTCGTCTGCCTCTTTTCTTACCACAGAGAGAGAGGGCGATCTGGCTTCTTTTCCCATCCCATCCTCACTCCAAACCTGGACGCCGTCCTTCTTTCCATCCCTGCCGGTGTTGAGGACCGATTGGAGAGCTGCAGTAACCAAGCCATGCCAGGCCGTTCAACAACGATACCTCTCTTCACCAAGTCTCGACGATCCCATACCAAAGGCTGCGCAAATAACTCCTTCACCCTCATCATGTCACAACCTAGCCCAATCCTGTGGGAACGAGTTCAGGATGACGCGATAGCGTTCTTCAAGAGCGCTCTCTCGCCGCAAAGCCCTATGCTGAGCCGCTGTTCTAGCTCTTGTCGGCCTCGGCATGGCAATCTCGGGATGAGGAGGAGGAAAGGGCCGTGGCGGTGGTAGCGCTGACGCTGGTGGTGCTGGAGCCTCTTGATGACGACTCGAGCTACTGACCGAGCCGCTCGGAAGATCTCCCGCTTGATCTAGATTGCTCTCGTATGCTGGCAGTCCATGCTCGTCCATTCTCGAATACGGAGGCGGAGCTGTCGACACTGTCGTCAGAGAATCGGAGATCGACGAGACTGTAGCGACATCCCAGCGGTTATAGACGGTGGTACGTCTTCGGGAAGAAGCAAAGGTGACGCCGGGACGGGACACACTCCTTTCCAGTTCCTCTGCTGCTCTTGGTGGTTGGAGCAGCGCCGGGGCTGGCTCGTCTATTGGCGATGATGAGGTTGAACTAAGTGCCTCAAGTTCCGTGACACCAACGCCGAGGTGTTCAGCAAGTCCTGCTTCGGCTCGTATCTGCTGGCGGCGACGTCGTCGTCGACTCCTGGATTTCTTTATGTAATCTCGCAAGCCGAAAAGCCCGATGATAGCGATCAGGGAGGCACAAGGGCAGATGATCCCGATGGCCGCGTCTGGGATGCCCATGATATGGAGGATGCTGAGTTGCTGGCTAGCCGGCTGTTCTGTCTCGAAGCGAGTCTGGGGCGGTCACAGGTGAGAGGACAAATATTACAAAGTCCTTGGAAGTAAACTGTCACATTCCGAAGGATCTGCTCAAGTATATAGTGTTGAAAAATGCAGCCTAGAGATGATAAATGCAATTCTGAAGGAAGAGGCGCAAAATGTGTGGTTTCGGTCCTCTTTACAGGTCCTCTCATCCAAACGGATAAAGACGAAGCGGACTGGGGCGCTGTCCGGCTAAGGACCCATCGTACCAGACCTTGAGAAGCTTGCTGTTCGAAAACGGCCGCAATGTAGTCGCACAAGAAGTTATCACCCAAAGAGAGCTTGACATGAGCTCGGAGAGTCTAGCCGAACCAGAGAAAACCTGGAGTGCAATCTGGACGTACCTGACTCTGGTCGCTGTATTCGGCAGATCGAGACACTTTCGACTAAATCGACTTTGAAGCTAAATGGGGCGAACACACGCCCGAGTATAGAAAAGCTACTGAGAAGCCTGAGTTATCCCCATTCTGGATTCTTCTTCGACGGTAAAATGAGTCATCCTGGCCCGGTACACTTGGGTTGCCGCCAGAGAAAAAAGGCGCGTGGGATGAAGCGGTCTGAGAAAGCCGGCGACAACATAGCCGTGAGCACACCTACGTGTATTCGGACGCCGCCATGCTTGAAGTTGCTCTGTAACACAAGGAGCAGGAAGCAGAGAGTCTTGTAGGTGGCGTTCATGGACCATGGAGGACTCCTGATATGCCAAGCGTCAAGAACACCACCATGTCTGGATAAGGCTTATGGAGCGCGTGCCATATGTGTGCTCCAAGGCCTCTGTAGACCAGATGTCCGAGGTTTTTTGTTGTGTGGTTTTTCCTGCATCTGGAATTTTCTTCTGGTTGATGGGAAAGAGCTGCTTTGTGATCGACCATCAATCTTGACAACCTAAGCTGGGCGCTCAACGGCTCTGTGAGGAGAAAAGTTAGAAGAGGCAATAATGATGATCACTACCGTAGCTAGATCTTGCTTGAGTCTAGATGGCATGTGAAAACAGCTCACGGCGCACGGGCCGCACGCAACCAAGGAACCGGCAACATGTTGTCTGTATGCGTCTGAGGAAGGCTGGAAAGATGGAGGGGGGATCCCGGCAATAAGTGTCCCCATGACAGATTATCACGGGGTTGGATCTAATGATCCAGGCAGGAATAAAGCCATGGTCAATAATGGTCCAATGTCGGAGGGCTGACCAACCTCAGTCCTGCTAAAGGTGTGGCACAGACAAAATCCCAGCCACATGTCCAGCTCGGACATTTTGGCGCACCGAGCCGGGCTTCGCCGTCCCCGTGCGCTATACGGATATTGAGTCAATCATGGTTGAACTTGTGCGGGACGATTGGTGGCAGGATGGCCAAGGTAGAATTGCCTACGAGCTGAGGCTCAGGAGGCCTCGCTGCGTTCAGCTGTCGAGACAACAAACTCCGTACTCCGCACCCCGTACTCCGGACATTCCCAGGGACGCAGTACCGGTGTCTCGTCTCATGCACACTGAGGTGGCCAATTTGTGACAAGCCAGGGGAGGAAATGAGCATCCTAAATTTGTAGATTCTGATTCTGATTCTGCTCGGAATGCGATCCAAAGCGTCCCGCTGCCATTCGGGACACGATAGCGACCGTCTCCCAGAACAAGCATTTGACCCGAGGCATCTGACAAGGTGCATATGGATGTCTCTGCAAATAGCACAGAGATAGGATGGCTCAAGACCTTACGTGAAAGGGCACCCGCACAAAGAGTGCGGCACAACCCGGAAGATGGTAGCGGTCACAATTGACCATCACATTGGCAGTTCTTGTGACTTCCTTTCGTCTGACTGGACATGAATTCAGGTCGAAGTCTGGTGCGAGTTGTACGGGCGAGTCGCGGGAACCATCATGGTGGCTGTGTTCCTCGATCTGCGGCACGACGGGTGGCAGCCAGGGAGGGATGCAGGGGATGGAAGGGCATTGTGAGACCATCAGGAGGTATGAGCATGTGGGCATTAACTCTTTCTTGGTAGACACGTAAAAGCTGAGACAGACGCTTGGCCAGTAGTATGGAGTCGCAAGGGAGACAGGACGGAGGGACCGCTGGCAGTCGAGACAGCGGAAGGAGTCGCGCGCGTCGAGGGCGTCGAGGGCGTCGAGGGCGTCGAGGCTTAGACATCTGACAAGGACAGACGGTTTCACCAGTCAGAAGTCTGGCATGGGAGGATCGAGGCTGGTCGTGACCAACAGTGGTACGCGAAGGAGGGTCTCCTGGATGGCGCGTTGCGAGTGTCTGACCCTTGACCGGGGGGCCAACCTCCTTAGCCACTCGCGGACGAGTGTCCAGCCGGCCTCAAATGTGTGTCAGGCGTGTCGGGCGTGTGTCTCGCGTTGTCTACCAATGAAGGACCGGCTGTCACAGGCCTTGGCTACGGGATGGAGCCGGTTGGTAGTGGGAGTTGGGCGCGGGTGAGGCGGTGGCGGCATGTAGGGGGGAGACTGGGGGCGCTGGTATGTACGGATACGGATAGTCTATCTCGTAACGAGATCCGACGCAGGCAGCAAGACAGGGATGGCCGTGGGCTTAGGAGGCGTGGGCGCAGGCGCAGGCGCAGGCGGGAGGAGACACCGTATCGCAGTTGATGTTGATGTCGAGAGAAGACACGACCAAGTCCTCATAGCAGAAGTGGCAGTAGCAGCAGCAACAGCAAGTAGTACACTGACACCTAATTGATTAGCAATGCCCTCGTAGTGAACATCTGTATAGCAGCGACCTTGAGTAGGTGTGGTTGTAGTGACTGTGACTGTACCTGCTGATGCCGTTTCCCTACACCCTCTCCCTGCAGCCCTCTATCCCTCTCCCTGTTTTCTGACCGCCGGCGGCATTCCCGACGGATGACTTGAGGTATTGGTGGTGCTGGTGCTGGTGGTGCTGGTATGGCGTCTCTGGTTCAGGTTCAGGTGCCAACCAACCCTTAGGACCCTTCGATCCCTTCCCGAACCAGGCCATGTGCGGCCTGATGAGTGGTCACTGGTCACCGGTCACTACTGGCCACGATTCAATGGTCACCCAGCAAGGGATTGACTCCATCTTTGACGGTCTGCAGGCCCAGCGCACCCGCGTATCCTCGCAGCCGCCCAATCCGCACACCATTCTTGCCTGCCGCCAACGCAGGGCGAAACCGATCCATCTGCGCGTTGCATCTCATTCTGGCCGCTCTCGGCCAACAGGTCTACATATCTGGTGGCATTCTGCATTCATTTCCATTCATATCCACCGCAAGCGCCCTTTCGTACAGCTTTCCCAACATGTTGCCGTGCTAATTCAGCCCTCCCTCCAGGCTCATAAACCCCAGCTTCTCATCTCGATTTCACACCGATCTCTCTTCTCAACCTACCTGGCAGCGCTCACCTTCGTCTGTGTCGAAGGCCTCACTCGAGCATTCACATCCCTTTCAGACTCTCTCGACCACCCTGTCACTTTCTGGGGCCCGTCTCCTCACCCCTCAGGCCTCTTCGAGCTCCTCCACAATCCTCCGAGGACCCGAGCCAAGTCACTCCTGCTACTACTACTAATTAGTGCCCCTCCGACACGGGCCAAGTCCCAGAGAGAAAAACACGACAGCACCGACACCCATCAGCCCCTTGCTCCCAATTCCAGCCCCTGACCCATCCGCGAAAACCCAGCCAACAGCCCAAGAGGGAAACCCTAACGGTCGAAGACCCAGGCCATCCGCACCCCGTACCTGAGCTTATCGATTGCCTACCCGCTAGTTGCAGGGCCCATACCTTCTGGACACTTGAGATCTCCACCGTGCTGCAGTTGCGACATCACTCTTGTGCACTGTTCAGGAGAATCGCCAGACACTACGCGACTCTCTCAAACACAGGAGCTACACCCTGGGCCGTGCCTAGCATTTTTCGAGCGATCCGGCCATATCTTGGATATCCTAAAAAAGAGCGCTCAGACCTCAAGTGAACCCCTCCTGCTGGCCAGGACTTCACACCCATCTGCTCGACTAATACCAACCTCCTAAAGGTGTCAAAATCCTGTCGAAGTGGCCTGTCACCTCACTTCAAAGTCGCCCACTTCAGCCCAGACAATCGATAAGGGTCGGAGAGGAGTCCATATACTCCTGAACTGCCTCATCTCAGTCACTGCCTCGTCGTTCCATCCTTCTCATCTTGAACAGCCACCTCGCCATTGAGAAACCCCAAGTCGGCCTTCAATTGACCTTGAACAATCTCCACCATGGGCTCTCGCTATACCTTGGCCCAGAATAGGGCAGCGTTGGAGGAGTTTGTCCGTCACCCGGTCCGCTCCTATATGATTCAACACCTGGCGAAGCAAGCCTCGCAGGTCATCCGATGCGAAGACCCAGTTCCTACTCCCGGAAACAGCCTTCCCACTCCTCCTTCAACGCCACCTCACGCGTGCTCAGAATCCGTCCAACAACCACCCTTGCCGACCCTAGAACAGTTCATCAATTCCTTGGTCCAGAAATCCTCCGTCCAGGTCCCGACTTTGATGACTTCTCTGGTCTACCTCGCTCGTCTCCGGTCAAGGTTACCTCCCGTGGCGAAGGGAATGCGTTGCACCGTCCATCGCATCTTCTTAGCCTCTTTAATACTGGCGGCCAAGAACCTGAACGACTCGAGCCCAAAGAACAAGCATTGGGCACGATACACTGCAGTCAAGGGCTTCGACGGCTTCGGGTTTGGTTTGGCGGAGGTGAACCTGATGGAGAGACAACTCTTGTACCTCCTTGATTTCGACACCAGAGTGACGGAGCAAGATCTTTTGGAGCATTTCGAACCATTCCTCGCCCCTATCCGCTTCCAGATGGAACTTCAGCGGGAAGAGGCAGAATTGACAAGCCTCCACAGAGTCTGGCATTCTCACCAGACTTCCTACGACTCCAGCGTCTCGCTCCCGCCAGCTCGCAAGGAACACATCCTCCGCAGTGTTGCGACACCCCCTCCAAGAGCCACGGGCGTCTATGATTCACCTGCCTCTTGTGTTGACGAAGAACTTGCATACGGCCGTTACCCACGTCAGAAAGCCAACAACAGTTCTCTGTCACTGCCGGCTCAAAGTCACAATAGACGATGGGCATCACCATTCCGTCATCACGGAAGCACCCGATCTGTTTCGCCGCCTTCTATTCGGGACCTGCCTCCACTGGTTTCATCGAGCAGGCCTGGGAACATGCATAGTCACTCCAGCTCCAGATCATCTTCCATGGCGCCATCGCTAAGATCCCGGTCCTCATCAATTGCTCCGACTTCTCGGGGCACCCCGTACAGTACATCATCAGGCATTGATGACTCGATTGTTGTGGTGGACCTAACTGAAAGCCCCGATGCCTCATACCACAGTGCCTACACTAAGGCGATGGTAGCATCCAGACCGAGCCTCAAAGGCCACCAGACAAGCTTCCAGGGCGAAAGCCAGCAGCCAGCGAAGAAAGTCAGGGCTGACTCTGGGGTCGGTGGTGTGATGGCCAGAATATTCAGCTCGGCCACCAGCAACTACAGGCTTGGAAGGACGCCGGTACAAGTTGCTTAGGAAGCTCCTAGAATGGTTGACGAGCAGAGATCCAACAGAAAGCGAAAACGGGGCGCTCACTGAAGACTGGAACAAGGCTGCACTGATGACCTCAGCCACCGCCTTCTTCCGAATCATTTTTCTTCGACATCTATTGTGCTTGCATGCATGGCGACGGCGTTTTGGGGCTCCAAAAGAGCAATCGGCCAGGGTAATCCTGGCCGAATAATGCCTGACGGATTGGAATTTTGACGGGAGGACAGAAGACACGGATGTGGCTTCGAGACTTGTACAAATAGATTGAGCCGGCTTCTGGCCGGGTTGGTTGGGGCCAACTGGTGTTACATGTTGCAGAGCAGCATGCATTGGACTGGCTTCAATGGGCTCTGGGCCGGACGAAAGACAGATGAAGGAAAGCTGAGCTGAGATGTCATGCGACAACGATATGACCCGAGGATTTGAAACCCACCCATCATTGGACGTGGACGAGAGAGTGTAGCAGATAGTCTGCCTACATAAAAGATCCTACGGTCTTTGGGGCCACGAGACTTTCAAATGAAAATGACTTGAATGGCATGAACCACCGACTTGTTCCAAATTGTTATAGTATCCATCCCACTCCCCGAAGCGGACCCCGTCCATGCGTAACGGTACATGCATTACTAGCAGTAGGTATAGTACCTTGGGTATGTATTCTCTTGACTGGCCAGGATCTGAAATCGTGGACCATGGTAGGGATAGGGTCGCGGCGAAGGTGTTGTAACGTCCGATGGGCGGCGACGACTGCGAGCTCCCAGTCTCACACTATAGTCGAGAAGGGGTTCCGGACCACCGGACCACCGTGGCTCGCTTTCCAGTGATGATATTGGATGCGACACGATTCTCCGACTGGCCGACCCGTTGTCGGGGCTTAGGATACCCTCGTAGCACACCTGCAAGTAGTGCCTTGTGTTGTCCAGAAGTAATTGCACAGTAAGTGAGGCCGTTGTGGAGTGCGAGGACGGATGCTCCTGGACTGTTAGAGACACGAACCCGCGGCGTCTCACTGTCCAGGAGTCCTTCGTTCGTCGGAAGGTTGATTTGATAAGGCAGTCTGGGAATCGAAGGCCATATCGCGTGAACATGTCCTCATTTGCTCTTCTTGGTTTCTGACAAAGTCTTGACAGGTCCTGCAGCCAGGACCTCTGTTCCCGCTCCAGGTTCTTCTTCCTTCTCACTCAAGTTGATCCTCCTTCCAATCCCCAGCCGCGCCACATTCGTGACAAGCCTACCTACAGCCCAACCTAGTACGACGCCCCAAAGCACCGTACAAGGCCACTTCTGCCACTCCCTATCCCAGTCGAGGGCCATGGGCACAGCCCCGATCCATCCGCCGACCAAGGCGCCCACGGTGCCAGCCCAGACACCGGATTCGTCAAAAGGCAGCCACGCAGCCGCGACGTCGCGCCATGCGGAAGATGACACTCCATGTGTATAGAAGATGGGCAGGAAGCCTAGAAGCGCAACGTGTGTGGCGAGGAGGAGTGTGCAAGGCAGGAGGGAGGTCGGGTAGAGCGGTGCGCCGAGGACAAGGGCGATGAGAGTCAATGGGAGTGGTGGGAGTGTGAGCGTGAGAATGAGAGAGAAGAGCGCTGGCTGTGAAAACAAAGGGTCTGATTAGCTCAACTATGGTTTAAATGTGGACTCGACCCCCAAGTTCAATAACACGTGTGCAGAAGCAGGGAGATGTAGATGAAGAAAGGAAATAGGACCACATACCGTGACTCGTCCTTTCCAGCTTCCCCCGGCACCTTCCCCTTTCGTGCTTCCACCCTTAACGGCGGATGGAGGAGCTATCTTCTTCCTCAAACTGCTCGATCCCGACCCTGAGAGATTTCCGCCGGTTTTGGCACCCTTGAAAGTCTTCAGGGGTGCCACTGCGCCAGTACTCTCATTGATTTTCCCACCAGCAGTTCCACTCACCCACGATCCAGCGCTAGGGAGACAAACTGCACAGAAGACACCCTGCGCCAGACTCACGAAACCCAAATCAAGGAACATGGCGGTATACGGATCGGCGACCAGCGCCGACGCGCGGAAATAGTAGTAAATCACCACTAGAAGCGTGTGGAAATAGCTGTATCGCTTCGCTAGATGGGAGGGGAGGAGAGGGATTGGCTGTGTTGTTGGTGTGAGGAGACGGGCGGACGCGGCAGGTTGGACTGGTGTGGGCGGGAGGAGATGGGTGATGGAGGGTGAAGACATGTTTGCGCTCGATGGTATAGAATGAGACAAAAGAGTGACTGCAGAGATTGAATGAGAAAGGAGAAAGGAACGTCTTGCTCCGGGCGTCATGCCATGGGCAACATATGTCGGCGGGCGGGTATGTTGCAGAACTGCTCGGTTGGACGATTGGTACGGGGTGGTAGTAATAGTATAGTACAAAATTGAAGGTTCTCCAATTCTGGCTTGGCAGCCTTAGGCCCTTGCAGCCTCGGTCACGTGGCTGCACCAAGGGGCACAGGGCTAGGGAGGCTCCTTAGGCATAGGGGCCCCTAAGCCTCCTACTAAGCCTGAGCCCCTGGGTCCTGAGTTGATGGAGGGAGAAACGTTTGGAAAATGGGGACCTGCCAGAGAACCAGCCTCAGCTGCTTCCAAACGTGTATATCAGAGTTATGGTAAGATAGGAGGACGATTGCTTGAAATGGTCGGCTGTTCAAACCAATGAGCTTCCAGGCCCATCATGGGTACGGAGATACAATACACAATGGCCCCTGGCTCTACCTAATTGTTCCTTTAACCGTCCCAATTCCACAAGACATCAAGTCCCCTCACCGGGGGTTGATGTGAGAAACATGTAACCACAGACAATCAAGAAGAACCGTCTGCGGCATCGGCTTCTGCAAGAATGTGGTGTACTCCGCCGTTGAACGCGGTTGGATTCTGAAATTCCGGCTCGTGTTACAGTTGTTTCGAAAGAGAATCTAGCGGATTCAAAAGTATCTCTGCTTGACCCCCAATCCTTCTGTGGGGTCTGAATCGGGGTCTGTCTCGCTGAACCGCGAAATCTCGGACCCGGAATGGCTCAATTGAAATCCATGTGTCCGATGCAGAGTCCGGGGCGTGCCGGAGCTATCGTGCGCCGATTCAGGACTAGGTGTTGGATATGCATCTCTGATGGTTGCATAGATAGGAGTGCGCATGTCCTCCAATTCTTTCTGCAGCTCTATTACCTGTGCCTCTAGCTGTTGACGTGCTACTTTTTCTTCTTCGATGAGGCCCATCAACGCCCTGAACTTATCCGCAGACATGTGAATTGAAGATTGTGACGTCCTGCTTGACCGTGATGCTGACCTTCGACGAGCAGAACTTGGTCGGATAGTGACAGTGGTGGCCGTGCTTGCCCTTTGAGGCCGGACTCGCTTGCCTTCTTCGGGCGAAGAAGGGGGCGATTCTCCAGGAGAAGACAAGAAGGTGGATGCATGCACCGTCTTTGGAGAACAGCGACGGTTCAGATTTGGTGAAGGTCCAGATGTCATAGCCAGATGGGTGTTGCTACCAGGGAAGACATTGTGTACTGCCCCTCGAGCAAAAGTCTTAGCGTGAACCATAGGTTTCTGTATGTTGTTGCCCTGGAGCTTCGCGATCGCATATTCAAAGTCGAAGAGCTTTATTTCTAGAGTGTTCACTCTTTGCTCGAGAGCGGTCGAATCTCTGTCCGTGCTGTTGAGGCCGAACTCAAAGCTTTGCATAGGGCTCGCACTACCGGGCACTGGCGCTAAGTCGACTGCTGACTTCCCTGGACACAGAACGTGCCCCGGATCAACAGCAATGAATTGCCCACTGTACACGGGGACAGGATTCTCTATGGCACTAGTGCGCCAGTAGGCTATCTCGCTTGCTCGGTCACGAATATAAGACGATCGATAGTCTTCCTGGCGCTGGCGCTCATTGAGCGCATCTGCACTTCTAGAACGACGGTTCAACTGACTATCCGAGACATAGTCTTCTTTTGGCCATTCGTTGTGAGACGCTCTCCCCCAGTTGGCAATCGTATGGTCCAGCCCTGACTCTTTGTCGTTGAAGACCATGCTTGGCAAAGTGTTGCGCCGCCCGCGCCGCAGAAGAATCGGTGAGCTTTGCTTAAGTGAGTCTGCTTGCTGATGAGTTGAGTGTGACCTGAGCGCGGCGCCCCGTGAGAGAGTTTCCGAAGGAGAGGCAGGGTCAACCCGCGGCTGCGTCGGTTGCTCGGAAACAGAAAGGAGGCGATTGTGGTTGCCGTATTGATACCCATTTGAGCCGGTAGGTGCAGATGTGTGTCGCCTGCTAGAGAAGATGCGCTTGAGAGCAGCGCGAATTCCTCCAGGCTTCCTCTGGTCCAGTGACGCCTTGGAAGGTATTGACGACATGGAGCGGGGGAGACTGGATGGCTCAAGAGAATCGCGAGCCCCAGCGTAAGCCCGAAGGTCACTGACATAGCGGGTATGGGCTTCTTGCGTCGGATGATTATTTCGTAGCCACGAGGCGTCGTCGTGTCGATACCCAGAGCTGTGGAACGACTGTATGACGGGTTTGGAATGGGAGAAGGCGTCTCCAGATTCGTCGAAAGGTATTGGATCGGATATCTTCACGTCACCTCTGCGCAAAGCCGCGCTTGTGAGAGCCAGACCTGCCGACCCTCGTGGGCGATGACTCTGAGAGGGCATGTTGACGGGACCAAAGCCAAGGCAAGCAACGCTGTTCAAATCACTGACAGTAGAGCATCAGCACCGAGCCGATGATGCCGCGCAGTTCTGCATCATGTCGCTGCACTTCGTTGGACATGCGCTGGCTCAGACGTGATGCCGGCACCAGCTCATAGAAGCACACCAAAGAGTAACTCAGGTGATAGCAGACTCAGTCGCACAGAGCCTGTCAACAAGACGTCAGTGGCCACACCTTTGATTCGTTCTCGGAGGTGTAGGTGATGGCCGCAATGTCTGCAAGCTCAAACATAAGCAGGGCCCTACAGACAAGTGACACCGAGAGATGGCGCAATAAAACCCCCGCCGGCTTAGAGATAGCAGAGTAGAACCATTCGCTAGGAGATTGTGATGGAGAGCGCAAAAGGCTCTGGCTGCCGATAGAAAGGTATAAGGCAGGCTGGGGAAGAAAGGGCCAAGGAGCGATTTGAAAGGACGGAGGATGTCAGCATGCAAACATGAGGACGTTCAGAGAACATGGAGGGCGGAAACGTGGTCGTCGCTTCGTTCAATTACGGAGTATGGAGTACTCTGTAGGGATACAGCTTGCAGCCGCAGCGCAGGGAGGGAGGGACCTTAGGACCCAGCTGCTCCCAACAAGCGAGCTTGCATGCGTACGTAGTACGTACAGTATCGGCGGCATCCTTGCAGATAGTCAGAAGATCAGAGGGCGTGGTATCCGTACTCTGTAGTCTGACACGTAAGAGGTTAGAGTGACAGCAGGCATGACAGCTGGCAGAGTCCCACCGTTCGTCTGAAAGGGCCGTTCTGGCTGTTCGGTGCAGATGGAGGTGTGGATGGAGGGTTGGAGGGGAATGGAGAGGGAGCCGAAGGTGCGCAGGCCACTGGTAGAGGAGCGAGGGAGCCGGGGGGCCAAGAAGAGAAAGTGTGGGCGTCGAGGGCGTCAAGGCTGGCAGGCTGCGGACCAGTGAGCGTGGCTGGGCTCCTTAGGCCTGCCAAACAGGTTACAAGTCCCAGACAACACCTCTCGCTAATTCCCATTAACTCATTTTACGTGGTAGGGGTTCGGTTCTCCCGGGCTTTCAGCTCGTCGGGTTGCAGGGATGACCGCCTTAGTTGCATGTCAACTAACAACTACTACTGTCTACTATCTACTGAGTAGTATCTGCGGAATCCCATATGGAGGCTCACATCATCTCCTCCCCTCCTAACCAACCGCGTTCTTGCACCCGACCCTCCATCTATCCATCCACATGCCGCTTGTCGGACGGGACAAAGAGATGTCGTCTCTGATCTTGATCCTCACTGGTCAACCGGAAACTTCAGGCCAACTGAAGTCGTGGCACAATCGAGTCCACCGGCGTCCTGGTCGACCCTCCCAATCATCCTAACCGGTCTCTCCGACGTGCCTACACCAGAGAGGCTGGGAGAAAAGAGGGGAATAACCATAACAATGAGAACGAGAAACAAATCGAAGCGGAAAGTGGGTTTGCATCGACAAGTCCTCTACTCCGTCCTGCTCCTTCGACCGGCTTCTCCCATGGCCAATCCCACGGGATTGCCCCTGCGCCATGCATCAATGCAAGTCATCTTTAGCGTGGGAAAGGTCCTTACGGTCTGCCCGTCTCGGGCCAACGAAGCCTGCATCGCTGTTTGAAGCCCTACCTACATTTTTCAGTGCAGCCTGGACAAAGATGAGCCCATACTGATGCAGAGGGGGGGCCCTTTTGTCCAAAGTCAAGGTCTCTGTCTCAATTATTAGGATGCAGCTCCTAGAAATCGAGATCGGTGGTGACGGTGGGTGCTGTTGGGAGTACCCCTTGTCGGTTCCGCACTGGTGCAGCCAACCATCCTACACTACGAGTACCTATTTGCGATTGATCTGTCATGAACACCTTAAGGCTTGAACTTTACTCAGCCACGCTGGCATTTCTTACAAGGCGTCTGGCTTCAATCTACGCGATATCACCCGTGATAGGCCAGCAGTCCAATGGAAAGGGACGAACCCTCGTCTTGGCTATCTGCTCCTTATTCCGCCTCGAGATGGTTCGTCTCTTTCGGCAGAGACACGGCCTAGATCTAGTGACAGCTTTGTTCCAAGTTCCAATCCATGAACACGGCGGCGTACCGCGCCGCTCTGCCGGCTGACCCAGGCTTAGGGATGCATACTGGGACCCTTGTGACGATCAGCTTTCTAGGGGTTGACCCCACTACTTCTCGTCAACTGGATCCTAGCAGACTACTCGCAAACTCATGTCCTGCTTCAAAAGTACAGTTGTGATACGAACCCTATCGCGATGCTACCTTGCATAGATGAGACTCGATCGATTCGAATCCGTACCCAATTGTACGACTCGATGAGGTAGCTTATTTGCGTCGCAATCTCGGCCGGGTGATTCCTTCAACCTCACGTAACGTGGCAATGCAATGGTACCAAGCACCTCGAGGTTACAGGCACCCGGGGATAAAGGACCGTCAATTGATTCGTTGGGGGTTTAGGCCTCCACCTCAGACTGGGCCGTCGTTCCATGAAACAAATTTGGGCATGAAGTCTTTGTGTTTCATGTGTCCTCACAGCCGGCCAATACTGTTTAGTCAACCACAGACTGATATTTCAACCCTGTTCATCTTACAGGGATGGGTGTCGGCTCCATATTTAGGCTCTTCAAAGCAGCCTCATCCTGATCTCAGATCCTGAAGGCCTGGGTATCTCAAATCAGCGTTGTCCTCGAGGAACTTCATCCACCTCTTGAGAAACGGGCTGCCTCTGGACACTGTCTCTGAATCGCCGATCACGCATAGGTGTCGTTTCGGTCGTGTCATTGCAACTGTCGCAATGGTCAGCCTTCGACGAATGGTGAATGGTAAATGGTCAAGCGCCTCGCCCCAACGCGAAATCCAGCGCTTGTGTGTTCCAGGCCACCAAAATACTGGGAAGCTAATGCAAAGCAACCCTAGGACAACTCACCGTTCAATCTCCTTCTCTCACCCAGGAAGCCTACTTCGTGTTCAGCATTACTTCTGACGAGACTGACGACGACAGCTTCCTTTTCCCGCCCCTGGAAGCCATCCACACTACCGAGTTCGATGTTTGCGTACTTTGCCTTCAACAGGGAGCTGAGGATGGCAAGCTGCGCATTATATGGTGTCACGACAGCAATGTCTTCTTCTCTGACACCAGCCTCGATCAGATTCTTCACATGCACTGCAGCGAGAGCCCCTTCCATCTCATTGCTCTTACTGTCGCCAAGCAATAGAGATCTAGTGAGCTGCCCGCCAGTATCGTCTTCGGTCTTTTCAGGGAAATCTCCACCTTGGGTATCAAAGAATACCAGGGGTTCTGTGGTGTCTTCGGTCGCCCGTACTTCATAAGGCAAGTCTGTTAGAAGTCGAGTCTTGACCGCGTCAGCTGCAACAAGTTCGCCACCATAAAGTTCGTCGCTGGGGAATCGCATGATCTTCTCATGCATTCGATATTGCGTGTTCAACAGCCTCTTGATCCCGGAGCCGTACATTGCCAGGAGTCGATCGAACATGGTCGTCTCCAAAGACCAATTCCTCGCTGCTTTGATCTCTTCGTCTTTCACAGCCAATTTTGTCAGTTCTTCTACCAGGGTCTTCATCATGGCTTTCTTGTCTGCCTTGTTCTCTTTATTGTCCGTGCTTTTCACGGTTGGAGGTAATTGCAGATGGTCGCCTGCTAACACCAATTTCCTCACGCTGCCACCGCCGAATGCAAGCGGGATCCAGCACTGAGGTTCCAACGCCTGACTCGCCTCGTCGATGACCAGCACATCGAACTGCTCACTGCGCAACTGATGACTCCCTGCGCCATGGAGCGTCGATAACACGACTTTGCTGCCCTTGACGAGCCCGTCTATGCATCTCGCCTCTCTCTCACGGTATTCCTTCCTCAGCCCCTTGAGGTCGGCATATATTGCGCGACGTTCACGGCCGTTGCGGGTCTTCCGTATGGATGCCTGCTTTTCGTCCATTTCTTTGCGCACATCGCTGACAATTTCCGCAGCTTCGCTAGTGCGGGTTAAGATCTCAAGGGAATGGTTCAAGACACTGGGCAAGAGGCGGGCCGGGTGGCCGAGGCGAACGATGGATGTGCTTGGGGATGTCAACGCTAGACGTTCGACAATATTATCCACGCTGATATTGCTAGGTCCGCAGACCAGCACGCGTTGGTTCTGCCTCACAAGTTGCAGAATCAGTTCGATCAAAGTGTAAGTCTTTCCGGTACCCGGCGGGCCATGAATCAATGCTATCTCCGGTGACGAAAGGGCAAATCGAATGGCATCCTGTTGCGAAGCGTTCAGTGTGGGATCGTAGAACACAATGTCCTTTGCTCTTTCTGGGTCTGGAGCTCTCGGGGGAGATAGGCCCAGAAGAACACGCTGCAAAGTGGTGTACGACGTTTCAGGTGTTTTGAGTAGCTTGGTTAGCGCCTGGTTCATTCTGGAGGTGATCTGTCAGCCGATTACCTACAAAGTCCAGCACATAACCTACCTTTTGTATGTGACATCATTCGCCAGCTTGACTCTGGAATAGTTACAGACGTTGTCAGCCTAGTGAATCAAATCGGCCATAGACGAAATCATGGTCGAACTCACAACCACAGCTTCCCATCAGACAGCGCTTCGACATCATCACCTCCTTCCTTGCCCAAGGCGACCCAGACAGCTCTTTGGCCAACCCTGGTGATAACCCCTTCGACGCCCTTTCCCTTCAACTCGTTGACTTCTTTCTTCTTTGCCGTGCCCTTGGGCATATCCCCGAGCCGGACGATATCGCCGGTCCGGAGCCCATGTTCAGGCAATTCGCCGTTGGAATCCTTGCTGACAACAGCGGAGTCTAGGCCGAGTTCTACCACAGAACGGCCCCCAAGCCCGGTCTTCAGGGACTGGATTGACAAGTTGAGAATCGCTAGCCCAACACGTGCCAAAGTACTGGGTGGCGTGGCCGACAGGATGACAGTGGACTCGCCGACTTCGGAAGCCTGCTCGAGAGACAGCAAAGAAAGTAGCGTGGTGAAGAATGCCGAGGGCGGAAGGGCTTGGTTGGGTGGCGGCATTGTTCTGAACTGTCGGTCTGACCTCTACAGAGGATTGCCGCGCCAACTATGACCTGTACACTGTTGGGTAGGGTCGACTTGGGTGGAAACGCGGCCGTGCTTCCACCTCCACTCTGAGCTGTGAAGACCGGATGACAATTTCTCTATTGGGACATCTATGGCTGAAGAGGCGTCCAACCGAGGGCTATGACCGAGAAGACGGAAAAGAGAGTTCAGGGATTTGGTCACTTGAGCAGTGATACATCACGATGATGATGGATGATGATGCTGGGCTTCTCTGATAGCCTGAAATAGGTCCAAGAAAGTGTTAGGGAGTCGGGAAAATTGTAGATCAGTACGTCGACGAGAAAGCAAAGAAGACCCGTTTCTGTTCTGATGATGTCAACCCTCCGTCGAGTTGTCGGGGGTTAGGAACAGAGTACTAGGTAGTGATGGTCTGGAGTGAGAGTCTTGCGAGCTCAGGAGTGGTGAGAGTCACGAATAGAATCAATCACCAGAATTGGTAGAATCAATGACGAAGGTTTGCACGAGATTACGTAAGGCAGTCTGTCCACCCGTGATCCCGTGACCCTTGACCTCGTGACCCCGCGACCGCCGCGCCTTTCCGGAGTAACTGTTTCTCCGGATCCCGCGGCCCGCACGTGAGCTCCAGGATTTACTCTGCTTCCGAAAGTCAAAAAGCAAAAAATGACACCATTTCCCGTGCCGGCATAAACTTCCTTGTGACGACCTGCTTTCTCAAACATCAGGAGCCTGCTATCTTTCCCTCACAGTCAGGTTGAATCTCGATCTTATTATTGGGGGTGCTGTGTTCAGGTAGGACTCATGACTCAGTTTGCGAGATCAGCCATCTGCCGATTCTGCCGGTAGCGTTAGCGAGGTGATCGGATCTCCTAACGAGATCCTTGATAGCTACGAGGAACTGAGATTCTTTACAACAGCGACACATCATTATGCTGTCAGGCCACGCTGCAAGATGGTCTGTGAGCGATCTCGCCCGTATGATGCCACGTTGAGGTGAGTCCATGTTCCGGTCTTGGCCTCCAAGCTTCTCCTGGCGAAGACCCTGAAGACGTGAGGGACCGAGTGCCCTAAGAAATTCACAACTTTACAACCCAAGTGGGACAATCAGCTATGCCGAGAACATCCAGAACTGCCGCAACGGAGGCCACCGAAATGTCAGTGTCAATGCACGGCACCCGCAAATGGAATGCCTGTGTGCGTGCGGCCGGTACCTGACCCTGGCTCTGGAAGGCCATGGAAGCTGCATTTGATGTCCTCTAATATTAGGGACTCGGGTGGACGCCCTTAACTAACAAGATATCAACTGATGTGCAAGTCCAAGTGTCCAAGCACAAAGCGCGAGGATTCCGATGTCCTTTTTTTGGCAAACCATGCGACCGTGGCTTTATCCGTGATATGCTCCATGGAGATGTCACGAATTGGCTTTCCGTACGACGGATGACGCGGGATCGTCTGCTCACTTGCAAAGGCACTGGAGTTGTCCTGCCGGTCGACGAACTCCCGCTGTTACAGCGGAGGGACCCCGTCGACCCCGTCCAGGCTCACCGTGCGGTGGTGAGCACCAGTACGTTTGATGGGCCGCTATGATGTGCACTACTAAACAGATGGCAGTTCTGACTATGAGTGGTCCGACATGATCAGGGTCCTCGTCCTCGTACTTGAGAAACATTTGCCGACATGGGGCCTCGGCTATCGACCAATGTGAACAGTGGCGAAAACCACATCTTTCAATAATGCCATGTCCTTTGCCAATATCGATGCAGAGAGGATAGACAGTCCAGACCGCGGATGCCACTTTGCCCATGCAATCTGGGCTTAGGCCCTCAGGCTTTCGTCATATGGAAGATCTATCGCTTCTCGAAGACTTCGGAAGACTCGGTTCTGGTTGACAGGCGAGCGTATGGCAGGCCTGGTACCTGTGCTATCAGACCATGAGTTCAAGCACGGAGGACACAAGATGCCCTGTGCGTTGGCGGGCTTTCTATGTTCGCGAACCCTTACAGACCCTTATAGGCCCTTCGGAAAACTCCACCGTGGCCGTTGAGGTGGCTCGTGCCACAATAGCTCATTCACCATTGAACGACCCCATTGATAGTGAGTTCACCGAAGAATACTACTGTCTGACCATGAGTTGGTGAGGTTCGTAATCCACCATACGAATGGCAGTACCACGCTCTGACGGTGGATGTCGCCATGCGGATGCGTGGAACTCCCCCCGTTCCAGCAGATATGGTCTTCGTCAGACGGCTCTCTTCCCTTCCCTCCCACCACCGAGTTTCCTGATGGGACCATGCAATGCTTCCGGTCAGACCCAGCTTACGAAGGATGCCAATCTAGCTTTGCCTTCTGCGAGCAGTACTCTAGATGCTCGGCTTACGTCTTAAAGGGAGCCAAGGCCTCTCCACCCATCTCCTGATCTGGACGTCCATTTCTCTTTCTATTGCGCATCGAGTGCTCCAGATCATCGACCTCTGTCACCATTGCCTTTTGCGGTATGATCTTTGGAAGGGTCTTCTTGGACGAGTACTGTCTCATGGGGCTCGTAGTTGTGGAGCTTCGAGCCCTCTTTGCACCACTCAGCAGTTGATAGCTCTTGCTGATTGGAGTTGAAGCACCACTTGTCTGCTGTCCAACGCTGTCCGAATGGGAGGGCCACTCCCCGCAGCAACAGTTCTGAGGGCTTCTAGACAATGATGGACCTCGATAATCCAGATATTAGCGCCGAAGCAGAAAAAAGAGAACCGATCAACTCGACAATATTGGTGGTCTCGGCCATCGACTTCAGCAGTCTCAACTCAGTCCAGAGTATGAGGGTCGAGGTATATAATGCTGCTCATGATTGCGAGAATTGTGTTGGATCCTTCATCATCTCAACACCTTTCCATCGATTGACAAGTCCATCTGTGTCATCAGCCCATCTTTGTACTTCAATCTTCCTCACATATCACCCCTTTCACCCTGAAGTGACAACATGCCTTCCACTACCCCAGAGTATGTCTGTATTGTCGGGGTTGGGTATGTCGGCGAATCCCTCCTCAGAGAATTCAGTCAGGTTCATCCCACCATTGGCTTCGACGTATCGGAGAAGCGCATCAAGGATCTCCGAAGCCAGTATGGTGAACAAAAGGACCTTGTCCTTACCACCAACGAGGCGGACTTGAGCTTGGCCACCCATTACCTCATTTCTGTCCCTACCCTGCTCAAACCAGACCACTCTGTCGACTTCTCCCACCTGAAGTCTGCTCTGTCGACTGTCTTCCGCTATGCACGCCCGGGCAACACCATCGTCATCGAGAGCAGTGTTGCCGTCGGCACCACTCGCCAGCTGTTTGGGTCAACTCAGAATCTCTTCCATTGCGGCATGTCTCCGGAACGTGTCGATCCTGGACGCACGATCCCCGCCGCGCACGACATTCCCAAGATCATCTCAGGGCTTACCCCGGAGTCGTTGAATGTCATTGAGAAGCTCTACTCGACCGTCTTCAACCATGTCGTACCTGTGTCAACTCCCGAGGTTGCTGAGATGACCAAGCTCTTCGAGAACTGCTATCGAATGATCAACATTGCCTACGTCAACGAAATCAGTGACGCATGCCGAACTTTGGGCTTGAACCCCAACGAGGTGATCGACGCCGCCTCCACGAAGCCCTATGGCTTCCAGACTTTCCGCCCAGGCTTGGGTGTCGGTGGTCATTGCATTCCCGTCAACCCCTCATACCTCTTGTCGACATGCCCCAATCTGCCCGTCTTGGACCACTCAACCAACCTCATGAGAGAGCGACCGCGCAAGCTGGCTCGAGAGCTTCATGGCCATGTTGCCTCATCCACCCTCGCGTCGACACATCTGCAACCCCGAGTGCTTGTCGTCGGTGTCGGCTTCAAGCCTGGTCAGTCTGTACTTTCCAACTCGCCCGCCCTCACCTTCGCCAGTGAGCTCCAGAGCCTGGGCTGTGATAGGCTTGCATACTATGATCCTTTGGTTGCTCAAGCTGCCATCCCCTGGATAGAGAAGCTGGAGGACGAGGCTTTTAATGCTAGCGACTTGGCTGCCAACTTTGATGTGGTGGCTATCTGCTGCAGACAACACGGTGTCGACTTTGGAGAGCTCGACTGCCTCCCAGCGGAGGCAGTGTGGTCATATGATTGATCGACTCGACTGGTGAACCAGATGATACCATTTGAATTTTGGCACGAGGAGTTCGGACGGTCGGGTCATGGTCATGGCATGGGTGCCCTTGAGGCGGAGAACTGGCAAAACGGAGTAGACAAGTCACCTCAAAAGGTTAGATTTCTACGTATAAGTAATGAAAGAATAATCATCTACTATCTACAACAATCTCTGGCTGTTTTTTGTGTTTTGTTTCTTGTTTCCCCATTTGCGCGCGGTTGCCCTGCCAAAACAACACTGACTGTAGCTTGAATTTGGGTGGGTGTCAAGTGGCGGGAATGACCTCGTCTGACCGCGAGAGTGGCCCTAGGGCCTGCGCGGATGCCTATTTTCTGCGGTGTCAACACCAGAAAGAGGCCGTCAGACGTGCCAGCTCCAATTCTAATCCGACCTCAACTCAACCCAATCCAGCCCACCAGCACCAGTTGCTCCTCTCCGCCGACTTCATGCTGAGTTGCGAGGTTGTTGTCCTTCACGACGAAGGTCGACGACGGGATAGAGTTCAGCCACAGCGGGAAAGGCGCTGCACATTTTCGGATTACGAGCCTGTGCGTGCTGCACAATTGGCCAGGCTCTCCTGGCACCGAATTTGGACCACGCCGTTACGACAGCGTGGCGTCGTTCGACAGTCCCTAGGCCGGACGCTTGACGGCGAATCTCCACCGACAAGGAGCCTAAGGAGCCTCCAGTGATTTGAGCGGCCGTTGACGGGCGGAGCGCGCAGAGCACAGATCACACACCAGGCTGAGCGCCAGCAATAGTTCTACTAGCGCCGGCGCTCATCTCCCATCCCAGCGTGCTCTTCACCGACGCAGGGAAAGGTGCATTCAGCAACCATGGTTTGTGAGTCGCCAGCTCGGCCAGTGTGACTCGATATGCACATCGTGATCGAACCGAGGTCATCTGGAATCACGGTCTTTGGTCTGTGCCCCTGGCCAGACGTCAACGCAACTAGTCCGAGGTTCTAGGCATTGCAAGTGCAAGTCTAGGATGGGAAACTGGTTTCGCCTTGGTGATGCCATCGCAATCGCCATCGCCATCAATGCTGTTCTACAGGAACAGTGCTCCTAGGCAAACTACAACCAGTAGTCTACGATCATTCCTGGGGATCGTTCGATCAATGGTCAGAAGGATATAGTGTTTTCACCGGGCTACTGTGGTCTAGGCCTCGTCTGGTTGATCCCCTTCTATGATGCCCGGATACGGTCGACACCATCACAGGTAAAATGAGACCAGCGAGCGAAACTCAATGGTCTACGATCATTGCCCTGCATCTTTCGATCAACAATGGTCAGAAGCACATGCTGTTTTCACCAGATCACGCTGGTCTTTCACCAGGCTACTGTGGTCTAGGCCTCGTCTCGTCTATCCCCTTCTGTGATGCCCGGATACGGTCGACACCATCAAAGGTGAAATGAGACCAGCGAGCGAAACTCAATGGTCTACAATCATTGTCCTGAATCTTTCGATCAACAATGGTCAGAAGCACATGGTGTTTTCACCAGACCACGCTGATCTAAGGCCCGTCTCGTCCGTCCCCTGCCATGATGCTCGGACATGGTTGACGCCACCAAAGGTAAAACGAGGTAAGAGAGCGACCGTTATCAGCAGTGATCAACCCCTGGCGCGAAGGCAGTGATAAGGTAAGTGGCACTTGCGACATGGCAAGGTCGAGGTTCACATCAGTCAAGGCCGTGTGAAAATCTTGTAATCGGTGGCGTTCCATCCTGCAGCGAAACTAGCTGGCATCAGACTTATATGGCAGATATCTGCCGACAAGAAGGCTTGTGACTAGAACTCGGACTACTACAGCGCGATATATACGATGGCTTGGAGAGGTCTAATCAACAGATTTCTCAAGAAGCGCGAGGCGCCTCTGTTGCCTATAGCAGAAGTGACTACACAATCGACTAGTGACAGCCAGACGACCCCCGATGCAGAGAGTATTCACGACGAGAAATCCTTGGGGCCGCATTCCGCATGGGCTGGGTTTCCAACCATTGCTGAGCACATTTATAAACAAACACAAGTGACAGTGACGCCTCTTGGGACAAGCAATCATCAGAAACCTGTTGCTGCCGGCACAGACCACGTTGATACCGCCGTCGACGAGAAAGAAAACCCGTTTGGCGACCAGTATGCCATCTCCCAGACAAGCACTGCTCAAGTATCACAGCAGCAATGGGAGACTTCAAGTCAGTCGCCCTTGCTTCAACCTACAGCGCAATTGAAGAACTTCTCCTGGCCATCTTACGGTCTACCTGAGAACCAAATCACTTGGGTGGCTGACCCAAACACCTTCCCGCTCGATGCCCAGCCACCCCAGGGGGTGGGCAACACGCAAGGGCGGCCGCGGTTGGACAAAACCTTTTCCAGTTCAGCCCTCTCGACCCTTAGCACCCAGCACAGCTATCCCATGATCGTAGATCCTGTGGATCCTGCTAGGAAACTATCCCCCAGAAACCTCTTCACGCAGAGAATCTTGTTCTTGGGAACAGTCATTACTCTGAACGTTGGCTGTCTTATGGCGGCGCTGTTCAGCCGTAATGGAATGTGGGTATTTGTCTTCATTCTGGTGATCAAGAGCAAAGACGTTCTCTCTGCCGTGATCTCGCCAATTGGAATGCTGGTGAGGCGGCTGCATCACACCTTCATCCCCCCTAGAGAAGTTCCCTCCAAATGGATCCTGTCATTGATCCCGGCATACTCGGAAAGCGAAGAGCAGATTGTCAAGTGCATCTTTTCGCTGCGCGACAACGGCGTGCAACCCCATCGACAAGTCATGTGTGTCGTGCTGGATGGCAAAGAACGGGACGTCAAGTCACACTACACCAAACTGCTGGCGACCATTCAGAGGCCGTACATTTCATTCAAACACCGACTGGGCGAGCTTACTATCCATGCTGGTTTCATGGAGGACGTGCCTGTGATTGTCATTGAGAAGAAGAAGAATGCCGGCAAGAAAGATTCGCTCATTCTTGCCCACGACCTGTTCAATTACCCCCGCGAAAACGTACCACTATATACGCAGCTCCTCCGAGAAGAGCTCTGGCAGCACGTGCTACCCGACTTGACGGCCGGGCACTTGTTCAACGGGTTCGACATGGTCTTTTGCACCGACGCCGACTCTGTCATCCACCAAGGAGCGTTGGCGTCGTTGTGTAATGCTCTGGCGCGAGATGACAACTCCATTGCTGCCTGTGGCCTCGTGCTCGTCGAGCTGGAACCGGGCCTTGAGTGGTCCGCGTGGAACATGTATCAGCAGTTTCAGGTAAGCGATCCGTCACCCTGCTCGTGCCCACTCCCCTCGATATCATGTCCTTGGGCTTACCTTCCACAGTACTGCTTCGGCCAGTACGTGCGTCGACGAGCCGAACATTTCTGGGGTAAAGTGACCTGCCTGCCCGGCTGCATCACCATGATCAAATGCCGGCCCGAATGCGCGGGCGCGATTGCAAAGTACGCCGAAGCCGTAACGGTGATGCCGGTGCTGCACCACCAAGTGCAATACCTAGGAACGGATCGACGCCTGACGTACTCTCTCCTGTCGCAAGGCATCAAGCTCAAGACGCTCTTTGTCCCTGAAGCCGTCAGTGAGACAGTGGCGCCCCAGTCACTCCAGCACTATCTGAGCCAGCGCCGGCGGTGGGGGTCCAACGCCTACTTCAACAACTACTTCTACATTACCGGCGAGAACATGTCGCCCATCACGCGCGTCGCCGCGTTCATCGAGATCCTCCGCTTGAGCATGGTCTACTATCGCTTCTGCAACACCGTCCTACTTATCCGCCAGATCATTGAACAGTTGGTCCACCATGACTTCGATGCCGTCAAGCTCGTCCCCATGCTGGTCGTCAGCCAATTGCCGCTGATGTGGTTCTGCGCTTCAGTCGCTCTGGAGAAGCCGCTCCGCCGTCGCGCCCACAAGCTGCTGATGGGCTTCTGCATCAACAAGTGTGTGGCGCCCTTCGTTTCCATGACTGTGTTTTGGAAAGTCTGTCGCAATGTCGGCTCGCAAGGTATGTCCTAAGCCTTAGGAAACACTGTTGTTCACGTTGACTCGTCGACTTGTTCCTGGTGCCCACTGCCCGTTGCCAAACTAACAACTCTCTTTCGACAGTATGGGGCATATCTGGCGTCACAGCAGCCGCCGGTACCAATCCAGCATCGGCATCAGCCACAGCTACAGCTACAGCCACGGTCACAGCAGTCACGGCGGACGGCGACCCAGCCGTCCCAGCCGTGCCAGTCGTCCCAGCCGCGCCACTTGTGCCGCTCGTAGCCATCGTACCAGCCATACCGGGCGCACCGGCCCTTGCCGCCATTGCCGTTCCGCCAGCAGCGGTGATGGCCCGGGACAAATGATTTGGCCCCGACCAGACCAGACCAGACCAGACCATGCATTCACTGCGTGGATTCAACTTGATATGAACTGCACTGCGTGGATTCAACATAGTAAGAACTGCACTGCGTGCGTCAAGCTTTATATGAAGAGATGATCTGCTTTTATTTGAATGATTGGCCTTTTGGACATGCGCTCGGGCTCGGGCCTGGGGTGGATTGATTGATTGATTGCCATGAAGTATACGCATACGATACTATACCATACCCAAACCACTGAAATCAATGCGGTTGAGCTTCTGGCTCAGGAATAGAATAGACTAGACTAGAAGAGAATAGAATAAGACCTGGCCAGGCTAAACCGAACCAAACCGAACCAAACCGCTCAACCATGTAGACCAGACCAGACTAGACCCAGACCAATACAAGCGAAAGCGAAAGCGATTGAAAGAAAAGTTATTGAGTATTATTGACCCGAGTTTTTAGTACTCCGTATATTGGTGTCATTTATTCCTCATCCTCATGACAAAACCAACCGCCCACCCCGCCCATCACTCTCCCAACTTCCCACCGGAGCCAGGGGTCCTTTCACTGATGAAGCCAGCCTTGCCCTCGCCGGCCCACCTCTTCTCGACGGTCCAGAAGCGAACCAGACTCTCGGCGCCGATCTTGTCGTGTTCACGGTACAGGTTGGCGACGTCGACGTTCAACGGACTGTCCAGGCCCGGCATGCTCAACAGCTGCTGGATGGCGGCCATGGTCGTGCTCAGCGTGTAGGTCGGGGCCCAATGCTCGCCGCTCAGCAGGGTCAAGCAGATCTCGCCCGTTTGGAAGTGCACGTTGGGATGACAGATGGGCGTGACGAAGTGCACTTTCGGCGGCGCCAGCGGGTAGTTCGGCGGGATCGTGATGTCCAGAAGCCACAGCCCGTTGTGGTACGGGTTGGTGTGGTCGCGCGGACCTTTGAGCACCGCTTCCCACTGGAACAGGTCCTCTTCGCTCACCGGGCCCAGATGCAACACCGCCTCGCACGGCGAGCTGTGTAGGTCTTGCAGTTCACGCGTCAGCCGCTTCAGCGCGTTCACTGCCGAGCTGCCTTTGCTTTTGCCTCTGCTGCTGCTGTTGCCTTGGGAAGTCGACCCGCTGCGCGAGGCCATGGCTCGTCGATGGGATTTGTGGTTGGGTTGGCTTTTGGCTTTTTGGCTCGGACCGACTGCCAGCGGTGGAGGTACAGGTCGGGGGCGGGGGCAACAATGCTAGATGGGCGTACTTGAGAGCGACAGCGGTATTGGACTAGGAGGAGGTGCGAGGCGGCCTGTATGTCCTGTGCAGTCTAGGGCGGCGGTCTCTGTCGTGCGGGTGAGGAGGTGGCACTGTACGGGATGCTGCAGGACGAGACGCCGGATCAATGTGTGGTTTGGTATCGGTATCTGCTGAGTACTGGACGTAGGTGACAGGGACGGGACTCTTGTGTTGTAAGTACGGAGGAGAGTAGAGTAGTACGTACTGAGTAAGTAAGTGGATGGTGGTTGTCAAGGTCCCCGTGACAAGCTGCAGCTCAGCCTGACGCAGCCGAGGCTGCCACGCCACTTTAACGGTTGATGGTTGATCTGCGCGGCGCGTGGAGTTTCAAGTTTGGACGCGCCAGGGTTCGCGCCAGGGCCACAGAGACTGGACACTAACATCTACGTAGTAGGTGCGTGGTACTTGGTACTCCATCCTCGATCGTCAGACCGGGGCGAGCACCCACCGAGAGTCTATACGATCCGACTTCTATACATTATACAGAGTACATGATCTAGACCTGCGCTTGACACGCGTACCCTGCGACTGCGACAGTCCTGACCTGACCTGACCTGACCTGACCTGAACGCACAAAGGGTTCCTATCTGATAAGGGTCCCTACCATCCCCCAAGATGCGAACCTCCCGAATCTCCCAGGAGACGACAAGAATTTTCAATGCCCTATCTCCCAACGCACGCCCGGGACGGACAACCAGGAGCGCGAAGCGCATCGCGTCTTTCGCTCTGGGACACAACGGAGAAGTCGAGGTGCACGAGAAGGAAGAGACGGACGACAATGACGATGACGATGACAGTGACCATGTCGCACACTCCTCGGCCTCTCAGACCCCGGACATTGAAGACGCCCTGGGCCCGCCCGCGCGCTCTCGCTCGAGTAGAAAGAGAAAGTTTGGTGCAGGGCCAGTCACGACTAAGATCAAGAAAGAAAAATCTCATGACAAGGACGGGACAACATCCGCTGGCACCACCGTCACAACTAAAAGCGAGGAGCAGGAGACGGCAACGGCAACAGTGAGATGGGACTCGTCGCGGAGGGTCAAGAACGAAGAAGACGAGAACGACGACGACGACGACGACGACGATGATTATGATGACAACGAGGAGGAGGAAGACGTTGCGTTGCCAGACCATTCGAGGTCTCGGGCAAGGGCGAAAGTGCCATCGAAGGCCAGAACCAGAGCCAGAGCGAAGCCCAAAGTTCCGGCGCGCAAAACTACCTCGCCGTCTGGGACGATTCGGATCCAACCTCCGTCGAACTGGTCGGAGATGTATGACACGATCAAGGCCATGAGGCAGCGCAATCCCACGGCGCCGGTCGATACGATGGGCTGCGAAGACCTGTTCTGGCCTGCAGCCCCGCCGCGCGAGAAGCGGTACCACACGCTGACGGCGCTGATGTTGTCGTCGCAGACCAAAGATACGGTCACGGCGGCCGCCATGTATCGACTGCACACGGAACTCGCGCCCACCGCGGACGAGGAAGGCAACGTCGCACAGTCGAAAGCGAACGGGGAATCTCAAGTCCAGCAGTCGACGCTGACCGTGGACAACATAATCGCGTGCGACCCGAAACACCTGGACAGTTTGATCGGCAAGGTCGGGTTCCACAACAACAAGACGAAGTACATCAAGCAGGTCGCGACCATCCTGAAGGCGCAGTACAACTCCGACATCCCCGGCACGGTGGAAGGGCTGGTCAGCCTACCTGGCGTGGGGCCGAAGATGGCGTACCTGTGTATGTCTGCGGCGTGGGGCCGGGATGAAGGGATCGGTGTCGACGTGCATGTGCATCGTATCACGAATCTCTGGGGCTGGCATAAGACCAAGACGCCCGAGGAAACCAGAGCGTGCCTCCAAAGCTGGCTGCCTCGTGACAAATGGCACGAGATCAACAAGATGCTGGTCGGCTTGGGCCAGACCGTGTGCTTGCCTGTAGGGAGGAGGTGCGGAGAATGCGACCTCGCCGGCACCGGGCTGTGTAAAGCCGAGATCAGGGGTTGGAAAGCCACGCAGAAGAAGGTCAAGAGGGAAAAGGTCGAAGTGCAGATCGACCAAGGCGCCGTGGAAAACTTCAAGGAAGAAGGGGAAGTGCAGACCGGTCAAGCGGTCGTGAAAACAGAACAAGAGGAAGTGGTGACGACGAAGATTAAGGAAGAAGTGGTTGAGCCGTGAAAGCTTCACTTCTCGGATTCCATTCCGTATGGCTTCTATTCTGCCACTAAGGCCTGGTGTCCTCAGACTAAGCACGACAATTCCAACTCTACTTCACAGAATCGTGCTGCAAGATAGGATCTCCTAAAGGTAGGTTGTTTTGGAAGGCCAAGGCGCGACGCTGGCTTGACCTCGGTAGAGCTGGTCCCGTCGTGAGCAAACCACCTTCTCAGAGTCACCGCGGCCGCGACGGTTTTCCTTTTCCAGCCTGGTGGGTAGAGAACATGCAAACTGAGTCCTTAGACGTGATATGCTGGTGGTGGACCGGAAACAGACGCGTTCTCGCCTATGACATGTGCAGGTTCGGGCGGTTTGATATCCGTATCCTTGTCTGGAAGGTCCAGAGAGTGGCTGCCCGGAGAGCGACTTGACTGCGAAAGTGGTTGTGGTGGTTGTGGCTGTAGTTGTGGTAGTGGTGGTCGTAGTAGTCGTGGCAGCAGTGGTGGTAGTGGTTGTCGTAGTAGTCGTGGCAGCAGTGGTGGTGGCGGTGGTTGTAGCTGTGGCTGTGGCTGTAGCTGTGGCTGTAGCTGTGGTTGTAGCTGTAATTGTAGTTGTGGTGGTGGTGGTGGTGGTGGTGGTGCTGGTTGTCGTCTTCTCTGTGCACGCCACAGCGCGCCACAGTACTCGACCTGGATGAAGACGAAACAACCCATAATGAAGGCGACCAGGAGAATGAAGCATATGCTTCCTATCAAGTGGTAGGTATGTTGCTCGGTCGCATCAGCGGCTCTTTTCTCATATGGCAGAATCATTGCGGATGGAATTTGGACTGCGAGATGAAAGTCTGAGAAGGGAGCGCGTGAAACTTGGTTTGTGCCAGAAGTTGCAGGTATTTATCCACAGACAACACAGTCTGTTCACTTTGCAGTAGTGAATGGCCGTCCTAGCCGCGTGCTACCTGCGACAAGCCAAGTCCAAGTCCGCAGCTTTCACTGCGGCCAGAAGCCTGCATGGGGCGCTGGGGGCAGAGTAGTCGTGTGTGCCCATCCACCAGAGAGCCGCAGTGAATGTGCAATGTTCTTATATCACCATCAACATGAACAGATAGCCAGTTCTGAACTGCCCAGGGCGGGCCATGGTCTGGTATCAAGCAGTCAGCTCAGCTGGCTCGACCAACAGAACCACATAGGACCACATAGGACCACATCGCCCAGACATGACCGGTGAGTCGAATGTCGAATGTCAAATATCAAATAGCGCTTCCCCGGCGGGGCCGACCCCAGATCCATTGTTTGGATTCTGGAGTGGGCGGAGGGCAGACGGAGAAAGTAAAGATTTGTGTCTAGAGAGCAACGTCGGCCGACCTCGATGGCCTCGGTGGCCTCCGAGTCACCTCACAGCTCCGAGTCGCAGGCATAGGGGACATGTAACTCCTGTCCTCCTAACGAAGAGAGTAAAGAAATGCCGTTCAGTTTGTCGTCGTCGAGGTCGATGTCGTTGAACATCACATGATCTCACATTCTAGCGATAATATGCACTAGTCCTAGTTTGTATTGGTATCCAGCCACTAGTACTGAGCTAGACAGATGCGGAATAGCTTGGTATGTGGTTATGTGCAGTTTGCAGGAAATCAGAAAACGCACTTAGAACCACAGCCTTTCCTCCATTTCCTCCTGATACCAGGCTTAAGCCTCATCACCTGAACCTGTGCCAGACTGACGCCTAAGTCTAAGTCGCCCAAGTCCGTGCCGCTACAGGTCTACTCTATCCCGACGTGGTTGACCCAACTCGCGACTCGGTTCTGGCTTGCCCATCGACTTATTCAGGTCGCCCCCCTTCCCCTTCCCCTTTCCCTTCCCGTTCTGTGCACTTCACTTCCAACCATCTTCCTTGGCCCTTCTCCTGGATCATGCCGTGCGTTATACAATAAACATTGGACCGGTCAACGTGACTCAGGTCTCAGGGCCGAAAGCTCTGCCGAGGCCAGACTTTTGTTCCCTGGGATCGACTCGCTTTCCTCACCAAGCTTGGTGACATGGGTGACGGTGACAACGCCACTCTCCAATCTTTCTTGTCTTTTGGGCCTGGGGGTCATTCGTCAGCTGGATGTATCCTCGGGCACCAGACTCCGGGCTCCAGGGTCAACAGGACACCTACCTTTCACGTATATCCTGCAACTTCAGAACGAAGGCCGCGATGATAGCGAGACCGCAAAACATGATCAAGATTTGATAGCCATATTTGTAATGTGGAGCGTCATAAGTTGGGAAGAGGACCACTGATTTGAATCAGCAATCAATGACATGCAGCTGATACTTGCACCTCTCTGCGACTTACGAGGAAGAAACATTGAGAAAGTGTAGGTGAAGATGTTCCCAGTGGCAACCAGCAGCTGCCTCAGGTTGGCGTCATGGCCGTTGAGCTCATAGCCCCATGCCTAGGAGTATGTTAGCCTAGTCCTCTCCAAAGCTCTGCGACAATGTGGCTCACGATAATGACGGGCTGAACGCCGCCGCTGATGAAGGATATATAAAAGGCGAACAGCAATGCACTCTTTGGGATATGCCACACGGAGAGCAATATATTGGAGAGCATCAGCAACAACTCGACCACGATGACCACGATGAGCCGGTGTCCCGTCCGGTCCACGAAAATGCCGATCATGAATGCAGTCACAACGTTGAGAGCATTTCCCGCCGTCGGAAGAACGTTTGTCTGGTAGACGGAGTAGCCTTCAGCTTTGAGCCACAAGTTGAAGTAATTCGACCCATTGCCGCCCAATCCGACGAACCTGCGGCCGGATCAGATCTATACCCATAGCCATCCGGAGTCAGAATGCAGGTGGTCCAGGGGGCTTACAGGTATGGAGCAATAAACACCCAGAGACGCCAGTTGAGATAGACGCTCTTGATGATCTTGAACGTCAGCCGACGCGGCGCACCTCTTCCAATCTTCTCAATGCGCTTTACACCATACTCCTTATCCTATCACGAAAGACTTAGTGGCAGTTATCAGAGGCCCATGCCGGCAGGCTGACATACATCTTTGGTCCAGTAAAACGCTCTCGTCGTGTGGGGCAGGTCTGGAATGGCAAAAAAGCCCCAGATGGCAATGGGAATGGAAATGATTCCATCCATAATGAACAACCATCTCCATCTGCCACACAGGTCAGCTGGAGATTCCTGACTTACTACAAGAGCCATGCACAGTGCACTTCTGGCTACTTCGACTCACCCGGCCAGACCGTGCTTTCCATTCATGCTTTTGTACAGTGCAGCCTGGAGGTATCCACTGAACATGCTGGCAATGGCTGTGGTTTGCTCGAAGATGGCGACTCGCTTGGTCAATTCGCCGGGTCCATACCATCCGCCCAGCAAAGCAGAATAGCCAGGGAACGAACAGGATTCGAGAAGACCGACAAAGAAGCGTAAGGCATAAAGCTAGCAACTGACGTTAGTGATGGAGGATGCCACCGCCTCAACAAGAATGGATGGGAATACTCACAGTTTTGGTGTTTTTGGCCGCCGCCATGGCCATTACCAAGGCTGACCATGCGATCTCACAAGCAGGTATCCAGATCGACGGCCGGACGTACTGGAGCTGGATCATCTGGGCCGGCACAGTACCAACGATGATGCCGAGGTTGAAGTAGGTCACCAGCCAGTTGCGTTCGTTGCCATTCATATCAAGCTGTTTTGCCGCATTTCTCGAGGTCAGTAAGACTGCACAGGACCAAAAGCAGGGATACGTCGAGAGCCTAAGGTACTCACGTCTTCTTTCATGCCACTGACAAAGGCATTGCCTAATTGACCATAAACATATGCTCTGGCCCACCCTCGGTCCTAACCATGCTTACTATAGTTGTTCTGGTCGAGGACCTTGATGAAGTATCCGAGACAGATATAGGAGCTGCATGGAAGAATCAGTCTTCGCTGCCGTTCAGCCACGACAAAAGGCCGAGAATCCTTACAAGAGGAAGGTGTCCAGCTTCTGCACATATCTTCTGTTTCTTTCATCGCCCTCCACAGAATCCCATACCAGGCCCACTGCCCGACGCCACCACGAGGTGGACTTCTTGGACTCTGCTGAGGTCAATTCTAGCGGGCTGTCGGCTCTCTCGCTGTCAGCCATTGTGCCACTCGTGCCCGTCCAACTTGCAGAAGGTTGGTCTGATCTCGATGCCCATCTCAAATGGCCGGGTTTGAATCTGTTGTTAATACACTCATGCCAAGGTGTCGGGCCTCCGACCAGGGTCGTGACTCTATCTCAAGTCTAGATCCTCGCCATTATGGAATATCGTGTCGACATCCCTGCCTTACTCGACTGGCCATACAAACCCATATCTATGGCGCGATTTGGGACTAGCATTCAGTCAGCAAACCAATCCCACTGACTGGCGAATGGTCGTCTCGGAACCTTGCATTAGTGAGCTTGGAATTCTTCTAACGACATGGAAGCGCGGGGAGTCCTCCGATGGAGTGGGATATCAAGAGAAAGATAAATTGCGACAGATCGGTCGTAACTACAACCATGCTACAAAGGGCCCGGCACTGAAAAGACACAAGTCATGGCCACTGAGACTGTCACCAGTGCGGCAACCGCTATAGATCGGCTTGAGCTTGCGGCAGAGACATCTGTGGACTATGAACATCAACAGGCGAGTCTTTTCAACATGGAGGGCGTCGGGGTTGCTGATATAAGTTATAGTACAAATATGCTGCCTACCTGCCGCACTTCACTCCAGGTCTTCAGCAGCCACCATTAGAGGAGTTTGAGCACACTGACGTGGGCCTCCGTGCTGATCCGGAGAAAAAGGCACTTTTGAAGTCACCCGGAGCCGATTTCAAGGAACTGACCCCGGCCATCGGTACCGAGGTGCGTGGTCTGCAACTCAGCGCCCTTACAGCCGAGCAGAAGGACGAGCTGGCGCTCCTGGCTGCGGAGCGAGGCATTGTTGTCTTTCGCGACCAAGATTTTAAGGACATTGGCCCAGATCGTCAACGCGAGTTTGGCGCCTATTTTGGCAGGCTCCATGTCCATCAGATGGGTGGGCAAATCAAGGGCTATCCCGAATTACTGCCTGTCTACCGGGATTTTGTGTAAGGGGACTGTTTTCCACGCTCTCGCTCTGAGCGTGATCTTCTGACAACTGATTGCTATAGAGCCGGCGCAGTTGACAATGAGATCGCAAACAACGTCAGCAGCATCAAATGGCACAGTGATATGTCTTACGAGATGTGAGCCTCCACCTGTGGGGAGAAAAGAGTCTCTCTGTGCTGACTCGGCAATCCAACCACAGCAACGGGATAGGAACCACGATTTTTCTTCCCCTCGACACTCCTGAATCCGGGGGCGACACACTGTACTTGTCCACCACCGCCGCGTACAATGCACTCTCGCCCAGCTTCCGCGAGTTCTTGCACGGAAAGTACGCCAGCCACTCGGGCTTTTCACAGGCAGCTGTGCACACAAAGCGAGAGCGGTACATTCGGGAGCCGATCGAGACTCTTCACCCCATTGTTCGGACGCATCCTGTAAGGTTCCAAAGTACTGCTCAGTCGCGACCATGACTAAAGGAAAGTAGGTCACCAAAACAAACTCACTCTATGTCAACAGGCTGTACACTCGTAAGATCGCGGGTCTGAAGGAGGAAGAGAGCGGTAAGCCAGCTGCAGGATCGTGTTCCACCCAGACAAGGTCGCTGATGTCGTCACTAGCCACCATCTTGAACTTTCTATACAACCACATCGAACATGGTCAAGACTGGCATATCAGGATCCACTGGGAGCCAGGCACGGTTGCAGTCTACGACAACCGGGTCACCCAACAGTGAGGAATACCAATCCGTGTCGAACAGATTTCAGATGGCTGACTTTCACCCTTTTCCCCTCTACTTCTAGCTCTGCTCTGCGGGACTTTGTCGTGAAAGAAGGTGTAACTCGACGACACATGCTTCGCGTCACTCCCCAAGCCGAGAGGCCGTACTTCGACCCAAGCAGCGTGGATAAGAAGCAGGAAAAAGACCAAGAAGTGGCGGCGAAGACCAAGTAAGAAGATAGGACACAGAACACAGGATCTGCCGGACGCACCATCGCTGGGGGAGGCCGGAACCGCTGACACCGCTCGTGATGATCTTGCATATTACTCTGTACAGACCAATAGATCCAGGCGGGCCGTCGTTCAGATCCACCCTTGTTAAGGCCTCCTTCATGCTGGCCTCCTCTTCGGAGATGGTCAGATACCGTGTGGTGTTAGCCACTACTTGGTAGACCTGATTACAAGAAGCAGTGATGTTGTGTTAATTCGAGCAACTGATGGCGTGACGTTAGGTGATCAGGGCGGCGTCGACCGGCGTCCCGAACGGGGAGGACTACTATTACGGAGTACTGGCACTTCGTAGTGCTGATTACCTCATACTAGTGTGGAGTAGGTGGTAGGGAGTAGCTGGTGGCAGAAGTAACGGTGCACCGGACAGCATGCGAGAGTACTCCCGTACTCCGTACACATCCATCGTGTAGTTGTAGTTGTGCTGTAAGCAGCTCTACAGACCTAGACACAGGTACCCGGCTGCAGACATTAAAATACGGGTCGATAATCGATTGATTTGCTTGACATATTGTACTCGATCTGCTAGCCAGGAAATTGGCGCAGGCGAGTCCCTTGAGCACTTCTTCAGCATTGAAGCCGGCGTTTCCTTTGATCTATTGCGACAGCCTTGGACCTGCACGAATTGAATCCGAGACCGACACCGACTCAAGTAGTAGTATCTCACTCGACGGATACCTCCTCCCACCAACTCGTCCCGTCCTCATCTCTACCGCCTACCGCCCACCATCATGGCAGCTACCAAGCGCATCGAGAAATGGGAGATTGACCGCTACTGGGAGATCTTCTCGTCACTGGTGCAGCCGCCCGCGACGTCCTCTTCACACCTGACGAACCAAGCGGCGGCCAACGTGCTGCGCAACTCGCAGCTGCGCGATGACCAGCTAGAGCGGGTGTGGGACCTGGCGGACGTCGACGGCGACGGCGAGCTGGACTTTGAAGAGTTTTGTGTCGCCATGCGGCTGATATTCGACCTGGTCAACGGAGAGTATCAGGACGTGCCCAAGAGCTTGCCGGACTGGCTCGTCCCCGAAAGCAAGGCACACTTGGTCGCCGCGAACCGAGCCTTGTCGGGCGGCAGCCACGGGGAGCGGTTCGAGAGAATCGAGGATGACGAGGACGATGCTGGCCTAAAAGACGGCTTCGATTGGTACATGAGCCCCGAAGACAAGCACAGGTACGAGGAGATCTACTCGGCCAACAAAGATCGGAGGGGCGACATCAGCTTTGAGAGCCTCCATACACTGTACGCCAGCTTGGATGTGCCGGACACGGATATCCGCAGTGCCTGGAACCTCATCAACACCAACGGCCGGGACTCGATATCCAAAGATGCCTGTCTGGCCTTTCTGCATATCCTCAACTATCGCCATGAGGGTTATCGGATACCACGCACGGTGCCGCCCAGCCTGCGAGCCAGCTTCGAGGGCAACCAGATTGACTATCAAATCGACAGTTTGAGGAACCGCCCCAACAAGTACGACGAGGACACTCCTACGGGTCGAAAAGCCAAGTTCGGCGATGCATATCTAAGTCGGCTTGGAGCCAGGGGAAGTTCGGCCTACACGCCGAAAGGAACGGACTTTTCGGATGTTGTTGAAGACGAAGACCTGGAGAAGGTCCGGCTTTTGCGTGAGCTGCGCGAGGTGGAAGCACAACATGATGCAGCCACCGCAGCCGCGGAGCGTCGACGGAAGCAAAGACAGGAGAATGGGGGACCTCGACAGTCTGGGAAGACTAATTGGACACTGGTCAAACGAGAGGCCCAGCAACTGCTCGAGTACAAGCAACGGCAGTATGTGGAATTGAATTCGGAGAATGCAAACAAATCAGGAGGTGACCTCAAGAGACTTAGGGAGGATCTGGCATTGGTCGCCGAACAGATAGATGGGCTGGAGTCGCATTTGAAGAAGCGGGAGGCGGAATTGGAGAATCTTCGCCGGGAGATCGAGAGCGAGAAGGCGGGCCGATGACCGAGTTCTACCACGCAAGCGGGATGGGATAGAAAGAAATTGTGATAGGAAACCTGAAATGCCCAAGAGCACACCGGTTTGTACCTCATGCGTACGGTAGTCTGTACATGTTGTACACTTGTACTCCCGAATTGCGATATTCAGCGGAACGAACCCCCCATGCAAACCATCTAACTTCCAGTCCGTACTTTTCGTAGCCCATCTGTAGTGAGGACGTCTCCCCTCTTGAAGTTTGCTAAATCAGTGTCAACAAGAAGCTTCCAGGTGGTGAATATGCGTGGCCAAACTAACCATCAGCTTCTTCCCATGCTCTTCCTGCTCCAAACCCTGTGCCGAGCCACACGGGCCATGCTCTTCGTTTAAACAGTAACACTGAAAATATCACGCCGAAGGAGAAGCCGAGCGCGGATCGGATCACGAAGGAGGAGACTGCACGATCCCACTATCGCATTGTGTTAGCAATCGAGTGTTCATCGGATCTCCCATGCCCGGCGCAGGTTGGTGTTCTAGGCCCATATTCTGGCAAGAGAGACTGTCCTCCTGGTCGCTTATGGGCTCAAGCCTCTCGTCTCAGTCCTCTCACGCTCGTACCTTTTCGTTCAATAAAGCTTCGCTGACTGGCTTCGATTTGGGTGCGACGGGTAAGGGAGGCGCCGAAACATTGTCGTCCGGCATCTTGGAAACTGTGACGATCCAGGTTAGCGAAGACACAGGAGGAGCAGACTCTAGAGGCGTACCTTGGACCAAGCGGACGTTCTGTGCAACTGAAGAGTGTCTGGTGGCAGAGCTGGCGCAAGCAGATACAAGTCCTAATACTAGCAGCAGCACGTCGAGCTTGAGGAAGCTCGCTGCTGGGGAGCGAAAACGGTACCGGCCAATCGGAGGCCGCCTTGGCAATTTTTTCCGATTCCAACTGATATCAAACGTCGACCATCAAGACCAAATACTTCGCATGGACTTCACGACGCAAACACACTTCAAAAGCACAATCTTTCACTGACCAACATAAGCTACTCGGCCTTGAGGATGGTCAGATTCGGGCTCGGAAAGAATACGTCGTTGTCATGGCCATGGCGAAGCGATCGTTCGAGGCTGCAATAGCAGACCTGGAACAAACGAATGGTTCTGCAGAAGAGGTTTTGCTGGCAGCAGCTGATATTTTGGGACTGCGTCTCCAGGAGAACATCGACGCATCCTCTACAGACGTCAAGTTCAAGACCTCTTCGCACTCGCCCGGGTTCAAGGAGCAATGGCTGCTTCGTTGGCTTCTGAAAAACCTGAATGCTTCGGACTCTAAGGGTAAAACGTCGGCGACCGCAGGGGCTACCATTGAGAGGTGTGGAATTCTTCTTCCTCTGAATTGCATTTCTAATCTAATCTGTTGTAGTTTTGTTTTGCTTCCACAGTTCTGGTCGCTTCTTCTCAGTTTGACATCTCGCATAAAAGATGAGGTTTGTCTAGAGATCCTGTTGGAGCGAAAGTTCTTCCATACCTTGGATCAGTCGATCCGACTTTGCCTCTCCAGAAAGGAGTCTGGCGATGGCTCACAACTACCTCCAGGCTCAGTTGCTGAGCCCAAGGAGCGCATGACGAAGAGGAGGCGGTTGAGTCCCCCGACTACCACTGTACAGCCAAGACCGTCCGACCATACAACCCTCATCTGGGTTCTTCTACAGGCTGCCTGCCGGTGTATCGACCTTCTAGCTGTGCCGTCGTCGCACAGGAGGAGAAGGAATGCTCCGACATGGACTGCATCCTGGAACGATCAAGCATCCTTGTTTGGCAGCTTACTCCAGGCAATAGCTTTTCTACTAGAAAAGGAGCCACAAAGCGAGGAGCAATCCTTACTGTTACAACTGCTCCGTACTCTTCTGTCCTTTTGGAAGGGCGACTCCACGGCCACCCGAACGCAGAGCGACGACCCAAATCGAGCCTTTGCCTCTCACTGTTTGAAGCCAAGCTTGGTTCTTCTTGATATCTTGCGAGGATCGAACGACGACGACAAGCCCTTTACTTCTTCGAGGAACGCAATAGAACGACTGGTTGCGCTGCATATTGTGTTTCCATTCCGCTCAACTTTCAACGAACGATTTGCCAAAAAGTGGCGAAATGTCCATGATAATCTATTGTACGAGCACTTGGAAAATATGCTCAAGAGCTTCAAGGACCAAGTCGCCGACCTAGAGGGTAACACTACACAGTCACAAGACAGGCTCGTCTTGGCCGCTCATCGACATTTGGCCTGGATTATTCTTGACATAGCTGCCCGCTCAGTCCCGGCATCCGACCTTCGAGCGCGACAACAGGAGCAACTGTGGGTTGATGCTTTGTTCATATGTCTCGTTCATGTGATCTGGCCTCGTATACCCCAGATCACCGCCACGGGAGCTGTAAAAACGGAAATTTCGGCAACTTCAACACTCGGTGACCGTGAGAGCTGGGTTTCCCCGATGGAGAACCTGGTGGATGTTGCTTTGGCACTCAAAATGAGAATTTCCCTCCCTGTAATAGGGTATAGCTTGTCAGCCATTCTGGCGTCCGAAGGGGATGTTTGTCCCTGGACTCTCCTGGCCAAGATCATCCGCCTCGACGTCAACATACTGGTCCCCAGGATTGGCCTGTCGAATTCCGAACAGCTATTGAAACAGGTCATGGAGAGAATTGAGTCCAATATTGTCTCGATGAAGCTGTATGATCTCATCCGAGACGAAATTGTTGTTGCCTTGTTGCGTGCCTTTGCCCGGGCCAGAAACATAGACGGCTTTGTGACCATTTGGCAACAAAATCTGGCAGATGCAATACGTGTGCGTTACGCATCCAGATATGACCCTGAAACCATACCTGCTATTCTTGTGTGGGACGATGAAAATGTCGTTGATGAATTCAGAGCCTTAGCTTTGGTTCATGCTCCTCCAAGGATGGGTCAGATGCTGCTGAGCGAACTCCTCGAGCAGTTCAAGACCCTTGCTGCAAAGGTTGGATCCACGGCTGATGTATTCGCCAAGCTAGCGGTCTTTTCAGCCATGTTAGAGCTGTCTGACTCTCACGACACAAGCCTGACTCTGGACAAAACACAGTTGGCTGACCTCTTCCGGGAGGCGATGAATGCGTTGCCCAGGAAGTCCGACTATCAAGCCCAACGCTGGCAAGTCTGGAGGCTTCTTCGCTTGCTTGTTCCGCTTCTAGACTTCAAGGACCTACCTGACCTTGAGGACTTGCTCCAACCCCATCACCACTTCATGTCATTGAACGAGTTCGAGAGCTCAGGACGACAGGACGAGACCCGGAAGAAGGCGGCAAGGTTTCTGGAGTGTCTTGAATGTTTTTCGCTGGTGATTGAATTGGTTGTCCGGCAACGTCGATTCCAAACCGACATTGACTCTGAACTCAATCATTTGACCGAGCTGATGGTGCGGTTTGAGGCCACGCCGCTCAATTCTTTTGCTGTCTGGAATGGCCGGAACTACGACTGCGACAGTGCAGACAAGCTCTTCGCTGCATGCATTGGCCGTCTCTTGCAGAGGCCGACCGTCTTATCTTCCTGCTCGCATTCGGCCCAGAGATTCATTGAGAGATCGTTAGACCTGCTTACGTCTCGTTCACAAGCGGGGAGTCAAGTCGGGCCAACCTTAGAATCACTTGTGAAAGCCGTCCTGAGCGCCGAAGAAGTGCTGAATAACCCGTCTTTGCGGCAAATGGTCTCTCAGCATGTCGCGAAAGCTCTGGAGTCGACCGACAAAACACCCGATCGATCGCTAATACAAGCCCTGCCACTGGACGCGGTCAAGAAGTCTCAGCTCAAAAGGATCGCGGCTGCAGCCATGCATCGTCTGACAGCTGATACTCAAGTTGCCACAATCACAGAAATTGAAGAAGATCTGGACCTGCTCATTCACTTGGATTCTGTTGCGGCTAGAACGAGCATTGATTGCAAAGATTGGGCTCTGTGGATCGCTCTCTCTGAGAAGATCTTGCGACGCGAGGACATCCAGACAACGCCATCGTCTTGGCCTGCAATTCTTATGATAACTCATATTCTGGACAATATCTGGGCCCAAGCTCTTGCTAGTCAGAACTCGACCGTACTTTCAGACATACTGTCTTGGATCAGGAAGACGATTGACGCCTCTCGTGTCGCAGACTCTCAACCGGCGACCTTTTTGGCACTGCAGGTTTTCTTCGGCCAAGTCTGCCAGGCAGAGCGCGCTCTGGAGAATATCATTACGAGCCACAAGCTGGAGAAATTGCGAAAGAACTTTATACGGCTTTTGAGATCTCGCCTCGACCGGGCCCTTCATGGATCGCAGGACAAGATAATCTTCGATTTGAAGTTAACCCTGACTGCAGCCCGGCGTATCGGTGCTATCGAGAAGGACGAGCGAATTCGACAAGCAATCTCCAGCGTCCAGAGGATGCTTCAGACGACGCCAGCCTCTCTGGGCAGCAAAGCTACGGCCAACGAGGAGTGGCGGATGAGACTTTCAGCCCAATGCGAATGCTTGAAATTGCTGTTGCCTTCAGATGTCAAGCCAGACGAGAATGTAATGGAAGAGGCGATTCAGAAACTGGTATCTTCTTTCGAGGGGCAAGATGTATGGACCAACGCAGATGTGTCCCTCATTGTTGCCAACGCAGACATTCTCGTACGGCAGATTGGCGCGAATGGCTGGATCCTTACCCTCGACTTCCTGCAAAAGCAAGGCAAGCAGAACGGCTTCCAGCTTGTGCGACCTGTGGTTACCGCCTCTGTCATTGTACATGTCACCAACCAAGATATTTTGCAGGCTCCCCAGCTGGCGGGCGAACTGGCAGATGTCGCTTGCATGAGAAGTCTCAATGGAGGATTGACTCTGGAAGAGTTATGCCTCACCCTGGACAATGCCCGGACGGTTCTAGAACGGCATCCCCTAGTCGTGAACCAATGCACGCTCGACAGACTTCTCGCGACGATATGCACCGTCGCATCCTCTGTGTCGGATGATGAGCTTCTGATGCCCAAGACTGACGTGGACACAGGCCTGCAGGCCTCGGACATCTATGACCGACTGTGTGCACTCATTGGGGCTGTTCTTGCAAGGCATAGACGACGTGTCTCTGACCGCTATCACCTGTTACTCCCGGCTCTACAGGCGCTCTTGCGTTGTCTGTTCTGGCCAGGGTCTGCAAGCCTCCACGACAGCAACCGGACCACGGTCGCAGCCAGCCTGAACGCGTTCGGGAAGGCCATGCCCAGATGGATGCGGCAGTCGCATGAATGTCTGCCGGCGTCTTCTGCCGAGAAGTTTGCGCGACTCTTATCGTCGATCTGCAATCCTACCGTGTCGGCGGCGCGATCGTCGAGGAAAAGAGGCCACAACGACCTCAACGACGAGACCAAACAGGCCAAGCTGTTGGCAGGCCAGCACATGCAGTACCTGGTGATGGAATACGCCCGATGTAGTCTGGACGGCCAGATGTCGCCTTCGGTCAAGGAGCGCCTGATGCCAGGACTGTATAGTGTCATGGGGGCGATGGAGCGCGATCTTCTGAGGGCGCTAAATGCCGGCATGGATCCGAGCAGTCGAGCCATTTTCAAGGCCTTGTATGATGACTGGACTCGGTATGGAAAGTGGGATAAAAATTAGGAGAAAGTCCGGCTTCGTCGGTGCTTATTATACGGAGTGTTCATGCACCACGTAGCACCTAGTACATAACAACACAATGCCGCGAGGGGCGAGGGGCATGAATGGCATAAACTATTTCTATTCTGGTCTCCGCCTATATGTGTGTGCAGGTGTGTTAGTAGGTGTTTGTGTGTAGGTGTGTTAGTAGGTGTGTACCTAGGTAGGTATATCTACTGAGTATCTACCTGATCACCTAGGTATATTATTTAATTATAGGTGCCTGATTGATGTACTATACTATATCCGTCCCACTCGCCGCAAATGGGACTTTCGGATTGGCGGGTCGAGGCGTAATCCGTACATATGCGTAATGTAGGTACCTAAGGTAATTAAGGGATTCGGAGAGGAAGAATTCCAATTCCAATTCCAGTTCCAATTCCATAGGTTGGATGCTGTAAATGACCACTGTACATTTACATGTCCTTGCTGATATTACTTGTGCATACAGTGGTTGTGCGGGTCAAGGTAATTAAGTGATTACTCGAATCTTGTTCAGGGCTCCTGCTCTAGAGAAGGTGAAGGAGAATGTGAAGGAGAATCGCCATCGCTATCGCCATGCTATGCTATGTTCTATCGATCTGTGCCAATGTTGCACAGCTAGAGGTAGGGGTATCAGGAGTATCAAGGGTATCAATCGTGTCTTCGTACAGTGTTTGCCCATCCAACGGCACCTGCAGGTATTAATCGTAACATCATACAGCATTTCCCCAGCTGCAATCCATGTCCGTCCAAGCAAGATACTACCCAATAGCAACCAGACCAGACGGAGGTGGTAGGTAGCTCATCCACTAGTTCTGCGAGGCTGTTCGGCTTTGAAGTCTTCCTGAGCCTCCTCCGACTCTTCCAGCATCGAGACGAGATCGTCGAGGGGAATGAAGACGTTGGTGGAATTGAGGAAGGGGTACTGTCCTGGATTCCGATCATACGCAAAATCTTCGAGGGTCAAGCGCAGTCCAGCTTTCGGATCGGGGTTTTTGACTCCATCTTTGCTGCGAATCTCCTAGATGAAGCAGTCAGATCCAAGGAATTGACGGTGAAGGTCGACGGCGCCTTACCGTAGAGTCACAACCAACGCCAACGGCATTTTTGTCCTTGTCATACACAGGTCTCCAAACCGATACTCTCGCGCCCTTTCCACGAGAGGTGTTCACGTCGACGCCAATCACTGTGCGGACCTCCTCATTAGTGCCCAAGATATAGTCATGTGCCAACTTTTGTAGATTCTTGGGTGATTGTGTCCACGCGACCTCCACGATCAAGCTGGGACCGCCCAATTTCTTAGAGCTGAATTGCGCATCTGGTTGACGTACCACTTGTTTGCCCTTCATCCTCGATGACCAGTGGTACACGGTAGAGGACCCTCTGTGGTAGTGCGGGATCAAGGCAAATTTCTCGATGAGGGATCGTTCGCTTCATCATCTGGCTTGGCCCGAATGATCTGCATGAGACGGTCCTTCAGTAGGCTAAGATAGTATTCGTGTCCGCGGCCCGGTATTCTGAATGCTAAAATTTCCTCGGCTTCAGAATAGTCGTACCTATTACCTGCGGTCAAATTCTCTGTGTGTAATCTGGGCAGAAGGCAATGTGAGTCTCACGTACTTGAAGTTTTCTCCACAGAAATAACCAAGCCGTTCCAATTCCTCAAGCTGCTTGAACTGCTGGGGTGCTAGAGGAAACTCGGTCCAACCAAGAGTTTCTCGGAGTGAGGGTGATTCGATGTAGTCAAGGACGCTCTGAAGTTTAGGATCGACTGGTTTTGACAATTTTAGCAAGGAGGCAGGGTCTGAGGTGGGTGAATCTGGGCGAAAAGTGAAAGTGCAAGAGTCGCCGTTCATGAGAGAACGCTCCGCAGCGGCTTTGTCAATATTGGGTTGAAGCGCAGCGACATCATGGCAACTTCCTGGTGAATCCATTTTGTTGAGTTCACGATAGACGACAGTAGAGTTGGTTGTGGTTGTGCGTTAGTTGTGCGTGTTGTTAACACGTCTAAAAGACAATAATGCGCGACTTATAAATGCGGGGGAAACGATAAGATACGCAATACGCAATACGAGATAAGCGATAAGGATGAGCACTACGGAGACACAGACTACCCATGTGTGCATATATCTCTCTCGCACTTTGCAGATGGCAGGCCATAGAGGATACAGGCCATACAGGCCATCCTATAGCCTTGGGCTGGGTGCCCGAGGAACAGTGGTTTATTACACGACTATGTTGATGGGATCGACTCCAGCTCCAGCTCCAGCTCTAGCTCTATCAAGTGAATGTCCCATCTTTTTCACGTGCATGTCAAGGTGCCACCGTTGGTAAAGTCCCATCAATGGTCGGACCAGCTCCCAGCATCTCCTATCTACTGGTAGCCTGATGACGCCTGGAGTTGGCTCATGCCCGATCAGGGACAGCTGGAGATAGCGGTCCAGGTTGTCTTTTGTGACGGTCTCGATCCCGATCTGCATCTGCATCTGCCTGCGCGAGGGAGCCATTACGGAAGAGGATGAGCTGGCAGAAGTCGATGGTGATGGTCGGCCGGTGCTAAGTTATGCAAGTTAGTGAACGGCAAGGACGTGGGACACGGGAGGTATGAGTAAATGCCTAGTGTACAGCGCCTTCAAGTCGAGCGTGGGTGGTGGGTGGTTGAGCAGGGCATGTTGTGTTAAGGAGGATGGCTTGATCTGGCATGGTTTCTTCTGTCAGCGGCAGCGGCAGCAATTATTTCGTCTGTATCCGACTGCACTTCAGCCTCCAGCGCTTTGGGCTCTCTCCTGCGCCATGACTCCAGCTGTTCTCTTCTGCATCAGAGTAGCAGGGATACACATGGTCTAATCCTCCAATCTCTCATTGTCAACCCGTTCCGAATGCCGCTCTCCATGACCTGTCGTGCACTTGACCAGCTTGCTATACCACCCACCACCCATCAGCGACCACGACTGCGACCACCACCACCACCACCACCACCCTCCCCACTGTCTTGTCTGTCTGCCCTTCAAGTGTCTGCTCGCCTCCAACGATACATCTGCGGGCACTATTGGAGAACTTATCCAACCGCAACTCCAGTCCGCAATCTAGACCTTTGAGATACGTGATTCACGCTTAGCAGCCGGGCGCAGGCCCAAGAGCCTAAGCCCTAAGGCCATACAAACCGGGCGCAGCGGCATCCTGAGGCTTGAGGCCTGGAAGAAAGTACTCCTTCCGCAGCATACGCGGCTAGTGGGCTATGGGCTACAGGGCGCTCCTTTGTCCGACTCACCTCACCGCTGGTATCGCCATTCGCCAATCCTGTCGAATCATCCAAGTCGATGCCGATGCCGATGCCGTAGCCAGGGCCAGGCGTTTGTCCAACGTCAGACAGTGTGTCAGGCTTGCCTCTGGTATTGAAGTCAGGTCAGATGCGGCATTTTTCAGTTGTGGCATTGGCTGCCCCAAATTCACTAGTCGACAGACAGAGTCCGCTCAGACACAGCAAAAGTCTTTCCTTCTCACACAGCCACAAGCATTCAACAGTTAGGTCGAAACTATCGCACCAAAAGTCAATCTAGTGGCCCCTGTCTTTTTGCAAAGCATTGCTGGTCGTGATCAGCCAGCCAGGTCACTCAGTAGAAAGTACGGAGTTTCCCAATGTCTAGTACGATACTGACCACTCTCGCGCCGACCTTCCACGAATGCAACTGAGCGACCGGGCTTGAACGGTACCAAAGCTAGCTGTAACACCGAGCTCCATCAGGATTCTCAGGAGAAGAAAGAACAGTAAGATTGTGGCAGGCAAGTGCGACGGCTGGCGGCCGGCGGCCAGACGTGATCCACCACCCACCGCGTATAGCTAGTACGACAAGCTTCTCCCGTTCTACTCTACAGGCTGCTTCAAGATTGCTTCGAGGCTGCTCGTTGTTAGTCGGGGCAAACGACAGGGAACAGGACCAAGAATGACGATCACGTGACGATACTGCCCGATGAGGCTCTGGGCCGGGGCGGCTAAGGGCACCAAAAAGGGTGGCACCAGTGGGGGGAGTCGAACAGGCAGATGCTTTTCAGCCTCATCCGATCACCCCCCCCTGCCGTTGTGACCCACACACTCCTTGCATGGCTGCCTTGAAAGGTACTCCGTACATGTGTCCAGGTGTCAGTCGAGCGGTCAGTGCCCCAGAGCTCCAAAATATTGAGGCTCTGCTGTTGAGTGCTCGCCTTGAAAGCCCCCCGTCTCTCCTTCTGTGTCCGCTCTTGCTCTTGCTCTTGCATTTTCGACATCCTGCAACGTTCACCATTCCATGTGTCTGTCATTCACGCTGGTCCATGGCACATTTAGTGCCAGCCCTCATCATTCATTGCTTATCACGCTCGCTACCGTTGCACCTAGCTTGTCCGTGCAAACCGTTCTTTTCTCCATGCGTCGACACCTCGTCTTGCCAAGTGCCTGCCCTCTCTCTATCCTGTCTTGTCTGACCTGTCGGCGGGTATGTTTTCGGACTTACCATTCGACATCATCCATCATGTGGCTCGCCAGTTGGATACCCGTTCACACGACTGTCTCGGAAGAACCTCTCGGTCTCTGTATCATCAACTCCGCGACGAGAGTACTGCAAAGAAGTGCCTGCTGGTGATGACAAGTTGGCTCGGATGCTCTGACATGGGCTGACACTGATCAGGCGAGCATCCCGTACTCGACATGGGCCAAAGTGGCATTTTCAAATCCAGATGCCAGGTTCCGGGTCACACTTGGTCGGTGTAACGACTATGACAACGCCCTTCAGACAGCTTCACCGTACTCCGTCTGTACCCTAGCGCACGCGACCAGTTTTGCCTACCACTCAGGGGTTCTGTCCTACTCGACGTGTTCCAGCCTCCGCATTCTCGATTTCAATCACGGCCGAACCAGAACCACGGAGAAAGTGGTGACCAACGCTTTCTTATGCAAATCGGTGAGTGTGAGTAGGAGCTTCCAAGGCCAGGAGAAACTGGACCTTGGGTCTCTCGTGTCCCTTCAAGTCCAAGCGTTTGCTTCTGATATAGTGGTGCTTCTGTGTGATTTTGGTCTCTATGGTCAATATCTACTTGCCGTCAACATTGCCGACGCTTTCGAGCCACCACAGCAGCTGCCAGATGGCCAACGCCATTCCCGTGTCTTGCTATGCACGCGTCTGCGGTCTACCAGCAAGCTCTTCGTGAGGCATGACAGCAGATATCTGGTTTTGGGCACGCATTCGGCTCTAGGCAACCATGATCACCATGAATGGCTGTTGTATCGGTACGATCTCCGAACGTCAAGACCAGTGAGCAAGGAGCCGTTGCAGCTCCGGGACTTCTTCGGCTCCGAGATGGGGTCGACGGTCTGCTTTACAATCTACCACGACAACTTCTACGCCTTAACCAATCAGACCAGCTTCGAGAGCGAAGAAGTCGACTGGACAAGCTATTACCATTTCATCTGCTTCCGCCTCGACGACCCCCATCCCGACTTGAAAGTGCAGGTCATTTGGAGAAGACAACATCTGGAGGGCCCAATCAATGACTCCTGGACGGATATTGGATTCCAACTGGACCACCGTAGTGGTGAACTGCTGATTGTGGAATGCAGAAAGGAATGGTTGGATGGCGGTAGTCAATCTGTGAGGACGTATTACACCCAGCCCTTTCATCGAGCAGTACATGGCGAGTTACAGAATGGCCTCCGACATCCGCCCAACGACCCGCTGAGCCGTACGTTGGATGCAAAGAGTAATAGCAGATGGGAGGCATCCTGGCCTCGCGCTGATAGGTACGTCCACACCGAAACCCAACAGGGTGACGGGGACGGCGTCAAAGAATATATTCGAGCAAAGACCAAATGGCATGGCTACCATTTCAATGCTCAAACCTTCGTCGATCTGGTGACGGAGGACGCCAGTGTCGAAGGTGAGTGGCGGCCTAAAGAGCGCATCAAGCTTCGAATGGTTAGTAGGCACGAACTTGGTCCTCTCGTCCCGACTGGGACTGGGGAAAGGTTCAGGATCCGATCTCGAATGAGAGACAAGGAGGGTGAGGAGATGCAAGATGGCGAGGAAGCATTCGGCCCTAGCAAAGTGTCGCTGTGGCCTCCGGACGATGCTCCCCAGGAACTCCATGACATGCTCTGCCCTGGCGGTCGGGCAGGAGACGTCAAGGCCATCCTAGGTGACGAAGGGATGGTGTATATGGCCGGCCCGCCCCGCGAGCCTGGCTCTCCTGAGCGGGCGCTCATATTCGTGAGCTTCGATCCGACGTTTGGCTTCGAAGGTATGACACGCTTGGACGGAAGTGCGGTCAGGCAAAAGCAGAGAGATGCGCCGTCGAATGCGGAGAGGAAGAGGAAAAGTGTGTCTGAACTACGCCGAGAGTCAGCTGGTGGCTCTTCCAGCGAGATGGATCCAGAGCCTGCTTCTAGCGGACGTGTCAAGCGCATCCGAGATGGACAGGGAACGGCTGAACTTCAATCTCCTCGCACGTGGTTCGTGAAAGATGACGATTCGGCCAGCGCGAAAGAGCTCGATAAGCAAACGGAAGCGCAGGGAAAACAAGCAGAACCTGGGCATGAGCGGGCCAGTATCCTTCCACATCTTTCGCCACCGGTGCCAACACTTCAAGCCTGGTCTTCCTCCGTGATGAGGACTCGCAGTCCAAGGACGTCGCCGTCACCACCTGTGTCACCTTCGTCGCCTTCGTTTCCATCCATCCAACAGCCAGCCTCATCTCCCAGGACCATGACTGTGGCCAACAGGCCGTCTCTGGCGTCACGCAACCTTGATACCTGGCGCGAGAGGGCGGCATATACTACTATCAAGAAGGGGTTTTGGTTGCGGTAAGACAACAAGGGTATGAAAGGTGAAATGTGAATGCAACCACTCGGGGGTGGCAATGTGGCTGCGACTGCTTTGCCTCCTCCAGTGGAGGTACAGCTTCGACTGACACCACTGTGTCAGTAAAGGATGGTGGTAAAGAGCACACGAGAGGAAGGGGAGGGAAGGGAGGGGAGGGACGTAGGTACACGAGCATTACTCACGCAGACGCACACGCAGACGCAAACTCAAACGTAAACGTACACGCACACGCAAATATGCCAATATCTAGGTATCTAGTTACGATTGAAGTCCGAGTTGGTTGAGAGATAACACGAAGTATACGTTACGTTACGGCCGATAATACATGGGCGGCAAGTTTATCCAATACCTTAGCGCGGATGTAAAGACCCTCTGAACCGTACTAGTACAGTATAAACACGGTTTACAGGCGTATATACGTGTAAGTGGTTATGTTTGGTAAACAGACAGTTCCCGGTTACGAACCGTATCAACACCGCTATAATACGTGTCAGAGATCGACACGTGTCAGAGACTCTGACACGTGTCGTACGCCACGAACGGTGTCAGTACGGTTCCTAAGAGGGTTCGAAAACTAAAAAATATATAACTTTTCTTCTTTTTTATTTATTTATAGTTTTTTTTTTTAGAAAATCTAATAAGAGACTAAGGCTTTACTATTATAACTAACTACTTTACTAACTAGACTACGAGAACGACTAAATCTAGAGAAAAATCTCGAGAGAAATATTTAGACTCCCTATTAAAGCCTTTCGACACGTTTCGCTTCGCGATATCGTTCTAACACCGTTCGTACGTTAATACGTGTCGCTTCGCGATACTATTCGTTAAGTTAACACGTATTTATAAAAATTAGCGTATTTATACGGTTTCTGGTGATAGATACCGTATCTAGACGGTTCCTACTATAGCTACCGTACTATTACGGTTTATAGGTGCCTATGACTGCCCAGGTAGTACCTAACAGCGAAAACGCCAAAGTAAAGGGTAAACGAGAGAATAGGGGTAAGGGAGGTGGGGATAGGTTTAAGTAGACTACCTAGGTACTAGGCACGCCTAGAGTTAACGCCTCCGTGGTCCCTACGCGGGCACCGTATAGGTCTAGGAAAATAAACAAAGAAAAAAAAACCTACCTTCAGTCTCCCATTGTTCAGAGATGAGAGACGAGGCAACTATAGTGAGATGAGACCTGAGCTTCAGACACAAGCTGGGATAGACACAAGCTGGGATTAGGGCTGGGGAGAGATGGATGGAGACAGAGACAGAGACGGAGATGAGATATGGAGATGAGATATGGAGATGAGATATGGTTATGAGATATGGAGATGAGATATGGTTATGTGGCTATGTGGTTTAGTATGTGAATCTCGTATCCCGTTGCATTGTTCGGAGCGCTTTTCGTGCCTATTTTGTCATTGTCCATTTGGTCTGTGGACTTGGATTTCTATTTACCTTCATACACACGACTTGTCTTGTCTTGGCTTCATACACACACAACTTGACTTGACTTGACTTGACTGGGCTCAAGAACCATGAACTGGAATAGGGGATAGGGGATAGGGGATAGGGGATAGGAGATATATGTATGTGTTTACGTCTACATTTTACCAGTCCTCAATCATATGTCCGTTTACATTTATATTTCCTAGTCCTACTCCTAGTAATGCTACAGTAAGGTATCTCAACGAAATAAACGGGAAAGGAATGAAAAGGAATGAAAAGGAATGAAAAGGAATGAAAATGAAATGTATTGCATGGTATGGTATGGCATTGATTGTAGGGCAGGACTTGTTCTGATTTTCTCCTTTCTCTCTTCTCTTTCTTTCTTCTCTCTTCTCACTTTTGATTTTCTCTTTTCTTTCTTCTTCTCTCGCTCTAAGACAGCATAGTATGTGAACGTAGATGGATACCTTAGATAGGCCCTGATGAGCGTGACTGGGCATGTGCTGGACTGAACTGAACTATCCTATCCTATCCTATCCTGACTGGACCCGACTGGAGTGGACTGGAGTGGAGTGGACTGGGCAACAGGCACAGGCACAGGCACAAAATAGTCTAGACCGCGATGCTGGCACCGTGAACCGTGAATTGCAGAGCTAGTTTCCGTTCGACGTCGACGTACCCGGTGAAGAGTGAAGAGTGAAGAGCAGAAGCAGGACCAGGATCAAAGACAGGGAGCAAAGGCCCTTAGTACTAGCTAGTAGTATTATGGAACCAACACACCCTCACACTCACCCTCACCCGAGTATAGACAGAGGCCTAAGGATCTCTTTATCAAGCCATGTATGCCTAGGCAATTACTACCACGTAGGTAGTACTGCCCTCCGGTCAAACGACTGCCGACTGTAATGTCGTGCACCGAACACCAAACATGCTGGCCCGAGAGAGGCGCTGCGTTGAATCAACTCTCAATCCAGAACTCAAAACTTGCATCTAATTCAGGCGCACATAGTTTCCTGTCAATAGATAACATATCAACGTCAGTCTCTGTGGGCTTGAAATCTAACACAACAACGAAGCTCTCAAAAGCTCTCAAAAGAAAAGAGAACAAAAACAAAAAAAAAAAAAAAAAACTCACCAGGGAACTGGCCCTGTTTCCCGTTCAATCGTCCTATCCACCATTCGTTCTCGTTCTGGGTTCTCGACACAATTTCAATCACGTCTCCAGTCAGGAAACTCAAGTCTCCCTCGGCTTGCGCTTCGTAGTCGTACAGCGCAGTCACAGTCTCGGCCCCGGGAACACCGCTCAGACGACTCGGCTTAGGTTTGGGTGGTGGTGGTTTGCTCTTTCCTGCGAGCCCAGAACCGAGTGCTGGGCTACCAGGCATGCTGCTTGCCGAGCCTACAGGTGAGTAAGGAGGCGGCGGGTTCGCGTGTCCGTCCTCCGCGTGGCTCGTTCTCTTGCTCGCATAGGACGACTTGCTCGCTTCGGTTTCTTTGGCCTTTGCGCCAAACCCGTACTTGGACACCCCGCGAGGAACCTTGACGCCGCCTGTGCTCTTGAAGTGGACGATGGCCAGAACCTCGGCGCGCTCTTGCACATCACCTCGCTTCATTTCAAACGCCTCTTCGATGTCCAGATTCAGGTTGAAGTAGCCGATGTTGATGGTTTGCATCTTTTCGTGCAGCGTGTAGAACAGATTTAGTTGCATGTAGTAGAACGACTGGAACAGAGGCCGGATGAATTCCGCCTCGAGCGCAAACAGCTTTGGCAGTTCGTCCTTGAGCAGGTTGTTGAAGTATTCGTAGTCTTGTGTGGCCTGTTCCACATCATTCTCCGCCTTGAACAACGCCTTTTCGTCCTTCAACGTCTTTTCTTTCTTGTCTTGTAGCTTTTTCAAGGTGGCTCGATGACGGTCATAATCCAATTGTTTGTGTTGGCGTTTGACGGCCACTTTTCGAATCACTTTAATCACTTCGAGTAATTGGTCTGCTGGGGCGATCACACGTTGCTCGATCATCTCCAACTCCGGTTGTAACGTGGCCTGCAGGTCGCGCACAATTGATTCGTATTCCTCGCATGCGCGGATACCTTCTGGATTCCCCTCGGGTATCAGGGAGTTGGGATCCGACACACGGCCCGATATAGGCTTGTAGATTTCTTGGATCGCCTTGGAGAACTCGATCTGGTGATTCAGCATGCCTATTGCCCTGTCAGCCTTCACATCCAGACGGCCGAATGGAACATCGGAGCTTTACCGTTGATAGCGTCAAAGTACTTCTTCGACTCCTCATGTAGCTTCTTGGTCTCGGTCTCCAGCTCGGCAAAGCGCCTTTCCGCATCAATGTAGACGGCATCTTTGGTATTTTCGCCAATGTTGAAGCGCTGTTTGAACTGCTGGGGCGCTCGGGTGATGCTCTTGGTCACACCTTTGAAACTCATGCTTGATAGCCGCTTTCCTCCACTGCGGCGGCTGCCTGCGACGAAAATACCTCTATATGATCGGGCGTGGAAAGTGCGGAATTCTCGGATTCGAGGCTATAGGCTGGTCTAGGGTTTGATCGGGCGATCTGGGTGCCGGGTTCTGGGTTGGAGAGGAGCTGACGAGGTGGTCTTCCTTCGGTACGAGCCAGAGCCAGAGATTGCGTGGACTGAAAGTCGAGGGCAAAGAACAGAGGGGCTGTTCTGTTCGATATGGAGAGGATATGCGATATGCGCACGGGACCGGATCAGCTCAATAGTGTCGCCGACCAAGACGGATGACGCAGGACGAAAAAGCTCGGCGTGCTCGTGTGAGCTGCCACTGCGATTCACCGCAAGAGCCGAGCAGGCAGACTAGACTGTCAAGTACAGTGTACAATGTACCTGACTACCTATAGGTGCCTGATGTACTTATTCCAGCACGTCCTTGTCTCGTAGCAGGCAACTGGTAGCTGAGCAGCGGTCAGCCTGCAGGACGGAGTCCGGAGAGTGCTTGCTACCCACTGGGCTTCCACACACTCCCGGACTTAAAGCGGCAACGGCTAGCGGTCTTGGTGGCGGTGGCTGTGACGGTTAAAGCGGCAGCTGGTCCCTCGGTCGAAACCTATCGGCCGAATCTAATCAGATCAAAGCCTCCGCTCCAACTAGCTGATCAATACGAATATCAATTCCTCTCCACCACTTCTCACGAATTGACCCAGCTGTCCCTCGCTCTCCTCAAACCTCTGTTGTGACCCTATTCTCACTCCCTACAGTCAGCTGGCCTGACACATTATCAAATGTCTGGTCCAGCCTCCTCAGTCTTGAGGCAGGCTTCGAGGGCCTACACCCGTCGCCTCTCTTCCGGAACTATCCTGCCTGCATCACACCCACGACCTTCCATCGCCACCTCACGTTTTATCAATCGCAGAAACTATGTCTCTGAATCAAAGCCTTCTGCTGCACAGGTCACTGATGTGCAGTCTGCCATCAAAGCAGATCAGAAAAAATTCATTGAAGAAACTGGCAATCTCCCATCGCAGTTGAAAATACCGGGTGCCCAAGTGTCCGCAGATGCGATGATGAGTCCTCAAGCAGGTCTTCTGAACCATGCCACTATTATGGATCAGGGTACTCGGCCAATCTATCTCGACGCACAAGCCACCACTCCCGTGGACCCCAGAGTCCTCGACGCAATGCTCCCATTTTTGACTGGCCTCTACGGCAATCCTCATTCACGCACACACGCATATGGCTGGGAGAGCGAGCAGGCTGTCGAGCAAGCAAGAGAACACATTGCAAAGTTGATAGGAGCCGACCCGAAAGAAATCATCTTTACCAGTGGCGCGACTGAAAGCAACAATATGAGCATCAAGGGCGTGGCCAGGTTCTTTGGCAGGTCGGGCAAAAAGAAGCACATCATCACTAGTCAGACCGAGCACAAATGTGTTCTGGACAGCTGTCGCCATCTGCAAGATGAGGGCTTTGATGTGACTTATCTTCCAGTCCAATCCAATGGCCTGATTGACCTCAAGCAACTGGAGGAGGCAATCAGACCCGAGACTGCCTTGGTCAGTATCATGACCGTCAACAATGAGATTGGGGTCATCCAACCCGTCAAGGAAATCGGACAGATCTGTCGGTCTAGGAAGGTTTATTTCCACACTGACGGCGCACAAGCAGTCGGCAAAATCCCGATCGACGTCAACGAATGGAACGTTGATTTGATGTCAATTTCAAGCCACAAAATCTATGGTCCGAAGGGCATTGGTGCCTGCTATGTTAGGAGACGGCCGCGTGTCAGGCTCGATCCCCTCATCACTGGAGGTGGGCAAGAAAGAGGCCTTCGGAGTGGCACCCTTGCACCCCACCTCGTGGTTGGTTTCGGGGAAGCTTGCCGCATAGCCAAAGAGGAATTGGAGGTGAGTTTGATGTCCTTCCCTTTGTTTCCATGCATTGCTTTCTGAGCGTTCTGTTCAACGCTTTTGTGATCACCTTGAGTATCACAGCGGGGCCTGTGATCGCATGTGTCATGTTTGCCTCATTGCAAAAACTTGGTGCTTTGGAATATGCTGACCTGACCTTTCCAGTACGATTCCAAGCGTATCACCGCTCTCTCCCAGCGACTCCTGAACGGCTTGCTTTCCATGGAGCACACTTCTCAAAATGGTGACCCCACTCGACACTATCCTGGCTGTGTCAATGTTTCTTTCGCCTATGTTGAAGGAGAATCTCTGTTGATGGCGCTCAAAGATATTGCTCTTTCGTCTGGTAGCGCTTGCACTTCTGCGTCTCTGGAGCCAAGTTACGTCCTGCGAGCTCTTGGAAACAGCGACGAGAGCGCTCACAGCAGCATCCGGTTCGGTATTGGACGCTTCACCACAACCAGCGAAATCGACTATGTCTTGAATGCTGTACGCGAGCGGGTCACTTTCTTGCGCGAACTGAGCCCTCTCTGGGAACTGGTTCAGGAAGGCGTTGACTTGAACACCATCGAATGGAGTCAACACTAGTTGATCCAGTCATTTCCGACTTGGTCCGCTTGTATAATGTATGCGTCTGTATCATTTGCAAAGTTTCACCTACTCTCACTGCCAGCTGTTCCGCCGAGACAAATGCCCGGCGCCATAATTGCTCATGGCAATTTGTACATGATGGAATTCTTGGTCCTACAAATGGACCATTCTGGCCGGATCTTTATATCCATAGCCTCGAATCATATTTTTGATACCACGACCTTGTTTCGTTGTTTCCCACGCATCAGTGGCTTGCTCAAAATTGAAAATGTTCGATATGAGGCTCTTGAGAGGGACGGTGCCCGCCTCGAGCACATCCATCGCCACCTTGAAGTCTGCAGAATTGTAGCGGAAGGCTCCGTGCATATGCAATTCTTTCTCGCTCATCGTGAGGATGGGGAAGTTGACCACAGGCTTGCCGAGACCGGTCTGCACGCATGAACCACCAGGTCGAAGAACATATATCGCTGTCGCAATTGAACTCTCTGCTCCCGTTGCCTCGATCACGGCGTCTGCGCCCAACCCAAGGCCATTCTCGTGAATCAGCCGCGCCGCGTTTTCCTCGGGCGCCGCATTCGAGTCGGGCTTGAACGTGCTCGCTTGGTTGAAACTTCTTGCGAATTCGAGTTTCCTATCTAACAAATCCACAGCCACGATTTTCTTCGCCCCAAACATTCGCGCGACCGCACCACATACAAGGCCGATAGTGCCTGAACCGAAGATGACCACACTCTGACCGGGTTGGACCCCAATCATGCGCACGGCGTGGGCAGCAACAGCGAGAGGCTCTGCCAGCACCCCTTCCTGCAAGCTCACACCCGGTGGCAGTTTGTAGCAGAAATCAGCTGGTATCTTGAAGTATTTTGTCAGACATCCTGGAGTGTCCGGGGGGCAAGCCGCGAATCTCATGTCGGGACAGAGGTTGTACAACCCTTCCTTGCACCGTGTACATGACCGGCATGGCTGACCTGGTTCAATAGCAACGTTGTCTCCTGGTTTGAGGTGGCTCACGGCAGATCCCACCGCGTGGATGGTGCCCGAAGCCTCGTGCCCCATCACCAGAGGTTGCGACTCTGAGACGAAGTTGCCATTGACACCTCCGTGGTTCCAGAAATGCACCTTGGGAACAATAGTTAGTCACTTCACCCGCCTTCTGTGTCACAGTAGAAGAGAACGCCATCTCACATCACTCCCGCAAACGCCCACGAACTTGATCCGCACTATTGCGTCCGTGGGATCGGTGACTTTGGGCTCCGGTCTGTCTTCGATCTTTGCACTGCCGGGGCCGTACAGAAACACAGATGGATTCTTGGGTCTATCAGCGTGGTGTTCTGGTGTTGCCACCCGTTGCTTACAGATAGCGACATTGGAATGTCAGTGAAGGGGCGAAACAGACGGAAGACGGGACGGACGTCTTCAGCAGTAGAGAGGCTCTTGAGGTCGAATCAGGCAGGATGGAAAGCGTTCTCTTCACGAATTCGATGCAATTTATACCAGCGTGATTATTCTTATTCTAGTGCAACACAAAGTTGATGGCGGCAAACTTTGGACGTTGTTCTTGTATTCGTGTCACCATGCAGGGATTGGACTGCGGTCTCGAAGACATTTGGATCGGGCCAAGTTGCGCCGCTTTCCTGTCTGACTAAAAGTGATAGAGGGTCTGACGTGAGGCAGATGAAGGATTCTGGCAGTTGGACGGTTCTGTCTTTTGAAGTGCAGAGGTGCGCTAGATGTCAGATCAGCCCTATTCTGCGGGGCTAAGGCTCCGCGGGCAAAAGTCTCGCCGACACTTCTAGAACCATGACCATGACCAAACATATTGCCCTCGAATGTGTTCTTTGCTGCTCCACGTCAATACACAAGTGCGGGCACAAAGATGAACAGTGACTCGCCCGGAAGCGGAAGCACCACATCCGATCAGAGAAGCTCTACAGTGTAAGTGGTGTCCCATGGATGCTTAACGAGATCAAGGTCGGGTCTGTGACTGAACCTCCATTAACTATTACCAAGATGTTACCTTTGCCGACAGCGGAAAACCAAGTGTGATCGAGTCCTCCCACGATGCGGTTTCTGCGTCAAAGCCAAGGTTGGTTGTCAATATGTGGCACAGCCGAAAAAGCGCGGTCTTCGAGCCGGCTATGTGTCTCATCTGGAGAGTCGCTTAGGTGATGATGCCTCTGCCTCTGGAGCAGGCGTACAAGATCCCTGCTGACAACAGGCAGAAACCCTTGAGCAAGAGGTCAACCATCTCAAGGATCAGCGTCAGAATCCCTTGCCTTTCGTGCCTCAGACCCCAGCGGCCCCGATTGCAACGCCACCAGCGATACCAGCCCAGACACCGCTACATATCATCCCTTCATCCGCCCAGAACTCGATCTTTGGAAGTCCTAGGAGCTTAGGCGGTCAACACACCACTCGCAGACGTGTAAATCCAGAATCAGAGGCTGCTGTGGCAGACCTGATGACTCTGCCACACGCATATATCTCCACCCTGGCCGATATGTGGTTCAAAGAATCTCAGCCCTGGGTACCCATCCTGACCCGAAATCAAATCCAAAGCGCCCTGGAAAGCCTACCTTTGCCGCTGACGCATATCGATGATCTGGTGCTCAAAGCAGTTTTGGCGCTTCAAATCAAACATTCGAGTCAAGCCATTTTTCTGGGTTATCATGGAAGACTTCGACTGTCAGACTATCTTCGGGCTCAGGTGTTCAATGAAGCGCTCTCGAAGGCAAGCTTGAGTTCTCTCCAAGCGCTCTTGGTCATAGCAATCCTCGACTATGGCGCAGACAACATACCGAGCACGTTCAGCTTATTATCTGTTTGCCGTCGGATGTGCGAGAGCATTGGCCTCTTCCGTAAACTGTTGAAGCAGATGGAAATCCAGCATCCGGCTCAGATTGGCCCTCCGGCCATAGTAAGCAATGCTGCCGATGAGCTCGCCATCCCTCTGACATGGGCCACACTCGCTCTGGATGCGACGACGTCGCTCGGTATCACTTGGCGAGACGTATCAGCAGCACTGGTGGACCATCTTTCAAGTGTGGCGTACGTCAGTACACCCGATCTCAAGGACAGTTTTCGTAGCCACGTCCATTTGGCGGCGATTGGCTTGCAACCTCTACATATGTTCGTCCATGATCACGACCGAGGGAGGTACGACCATTCCAGAAGCGAGGCGCTTGAGACATGTGACGAGATCTATCACAACCTGATGAGCTACGTCCGGTCACAGCCCAGTTCAAGCTATACCTTGCTGGCGGATGGGCTGATCGACTTTGACCCTTATCTCATGCAGACCAGCTTGGTGGCCCATGCAGGAGCCATCATCATGTACATGCCACTGGTTGAATTTGATGGCAATGGACTCCAGGAGGTTCCCATGCAGCGGTGTCTTCAAGCCTGTGAGGACCTTGTGCTTCTCGTTCAGAGCATCAGTGACGCGGACTGTGAGCTGAGCTCGCCTGTGATGCCGAGCATGCTGTTCGTAGCTGCTCGATTCAAGCTCATTATGTACCGGGGGCTGAGGCGCCCGCGGGAGCCGATGTTTGACTCGCTGATGCATGGAATCAACATGAATGGGCGTCGATGGGAGGTTGCCCGCCGGTTGGATATTGTGCTCCGGGCAGCGATCATGGAGGTGGACGAGCAAGCCGATATGGAAGTGCCGGCAGTGTTTTGGAACTTGAAAAAGACTCACCTGGATATTTCTGAAGAGCTCAAGGAGTTCGTGGAGAGGAAGAAGCATTGTTTGTATGTGGGGGCATTGAATGGGCCATATGTGTGACAGGTAGCACCTGGGTAGGGTGTGTACGGATACTTTCTACGTGAGAGCCTGACATAAATCTCTGTTATTCTATTTCCTTTCTTATGCAAAGAACTCTGTACCAGGCACGGTAGATCAATAATAGTCGGGGCGTGCACCGATGTCGGCAGGGACGAAGCAGTCATCAGACAAGGGGCATTATTGTGCTGTACCTACTACTCCGTACTCCGTACGAGTACTAGGTACTCCGCAGTCCGTACTCGGGTATGTTATTACATTATATTACCTCGGCTGGTGCGGGGTTGCCAGGCTGCGCCGCCACCGGCAACTGCGGAATAGAGCGGAGTCGATAATACGTCGTATTATTAACGTACTGTATGTCCAGGGTCAGGTGCCTGTATTTCAGGCCTAATGTCCCCGTATGGGCAGCTCGTGGCGGAAATCTGCCTGCATCACTGTCATATCGATAAAGAATGCTACCTACCACCTAACCTACCACCTAACCTACCTATATACCTGACCTCGGGTCTGTATCATCGTCGACGGCTGTGCTAACTGCTGCTATTATCTTCCAACATTCATCCATCAGACGACAACTCCTCCAAAATGCCCAGCATCAGCTACTGTCCATCGCGTGCTCGCATGCGCCCGGCCAGACCCGCTGCCGGTCCAGTTGGCCGAGGATTTCATGACTCCATTCTGGATCCGAACAGCTAGATTACTTTTTCCTCCACACACCATCTTGACTCCTACATACCTTGTCTACCTGCTTCCTGCGCCTCTCCTCTCCTGCTGACCAATTTCCTTTCTTTCCGTCCTATATCTTCGATACCTCCCTGCGCTTTTTGCCCAGCGGGCCATTTCCTTGTCGCCCAGCTCTGTCTCCAGCGGGCTCCGATCATCGCTTCCCTTAAACCCCCCAGTACTCTGTGCGCCAGCCTGCTCCAATGCTCGGCCTGACACGTTGAGACAGTCACCACACTTCCGACGTTCCCTACACTCTTCCACCTCTCTCGCCCATCATGCTTCCTCCTATACCACGGCCCACAGACTACGGAGTGTCTCCGGACAGAGGATTCCTGCCTTCGGAGAACCCTCTACAATGTCTCCCACATCAAGTCTATGATCGCTGGGAGCGTATAATGAACAACTTCCAGTCACTCTTGTTGTCCAAGCGACTCCGAACTGTTATCGACAGGCTACCAGTCCTCCCCGCTGTCCACCTGGAAACCGAAGCCGAGTGGCAACGAGCGTACACTGTGCTGACCTTCATGGCGCATGGCTACATCTGGGGCGGGGAGAAGCCATCAGAAGTAAATATCATCCGAGCGGACCGCGCAAATGCATGACTAATCATTTGAACAGAGACTACCTCCATCAATCACATACCCCCTCCTACAAGTCTGCGAGCACCTTGACCTCCCCCCAGTCGCAACATATGCTGGACTCTGCTTATGGAACTTCAAACCGCTCTTCCAAGCCCAGGGTCTCGTGCTCGAAAACCTTTCCATTCTGTCCACCTTTACCGGCTCGCTGGACGAACAATGGTTTTATTTGATCAGTGTCGCCATGGAGGCAAAAGGAGGACCATGTATACCCATTATGTTGAAAGCGATCCAAGCCGCACGAAACCAGGATGCCGAGACAGTCACCACATGTTTACAATCATTCGCGCAAACGCTAGATGATCTGGCTACGACGCTGGTCAGGATGTACGAAAACTGTGATCCTCACGTATTCTACCATAGGATCCGACCGTTTCTCGCCGGTAGTAAAAACATGGAAGATGCAGGGTTGCCACACGGCGTGTTTTACGACGATGGCAGCAGCCGTTCCACGTGGCGACGGTATGGTGGCGGCTCCAACGCACAGAGCAGTCTAATTCAATTCTTTGATATTGTCCTGGGCATCGAACACCGACCGACAGGATCCAAGATAGACGAGTCATCTGAGTCGGAGGCCGAACCTGGAGCAGCACCTAAACCCAGACACAATTTCATCCATGAGATGAGACAGTACATGCCTGGGCCTCATCGAAGGTTTCTGCAAGCTGTCGAGTCCGTTGCCAACATCCGAGATTTCGTGGACTTCAACAAGTCCAATCGACCATTAACTATCGCCTACGATGCGTGTCTGGCCATGCTGAGGTCTTTACGAGATAAACACATTCAGATGGTGTCGAGATACATTATCGTCAAGAGCAGGGAGTCCCGCAGCTTGAGTCGGACTCGGCGCGGGAGCAGTTCCGACCCGGTCCATACCAGAGGGACTGGGATCGCCTCGATCCAATACGGTCGACCTCAAGATGGCGACCGGGCCCCAAAGAAAAAGATGCGTGGCACCGGAGGGACTGCTTTGATACCTTTCTTAAAGCAGGCCCGGGATGAGACCGGAGAACCCGCTATTGACGACTGGGCACGGAAACTCCTGATGGGAGGTCGTCGCACGGAGGCTGATGCCGAAATTGCTTTCGAGAGCAGACTTACCGCCGCCGAATTGGACTCGGACGAACCTCAAATCGTTGGGCTTGCTGGGGCATGGAATATGGAAGACGCCGGCGGCGGGCTCTGTGCATATTAAACTGATCCGCGCCGTCCAAGGATTGGATTGGCGCCGGTATGAATGACTACGGAGGCTTTTGTCTAAAAATTGGGGTTATTAGCGATATATTATACCTCCCTCAGCTGGCGAAGCTGGTCTCAGTACGCCCCTAAAACGGGGCTGTTGGTATAAATCACCATTCTCACTCTTTATTTTCCCCATTCGCTCGTTTCCGGTACCTCAGGTCTTTGCCGTCTTCAAGTCAGTAATCACAACCAAGTTGTGCTGTGTCTGTGGAGGAGAAAGAGGTACGGTCACGTGATATCGGTTTTCTCACGTGACACGCCCTTGTCCTCGTCCTTTATCTCAACTTCCTTACTCGCCTTACACCTTACAAGATTGTAGAGACGGCGCATCTCCTCCCGCAGGAGTGAAGATATGATGGCCAGTCTCGTGGGTCAGGGCCAGTCGGGCAGGTATGCGGCCGGGCACGACTTCGTTGCCATAAGACCTCTGCAGCACCTGCAACCCGCAACCCGCTGCTGGCCATGGTCTTGGATGCAGAGATGCCCTTCTATTGATGAGTATGGCGCAGCAAAAGTGTCTGGCGGGTCAAGCCTCAAAGACTCGGCATCCTGGCTTACTTCGACGACTGGGTGAAACATATCTTGCGAACGAATTTCCAATTCCGCCAGTAGGTGAAACGTCTCTCTGGCCAGCTCTTCCACCTCGGGTCGGCCTGGTTTTCCTGATATGATAACGTTGCTGGATGGTTGAGCAACTATGCGGCTGTGTTATCAACATGGCGCTCCTCGCCAACAGAATCGTTCTGATGCTGGACGGAGCACATCGGCGTAGAAGAACGCTCGCTTGGAGTCGAGAGCATAACAGATTCCTTTGGACAAATGTCCCGGTTCCGGTGTGATGTCAACACTGTTTCCAGTACGGCGTGATATGGATTTGCTGGTGGAGTGGCTGGAGTATCATAATAGAAGTCGGCCGATTGCAAGACCAGGAGTCAGGAAGACTCCCACCCAAGGACTGTTCGCAGTTCACAGTTGGCAGTACTCAGCGGGCACTCGATACACATCTTTTGACAGCACGAGGATGAAGAACGACGGCCAACCGATGCTCCGTTGCCTCTGACTTGTATGGACAAATATCGGCGGCTGCTCTGGTCCATGAGTGACTACTCTTGAGCCAAACGACTACGTGCTTGATATTGGGCGAACCGGCTGATTGGCGATGGCGGTCTGACTTCTGAAAATGGGAGGCTGGCTTGCAGGCTTGCAGAGCATTCACTGCCGTCAAACACTCGACTGGGCCATCTCCCGATTGATTGGCCCTCAACTGATTTCACCTTGGATTCGCTGGTATCACGAGGGTCCGGCAGAACTTCAAGGGTGAAATGCCTAATGTCAACACAGCAGAAAACAAACGCTTGCAAGAGTGAAGTACCTGTTCGGGGCATGGCACTCAATTGAGCAGTCATCAGTCCGCTCACTGCACCAAAATTCTCACTCCCAATTCAGAATCCTCTTTCTGTCAATCTCTTACAGACGCTGCTTGTCCTCTACGATTGGGTTGGAGAAGAGCACCGCTCTCACTCTCCAGCTGATCTTGCTTCAGTCTCATTGTCGAAGATTGACCTCGTTGTCGTCGTTGGCAAGATGGAGACGCCCACGGGAAGGAAGCGACCTCATTCGGAAATGAATGAGTTCTGCTACTCGTTCGACCCTTCGCCCACCACCCCGAGTACCGCCGCTACAGGAACAGAACAAGCTTCTGGCGCTCTGCAGGGAGCAATCCACCACGGCGACGGATGGACTGCGAAAACGAACTCGACAGCAATGCGGAGTGTCGTCGGCAGGGGCATTGACGACCCGTTCCAATCCACATCCACATCTACTTCATCTCACGGATGTGGCAGCCAGCTCAACCATGTCAATCCTGTCGAGAGCATGTCGTCGTTTGAATCTCCTGCTCCTGCTCCTGCTCGCCCCCAACCGGACAATGCTTTCACAGATGCAGACGCAGAAGAATTCATCAGATTGATCACAGCTGCCATGGCTGAGGATCCAACCCTAAACGGCGATCTAGACAGTGATCTCAGCGGTGACTTTGGCGACAGCAATCCTACCGGCCAGATCAATGACCAAGTCGCTGCGAACGGCAATGATGGGCAAGACTCGAACTCCTCCTCCAACGCTGTCGTCGACTCAGATGCTTCCTCGGCCCCCGGTACGATTGACTCGAATTTCTCTTCCTCCTCCATTCCAGACAATGTGAACTCCTCTCCTCCAAGTGGTTCGGTGCCAATACCCAATCCCACCAACAATATCTTCCAACGTCCAAGTCAGACCGCCGCATTTGAGACCCTCAACAATGCTGTCAACCTGCCATTCCAGTTGGAGACCATCGACTCTCAACTTGAGACAGCTACAAGAGATGGAGCAACGCCTACAAAGCAACCAAGACGGAGCAAGGCCGGCCCTAGTGCTCACATATCTGGCATCCCGCCGTCGTCACCGTCTGTGCAAGCCTCAGCCTCAGCTACTCACCCTTCAAGCGTCAAGACATTGGGCAGCCCCTTTCATCCCGCGTCTGCTCCATCGAGACTTCAGCGAGACGTCCAAACTCCAATTGACCTGTTCGAGACTCCCCCAACCACGGCCAGAAACCCTTGCACTCGCCTGATGAACGGAGTGGAGGTGTCTCCCACCCCTGTCGCTGTCGGCCGCCGGGCATCATGTCAGCCTGCACCAAGAGCAAGACCCAATAGCAATAGGGCAATACCGTTGAATGGTAAGGTATCTTCCTTTTCGTCCCCTGCTTGTCCTTCCACAGCTGGTCAGCACCGATCGCCAGCTCATTCAGTCACGGCTACGACTGGCCCGAAGAGTTTGAGGAATGGTGACCCGACCTCTCCAACCCTTCCCCCGGCCAAACGAGCTCGTACCACGACCCTCAGCTCGGAAAATATCGTCGTCAAAATTGCTGCGTCGCAGAATCAGAATCGTCGGATCTATAGCGTTGTCCCCCAATATAACCTGGCTGAATTGACCTCGCACTTCAACCAAGCAGACATCCCTTCAGACCACAAATGGCTGACTCGCATGTACGGAGATCCAGAGCCACCTCCGTCCAAGATGGCTCAAATGACTGGATACGAGTTCCCTATTCCACTGGTCACTGGCATGTTGGCTCCCTCGGGTGATGACGAGGCTGGCGCAGACTGGTACCGGCAAATGCAGCTGGCTCACAATGTGTCCGTGCCTGAAGGAAGTAACACTGGCCAGCCTCGTGGCCAAGTCCACCAACGTCAACCATCAGTTCAGGGGACGGCTGACACAACTGTTCAACGTCAAGGCTCAGGTCAAGTTCAGATGCAGGCTCGCGGTCAGTCTCAGTCTCATGGCAATTATGTCATGCGGAATCAGACTCAGACTGCTGCACAGCCACTCGGCCAAGGGTCCATGCAATGTCAATCTTATATTCCGTCTCCAAGTCAGGGATCCCTCCAGAGCCAGAACTATGCTCCGGTCCAAGGTCATCCTTCAACGCAAGGCCAAACCTACACTCAGTCATCAAGTCATGGTTCAATGCAACGGCCAAACCACGCCCAGCGCCCGGCTCACAGTTTAATGCAGGGTCAAACATACGCTCCAGCTCCAGCTCCAGGACAAGGCAGAGGACAAGCGCAAGCCAGAGGACAACCTCACATGCAGATGTGTAGACCATCACCAACACCTCAGACTCCAATGTCGCAACAGCAACAACAACGATCAACTGCACGTCTCTCAGCCGCACAGCAAGCAGGAATCGCCCCTAGATTCTCTACTATGGGACAGCCAGCGACTCCCAGTCCATCTCCACGTCGCCCTACCATACACTTACAGAATCACAGTCGAGGTTATGGTCAACCTCAGCGCACCGTGTCCACCCAGCCTTCAACCGGGATCCAAGCTCGTGTTCAGCAAGCAAACGGGGTCAATACTCGTGCTCAGGGTCAAGGTCAGGGTCAAGGTCAGGGTCAAGGTCATGGCCCGCCCCAGTCCCGGCCTGGCACCACAGCACCCTTCCCATCAATATCATCGTCATCATCATTCTCTCGAGGAGTTCACACTAATCCAGGTGTCATGATGCTGGACGATCTCGAAGCCAGCACCGCAGCCACCCTGCAGGAGCTTGATGCCCCGATCGTCGACTTCAATCCGTCCATAGCACTACATGAATCTCCTGAAGGATCCTCGGCCAACCTGTTCCAGAATATGGACATCCACGGAAACATGGGTATGAACTTTCTGGAGAACATGCACATGCAAATGCATATGAATACTGCAAATGCTTTGGGCATGAACCAAACTCAAGGTCAAGGTCTGGGTCTCGGTCTGGGTCTGGGCACCGATATACCGTTCAGCAGCAACATCGACCCGAACTTGCATCTGCAGATGAATCCAGCCGGCAACATGAACGGCGCCACCTCACGAGCCCATTCCGAATACAGAGATGGCACGGGTAGCGGATCCACGTCTATGCGTCCGGATGCCAACCCCTTCTTCACAAGCAATGGTGCTGTTCCTTCCGTGGTAGCCGTTCCAGAAACATATGCAAACGGAACTGCTTCCACAACCATGAGCCAGGCGGTTCCTGCTGAGGTCAGTGGCCATGCGAGTGCCGGTTCCCATGGTCCTGCCCAATCCACGACTGCGACTAGGAATTTTCAAGCAGCCAACCGAGACTCGAGGTCAGTCGCCATCACGGAAGCAAACACAATCCCAAAGGCAAAGCCAGCAGAAACACACCCGTCCATCCACACAGACAACTCGGTTTTCAATGGAGCAACATCTGCCGCCGACGGAGGCATGTCTATCTCGACGAATAGGCTTACTAGCGTGGACGGTTCTATCAACCATTCTAACCTTGTTGACCAAGAACACAGCGAGAGCAGTGGTGGTGGTGGCGACAACGGCAACAGCAATACCAACACTAAGAGCATGAACAACGGTAACATCACCACCAACACTAAGAGCATGAGCATGAGCATGAGCAACGGTAACATCACCAGCACCAGTACCAATAATACAGTGGTAATGGCACCAACTCTCGACCCGAACCCAACTCTCCCCATTACCACATGGGGCGCCGACCTGGGCATGGAGGATATGATGGGCATGGATATGAATTTGGATATGAATTTGGATTTGGATTTGGATTTGAACATGGACTTCAATCTCGATTTCAACCCCAACCTCGACTTCAATCCCAATTCGCTCGATTTCCATTTCCCAGCCAATGGTAACGGCGATGGTAACGGCGATGATAACGGCACCAGCAACGGCCAGGTCAACGGTCAGGCCAACGGTCAGGTCAACGCCAACGGTCACGGTACCAGCAACGGTCAGGTCAACGTCAACGGTCACGGCAACGGCACCGGCATCGGCAACGGTCAGGTCAACTGTTACGTCAATGGCGACCAAGTCAATGGCGGTCACGTCAACGGTCAGGTCAATGGTCACAGCATAAGCAACAGTCAGGTCAACAACGTACACGGCCACGGCGACGGCCACGACAGCACTGGCACCGCCCTGGACTGGGAGAAGGAACTGGGCCTGGACAAGACGGCCGGGCTCGAGTTTGATTTCAACCAGCTGTTTCAAGCTTGAAGTGGAAGACCAGAATCTGAGTGGTCGACATTGACATTGACATTGACATTGGTAAGAACCAAAACAAATAATGAAAGTGCCGACGCCGACAGACTTTGCATTCCAGACATGGGGACCGAATACCGACCGCTCCTATGTTCTGTTCTTTAGTGAGAGGAGAGGGCTCTATTATGTTCTATTCCTTGGTGCGAGGAGAGGGCTCCATTACGTTCTCTTCCTTGGTGCGAGGAGAGGGCTCCATTATGTTCTGTTCCTTGGTGCGAGGAGAGATGGGTGCGGGAGACTGGTCGCTTCACTCGTTGCCGCTCGCTCCTTCCGCTATTCGTTAGTGAGAGGAGAGATAGGAGACTGGTACTGGGATTGAGACCGAGATTGAGGATGAGACCGAGACCGAGACCGAGACTGAGGATGAAGATGAGGATGAGGATTGTATTTCGACTTCGATATCGATTTCACGAAATCCTTGGCCAGTTATTACAGGTCTCGGTCTCGAATCACATGAAATCCTTACCTAGGTACCTTAGGTAGGTAGGCAGACAGTCTTTACAGGTCTTGGTCTTGAATTGCCTATCCTAGCTTGCTCTACTCTGCTCTAGGAGTAGGTCTAGAGCTCTGCTCCCTTACCGGCGATATGGTGAGGGTGACATGATGACCTAAGTTGGCAAAAAAGTGGAAATGGAAATGGAAATGGGAGGGAAAAGGGAAAGAAGAAACAAACCAACAGAACAACAGAACGAAACCAGTATCTATTATTAATAATAGGAATAGAATGGGACTGAACATGAAACATGAACATGAACATAAGTCCCAACGAGACTTTCTTTTTCTTTTCCTTTCCTTTCCTGTTCTATCTGCTAGTTGGGTCTGGTCTCGATATCAGTATTGGTATCAGTGAGATCAAATCCAAAAAGGGAGAAATACAGGCACCGGAGGACTGACGGACATGGACATGGACTGGTCCTTTCCTTGTCCGTGTTCTGTTCTCGTCCTTAAGCCTAAGGAACTCGTCATCGTCATGGTCATCGTACGTACGTACGCATGATACGTTGAACAGACGGGCTTGATTAGACAGGCCTGATTAGACAGAATCATCATTCATCATTTCAATCTTGATCTTCAATCTTGCTCCCTAACTCAGCTCCGGCTCCAGCTCTGACTTTGGTCCTGGCTCTGACTTTGGTTCTGGCTCTGGCTCTGCTCTGGCTCGGGCTCGGGCTCGTCTGCCCACGACACTGTATGACACGGCACTGTTAAACTGGTGCTCTGAGCTTAACCCCAATTGTCAATACACTGTAACTACTTAATAGATAGTTATCTAGTGCAGGTGCCCAAAGGCCACTCAACTCAACTCGACCCCTTTAATCGTCAGTCCCGAATCCTCTCCTCACTCCTTTACTCACTCCTCTCCTCTCCTCTCCTCACTCCCCTCACTCCTGCGAGTACACGGTCAAATCCAAACCCATGCCCGTCGCCACCTTCCTCTCTATCCATCTCCGCTTGAATTCTTCCCTTGCCAGGTCCCTCGTCCGCCTGGCCCACACGTCGCCGGCAACCCGACCACGCACAAAGGCTTCCTGCAGGGCGAGGATGGCGGCCTCGATGCCCCTCTCCTCACACGCCGCGTCGTATAGCTGCCGCGCCACCACCGTTGGCGGGACCAGCATCTCGTCCACAAGTGGGATATCGTTCTGCTGGGCACGCTTCCGGGCCGAGGCAATGACGCCGTCGGATTTCGAGAGAGATGTCGACAGCAGTGAAATGTTCGACGACAGCGTCGAGTGGAGAGATTGCAGGTTGTTCAATTCCGCCGTCAGGGTTTGCAGTGTCGATTGCATGGCGACATGCTGCGAAGATAACGGGCCCAATGCCGCGCCGGATTGCTCGATTTGCGAATGTAATGACTGTGTGATCTGGTGCGAGAGGTGAGTTAGGAGCGCGTCTTTCTCGGGATTCCGAGGGATCGGCGGTGCAGGAATGTTGCTTGTTTGCGAAGCCCCAGGCCCCGTCGCTGTCGGGAGAGCAATGTCGAATGGTGAGTCGAGGAGGTCGGGTGTTGGCGGTGGAGGGGGTTTGACGGGTTGTGGGTGTTGCTGTTGCTGCTGCTGGTGTTGGTATGGCGGTTGAGCTTGTGTTTGAACATGGGGAGCTGGAAAAGGGTATGGACGTGCGTTTTGTGGCTGTCGTGGCGGTGCCGGAGCTTGACCTGGTGGATAGTGCTGCGATACAGGCCTCTCCAGCGACGTTTGCCCTTGGGGCCAGCCTTGCTCGTAGCCTTGACCTAGTGATCGGCTCGGACCTGGGACTTGCGGAGGCTGATTAGGCTGATTAGGCGGATACTGTTGTGCTTCTCCCGGCCGTCCTGGTTGATATAACGACGGCATTTGCTGCTGCGCTTGTCGGTCATACGGCTGCGGTTGCCGGCGTGGTGGAGGAATCGACTGTCTTAAACTACTACTCCGTTGGGGCAAGTAATTCATGCCGCTCAGATTTCCATTGCCATAAGGCTGCTGTGACACAGGAGGCGGAGCATCGTAGCGCCCAGGTCTCTGATATGCAGAGCCTGGACTTGTTGGACTCGGGTTGGGAATACCTTGAGCTGGCTGTTTAGGTGGTGGCGGCGGCGGCGGTGGTGTAGGGCCTCCTGTCTGTACGGGAGAACTGAGGACAGGCATGTTTGGGTGAGGCGGATGTTGTTGATGTTGTATCTCCCTCGGTAGAGGAGGGACTGGAGGGGGTGTTGGTTGAACGGGTCTTTGTTGGTCCTGAGAGGTCCTCGACATGACAGGCGGCTCCCTTCCAAAGATGTCTGCCAATATCGACAGGAAATCGACGACATTGCACCTCTGGCTATTGTGTCAGTGTGAACGTGACCTTTAGCTTCGGCCCTGTCGCAATGTGGCGGACTCACCGCCCAAGTCTCCCTCCAGTGTGCGAGATAGGGATGATATATCTTGCCATCTCCGCCTACATGCTGCCCTGGTCGAATGACCATCTCCTCCGTCGGCGTGACATAGCAGATGGGCGGCTCATATGGGTACGCATGCGGTATCCATAGCGAAATAGGAATCCGGTACGGGCTTCCTCTGAAGTCGACGGGGACGGTGCCCTGGAAGTGGACTAGGAGTGCGGCCGTTCCATTCTCGAACGCTGAGCAGCAGGTCAGTCCTCAGCCCAGTTCCTGCTTTTCTCCTTCTCTTTCTGGTCTGGGTCGTGGGTCGCGACGTACTGTAGACATCTGTCCGCGGAGCAAGTCCTGGATTGCGGGCGAGGACATGGGCAAGGTCGGAATATGTGCGATTCGGGTCGTGGTATTCCTACAGAAATCATCAGTCTCACGCCGCCTGGACTTGTGCAGAGTTTGTTCCGGGATAGGGATGCTTACGCGCTTCAAGACATTATACAGCCAGCCGAGTGTCTTCTGTGGCACCCCTGCCATTGAAGCGATGCTGGTGGTTGAGTCCACCATCTCGCTGCGTCGCAGGTACTGCAACTCGGGCGCCAGATCTCTAATTGGCCAAGGCTGGCGGGGCTGCGCTGTTTACTGTGCATGTCGATTTTGGCCGGTAGATGACTCCAACTCATACGGGATCAACAACTTTCATCCATCTGCGGGCACTTATTGAGGTTGACCAATACATCTAATTGATGGAGCTACACTCCGGGTATCATAATGCTAACTGAACAATGCATGCTGAGCCAGACTGTAGGTCTGCTCCATCGTCGTGAGCATTCCCCCCAAGTCTAAACCAATGGCCCATGATTCTACTTCCGCTCAGCAGACGCTTGTTTGTCCAAATCGACTTCGACTCCACGCTGTCTGGTCTTTCCCTCGTCATGAATCTCGTTGTATTTGGCTTGTTCCTCGCGATCGCCAGTCAGACCCGCAACAGCACTGCCGAGAGAACCCTGGATGCGATCGCTGACACCCTTTCCAAGGTCATTGAGCTGGCCTTTAGCCTCTTGACCTTGGCCTTGTGCGTTCTGTTCGCGGCCTTGGTGCTTTAGGTTTTCATTGCCAATGAGGTTGCCGATGGTCTCCTTGGCGCTACCAACGGTCTGATCCCATTGACCTTGCGTCCGGTCGCTGCTGTCTTTGGCAGGAACCCCAGTGGAGCTGACAGTGAAAGGGCCTGCTTTGGCGGCAGCATGTGAGAGGTCGGCTTCGTCGGCGCCCTTGTTCTTGTATTGGTCTGCTTTGGCCTAAGGGAAACGTTAGTGTCGGGTCGTCGACAACGGCCTCATAGACGTCAACCTACTTGGTCGGTGGTGTTGCCAGTCACGGCGGCAATGCCAGACTGAACATAGCCGGTAGCAGTGTCAATAGCTGACTGGAGGGTGGAAGGGCTCTCGTTCGAAGACATGATAAAGATGAGACTGTTGGACTGTGGTGTATGTTTGGTTGCGTGTAGGCAATATTCTGATTTCTTGAGATTCAGTATTCTGCGATAATCTGGGATGTTGAGGCTGGAGAAGGAAAAGATGCAGGGGGCAGCACTGCTTTATAGTTGTGTTTTTTGAGCTGAAGCAGGCAACAGAAGGTCACAGACACAAAGGGAGACGCGCGTGAAGCCGATGATGTCATAGCGCCCACGCCACTTGGAGGGTGAATTGTGAATGATGTAGACTGACTGCGGCGATCAGCTCAACTGCGCCGCCAAAGAATGCCACCACCGTTGCAGAATTCACTCCACATGTGACGAATAATCAACACCCTCGTGAAGATGCCGGTTTCGCCATTGCCATTGCCGTCACGCTGTTGTCGCCCTCGACTGTTTGCCTATTTGGCTGCAGCTGGCGTTATAGACCAGGGAATGGGAATAAGAATTGGAATCCGCATATGCGTACGACGGAAATTGCCGAGTGGCTTCCACTGAGCGTAAGCACACGCGTACAGAGCCCCTCGTCAGAACCTGAGTTTCGGACACACAAAGACCAGCAGGAATGCCACAACCCACATTCCAAAGATCATGGCGTATAGCTTCAGCCGACCGAGCCAGCCCTCTTCCTCGCTCATGCGTCGTAGAAAGGCCATGTTTTTGCTGGCTGCCTCCATCCCACTCACGCTCATGTCCAGGCCTTGAATTGCTCGCCCTAATATTCCCTTGTCCTGTTCCAAGGAAAAATGCATCGCCCTGCTTTGCTGCTTCAGCTGGGCCGCCATTCGAACTAAAGAGGTTGTGATGTCTTCATGCACTCGAGACGAATCCAGTAATGTACGCTCCGTAGACTGGAGGTTCGAAAAGCCACTCGTCTGCGCAACTGATCTGGGGGGTTTCCCTGGTCCGGTCTTCCCTCTATGCCTGAGATCTGAAGATGGAAACAGCTCTTCTCGCGTAGCCTCGGTCTCGGTTACGCCGTTAGTAGGAGTGTCTTCTCCCACCTGAGTCACCGGTCGACCCTCCTTCAAAGTATTGTCTTGTTCAGTCTGCGAGTGAGTGATATCAGCGTCGGCCGAGGGAAACTGCTGCCGTAACACATCGTATATGGTTTCGCCACTCTCATCGCTCGCGGGCTGCCTGTGTTCCTTCGAGTCCGTCGCCTCCGCCTCACGTCCGATCTCCTCGATTCGATTTCTCAGTCTCTTAATAATAGCCCTCTTTCCCGCCAGATCCTTGACGGCTTCGTACTTTGCTCTTTGCACCCGAATACTCTGTGCCCGTCGTTCCAGCTGTAAAAGTAACGTTCGTGCTCCTTCGATATTATGTAGCCATTTATTGCGCTGGTAGGGAAGTGGTGACCACAGTTCGGCCTGGACCTGGCTCTGCAGGGCATTCAGACTGCCATCATCGGAAGCAGAAGGAGTGAGGAGGATGAGGTGCTGGAATCGTATGAGGGTCCGATGCAGAGTAAGGTAGTCCACTTCATGTTGAAAGGGCCGCGTCTGCTGGTGGTCGCCCTGGTGGTGTTCTCGGTTCGCGCCCGCCCCGAATGGCAGTCCTACAGGACGCAAGGCCGTGCTGAGTGACATGGCAATGAAGACTCCCACCAATTGTCCTGGCACCGCATCTGCTCATGCGAAGGATACGTGGTTCGAAGGGAAGGAAGGGGACTGCAGTCGTTAATTACAACTCCAGGCGAATCTCACGTGGCGCTCGTCCAAATGGTTGCCGCTTTAAAGACAAGACTGCTCACAGTTGCTTCGCGACTTCGCCTGTGGCTCAGGCTCTGATGAAACATATTAATAGATCTTGTACGAATACTCTCGCCTCTTCGGTCTCTCAACCCAGCTCCCATCACTGATTACTGGGTAACATTTATTGGTGGGCTCCAATCTACGGAGTTTGGGACAATTCATCTCACACTTTATATCAAGTAGTAATCACTCCTCCTAGTGAAAGATATGTCCAATTCGTGTCCGAAGACAAGTCCATTATAATGTGAGATATAGAAAGAACGAATGGAAGAATCAAACTCCTCGCCAATCCAGGTAGGTCACGACGGATCCCGCGACCAGAACTTGAAAGGCCCGTACAACCATCCGACCTTTGACTTCGAGGCCGGCAATTTGAACCTATTGCCTAAACGCCCTCCTAGCTTCTGGTAAGTGTAGTCTGTCCATAGGACACCCCAACTCATGCCCGTGAGCACATCGACATCAGTGCCGGCAAGGACACCACCCGACGAAGACGTCGTGCCATTATTCGCCCCCGCCAAGTTGACAACGTCCGTGGAATTAGCAAAGTCGCTGCCGTCCGATATCGTGTCCGTGCTCCCGCTCTCCTGGGCCGACGACGTTGATGTCGCAGCCAGGCTCAAGCTGGCACCCGAACTCGAACTCGAACCCGAACTCGCCGACCCTGAGCCAATACTAAACGTGCCGTTCGAGATCAGATTCACCGCGGGCCCCAGCATCAGGCCGCGCGTGTAGTTCAAGAGCGGAGTTACCACGTCGATCTGGATGGCCGGCGACAGGGCAAACCCCATCTCGATATTGGGGAACGACGCCGTGGCCCTCAGGTAGTCAAAGTGGAAGCCCGAAGTCGAGGGCGGGCCGATGCCGAGTTTCGTCGCGTTTAGCTGAATGGTGTCGTTGGGCCCACCACCGAGTAATTCGAGGTTGAAGTTGATCGGGTCCCACGTGTACGAGAAGTCGATGGTGAGGGAGCCGTTGGACCCGGAGGAAAACACGGAGGTGAGGAACAAGACGAAGAACGCGTCGACCTCAAGCTCGGTGTTGGTCGCGCAGCCGCCGATGGGCACTGCGGCGATGCGGAAGTATGACGCCTCACGGGTCTCGAAGAAGCGGTCCCGACAGGTGACTTGGATGGAGGCCCTGTTCTTCAAGGCGTAATTGTGGAAGGAGAGTGTGGGCGGGAACACTGTGGCGGATGTGTTCCCGAACTTGAATTCGATGTTCCAGTCGAGGATTTCAACTGGCGATCATGTTAGTCTTGGATTGTCCAGACATGAAATGTTTACACGACGACGCATATGTGGTACGTACCATCACAGTTGTCGTAGAAGCTTGTCTCAGAGTCTTGCCGGGCTGCTAGGGCTTGTGTTGGTTGCGATGTTGCTACGGCCGCCGTGCTTGTGGGCAATGCGGTGTCACCAGTCGCACTTGTCGTCGCGACCGCAGTGGTGCTTGTGAGGGCCAAAGCTGTTGTGGTTACGGCAGCACCCACAGTTGTACTTGTGGTTGAGCTGGAGAGGATCGTGAAGCGTTTGAGCACCTGCTGGGCGCTAGATATGGCGTCTCGCGCCTCTTTCCCGGCTCTCACAACGCCAGGTAAGTCCAGGAGCTTGAGCGGGAAGGGAATCTCTCCGGTCGTGCTCAGCTTCTCGACGTCAATCTTGAAGAGCTGTTTCCACCACGTTCCGGAATCCTTGTCGAGCGGCTCTTTGTTAGGTGACCAAGAACAAAACGGAGGACTGGGGGCGGATAAGGAAGTGGTCGTAGTGGTCGTGGTGGTCGTGGCGGTCGTAGCAGTCGTAGGAACAGAGGATGGGCCTCCCGGATTGTTGTTATTGGTATTTCCATCTGGAAGGGCAGTCCGCCAGAGCTCGACCCAGTAACTGCCACGGTAGTAGAATTGATACAGTCTGTACGAGAATCCTGTCCACTCCGGGTGTTGGGGAAGGGCGGAAAGATCTAGGTCGATGTTCACAACCTGGTCAGTGAACTGATTCTTTAATGACCCTGTCTGTAGATCGTTGATGTGACTGATTCGGAAGCTCTGGTTGACCAACGTGACAGCGTTCTTGATAACATCGGGGGTCAGCTTCGACAGTGTCGGCAAAATCTTGACGACTTTGACAAGGTCTGCTACTCCAGCTCGCTTGGAAAGCGAATGCACGCCTGACAGATCGCGCCGCTTGACATCCGGGTTGAAGAAGTCGATTTCGTCCTCGGTTGAATTGGCAATGGGACCGGGCGAGAAATAGTCGTACTCCTCAGGAGCCGTGTTGAGGGCGCCAATGATGGCGCGGAAGTCATCTGCATAGGCTTCGAAAGTCATGGATCTGTTGAGCCAGTTGACTTCAACCAGGTCATGCAGCACCACGACCACGTATTGTACATCGGGATCGCGGATAGTGTCGTAGTACTGTGTCTCTTCATCGTTGTCACTAAAGACAACATCCGGGTCACTGTAGCCATAGAGTGTCCAGTCTGAGATGTCACCGCAATACGATGTCCAGTTATTTGGGATGATCATGATGCCAGATTCGAAGGTCTCGCCCCATTCTTGTAGGGATCCATTGATGGCAACACTCTCGTCGAAATACATGGTGAAGTAATTGTCAGGACAGTCGAACTCGATTCCAGAGTCTGGCAATAGCGTGTACAGTTCATCCTGCAGAAAGAGGAGAACGTCATCGGCATAGTCTTCTGCGTTGTAGTCGCTTGGTTCGATATATTGGTAGGAAGAAGAGCCAGAGCCTGACTGTGCGGTGGTTGTGCTTGTAGCAGTGGATGTAGTGCTCATCCAACTGTTTGAGGGGGTCAGCGTGGTTCTAGGTGATGCTGACAGCGTCACATCTATCCAGGAATCTCTGTCTTTCAGCAGTCTTGAGCGAGGGATAGGAATCACTTTGGCAGAGATGCAAGGAAGAAGCGGGAGAGCCGCGAGCCAGGCAACAGCTCGCATGTCGCCAGCGTATAGTGGGCGGTCAACAGTGTTGGCAAAGAGTAAGGTAGGCAGTCAGAAGTTTCCAACACCTGCATCTGAATGACTGACGAAGGTCCTCTTGCAGTAGTATAGCAGTGAGATATACTCACATCATCCGAATGTGCGGTGCTTGTAGCTCCCATCAGGCAAGAGATCTTTTCCACTGCCGTAAACACGCATGTTGCCGCAGCACTCATAACACCATTCAAACTATTACCCTTGGCTATCTCGGTGGAATTTGACAGCATTATGAGTAGCCAGTCTCGAAGAGAGGAGGTCATCGGGACACGTCGTTGATGCCAGGGAACAGCCAGCCACAAACCGACCTAACATTGGGTTGGTTAAATGAAATATATTGCACGACAGACTGACTTTGTGCTTCTGTCAGATATAGCTTAGTGTTTGTAGGGACGGAGTTGACCTAGTGCTCTAGTATATCGAACGACAGGAACCGTCTCCAGGGTCACGAACCTTGCTACCCAGTAGTAGTAATCTATCTCCCCTCAAGAAGATGCTGGTATGGATGGCAGTTCGGTATATACCGGGGTGACGGGTATCTGACAGGTAACTATCGGTCGCTTAGAGCAGCGCATGGGACATAGGCCACGAGCCATCAGCCTCTGGGTCTCTGTCAAGTTTCTCAGCCTCATGAAACGCGTTAAGCGAAGGGTTTGCGCCTTAGTCGTCTGCTCACTGAATGCAAGAGTACTTAACTGGACCATTGGCTCAAGTCATGATGATGTCGCGGGCGGCTCTTCGAACTTGAAGTTCTTGACAAACCTCCTGCGGGATCACACTGTATTCCTACGTTTCCTGCAACGCAGCCGATCTTCTCTCCCACTCCCACTCCCACTCACATTCCACCACTACCACCACCACCGACAGCGCACCATGAGAGTCCCTAGTTGTCAATGTGTCCTGTCAAAGGCGTTGTGTGCCGCCGTCTTGATTACATATCTCCCCCTTTCATACTCAATTTTAACTGGAAACCCCGTTGCTTACCTTGGTTTAGGGGATATAGGAGCGATACCGGTGATTGATTCTTACGATTTCATAGTCAACGACGCAGGGAGTTGGAGTATGCACCCCTTCTGATCCGTCCAAGTCGCGCCGAGCCACTGACGTGATGAATGACAGATATGGACGTGGGCGGCGAGTACAAGTGGTCCCAACCATACTACGTCCACAGCCAGGCTCAGAGGCGCAGCCTCCAACCACAGGAAGAAGTTGCAGTGTCGCCTGAGTATTCCATCACGTACTCGACCTCGGGGACATGCTCGAGCGATATCACAGTCAAGGACGCTGACACTGGAGAGGTTCTCTATAAAGAACGGAACGGGGACGTGGGAATATGGGGTCTACAGACAGGCAAATGGATTGTTTTTGGCCTGCGCACTTACAAGACGCTGGGCATTGGGATTAACTGCGGGCAAGTCGACTGGTCCATCACCACAAATGTGCTACATTACGATTTTGGCGCCGTGCTTTCGAAGGAGTCGGCAAAGCGGCGGGCTACTCACCGCCCGCCCCTTATTGCGATCAGATCAGGCATTTATTAGAATGAGATTGGACACCTTATCCCTTTGTATGGTCTGTTCAATAGCACGCGTGTATCCTTGTAAGCTGCTGTTTATTTTGACACCCACCCTAAGCACTTGATCGGACCGTATCGCACCCTGAACGCCAAAATCAACCACTCGGGGGTGGTGATGTGGCTGCGACTGCTTTGCCTCCTCCGGTGGAACCAAGAGCGCGCTCGACAGGTCCTTTGCCATGATGTGCAATCAGCAACAGTCTCTGAAAAACGTCAGGCCCAGGGTTGAACGGGGCTTTCGCAAAGGAAGAGGCAAACTCATGGAATGAGATCAAATCGGGAAATGCACTCTTCGATGTAACTGGGTTTCCGCCGTCCGCCAACAGGGCTTCCCATTCTTCTTCGGAGTCGGCATTCCATAGGCCAGGACGGTTGTCGAAAGGAAGCGCTTGGATAAAGAGCTCATGATAACAGTACCCTCGTACCCATCCGTGATAGATGCCTTGTACAAGGCAAGTCATCAACACTGCTCGGCGGAGGCTTTCGGCGAGCACCCAAGTCTTCCACCGTGGCAAGCCGGTCGCCAGTATTCCCGGGGCCTCCTGCATCATTCTAGCTGCAACCCTCCTCATATTTTCAAGAAGTTTCTCTTTCAGTTGAGATGGACGTCTGTCACCCAAAAAGAGAAACCAGATCATACAGCAGATGAAAAGTTGGAAGTTTTGCACTGTCTCTCGCAGCGGCATGGCCGAACCATTGAGTTTGTACAGCAGCTCACATATTCGGTCATACAGAGGGATGCTGTGTCGATTCCCTGTACTGTAGAGAAGCCCGACGCTTCCCGGCGACTCCCAATCTGTCTGAGAGAGCATAGCCCGCGGTTGGAACGACAGATGGTGATGGATAAACGGTGACGGCTGACTGCGGGAGACAGCATGAGCAATCTTTAGGAGCTCGCCCACCATATAGTCGACGGTGGACGTATCTGCGGAAATGGGCACCTTGGAGACCATCAGATGTCGACTGTTGGGATTTCCGATGAAGCCGATAGCTACCCTGTTCGGATCCATGTGTTGTGAAGAGACAAAATGGAGGAAGCTGTCCCGAAGGTCAACGTCTCTCGGAGTACTCGCGATTGTCCTTTCGACTTTGATCCCGCTCTCGTGAGAAGACCTGGAATCGGCCAGCAAGGGTTCCAGATCGTAAACGCAATCAAGCTGCCGGACCTGGCACCGGTGGCATTTGGGTAGCTGCACAATGCATCGGCGTTTTGCACGAGTGCAGCTCTGGCAGGCCTTGCGAAGTGATCTTGTCATTGCCGGAAGGGCCTTGGGCCCTGGTCCCTGTTGATCAGTCAGGAGCAGGCTGGGACGACGGACGAATTTGAGGAGAGAAGAAAAGGACTAGATCCCATTGTCGGGACGCAGGGGTTGTTTCTGATTATGTAGGACTCGGTACGTGTACGGAGTACTCTGTAGCTGTAGGTGGAGGGAGCGGAGGTATCGCAGTGAGACGGCGATACAGCAGATATTCCAGTACATCGCCGAACCAATGGTGTGAGAGTGCGAAGAGAGAAGAGATGCTAGCTGACTGCTCCAACCCCAGATAGGTTTAGTTCCCACCCTGCGGCGTCCCTGCGGCGTACTAGTACAGTACCTGCGGCCTGGGGCCAGGCTACTTACCTAGGTAGGCCTCCTAAGCCTCGTCCTGCGCCGTCACTTGAACAGTGTTGGGCTACTCTCCCACTCTCTATACTACTCTGTATCGCCTCGGGCTCCTGTACAACATCGCATTCGGTTTCCATCCGCCAGATCTGGAAGCAGTTTAGTTCCCCCTGCGATCGAGAACCGACTTTTGCCTATGAGACCCCTTTAAGCAGCACGGGCGGCCATGTCTCGATATCTCCGTCAAAGCCGTCAACACGCACGGCGGAGGCGATGGAAGTGCGGTGCTCCAGAGCCAACATGTAGTGAAGATGTCTCTTTTTATTCAGGATCCAAGTTCTCTCTCTCTCCCTCTCCCTGTCTCATCAAATCCACAACGAGCGAAACGAACGACCTGATCATTGACCCCGAGCAACAATGTCTCAAATGCTCCAACATTCGTCTTTGAGCGCCCTAATCCGAGTATGTGTCCAGCGAAGATACTCACCTTCACCCTGGCACGATCCTGAAAAAATCCCCAACCTGCCTTCAGAAAGACAGGCTGTTAAAGGAGAGGAAGGGCCTGTCACAGTTGTCGGATGGGATGGCCCCAACGACATCGAGAACCCACAAAACTTCTCTCCTATCAAGAAGGTTTTCATAACAGCCTTCATCTGTGTCTTCACCTGGTCAATCTACGTCGGCTCGGCCATATACACCCCCAGTCAGCCTGGCATCGAGGAAGCATTTGCCGTCAACCACCTCGACTCTACGCTCGGGCTGGCTCTGTACGTGCTAGCATATGGGCTGGGGGGTCTCGTCTTCTCGCCGCTCTCAGAAGTCCCGTTGATAGGACGCAACCCTCCGTACGCCATATCGGGCTTGCTGTTTGTGATCCTTTGCATCCCAACGTCACTGGTCGACAATTATGCTGGTCTCATGGTCCTCCGCTTTCTGTTGGGCTTCATGGGCTCGCCTTGTCTGGCCACCGCAGGCGCAACGCTGGGCGATATTTGGGCACCAGAGCACTTCCCCTACGCCATCGGACTCTGGGCTGCGACGACCTCTTGCGGCCCCGCCCTGGGACCGCTCTTGTCGTCCTTCGCCGTCGACGCTCTAGGCTGGAGGTTTTCCAGCTGGGAGCTCCTCATCATCTCCGGTTCGGTGTACGCGGTCTTCATGGTCTTTCTCCCTGAGACGGCCGCCCCGACCATCCTCTACTACCGCGCCAAGCGACTGAGAGAGCTTACGGGTGACTTGGGCTTCAAGTCACAGCAAGAAACTGACCAGGCACACCTCACCGTTGGTGGGCGGTTGCGAAACTCACTTATCAAGCCGTGGGAGGTCAATATCAAGGATTGGGCACTGTTGTTCATGACTCTCTACATGGGCTTGATTTATGCCATCTTATACTCCTTCTTTGAGGTACGCAGACCCCCCTATCAGCCGGCTATGTAGACCTCTGGCCAGTCGTTCCCCCACCGCAGTGAACCCCCACGACTAACACAAGGGTGGTGCTCAACAGTCCCTTCCACTCGTGTATCCGGTCATGTATGGCTTCTCGCCGACATCGACGTCACTCATTTGGCTTGTAACAGCCCCTGCTGTCACAATCGGCTTCTTCTTCCACTGCGTCTGGCTTTCAAAACGCGTCCAATCCAAGATTCAACGTGGCACATTCGGCGAATTGGAAGGATTCCTCGAGATGGGCGTTGTTGGCGGTATTCTGATGCCCTTGTCGCTTTTCATGTTTGGTGAGGCGAAGCCTTTTCACCTCCATTTGCCAAACTTCTACTAACAGCATTCATAGCATGGACGGCTCGCCCTTCCATCCACTGGATGGTTCCCACGACGTCGATTTTCTTGTACATGTTATCCCAGTACTTCATCACCAATTCCGTCTTCCTGTATATACCCAACATCTACCCACGGTACGCAGCCAGCATCTTCGCCGCCAACAGCGTTTCCCGATCGGCGCTGGCGTTTGCCGCTGTGCTGGTGGGCCGGCCACTGTTCGAGGGCCTCGGAGTCAATGGAGGAGTCAGTCTTCTGGCAGGCTTGACCGTCATATGTGCAGGACTGATCACTGGCTTGTACTGGAGCTGGGGGAAGAAGCTGAGGGCGAGAAGTAGATTCGCTACGTCTTAGGGTTCGAGTATTGCTAGAAAACCGATCGGGCCGAGTGGCGTTTCGGCTCCACGGCCAACCCAGCGGCTCCTTGTGACCATTTTCAACCACATTCGACCTCTCCGCCACCCATCCCGGCGCAAGTCCCGTACTGCCTCAAAATCTCATCTGTGCCCTCACCGACTACGTCTCCGGTCTCGCACACCTTGGACGGCCACGACATGGCCCAGTCCCATTCTGTTGGCAAAGCGCCCGCGATTCCTCGGACCTCTCGCTGTGCCACTCCGCGGAAGAACCAGTAGTGTCTTGCCAAAGGCGTGGTCATGGCAAAGTAGTGCGCGAGGATTACCAGGGCGCAGGGATGCATAGATGCGACTAGAGATAGGTACGCCGCCGGGGCCAGGGTTGGAAATGCCGTCACGCGGCGCGAGAGCTGGTAGGGCGGCTCGTCGCGCAGGAAGGCCGCATGGATGGAGCCAACTAGGGCGACGGTCTGTGAGAGAGTCGACTGTATCTCCGGTGGTGTTGAGGTTCCGGGAAAGACGGGACCGGGCCCGTTTCTCGGAGCACTTGTCAGGCATTTCTGGAATTCAAGAATAGGTGCAAACGGGCCGACATTGACAGGGTCAAAGAGAACGTCCATGTCGGAGCGCCCAGGCGTATACTTGACCCGGTCGGCTGAGAGCAGGTCTGATAGGATGTGACCGTGGAACGACATGGAGTGCGCAGCGGTGACGGTGGAGCGAATGCCACGAGACAAGTTGAGATACTGTGTAGGCGGACGATAGGCGACCGAGCTTTCTTGCAGATGCATAGCGGCGATCGAGATCAGAATGGAGGTCAAGGCCAGAGACTCTGCGTTGGCCGCGGAAATAGCCATCAGAGCCTGCTGTTGAAACTGGAGGGCCGATTGAAGGTAGAAGTGATGCGTTTCGCGCATGTTGACGTGGGAAAGCGCCGCGGGGACAGGGTGCGTTTTTACGAGGTCGCCTCCTCGGGCCTGCCCCGGTTCGACGTCTAGAGAATGCTCATTGCTGTATGTGACGCGGCCTTCGATCACCTCCAAGGCGATGTGTAGCGACGATACGGCGAAGATGGCGGCCAGCAGGCACTCGTGCTGAAACGCCAGCCTCACTGCCTCGACGGAGTAGATTGGCCTCTGGGACGCTTGCCCGCTTTCTGTCGGAAACAGCGGCGCCACTACCGTGGTATAGTGGTGAAGCAGATACAGCTCAAGCAGTCGTCGATCTTGAGGTTCTAAGCGTGGGCCAGACTGGTCCGATTCGGCGGCGGGGGGGAGGGCCAAGGCTGGGTCAGGGTCATCTGAAGCCTGAGCCTCGGTCCTCAGGGCATTGTCCTCTACCTCTGCTTCTGCTGGTAGAGCTTGCGTGGTCGTGCTAGGTCGATGCGCAGGCATCGGCATCGGCGTCGGCGTGAGCCTGGCATGATGACTCCATGGGTAACTGTATGAGCACGGCTCACCGCGACGCTGGCATGCCGTGCAGTGTGGCGTGGCTTCGTCACACTTGACCTAAGTAGGGACCAAGTTGTAAGATACCTAGTCAGCAACGTGAAATGAAACACTGAGGTTTGGGGGGTTGCTCACCTTGCGGTTCTTGCAGTTGACACAGCCTCGCCTCGATTTGCGGTGTCTGGGGCGCGGCGCCATGACGACACAGGGCTGAAGGCTGAGGGCTGAAGGTTTTGGACAAAGAAAGAAGGGAATCCGAGAGCTCGGATTCAGCAGCTCGCTATTGGACCAGCACTGTCTTGGCGCGGGGGAGGTAAGCCCGTCACTGACGATCCTGGACAGCGGGACATCACTACCACCCCTACCTCTACTACTCATTAGATGCACCTAACATGCTCCCTGTCTGCACTTACCTCCTACTCCCTGCACTCGAATCAGACGGGACGACACACTCTACACATGCAAGCAGAGCAGCGTTGGACGATCTTCAAGCCGCAATGCCGATCAGGCGCCCAAACTGCGGCCATCGTGGCCATGCAGAGCCACTGGCATGGTGATCAAAGAGATGGGCAGGGGTGGTATGTGATCTGCTGCGTATATATACCTTAATACAATGGCCATGGCCAAAGGAGTTTCCAGTGCTCGCTATTCCAGACTTTGTCTTCGATCTGTCTATTTATTTGTCTGTCTGCTTGCGTCTCCTATCTCCAGAGCCATTCAAATTTTATCCTCGATCCTCAATCCTCAGTCATGCCTCTTGCTAAAGGCGTCGTCAACATACTCGGTGTTGCAACTGAAGCATATGCTCACCACAAGCAGAAGAAAGAAGCGACAAGCCGAAGCCTGCAACCATCAGAAGATTGCTCAAGGTCTTCGACATCATCATCAACATTATCGTCGTCGTCGTCGTCACCTGTCGGCTTTGTCGAGGATGACGACGATGAATGGCTTCGGGATGAAGCGCAAGAACAACTCAAAGATGGTACCGAGACCGACACCCAGATTAAGATGGTGGTTCTACCTCCCAACGTCGAAGCTCAACAATTCGCCAGCCCTTCACAGTCACCAGGACTGCCGTGTCCCGTCATCTTGCCGCAAAGACGGCCAGAGAGCAAATCCAAAGGCTTCGTTCGAGCGTACGCACCTGATCTCGCTGGGTGCGGGATCGACCAGGCGACCTGGCTCCAGTTCCTGGCCGACTTCGAACAGTCCGTCAAGGTATCTTTCTTACCAGCCACGATTTCTTCTCCGCGTTCTACTGCTAATGCATCCCAGGGCGAAGGCTACTTTCACGCCGTCAACCTATCCATCGCGGCCGGGGTGCTGACCTACACGGTCGCGGCAGCCACGGTCAATCCGGCAGTACATCTGGCCGCATTCGCCGTGCACACCAGCATCGAGGCGGGACGCCGGCTGCGCAATACTCGGGAGATCAACAAATACCTCGAGAGCATGAACGAAGAGCTATTCAAACCGCGCGGCCTCTACGCTCTTCTCATGACGTACAAGCCAACCTCGTCCGAGTCCGTGGTTGGCGTCGACATGAAGCAAAGTGTCGCCTCGTCCATCATGTCGCGCAACTCGGGCCAGCGCACCAAGTTCCGCACCGCCAGCGGCAAGACCTACGGCGACGCCGAGCTGCCAGAGTGCGCGCCGCTGGTCTTCCCGGCCCTCGACGCCGCGAACCCGGAGCAGAAGCAGAATGCGTTCAAGCGCGCCGGCGCCTTCATGAGCGACTACCGAGACCGACGCGCGCGCGCTCAGTTCGAGCACAACAACCCCGATTCACGCCTCAACATCCTCCCGCAGGAGAAATTCTCCAGCATTTTCGCCGACCCCAACCACCCCATCAACAAGGGCGGCTCGCTCAACGTCATCACCGGAGGCTACCTGTACAAGGGGGCCAAGGCCCTGCGAGACGGCGGCGCCGGCAACGCCCTCCCCTTCAAGTTGGGTCGACAGGCCGGCAAGGAAGGCACGGGAGTCGGAGGGACCAGCGGCCAATTCGTCAAGAGGATCATTGGCGAGAATGTCTTGTACCTCATGGTGGTCAATATGCCCACGGAAGAAGAAATGAGACAAGCTGCCCGGTTGGAGGAAAGAGCCAGGGCCATGTCGGCAGAGTGAGCGAGGCTTGAGGGGTCGGTTGAGCATAGAGCATCGAGCCCATAGCACCCTCATTGTACATAATTACGGAGTACACATGTTCATTCTTGCTCTGCACATCTCAATCACAATGCTTAGGCCCCCCCCAACCTCATGTTTGTGAAGAAACAGAAAACAATGGACGGATTCACAGTCGTGTTGCATATGTCTTCTCTGGAAACTGATGTACACACAACGGCTAGTGCTAGTTTCTTTTTTCTGTTTTGGAAATCTAACTCGACAACGCCCCCTGCATAGCCCAACCATGAAAAACCTGTGAACGCTCCATTTCATTTCAGGCCTGCGAGAATGAAGAGAATAAACATCCATCTTCCTTGCAATTGACGAAACACAGGCCACAGTACAGGAATAGGTGCAAAGAGCCAATGTCGAGTTCGCGGGACCCCTGCCTGCGAATTCAAGTGCAATAACCCACTTGCCAAAGAGGACCTGCCTGGCCGAGTTGGGGGGAGGGGGAGGTCAGGAGTGGCATATACACAGTGTGTCGAAGTCGAAAGGCGCAACATGTCCAAGTGGACAGTCGCATCTGGAAAAAATCACTCCAGCCATCCCGAAAGGTCGGTTGGCCATTCGTCCCGGTTCACAGACAAACGGCAACCGGATTTGAAAGAGTCGTGAACCATGCCCATTTGACATCATATGAGACCGCACATTCGAAGGTTCTCTTGAATGATGATATCTATATCCAAGTCAGATCTCCAATCGTTCGGGACAGGTGGCAGGTGACATACCGTTGACCGCCCCCATGACAAATCTTATCTGGGTGGTGTCAGTGGCACAGGTGAAGTGCGTGTAGATTTGTTTCGTCTCGGCTTGATTGAGCGACACGAATCTGTTGAGGATGTAGTCACACGCCGCAGCGTAGTCAGGGCCACCTAGAGGATATAGTGAGCGACGACCGCCTACGATGCGAACGGCTGGATTGAGAGACTAACCTTCATAATCCGGGAAGTAGTTTTGCATGGGGCTGACGGGGAGCTTCTCCTTGAACCTGTCAATCTTGTTCAAGAACAAGATGATACTAGTCTTGATGAACCATCTGGAATTGCAAATACTGTCGAACAGGGTGAGCGCCTCCTGCATTCGATTGACCGTCTCGTCCTCAAAGAGTAATTGATCGTATTCCGAGATGGCGACTAGGAAGAGAATTGTGGTGACATTTTCGAAACAGTGGATCCACTTCTTTCGTTCAGACCGTTGACCACCGACGTCAAACATACGGTAGGTGAGATCCTGAATGATGAATGTCGTCTCGGTGATACCGGTCGTTTTGACTCGAGACCGAAGGACGTCCTGGTCGTTGGGAAGGTAATCGTGGGCAGCGATGCGGTCGATGGAGTCGAAATAGCTGAAGATGGGTAAGAGAACGATCCCACGAGGCCGATCTTGGGTACAACTTACTATTTGGCAGAATCGTTTAGCTGGTATTCTCTTGACCGCTTGAAGCATTCTTGAACTCCTGCATCCAGCCACAGAGCCTTGATTGCAGCTCCAACCTCGGGAGGAAGGCTTTCTCCTTCGATTTGCGGAGGCTGCATAAAGATGGTTTGGACGTGATATTCAGCTCGAGGGTCATCAAGAGGCAGCTCGAGGGATTCCATGGCCTCTAGTATTACGCGCATAGACTGCACTGTGTTGGAGAAGATGATTTCCTTGAACGATTCGCGTTCGTCTCGCGAGTAGCCCCCCTCGTGAATGAGCTTCATCTGCTTGAGGATTGTAGATTTTCCGGATTCACCAGCGCCTGTCCTGAGTTTAGACGTGATCGTGACATGGTATACCAGGACCTGGACCTGAACGTACCGAGTAGAAGCATTTTGATCTCGTTGCGCTGGGCCATCTTGTCCCTCTTGAGCTGATTTTCAATCTCATCGTTCCTTGCCTTGCCGGCGGTGTCTTCTTTGCTCGCACCGCACCCCATGGCTGCCGGCCACAAGAGATAGAGGAGGAAGGAACCGCGTTTCGATTTCAGGCTCGGGGGTTCGAACCTACAACCAGAGCTGGCCGAGTCAGTACGAAGGAGCGGAAAAGCTGGTACTTTGGCCCACGGGGAGGCTGTGAAGTCGCAAGCCGATCTATACCGACGAGTTGAATTTTACAGACTCTGATGCTCACCTTCGGTCGAGGTCTGGTGCCGCAGGATGGCAGCAAAACGTGTGCAGCGGGAAGTGTGAACCCGCCGAATCACCCAAAAGACGTGAGGTTGGTAGTGAGAGAAAACCCAAGGGTGATCAGCACGGCAGAGGGCGAAAGTGGAAGCACTGGCGTCGATCCGTGAGCTGGACGGCGCGAGCGACGGGGCGGGTGCCAGTGTCAGGGAACGAAGTGTCGAGGGTGGCCGGTGCGTCGCCTTCTTCTCTCGTGACACGCTGCAACTGCGTATAAGAGGTGTCAAACAGGACACAGTGCCGACGGTGATCGGAGGGAGTGAAATGGGGATGAAACGATGGATGAAGGACAATAATAATGGATGGCGAAAGCCCATCCCAAGCGAGGCAGGAGAGTCGAAGCATCATCAATGGAGAAGGGTGTGTGTGTGAGTCTAGTACTAGCAGCAGTAGTGCACCCAAGAAGGACAGGTGCAGTTTTGCAAGGAGCAGCCCAGAAATGACGGGGGTGGGTGTAACACACGTAGAAGGCGCCGCAGGGAGTCCCAAGTCAGCCTCCTAAGCCCAGCTAAGGGACCCGGGTCAGGTCCAAGGTGGCAGGTCCGGGCTTCAGAGTTACGGGTAAGCGTTAGCCTGCCTTTAGTGCCCCCCGGCTAGCCTGGAGAGCGCCTAGTGCCAGAGCCTACGGAGCCCATCAACGGCACCGGGGCCCAGTGGCCACTGGGAGAGAACCCAGAACCTCCTCAACCCCCTGTCAGGCTTCAGGCGTCGACACACTGGGCACTTCTTTTCCGCCAGCTGCAAGCTCGCAAGTGACACGGACGACAAACGGGCCATGTCAGTCGTCGGCCATGTCAACAAGACGAGTACGGAGTACCGAACATAGTAACAGCAGCTATGTGCTATGTGCTATGTGCTATGTGCTATGTGCTATGTACGGATTCCTTGCCTTCTCCAGCGGCTGTGGTGACACTAACATTGGCCATCGACGGATGCATTCGTCTTCGTCCTCTGTCATCCACCAGATCCATCACGACGACCTCTTCCGTGCCTCCGTCAAGCATGAAGCGGCCCACTCCAGCAACGCCAGCCAGTCGACCAGAGTCACCGACACCCTTCCTGGCAGATGCGACCCTCGTTGAGGCAACTGAGGTTGGCTCTGGCCTCGAACACCCAGAGATTGCCCACTGGGTCGCACCTACGAGGCTATCCGGCTTCCAGCATTACTCTAGATTGGTTCTGGCGCAGGGGCAAATGCGGGCTCCGCCGTAACCCAAGGCCCCTACGCCCCATCGAACATCCTGTACGGAGTAAGACTCGGGCCCAAGTCTCGACAACAATCAAACAGATGCGCAGACAATTTTACACGAACGCAGCGTTTAGTAATAGACAGCCCTACTCCCTAAGCGCTGCCAACGAGTCGGTACGTTCGCCGTTAGCGAGAATGAGGCTATCCAGGTACTAGGTAGGTGCTAGGTGCTGGGTAGTAGGGAGCCGCTGCTGACCTCCAGCTTGGAACAGTTTTCTACACCGCTGACTCCTCCGCACATCAAACGATCTAGCGTATCCGGAAACCCCTTATAACTGCAGCCGACTCCCCCGCTTGCTCGTTGACGGGTGAAGAAACGTTAATACGGAGACATGGACATTGGACACTGATGCCGAGATGGGGACTATCATCAACGGCGTCCTCAAGCGAGTCGATGGCGAGACACTTTGAAATTGTATGGTATATCTAGAGTATCAGGTTACTAATGGATCTTCCCAGTCTCGCCAGCTTGGATCCTTCAGGCACAGAGGCTCGAGCAGCCGCTAGTCGTCGTCTTTTGCCTCTCGAATATACCATACACTAGACAGAACGGAGTAGACCTGGCCACTGTCGACCCAAAGAACGCTTCTGCTTGCTGTTGTTAGTCATGCCACGAGAGAGTTCCAACACCTTGTCGATATAGCTAGGTATTCTGTACGGATACACTCGGACAATCAATCCACGGCCTGAAACAATCACCTGCACCCCTGCGTGAGTACCAGCTCTGTGGAAAGGGCCTGGTGACAGCCGTCGGAACGTCGATCTGGACCTGGATGCGGGTGCATCAGGTGCTCCGTCCGCTTCGTATAAGCCCATCAAAAGGGCAACGGTCAACCGCAAGTACGGAGGTACTCCGTATGTCGAACTACAGTGCGATTCCGGTTCCCTGTGTCCTGTCTTGGTACGATGGCTCTGGTTCGGGGACCCCTGGAGACGCCCACTGTGCTGCACCTCTAACTTTCAATGATTTCTGGGGGCTTGGGAGCTTTCGATGCGCGGGTAGGGAGGCCTGCAGGCTGCAACCTAGCTGCATTCTCCCGGGGACCCGTAATAGCAACAGCCCGTTCTTGAGTGGGAGCTGGACGATTTGCCGTGTTCTGCCGTGAAGATCCAACGCCACCAATGGACTTCCCGTGGCACCTGTCAAATCACATCCAGCTAAGCTGCACTCGCCTGCCGCGTCTCGATCTGCGCCGCCTTGGACTGTTCTGATTTGATCACTCGACCCCGGGATTGAGGTCAAACTCCGTCTTGATGGCATCCCAGCTGCAAGCTCAAGCGCCCACTGTCTTGGAATGGCGTTTCTCCCGCCCATCTGGGCAATGATCGCCCCGGAATGACTGCAACCAGCGACGAAAGCGGACAGACGATCTTCCCACAGCGAAACAAGCGGTGCGTCTGCTCATCAGGCCGGATAAGTGACGGCACTAGACAAGGGCCATCTCCGTAGGGGACACACAGTATCCGTACCTGGCACCTCAACAGTATTACGAACTGGGGAGAGGCCTCCGAGGCCTCTGCCTGCCCATTGCCGATGGCCTCATCAGATTCCCATTGGCACTTCGAGACCGTGGATATCAGATACAGGTCCACAGACATTGGATCAGACACTGGCTGTGCCTAGGCGGCAACATGCATCACAGATATCACTAATTATTCAGGTATATATATCGACGTTTCTAATAATCTGTGTATTCCTTTCTCATCAGCGGCCCGGAAGTGTGACATGTCACCCGCTGCCTCAGCACGATTCCAGCCTCGCTTCGCTTCGGACCAAGCTGGTCTGAACAAAGATGTTAACAAATATTGCTGACATTTGCCTCTTCGGCGTACTCAAAAAGCAGAGAAGGCTTAGGATAGAGGCCTCCTAAGCCCCAAAAAAACAAAGAGCCCCAGAAAACCCCGGTCGCCTTCTGCACCGAAACGGAAATGCTTCCAACCCCACGCCAGCCTTGCGCAGATGGCCTGGCCATGTGGGGTAATACACATTTGCCGCATTCGGCGTCGTCACGGCCCTGAGTGCAGGACGATGGCGATTAAAAGACGACAGAGGGCTGCAGCAAGTGCAAATCAGCTGGATGATCTAGTCCTGTACGGTCGAGCCTCGACCGCCTTTGAAGACCTCGGATAGCATGTCCGAAAACGAGGTGCGGTCAAGACGTTGAACCATCTGTTCGACCAACGCTGGCCCTAGAAGATAGCACCTTCCACTCATCCTTCGCTCTCGGTGCTCTGGAATGCGGACCAGAATACAGAAAGCCTTTCCATCAATCTCTGGCGGTTTGGACGCTGCTCATTTAGAACGGAGGACTAGGGAGACGAACTGGTCGTTGACCTTTCTACGGCTTTGTAACCTGAAGGAACGGAGGTTCGTTCAGCGAGCTGGAGATTAAATGTTGACCCCTGGTGCTAGCATTGACCGTGTCATCAGGGGAGAGCTCGGTCGCGGGATTTACATGGTGCGATTGATACCGTCGACCGACACACGGCCCTCGAACACATGAACATACTGTTCACATAGCTGGCATTATCTCCGCACGAGGCTGTGCACATTGCCGTCCCTCTCCACCGGCTTGTCGTCCCGCAATCTCTTCCTCCGCAGTTTGCCCCATGTTTTGGCCTGGCATCGGCTGCGTACTGCAGACCCTGCGCACATGTGGGGGATCTCCGGGTCCCTAGCACTCGAGGGGTTGAAGCTTGTCCTCCAGACTTTCTATCCTACATCACACTCTCTACTGCTCTCATCATGGCTATCATCGGCACCTCGACCATCGTCTTTCCCAAGTTGGACCTCGCCAAAGGGGAGTCAGGCAAGGGCAAGAGGACACATGTATGCAACGTCTGTTCGAGAGCCTTCAAGCGAAGTGAGCATTGTATCCGCCACCAACGAGGCCGTAAGTCCAGCTCGGGCCCCAAATGCCTCCCCGTCATTGACTGACAAGGCGTAGACACCCAAGAGAAGCCGTTTGCGTGCCGAGTTTGTCGACGACGATACAGTCGCAGGTACCCTCACTCTCCCCGAGTCGTTCTCCTACTATAGTCCTTGAATTGACAATCACCCTCTGCAGAGACCTGCTTGTTCGCCACGAAAGGACTCTACACTCGCCTGAGCAGCTTGCCAACGCGACCGAGGAGCCGCCTCCCAAAAAAGCCAGGTCTGCAACACAAACATCTGGTGCGCTCCCTCTGTCTTTTGTTCGTGTTAATTTCTAACAAAGAAAGTAGCGAACGAAGTGCCATCGGCCAATTCTTCGTCGGAAGAACTGAGCGATGAAGCATTGATCCTAGCCGAAACCCACCAAATCCAACCCCCCTCAGATCGAGATGGAGAACAGACTATCATCTCCAAGCAAGCGGCAACGCAGCCCACAGTGTCGTCGACTACTATCCAAGATGCAGAGCCTGAGGGAACAGGCTCATCTCACGAGGTGTTCCAGCAGTCCAGCACCGTTGACCTGGCGATGGGGTCACAGATAAGCCCACCGATTGTCCCCGACACGGCCGCTAGGATGGACCTTTCAGCGACAACGATGCTTGAGGCAACTGACTTTGGCGTGGTTATACCTGAGATCGACAGGATGCGCACGTTTCCCACCTCCATGCCATTACCAGAGCTCGACGGAGACCTCGATTTCCTTAATTTCTTCGACCCCTTTACAGGCTTGCATCCCAAACAAGTGGAGGCGTGTGCACTTCCACCATTGATAGGCAATATAGACGGATGGTCGCCACTGGAAAATTTCTCCACCTCAAGCCAAACTTCGATGCAGGACTATGACTTTCACCAAGCATCTGTACCGACTTCGACTTCATCAGATCCTCAACTTGTTGACTCGAGCCGACTCACCTCGCAACCAGGCAACTCACCAACCTCCGGGCTTGGCCAAGGGTGGAAGCCTGATTGTCAGAAGTCCAAAATTACCTCGACAAGCGTCCTCAGCGGAGTCGGCACATATCAATCTCCCGAGTTGGAGAAGCCAGTATCTGACAGGCAAGGGAGTCTCACTTTCACCGATGAAATGCGATCGACGATTTCAGAGGACCTCTCCCGTCGGCTGTCTCCCGAACAGTTGCACAGCTTCCGCCTGCCAAGTACAACTGCTTTACGCAAGTGCCTTCGAACATATGTCGACGCCTTCCATGTTCACATGCCAATCTTTCACCTTCACACTATGGATCTCGGAAGCACGCCCTCGCCCCTGGTTTTAGTCATCTGTGCCATCGGAGCTCTTTACCGCCTGGAGAGGAAAGTGGCTGCGTCCTTGTACCTGGCGGCTGGCCAGGCACTCTGTGCCACGGTTGACCGCCGTGGACAAGCCCCAAAGAAGCCTCGCTTTCTGGAGGATTGGAGCCAGCCTTCGGTGGAAAAGCCGGCATCGTATCAGCAATATGTATGGCCAAGTCAGACGCGGCTTCTGCTGGCCATGTTCGCTTGCTTCAGTGGAGACCCGGAGGTCATTGCAAAGTCGATTGTGCAACTTGGCGAGTTCCTGATCGTGAGTTCTCTAGGTCCCGCCTTGGTTCCCTGCTGATCACGTCGCAGGATTACCGCGAATTGGCCCTAGCCGCAAAGCCTCGAAAGGCTGGATTGGAGTCCCTGTCGTGGGAAGAGTGGATCGAGAGAGAGACCGTCAAGAGGTAGTCCGAGCGATACCGGTGGCGTCCTTAAAGTGTGCTGACACTTCCCTACAGATTGCTGTACGGCCATATCATGTTTGGCAACTTGGTGACAATGACCTATGGGATTCCGCCTGGGTACTCGATCGTCTCAGATGGGTATCTCGAAATGCCATGCGAGCAATGCCTGTGGGATGCCTCCACTGCAGAAAAGTGGCATGAACTTGCCGCGTGGACGGGAAAGAGCTCGTCGATGTCCTTGAGAGACGCCGTCTCGAGTCTGATGTGCGCAAATCCATCCAAAGGCGTACCTGATGAGTGCTGGGCATGGTCTCCATTCGCAGTGAGTGTTGTCATCAATGCGGTCTCCATCCAGATCTGGCACATTACCCAAGGCTCCTACTCCCTGGGCCATTTTTCCGGTCACGGATCCTCTGCAGAGGCACAGAAACCGCAGCTCTTGGTTCAGACTGAAGCTGCATTGTCCAGATGTCGGGCTCTTATCACCCAAGTCCGTTCCGACGCGGACTATGCTTGGTCCGAGGCCGATGGACCTCTGCTGTTCAATTGCCTGGCACTGCTGCGAGTCAGCTACTGCCGCACTTTTGCTGGTATTGGAGGGGCGGATTCGATGATTCTCCTGAAAGAGAGCCGGGCCGAACTAGTGGCCTCGATTGAAGATTTTGTTGCAATGCCGCAAGACCGCAGTGACCGAGTGACCAGAGCTGTCAGCCGGGCATTTGAGGGATTGTTGATACCCTACAAATCAGGGACTCTGCTGGTCAAGAAGACGGCAGCCTTGACCTGGGCGATAGGGCATGCTCTTGCCGGGTGGGATGCGGGTAAGCAATGAAGTCTCGTGTTCGTGGCTTTGGAACTGACGTCGAATAACAGCTCTGCTCGTCACCAAATGGCTATATGCGATCGAACTTGAGACCCGCGGAGGGAGCACCGGAACTGTGGGCGAACGGGAAGCGCAAACGATGCAGAGCATTCGAGAACTCCTGACCGATCTCGACGATGGTGCAGGGGATCAAGCTTCCGGGTGTTTGGCAGCCAAACTGGCTCGGTACTGGGCAGGCTTCTATGATGATACTTGGGTCTGGGGACTGACGCCGCGAATGGGCTGGGCGTTGAGGGAGCTGGCCACCTGCTACGAGAGCAGCTTGCCTGGGGTCTGATGCTAGATGTAGTGATTGACACACCAGCGAATCAAAGCCCCATCTGTTTGTATTTGTCTGTCCGCTCTTTATTGCGACGTAAAAGGGAGACGGGAGAGGATGAGTGGCTTGAATAATGACGCTGTCTGACAGAAAGTCCCCCGCAAGCCTGACCCTCGTCCCCGCAGTCCTGACCGTGTCAGACGACATGACAGAAACGGGGAGTCCAGTCAAGCTCCTACAGCTACAGTACAAGCTGCATACTCGAATCCGTTGGCTTGGAGCTTCTCGTCAGGTTCCCACGGTCAATCGCCTCGCTCGTCTATCTCCACGAAGCACTTCCATAGCCGAGGCGCTGTCGCCAACATGGCTTACGAAATGTCTACCCAGCATGCGGCCCGAATAGGCACAAGACGTGAGCAACATACCCTTTTGGTTCCTGTCGTGTACTTACTGTAGCTAACCACGCTGTTTAGCCTTCAACCACAACAATCAATCCGAGGCAGCTGAACGGGAATACGACAGACTACGAGATCTCGCGCGGCAAGAGGCCGGCAAGCGGGCTTCGTTTGCCGCACGATCGCAAGAAGCATACCAGAAGGGTGATGGCGCAGCAGCCCATGCGCTCTCCGAGGAGGGCAAGGCGCACGGAAGAAAGATGGCCGAGTACAACAAGCAAGCTTCGGACTTTATCTTTCGAGAGAACAACGCTCCCGGCAGAGTTCCTCCCGACACGATCGACTTGCACGGTCAGTATGTTGAAGAGGCGGAAGACATCCTGGAGGAGCGAATCCGATATGCTCGAGCGCATGGAGAGAACCACCTACACGTAATTGTGGGCAAGGGGAACCACAGCGAGGGCCATGTCCAAAAAATCAAGCCTCGCGTCGAGCAGGTCTGTCACGAGCTGGGATTGCAGTATCACGTCGAACCCAACGAGGGCAGAATCTATGTCGATCTGACTGGCGGCGCCGTGGACACGCAGGCGATGAACAACTGGGCAGGGTATCAACAACCGCAATCGCAATCGCAACCGTATACCGGCGGCCAACAGCAGCAAGGTTACGGACATCAACAGTCGTATCAGCAGCGTCCTCCACACCCCCACCAACAGTCCCAACATCAAGGTCAGGGACAGGGACAGGGACAGAACGATGATGTGGAAAAGCTGGTCAAGAAGTTTCTTCCCAGGCTCATCAACAAGCTTCTTCGATGGCTATGTCATTGACGCTGCTTGCCATGCTCGGCACGCCATCGCAATAACACCCTGCTTGTTATAGCGCTACGCGATGTCTAAAATGACCTGCCGGGACTAAAATGACCTGCCAGGCCGATCCAGTCAAGCTGCATTTTTGCACGGCCGGACATCGCCCATGACAGCAGCAAAAGGCGATTTTGGCGCACGACCCCGACAGACAGAAAACTGTGGACTGTGGGAGAGTGTACAGCGAAGCATTGTACTACTTAATCCCAGTTCGACTCGAGCAAGCTGAAACCCCCCAGTTAATGTCAGCTCGCGGGATCGGATGACAAATCGTTGTTCTGACCCAAGTTTTGCTGATTCACTACGGCTGGTTGTCTGTTAGACCTGTATCAGCATCGATCGAGGCCGAAATGACGCCGTCGGGGCCTGCAAAACCGTCGATAATTGGAGTGCTCCCTCGTTGGACAAGCCATTTGTCTGGTGTGAGAATGGAGGGCTGACTCGGCCTAAGACTGGGGACTACCTAACGGAGCCCTTGCTAGTCGCAGAGAAGAAGCCGGGCCAGAATCGAGGGTTGCATATAGGTTGCATATAGGTATGCACATGGTTGGGCAGGACGCCGCAGGACGTCGTAATGCGTGATGCTGCATTCAAATGAACGACATGTAACGCCTTGCCTTGGACAGGTACATCATAGCCATCGCCATAGCCTCGACCGAGAGAAAAGACAGTCTTATAAGTTAGTCTTTACTTGTACTGTAAATATGACATGTCCACCAACTCAACGAACCCGGACAAGCGAAGAACAGCTTCTCACAGCCTCGTCGTGAGGCGGAACGGAACCCAAGGCTACGGCTTAGGCCCCAGCCCCCTTGTTACTCATCTATCATGCATGCAGGTGCTCTTCTTGTTGTCTATACCCGGCTCCGGCTCACCAATCACGGCGGCGTCCAGGGCTCAATCAGTCATTCAACCATTCAACCATTCAACCAACCATGGCCAATATGATGGTCGTCAGTGGTCACCGTCTAATCGGATTCCTCCTCGGTGCCGGTGCCATTCATACAGGTAGGTAGGTAGGTAGGTAGGTAGGTAGGTACCAGTCTGTCCGTCATCGTTAATCATCGAGACCCCTCTTCCTTTCTATCGCACTGAACATCTCCCACCCCGTAGCCCCGTCTTTGCCCTCGGTCTTGCCCACTTCTTCTACCGCGTTGAACATGTCATACACGATACGCTCGCTCACCACGCTGTCGAACTTGTAATCCGGATGTGACCGAACGAACTCGCGCAGCCACTTGGCGCCCGTCCATAATGTCCCATTGGCGCGTTTCCGGATGAGGTCGAGGTAGCGTTCCAGGTCGCATCGTGTGGCCACGTCGATGTTGACGCTGTCGAGATACGATTCCACCAGGGGGATCAGACCGGGGAATCCCTCACTTTGACCGTCACCTGTCGATGTCGTGGCGTGGCTGCCGTTGATGATTTCGTCGATACTCATCAACGTATATTCATCCTCGACCGGTCCATAGGAAGGGAGGGGGGTTTGGGGGCAGTTGCTGGACGTTCTTGTAGTGTCCAGGCCTTGGTTCTGGTCTAGTGTGCCATCTGACTCACCAATTCCGTTCAACACCGGAGACTGCCGGGGGCTTCGGCGGGGAAATGGATCCTTTCGGAACCAGAACTTCTGCCGCGTGACCGCGTCTCGGATATGCGCGGTCTCCATGTTCTCCGTAGTGCGTGGGATGGGAACGTAGAAGTTCAAATCGAAGCTCAAGATCGCCCGTGTCACGAGTACGATGAAGATGCTGAACGCGGCGTTTTCAAAATCCGTAATTTGGATCTCCATGCTGCGGAACTCGACCCGCCATCCAATGTCCGCGTCCGGTGGCGGAGGCTTGAACCGCATGTGCTGCCAGTTCGTGCTCTGGATGTTTTCAAAGTGGTTTGATCCTTCAGGATCCAGCTGTTTCAGATCCTCGGAAAAGATCACGATCGGGTCGCGAATGAAGAGATGTGCAAAGTGAGTGGCCAGTAGCTCGTCCATGCCGGCATCGAGCAGTTTCTGCTTCAGCGCTCCGTCGACAATCAGCTGTGGGTCCATGTATTCTGGTCGTAGGCGCGGATCTTCCGCGATGTACGTGCTGTTGCTGGCGTAGCGGGATTTCGGGATGCGCCAGCGGTCATGCTCCAGAGGCGCCTCGCCGAGTTCTTCTGGGGTGCGATCGTCGACGGCGCGAGAAATCTGGTTCCACCGTACATCGGTATCTACCAGAAACCCCTTGTAGATCGGCGTGGCGGCAGTGAGGGCCAGCAATATGGGCCCTAGCGGGGAGAGCTGGTCATAGAGCATCCGGCCTTCACGGATGTTTTTGGCCTGGAAGGTGATTTGCAGACAGCAGCTGCCCATCCCAAACGCCATAGCATCCATATAAACACAGTCAGGCTTGACGGCGCCCTTGCGCACATCGTCGTCTTCCGGCCAGTTGTGAAGGTCGTAGTTGACGGTCGGGTCGCTGAACGGGGTTGGCGTGTTTTTGTCGTGGAAAACGGGCACGTTGATCTCGACCTTTCGTCCTCTGCGCGCGCGGATGTTGGCAGCCAGCGTGGGGAAGCGGATGTGTGGATTGGCGATTTCATCGGGGACGAACTGCGATCGTAACATCGGACCGGAGGGAGGATAGTACGGCGAGGTATAGTCGTCCAGTGTCCCTAGACGAGGGAATGTTGTTAGGGTGATGGGATATTGGTCCGGGTCCATGTGGGCTTTGGCGATGACTCGTCGGGTTTTCATGTCAGACTCGACGTCAAGTAAGTCCTTGAATCCAATGCCCCATGGCTTGCCCGGAGTCGCCTCCAGCATGAAGCGGCCAAATTCGGGGTGGAAGGTTGGCAGGGTGCCGCTCTGACTAGATAGGAAAGTTAGTGAGACAGGCGAAGAGAGGGCGTGGGATGATCGACTCACACAGCATCCTCTTGTAAGTCGGGAACCACGGTATCCTCCTTCGCCAACTCGGTGTCTCGTGCCAGCTCATTCAAGACCTCGGCCTGGCATAACGAGAGTCGCACCTTCTTTTGTTCCTCGTCCACCGCAACGACGAGATATTCAATCTGAGGGACGCCGTTTAGTCTACCGTCCGCTCGATGTGACATGTATGAAAGCTTACCTCGTCGCCCCAAAGGAGCGCATCACGTTCTTTGCTCTTGGCCTTCCGCCATATAGTGAGTAATTGCTGGAAGGCATCAGTATCTGGTTGCACGACGAGGACATCCCAGCAGTGGCTCTTTACCTCGATCCCCCATTCTCTTACTTGATTTGCGGCTTTCTTCGCCTCTGGCCAGCTTAATGGCGTGCCTAATGCTCTGCGCGAGTGTGAGGATGTGTGATGACAGTCTGATACATGCTGGAACCTACAAAAGACCCATGACGCGGACACACCCCCGGTTATCGAATGAGACTTAGACTCGGGCGGAATATGTACAGGAACGAGCGCCAGCGGAGTGAGACTACTCCATCGGGGCGAGGCCGGCTTTCTTGTGAATGGAAAACAGGACGCAATTGGACGTCGACGATATCAGGGGAGGGCAAAAGAGGCCATGATCGGGCCGTCTAATGAGTTTGGCAGGTTCGTCACGGCTTCCTATTATTATCTCCCAGATGGGTGTGGTCTGGGTGCAAAATTCGGCCAGTCGTGTGGCGTCGGTCGCAAATTTCCCTCCGGCAAGAAAAGAATTCGACTCGCGGGGACGGTCTAGCCCTGTAGGTCCGGCGCGAGGAGGCGAGAGACGCAGGACAAGGACGAGAACGACGACGATGGCTAGGAAATGACGATCTTAGAGATCCTGGAGGATTGAGGGCGAAGTCGATCGTCGGTAATATGGAATGGAATGGTTGGTGCACGGGAAAAAAGTGAGACCTGGAGGAGAAGGGCGGGATGGGCAGGAAAGAGATGCCGCTGGTGGTCTGGCCCGCTCAATTAGTCATCACCACGGCTGGAGGGTGCGGTGCGCACCGGCGATATCATGTTCTACACACTGTCACAGGCTTGCCGGTGTGCAGGTGGACCGCAAAGAACGATCGCGGCCTGGAGAGAGAGAGCCAGACTCCATTTGAACAGATACTGATAGTGCGCCAACTGGCACGAGGCTTCCACACAGAGCGTCGAGGTCGAGGTTTCGAGCCTATGAGACGCTCGCTGACCTCCGGACTGCGTGTCCTGCATTGGTCGAAATCACACCATCTGCGGCAAATCCCAGTGCTCCAATTCGCGAGCGTGGGGGTCCTCTACGAGATGATCACAGCTGCGGTGCAACAGAACTGTCAAGGATTCTGACTGATTCGAAGCCTAGCGATCATAGATAGCTCTCGTCACACAAAGACGTGATCGCTGCAGCGTCAGATGGATGAATTGGTTTGGGGCATAGGGCCCTTCTGGGTCTGTGGAACATCCCTCGTCTTCGCCGCCCCCTGTGGCTCCCTCCATCGAAGTTGACTCGTCCTGTCTTCGTGGACACGCTCATATTGTCCTCTCCGTGTAGACATAGCGTATGCCCTGGACAGCCATCCTTGATTGACTTGATTTCTTCAGCGCACGCCTGCAGGTGCACTGTAGAGATCCTTCTCCAGGTATACAACAGCAGCGTCCTTGCATCCTTTCGTCCTCGCATCCTCGCATTCTAATTATATTTTAAACACCATCCAGTCTTCACTTTCTTTAGGCACTGCTTGCAGCTGCTTTTGACGCCCGAAGCTCGTCCATTTTCGCGACTCTCTTTTTGAACTCTTCGTACTGACATTTCTCATAGCTATGTCGTTCGGTCTGCGATCGGCAAGCCCCGCCCAATCAGTCACTTCTGTCCTGCATTCCAGGCCGGTCCGTACTCGAGCCATCACTTACCTCGCACTTCCAAGGCAGATACCACGTTTCATGTCGACATTTGTTAAGCGGGATCAGGAGGTTCGCGCAGCTATCGCGGTAGGCCATGGGTAATCTGGCTTCGGACATTGCCTCTCTGGAAGCGGGAGCGGGAGCTGTAGCTGTAACTCAGGTGTGATGTGTTAGTCGCAGGTCTTTCTACTGATGCGGAACGAAGGGGAAGAGAAGTCTGCGCATACCGTGATCGTCGCCCAGCCCGACGGCATCTTTAATGGCCTCGACGACCGTCATTTTGAGCAACGTGCTTTGAACAAGACTAAGGGTGCGCGGAGGGAAGATGCAAAGCCCATAAAGACATAGCTTGCTTGCTGCCGATGTTGAAGTCAAGCTGCAGTTCAATTGACTGGGTTCGAGCATTTGAGCTCTTGCGCAGCCTTGGCATTTAATACGGCGAACCAAAGCCGACTTCGTTGCACTCGAGCTGCCAGTGACCTCGTACGAGTCTTCAACTGCTGCTTCGTCCAACCTTCACATGAAATCTACCAACCCCGGAACGGAGTACTGTATCGAGAGAGCGCAGGATGCGTCTCGGATGGGGACTTCACACCCCGCGGCCTCGATCTGCTGCTCAGCCATGCCGCCACATCGGTCTACAACCATTGAGCCTGGCAAGGCTGAAATGGGGCGATTGCGGTTCCAGCAGGCAAGGCAGCTTCGGAGACGTACATGAAGGATTAGCTGGCTGGTTCTGCTTTAGCGCCCATGCGACAGCTACCCAGGATTTCTCACGGGAATGCCTACTTGGGGCGCACTTCAAACCGTAGCCGAGCCCAACTCCGACCACGCCTCATTATCCTTCATGGCCGATCACGAGATAAACATCGCGGGGCGGCCCTTGACAGCCCTGTTTGAACACCGCCTTCTTCAATTCCCATTGAGAGAGCTACTCTAAGCGATTTATTCCGTCGGATGATCCTTCCCCCTTCGAGCTTAAAATCGGGCGTCGAAGTCGGAGCCTCAAAACAAGGCACAAGATGCAAGGCAACCATTCGCCCGCATTGTCACACTCCCTTGCAGCCCGCCCCTGGCATTCTAAGCCACGGCTGCAACAACCTAGTTTTAGGGCACAGTGAATTGAACACTGGCTCTCGTCGAGGGGATTAGTGTTCGGCATGCAACATGCAACCTGCAACATGTAGCTGCCTAGTCATCGTGCTACGGCCTGCAGACAGGTAATGTTCAGGATGCCGATCAACGCCCAGTCCGTCAGCTTCTCCTAGTACATGCATAGCAGCTCAAAAGGAGGCGTTTTGAACTTTGGTCAAACCGCCTCTGTGAAAGGCAGCGACCTCTGAGACTGTGCCACGTCAGCCGGCCCTGATAAGCATGCTACTCCTGTCTGCGGGATGCAACTCCTGTTCTGCTTCAGGCCTTGATCAAGCCATTGAGGACCCAACTTCCTCTCACTAAGTCACGTTCGACTCTTTCCCGGACGATGGCTGTCAATCCACTTGTTATCAGTACATAAGACTCATTGCATTGGGAATACAGTTTCTCTGCTACTTGTCCAATCTCCTCTTTCGAGAAGTAGGCTACAGAGTCCATCTCCTCTTTCACGCAACCTTGCCCCAAGCCATGGACGACAATGACCGGAGTTCTTATGAGGATGACACCGGGATCCTGACTTCCACGGGTCACGGCCTGAACGGCCGTGGAGCCAACATGTCAAGCCTCACATCGCCTCAACTCACTGGTGCTCAGCATTATGACATCCAGGATCAGCAAGATGACTTGTTGGAGCGACTTGCAGGTCACTACTCTCCATTCGAGGGCTATGATTTGCTTGTCAAAGCCTTTGAGAAGACGGTCAAAGGGAATCTTCGGGCCAGTTTCAAAGATGGCATTCGACTGGCAGAAGTTGATGACGAAGCCATCCGGCCAAAGATCGGCATCACCTTCTTACCTGGAGCTGATACACCCCAGGTGAACCAGATGGAGCAGATCCAAATGACCAACTTGGAGCCTGACCAGAAGGATGCCTCCTGGAGGGTCAACACCGCGGGTGCACTGTTGAAGAACTTCGATGTCGACAAATCCATGTCAATCATCTTCACCGACAATACGCCTGCAGTGGTTGCTTCTGCACGTCAACGCATGAATGCCACCGGACCCTTTATTGAACCGAGCACTTCCTCGCAGAGGGCGGTCGCGGTCCGACAGCCACATGATCGAATGGTGACCATTGACAGCGATAATGTGAAAATCGTAAACACCTTGTCATCGGAGAAATGGGATCTCGAAGGTCTCTTGGTGGAAGTCGACCAATCCAGTCTTATGGCCGTCATCCTCAACTACCGACAGATCATCAATCGCGGTGGCTCTAACCTGCCCTGTGGCGAGACGGTTGGTCCTCTTTCTGATCAATGGGAGAGGTCGTGTCGCTAACTTGATGTGTAGATCAAATTACTCGACATGATGATTGAAGATGCTCGAAGACTGTGTATCCGCAGTCCGATCCTGTTCCGAATGTCCACTCGACGCCATATTATTTCGTCCAAGAACACCCGCTATGGTGTGGACCATGGTACCATGTTTCAAACCCTGACCACGAGCAGTGGCATCAAGAACATCATTTCCTTGAGTGCTGCGTACTTCAATTCATTGGCCTCTTACAACAAACAGGAACAACAACTCATCCGGCCACGCTTTCTGCAGATGCTAGTTCTCCTCCTGTCGTTGCTGAATGATGGTATGTGCATTTGCCCCCGTGTTGACGACCTTTCGACTAAGTCAGCCGTACAGATGACCTTCGTGAGCTTGCCGAGTTTCTTGAAGTCACATACTCCATCCGCGCCGAGCGGCAACACATTGAACTGCTCATCCTCAAGGTCCTACCTCTCATGTCCATTAACTCGAAGATCTTCTTGCAGTCTCTTGTCACTGCCTTTGACGGGCCTCTTGTGAACCCATCGCCTCATCTGGCCGACCAGCCGGTGATCTGGAATATCTTCCTTCATCGACTCCTTCAGCACAAATACATCCTCCCCGGTACAATCGAGCAACTGGGTGATGATGATTTCTCCTGGGTGGTGAATTGGCCCGATGGTGGGTACAGCGATTCGAGCATCTTCAAGAATCTGCAGTACGCGGGGTCTGCCAGGACGATCAATGAGATTCCTCCAATCAACCTCAACGCCTAGTTCAGTTCCAACGAGGTGACCGCGGTCTTCACCAACGGTTTCCGATACATTGTCTCGATCGAGGACCTGGAGAACATCACCCGTATGACACCGCGGAAGTACGCCCTAATTGAAGCTACTCTTGAAGCGCGTTCCTTCGACCTGGACATCACCGATGTGCACGTCAATGAGCCACTGTACCGTGCCATCTGGGAGATCAATTCGATCCTGACCCTGGTCAAGAGCATCCTTCCCGCACGGCCCAAGCACACCATGTCGACGCGTCTGAACAACATCCTTGGAGACAAACTGACCATCTCACGTCGACTAAGCCGCGGGGGTCGCAACAGCGAACCAACATTCCTTCCTGAAATCAAGGGTTCGGGTAGGCTGACTTACCACGTGGCGACGCTGAGCAATGGCCAGATGTTAGCGGTGTCGTACAAAGTTGAAGGTCGCAAGATCACACGGCGCGAACTGGTGCGTCATCTTGCGTCGGACCTCAGCAAGATGCGTGCCGCCATGGAGGCCATCGAGACGACGGTACACCAGACATTTGAGGAGAAGCGAGTAAACGAGCACATTCGGCAAACGGTCTCCCGAGTCCGCGCCGCTCTGGCGGCGGTATGGCGGCTGCACCGTGCAGCGGAAGAAAACAAGGAGAAGATGGAGAAATACTCGACGCAGCTGGGTGACGAACCAATCACTAAAGTGTTGTATCCGATCGGCTCGGACGAGACGCCGGTGGCGGCGTGGAACCACTACAAAGCGTGGCATGTTGGCGGGGAGAACGTACTGTACATCGAGGCACACCGCCGGGTCGTCCGCAGTGTGACGATGACGGATGACAACACCACCCTGGAAGTGACGTTTCATGGGCACGAGCAGAGATACTTTATCACGCCGCTGCGTAAACTGGAGGAAGATGAGTATGAAGAAGAGCTGAAGCCCGAGGACAGGGTGATTCTGGCAGGACAGTACCTTATCGTGGTCGAGCCGAGTGGGCAGGTATACATGCCGAACGGGGGTGCGAGCGGAGACGAGGAGCCACGAGGGTCTAACAGCCACGTCATAGGAGGCCCAAGGGCTGGAGTGAATGGTTCCTCGGCGACGTCGGTGAGTACGGGCGGCGTCAGTGGCGGTGGCCGTGGCGGGCCAGGGCCAGGCAGACAACAGATCCCGCTCGAGAGGGTGATGAACTGGGTCAAGATCACGGGCGTCGAGATGCCGCGGCGGAAGCGACGCCATCCGCAAGTGGAAAGGAGCCTGATGGTTCGGAGCGCCATACGATAGGTCAGCAACGACGTGGGCTCTGACGGACCACCACGTTCCTTTCGACTTGCAGGCAATGGGTGTGTGCTGAGTGAGAGGAGCACAGTTCGTTTCCTTTCCTAGGTCGTATTACGGGAAAAGGCACTGACGCCTGGATCACGAGGCTGAAGCCTCTTCATGCCAACCCTCTACTAGTGTCAACATGTTTTCCTCGCCTTCTTATTTTCCCTGTTCCCCTAACTGGTGTCTTTTGAACTTGACCCGGACGAGGCTGAATAGGCAGCCTCGTTCGAAGAACCTATCAGCTATCGTCCCGTTTCAATTAGCCGCTCACCGCTTTAAAAAGGATACATCCTATCTCATTCAATGCTTCTCATCTTCGACTCGTACAATTTCAGTTCAAGAACTGCAACAATACTAAAATCCACATCGATCACATTACCTCCATCAGACTCATTACCTACGGAGAATTGGCACGGTCACGTAAGAGGAAAGTACAACATTTTGGCGTCCTGGCACAGGTTGGTAGCCAGTGCCGCAGCCAGGCTCAGAAGGTTCTCACCTCAGCCGCAAGCAAGTCCTTTGACTTTGTCTATCACAGCTCTCTCTGGCGCGTCAACCGCCGTCGGCATGTCTGAGGCCACAGTCGGCTCTGGCATACATGACACAGGCCTTCCATTCAATGCAATCTCGCTGAATTCGGGTATTGCCGTCTACGGCGTCATTATCAAACGACCATTCCGACACTCGGACTCATTGGCAGAGCAAGACGAGTACGACAACGGCCTTCAACTCATTGAACGCTAAAAGCAGATCTATCGCCGTCTCGAAGGCTGCGAAGGCGTCATCCCATTCCTAGATTTATCGGGTCCGGCCATCCAACTGCCTCTCCTAAATGACGGAACATTAGACCGCCACCTGAAGCGGACCATCCGGCCAACGCGAGCCAAGCAGCTAGAGTGGGCGAAGCAAATGGCCGGCACACTGTGTCGAATGCATGATCGCCGCGTTCTGTTTGTCGACGTGGCATCGAGAAATATGCTCATTCATCCGAACGGCTCGATTGTCTTTTGTGACTTTGGAACATCTCTCATATTCCCCCCAGAAACCGATATCTGGATGGCTGAAGAGTTTGGCTTCTCATTTGCAACGGATATTTGCGAGCTAGGTGCAGTTATATATGAAGTGGTTGAGGGTCGACAACTTACTGACTTTGACCGAATCGCCGAGGAAGGGGGTGGTTGGCCAAGCCGAGATCGACTCCCTACCACTGACGATGTCTTCCTGGGTTCGGTCATCGAGGCATGCTGGACAAAGGGAAGGTTTCGAACAACCCATGAGCTCTGTCAGATGCTTGAAGGGGGATCTACCGCCGACGAAATCCGTGATGATCAAACATCGTGATGATCGATTGTCAGGGAGGCCCCGACATCCTGATCGAACAGCAGATTCTTGAACATTGTTCCATTGTCTTTTATCCTACCGAAAACCTATCCTTACGTCAAAGGCTTTTCGAGAACGACGTGAATTTCTATCACTTCGAGCTTGTTGGAGCCTTTCTGACTGGCGTCGAGGCCTATTCAGTGATCTATACGGCACGTGATGGCGCGTATCTCTCGTGTTTCGCGACTCGCGCCTCGATTCTGTCTGACTCACAATTTCAAATGACGTGCTGTGCGTGACGCGTCGAGTCCTAGTTCTCTTCTCCAGACGCGGCGTTGACGATTATTACTTACTACGTACATGCACAATCGCCATCTCGTCATGTTGATGATAAAGCTGCCTATGTACCTCTGCTTATCTCGTCCCGTCTGCACTGATATATCGAACCCCTTGGTCTTGGTCCGGGGAGAAGCAGCATCCTCGCGACCACGAGTATTATTGATTGACTCACTGATCACTGCCTCCCCTGTCCGTTGCGCCGGATGTGACCAATCAGCGAGGGCGCCGGTCCAGCAACATGGCATTTCTCGAAGAAAAGGCCAAAGCAAAGAAAGGTCGGTGGGAATTGATCTGTAATCTGAGCTGGCAGGCCAGTCGTCTATATATCCCCCTTCCTTCTCTTCGCTTTTCACTCTTTTTCTACCATCTCTCTTCTTTCTTCTGTCTTGTGTCTTCTGTCCATCCCCCAAGGGCAAGGCCCCAAGCCAAAGTACATCTACATCAGCATAGTCGGCTGCCTCAATCAATAAAGTCCAAGAGTCGTCGTACGTCAATATCTATCTCGGCACCCATTCATCAGCGCAGACCATCATGCCTCACATCACCGAGTTTCAAGAAGTGAGTACGATACCCACCACGTGATTCAGGGCTCGAGTTGTCGTCGTCTCTCTTCTTCTTTCCCCGCTTCATAAGAGAGAAGAGAAGGGATGGAAAGAGAGAAAGAAGAGAGAGAGCCGGAAAGAAAGGAGAGAGAGAGAGAGAGAGAGAGAGAGAGAGAGAGAGAGAGAGAGAGAGAGAGTGTGTGTGAAGAACAAAGAGAAAGAAGGGAAGGAAAGAAAAAAGAGAACGAAAAAAAGGTCTCGTGAGGCTAACAAATGCAAATGCTGACTCTCCCAATCAGAGAGTCTACCTCCATCTTCTGCTCATCCCACCAGGCCAAGTCACCACGTACGCGGCGCTCGCACAGGCCCTGGGCTCGTCTCCTCGCGCAGTCGGCGGCGCTCTGCGCTGTAACCCGTTCGCCCCGACAGTACCGTGCCACCGCGTCATCGCTAGCGATGGGTCCTTGGGTGGCTTTTTGGGTGAGTGGCGGAAGACAACGACAACAACACCGACACCGACACCGACACCGACAACGACGACAACCGCAGCAGCAACAGCAACAGCCGCAGCGACAACCAAGCCAACACCGCCGCCGCCAATGTTGGGGCTGACCCAGAGCATGAAGTTGGAATTACTCGAGAACGAAGGCGTCGAGTTTGTACAAGACCACACCGGCAAAGTCAAGCTGAAGATGCTTGTGTCGTCGTCGTCGTCGTCACCAAAGAAATCGCTATCGGCTGGAAGCAGAGCCCAGATCACAGCGCGACGACAACATCCGCCTCCGCGACCAGATAGGTCAGGAACCCAACTAAACAGCAAAACTCGACCGAAATTCAAATCCACAACCATCACCACCACCACCACTGAGAAGAGCAACGGTGGTAGCAGCAAATGGGATTGCAGCAGGTACATGTATCCGTATTTCGACGGCAATCATGGCCACAACGGCAAGGATCACACCCCCGCGGACAACCAAGATCATGAGGACATGGAACCCAAGCAGATCTGGTTCACTGGCCCTTGGGACACCACACATGCCCGAGAGGGCCTGAGGGAGATCATGGTATCCGCTTCACAAACTTGAAAGTATTGGGCAAGGCACGGCTGGAGGATAGCGATCACACGAGAAAATGGTGCTACAGATATTCCGTATACAGACCTTACTACGAAGGAACAGATAGCCTTTTTTACACACATCACCGTCACTTCCGAGATAACGCTGAATTCAAACTTTGTTTGCTATTATTGGATTGGTAATTGCCTGACAGCAAATCTATTGCATAACACAAAATCCATACATATTCAAGGCCTGTTGGAAAGGTCTCCCAAGCAAAAAGCTCCCCAGCTGTCCACGTAAAGAAAACTCACCCATGTTCCTGTAGCCTTTGACAAAACCGCCAAATCCGACTTCATCTTTTGTCTTGTACATCCCCTAGCGTCCCAATTTACAATAGAGCGGCACCGAAGAACGTCGACATGATGACCACTGCACCACAGACCAAAGGCGCGACCGACCATTCTGGAGTCTTGATGGAGACTGCACTGTTGGTGCCTGTGCTGCTGCCGCTTGAACCACTAGATGAAGCCGTCTGAGTGGCAGTTCCACTGCCTGCAGTGGCAGTTCCGCTGGAAGCACCCCCAGCATTCTGAGATCCAGCACCACTGAGGCCGGGCCCTGTGCCAGCGCCTTGAGTCATGTACTTCTTGGCCCCTTCGGGAATGGCAGGAAGCGCATCACTCTTGACCAACCAGTTAGGCGACGAGTAAGCAGGGCAACCAGAAGCACCGCCAGTCGAGTTATATCCCCCGGTACCCGTTGGGTTGGAGGTCTTTGCAAACTGTGACTGAAGAACGGAGAAATCGGTCAACTCGGTGACCGAATCACCGCTGATCTCAACCAGACCGTACTTGCTTGCTTCCTGGGAGTACTCGTAGACCAGGCCACCCGAATAGACAGGAGTCATATCACTGCTGTACAGAGACACCACCTCACCAAAGTCACGGGTGTTGGTATTGCAGCCGTACTCGGAAAGGAAAATGGGAAGACCATAGCCAGTGAAGTTCTTGACCTTTTGATCCCAGCCGGATTTCTGGAAGGAGGAAGGATCACACCACGAGTAGTCGTTGAAGGCAAAGAAATCCGATCGTTCGTCGGCCGTCCCGCAATTCATGTATTCGGCCATTTCCAAACGGTTCTCACTGACATCGGCAGCTGAATAACCCACAGGGATCTGTCGGTAGCTTCGGCTGCGGATGTATTGGCGAATGTCACGAGTGACGGCCTTGACATACGGGGCAGCTGCAGAAGACTCTGGGTCATTGATGACTTCATTGCCCGAGAAAAAAGCCAGGGTATTGTCGTAGTTGTGAAAAGCATCAATGGTGGCGAAGACATTCTGGAGGTAGACATCGTTGTATGATGGGTTCGGGTCCGCTCGGTTCAAGGAGTATTTGGGAGTGTTGACGTCCAAGACGAGGTAGATGCCAGCATCTGCCAGGGCGCTCATGCAGGCGTCATGGGACGCGGTGTTGTCAACGGTGTAAACCCGGATAGTGTTGATGCCCAGCTTCTTGAATTCTACAATGTCTCTCTTGCAGCCAGCTTCGTCGGCGATGGGATCGGCGACGTCGGAGGAACCGCCAGGTTGATAATCGACACCACGGATATAGAATCTGCTGTTCCCGGCAAAGAAAGCTAGAGGAGAGTCAGCGTGACGAAATTGACGCGTTCTAATCGCGACCGACCATTTCCCTTGACTGTGATTGGGGTCACACCGGAGGCTCGCTTGACCGTGGCGGCTGCAGCAGCCCCGGCGCTCAAGGCGAGGGCGGTAAGAGTCGAAGTACGCATAGTGAGGATAAAGAAGTCGTGACGACTTAGAGGATATGGGAAGTTCTTGTTTGATTCGTGACGGGCTCCAATTCAACCAAAGCGTGGAAATGGTAATGGGAGTTGGTGAGAACAAAAACGATCAAGGTTGGGATTCGAGTGAGTGAGAATTCCCAGCAAGAATCAGGATTAAGAATAGGTGAATGAGAAAGCGAGGGAGGAGCGACACCAGCAAACGAACGGGTGACTGCTCTTTTCAGGATGAACGAGAGACAAGAAAGTAGAAGGCAGGATTTGAAGTTTCAATTGAAGGCAGGAGGGTGCTTAAGCATCAAGCATGCACTTGTGTCAGAGCAAGGATCGTTTTGGGGGACGATGGTGAGTATCAGTGGGCACATGCGATGGGGTGGGTGTCTGCTTGCCCCCGCAAGACTGCGCAGGGGGAGCCTACGCAGCCAACCACCGGCGCAGTCTGGCGTCTTGAGTGCCAGCCACACCTGACTTCCACCATCACGATTCACTGGCCATGTTCCCAGATCCCTGAGGGAGTCGCAGCTGGCCCTCTCCACCCCTAATTGTCCGTGGGTCTCGATTGGCACAAGTTTCGAATTACAGTACAAGAGGCACCTGGGGGGGGGTTGTTCGACATGATGCTGCGTTCAACGTTTCGCCAACAGGTAATTCCGCTTCCAACACAATCGACTTGGATAGCCGATGATAACAGCGCCACCGAACAGGTTACTAACCACCACCAGACTCCCTCTTAGCGATATTATTGTCTGCCAGTGCTGCTCATCTATGCACATCCCCGGGAGATTGGCCCATTGCAATGCCTGCCACAACTCTCGCCTCGCAAAGGCAAATCTCTCCCAGTCACTGCACTGCCACCGTCATGACGGATATCGTGTTTCAAAGAGCTGGTCACAGCTACTCTGTACCCCCTGACGCTACAGTTCAGATCTGTCAGTGAATCAACGGGATTCCATACGATCGCCAAGATCGACCTGTCATGCATGACTGGCGTTGAACATGCTTCACCATGTCTGCAGTAAGATTGCTGGGAAGGCTATGACGGCCCACAGCGCAAATTACTATAGGGTACCATACTTTCACAGACTATAAAAGAACCTACATGTCATGCCATGGCATGTCTTGGGTCTGTTCCTGTTCTTGAACACGCTGGATTACCTGTTATGCTGCATCACCGTCCCCTTTAATGTTGAATCCTCGATATTAGAACCAGCATCTCGTTGTCGGACTCGCTCAGAGACTCTCACATCATCATCACACGAAACACGCGATACTTGACTACAACAAGATCAGTCGGCACCATTCGGACCCAATTGCGTGCCTAAACAACTCGTAGACGGAGCAAGTTACAATGCACGCAGAAAGATCATGAGTCAGCCAGCCAATCTAAGTCGGATCAATTATATTCAAATTGAGATATCCAGAGTATGTCCCAATACCTAGAGATCAAATCCTCCGCGTGTTACTTTTTGATCATCATCTGATCCATCATCGACATCATGGCTTTCCATCTGTTCGTTACCCCTGATACCAACTCCCCAGTCTCGTGTATAATACCTGTTTGCTCTTCCAAAGGAGAAATTCCCAAAAGAAACCCCGCTAGAGAGTGATGTGAACGCCGAAAGCTATGCCCGTTGCAGATTGCGATCAAAGAGAGAAATGCCGAGCCGTTTCATCGTTATTCTTGCCGAGGAAGAAAATCATGTTGAGCCACCAGACTGGAGGTAATCCCAGCCAGTCAATTTGTGCTGGTTGGTCATAAAGCAAACATCCAACCTCCGAGCCCGAGGACAGTCATGAGGAGAGTGCCGATCTTATTTGTGGCCGCACCGTTCTGCAACCCGGGACTGGATGAGGTGGCTGCTGCTCCGGCTGCGGAAGTGGCATCGGGACTATCCGTGATAGGTGCGTTCACCACCACCACCGACGTCGAAGTCTCGATGGAACCATCGGGGAGAGTGGTGTAGTAGAGGTGTGTGGATGTGCTGGGAGTAAAACGAACTCCCACTGCAGACGATGTCAAGGTGACCAGGCCACCTCCTACTGTACTAAAAACAACAGCTCCATCGGATGTCCGCACAGCCGTGGCAGAGGTGGGCGTCGAAGGAGCAACGGTGACCGTGGTGGCCCCAGGCACGGTGGAAGCATAGATAGCAGAGGAGAGGACGGAGGAGACACTAGCGGCTCGGGAACTCGATTGTTCTTCAGCACTACTCTGAGCAGGAGTAGAAGCGGTCTGCGAGGATGTAGTGGTGGTGGTGGAATTGCTGACTTGTCTCTTCTTGGCCAGATGGACGAGCTTGCTTGCGATGGCGGGGTTCTCGGAGTGGACGTGCTCGATGGCCGCACGGTCCTTGCTGAACACACCGTCTTGGAACTTGGGAGACAGCGAATGGAGGACGGAATGTAGGGTCGCAGGGTCAAGGGTGTCAAGGAGAGTCTGGAAAGAATGCCAGTTGATTAATGACTTGTCGTCCTCTTCCGTATGTCTCGGTGAGCTGAGGACACCAAGCACCAAAGTACCGAAAACGAGTACTTTGCGAAGGCCGAACATTGTTGTAGGGTAGGGTACGGTACGGAACGATGGATGCGCAGAGGAACGGACCAAGCGAAGGTGGTTCGTGCTGGAGGTGTTGGCAGTAGCAGTGACTGAGAGTGAGTGACAAAAGAGACGAGAGAGAAGAGTGAGAGTGAACAAGGAATCAAAAAGGATGAGGCTGGTAACTTGATGGGGGTTTGCGGTGGTGAGCTTGAGCTGCTTGTCTGAGGTGGGATGTAACACGGCGCAGGCTGTTGCAGGCACAGGGGCCGGGGTGGCGTCGTACTATTCGTTAGTCGTGCTGTTCGAGCCACTGATGATGCTCAGGCTGCGGTCGAGGATCGAAAGACAGCATAATTAGGATGAACGGGCGGGATGCAGGTCTTATTCATGGAGACCTGAGGTGGCTAGCCGACGACAAAGGGCAACGTGCTCGCTTGCATTGGCTGCGGTTCAAATCCAGCGGGTGATAGTAACGGTAACGGAGCTTCTCGTTGCCCTTGCCCAAGTGGAATCTGGAGCACGTCGATGAGCAAGGAAAGACAGCTGAGCTGATGATGAGGCGAGCAACGAACAATACCCACTAAGCGGGCAGGCCCAGAACCAAGTTGGCAGGCTGGACGGAGAGGCTTAGGAGCCTCCTAAGCCTCTAGCTGGTCAAGCCTCTCGCCTAACCGACGCCCACAGCGACCGCAAACTCCCAGATCCTACTCGTAGACTCCCAGCGGCGGATTCATCGGTGGGTGGCTCCCTGGCAGTCATGGACTCCTGATGGCGTACTGTAGTTACCATACTTGTTGGTAATAATAGGTCTTCCCCAGGGATCTTTCCACCTCACCTACAGAGTACACAGTACAAAGTACAGAGTACGGATACTCCAGCTCTCTTCACCAAGGTGCCAGCACATGAATGTGTACCTAATATCTCGGTACCTCCAATGCCTCCTCAACAGTTACAGTATAGCATTGGCCTTGGCCTTGGCCTTGCCCTCATGTTTCCGAACAAGCATGTGCGCTCTATGACCTCGTGGTGTTGTCGTGCTGCGGTTCGGTTTCAGGCGGTCAACAGCGACGGATGAGACATGGCCAACAAACTTGGCCTGTTCCCGCATCCTCAAGTGGAGAGCTGGTCAGCGCCTCAAACCGAACCAATGGAGCCTGAGCCTGTGTGCGGTTCGGTGCTGTGCCCTTCCGCCATCCCGGCAGCGGCGACAAGTGGTCAGGCCTGGTCATGCTTCCGGTTTTGCTCCATGAGTCGGACTCGTTCAGATCCTTTTGCTGTCAACTGCGTCATTCTGGATCATGTCAGTTTGTGGCTTGCGGTGGTGAAACGCACCCACCGCCCACCTGCGATTCCGGGTTAGACGTATGTGCGGAGTACTGCAAGAGACAAGAGACAGCCTAAGACATCCGCCATGGCGTACAGAAGCTGGAGGCATACAAATACAGAGTATGGATACGGATACAAGACACGGATTTTCATCTGCTTGCTACCCCAAGTGATCACATGCCGACTGATCTCTGATCTCCTCGGGCAGCTGAGGTTGTGCTGTGGCTGTGGCTATTTCTGACTTTTGACGTGTAGACTGAGTGTGGTGGTGTCAACATTTTACTGGAGCCGCAGACCCGGCTGGTGCGGCCGTGTCTGGTACCTTGCATCATGCAGAAACCTACTTGTCCCTCAGGTGCTGTTGGCGTTTTGGCGTGTGGGTTTCCAGCACTCGCACGGCCGCGCTCCGGTCAGTTTTCAACCTTTTCAATCCTGACCAGTCAAGATTGCTCAATATTGAACACGCATTGATACAGTGAGTGACCCAGGCACTTTCCTATATCACCGGCCCAGATCCGTCTGGTGCTACGTACCTTGTACCTTGGCTGAAGCATCCTTGCCCGAGGTGTTTCAGCTCGTACGACCACGGACCCTCCTGCAATGGTTCCCAATGGAGCCTGATGGCGCAGCCTCACCACAAGATTTGCTCCCTCTGATGACTACCTAAATAATTCACGAACAACAATCATGATTCCCCATATACGGTTTGATCCTAGATGGCGAGCGAAGGCCGCTTTACCCTAAGCCTTAGTTGAACCCACCCCAGCAGAACACGACTGAATGAATTGCATTTTGTCTATCAAATCAAGAGTCTGGGAATCTGTTTAATCAGAGCGATCAAACCAGATCGTTGTTTCTGGCATATCCTGAAAATCCAGAGCAGTACCAAATCTCGCCACCTTTCCCTGCGCATTGATCTGAAACTCGGCCGTGATGCATGCTGTCGGCTCTACACTGTGAAGGTACATGAGCACTTCGGCAATGAAATAGTCCCCAGACGCGTGCTTCAGGTTCAATTTGGCATGCATCGTTCCTGTAACAGTGACTTCGAGCTGAGGCTCGTCGTCCGGTGTCAGCGCGATGCTGAGCGCAGGATAGGTTGGGTGCTTGTATTGGCCAGCATACTCAGCCAGGGGGAGGGCAGTGGGAAGGCCAGGCGAAGGGGCACCTGGATAGAGTCGTTGTACAGCTGTGGCACGTTGCTCTCGAGCTGCTGCGAGAGACTTTTCTGTTCTGATGATGCAGACCGAATTAGCACGGTTCGCCGAAGACGGGTATTTCAAGATGAAATGTCCGGGCGACTTACAAATCCCAGAGATCCACCCGCTCTGCTTTCGGGACGTTGAGGAGCTCATCGATCAGATGCCATGCCAGTGTCTCACGGCCTGGACCCGCCCGGTTGCAGAAGACGACAACGCCCCAGTCGCGATCAGGAAGATATATCATCGTGCTTGTGAAGCCGTCCAAGCCTCCCGGGTGGAAGATGATGGTTTCGCCATGGTACGACGCCACGAACCACCCGAGCGAATATAGAAGTGTTTTGAACTGCGGAAACACCGAGGGCTGTACGATTGAGCGTGGTTCGAGGAGAGCGGCGTAGCCTTCCTGGGACAACGGGCCGGATTTGCGGATCATGGAACGGATATACTTTGCGTAATCCAGGACGTTGGAGATGGCCATCCCAGCACCACTCACAGCGCCTTCCATGTAAGGAATCTCCTTGGACGTGGAGGTCGCCTCGTCCCAGTCATAGGGCTTGGCCAGTACGATGTCATTCTCATCCGATCCGACATATCGCTGGGCATCCTCGAGCGAAAGGAAGGTTGAGTTCATGCCCAAGGGTTCCCAGAGGCGTTTGCGGAAGAAATCTCCCAGCCACTCTCCGGTGACGGTCTCGATCATGTATGACAACGTCACAAACATGGCGTTCTGGTATTGCCACTTCGTTCTGATCTCCTTGTTCATCTTCAAGTGGCGAAGCCCCCGCGCCACGTCCTGTAGGGTGCCCGGAGCGCCCAATGTCAAAACATGTCCAGGTAGACCGGTCCGATGCGAGAGCGCGTCTTCCAAAGTAACATGGGACGTCGCATACTCATCTTCAAGGACGAAATCTTCACGAATGATCTGATTGAGAGGCGTGGTCCATTTGATGTGAGGATAGTTTTGGTCGTCGTCGACCAGTAACGACGCAGCTGCGGCAGTGAAAGTCTTGGTGGTGCTCCCGGTATAGAACAGTGTCGACGGCCGAACTGGAGTATTGGGCAAAGCAGCAATTCCATATCCCTGGTGATGGGTCAGGACGTTGCAGACGCTGCCAGCACAGATTTGCGAGGAGTCATACCTCGGACCATGTGTCGTCCCCGTCCACGACCGCAACGGCCACTCCTTCGATATGCCATTTGTCTAGAGTGCTCTGCACCAACTTCGCAAAATCCTCGTCAAGTGGTGAGAGTTTGGGGCTGGCCGCAGCTGGTTGCTCGTTTGTGAGAAGGACCGGTGTGAGGTTGTCGGGTGTCATCATCGACACGATAGAATTACCGACCGATCCCATGACGAGCAGGTAAGATCGTCAAGGCAAGAAGAGAGCTGTTGTCCCGGGATAAGAGGTCAGAAATAGGAGCGTTTATAAGAAGGGGACACTCTGGAAGAAGTGGGCGCCGGAAGAGAGGGACTCGGTCTAGAGCCGTCGTGTCATGTCGTGTTCGTTCGCATCCTGGAACAGTCTTATCTGTAGGACTCTGCACGAGCCTACGGCTATTGCTAATTTCGACGCAGGAAGATAGTGGCGATGGCTCTGACTGACCCAGACTGACCCAGACTGTCGACTCCAGCTTGTGAAGAGGGTTTCGTTTCGATATTGTGCCCTTCTGGGAAAGGACCGCGAGAACGACGACGAGGCCAGTGAACACTGTGCAGAGCGTCTCCACCATCCGGATTGGGGGTGTAGGAACGACGAAGCGACGCCATTGGCCACTGGCCCGGCGTCTTAATCACCTCGACCTCGCGCATCCTCACATCAGATTCTAGCACGGTGGCCAAGACGGGGCTGGAGGCACGGTCTGAGATGGTCCAAGAGATAACGAATTCCACTGGAACTCACATCCAACGCAACATCGAAGAGATGTCAGGGTCAGGTATTTCATGGCGACATTTCCCCCTTTCTCCTGCCTCTGATACAACAGCACAACTTACAAGTCTTGCAATCCGCAGATCCTGACCATCACCACCACCACCACTCCTCCTCCCACTGCTTTTCATCTTCATCTCCCCCTACCACGACGTCTTGAACATGGCGACCATCATCCCGGAAATAGACGCCAAGGACCTCGTCGATATCAAGCGGGCCCCCGACGATGACGGCTTTGGAAAGGCAGGCAGAGTGGCCTCTGCCACCGACCACGGCATGGGCACCACCGTGAGCACTGCCCAGGAGGCATCTGGCATCGTGGCCGCGTCCTGGACTGTCCGAACCCTGATCATCGGCTGGGCGGGTGCTCTCTTGCTTAGCTTTGTCCTCATCTACGATTCGCAGACTCTGAGCGCCTATCAGCCCTATGCCACCAGCAGTTTCAGCAGTGTGTCTCTCCTCGGCACCATTGCGACCGTGCAGGCTGTCGTTGAGACGAGTACGAGACCTCGACTCCCCCATCGCCCGGATTGCGGTGCTAACAAGCCCCCGCTAGTCATGTACATCCCTCTTGCCAAACTCTCGGACGTTTATGGGTATGTACCAAGAATTGACGATGGCATGACGCTAATCCAGAGGCAGCCGTGGTGAAATGTTTGCGGTCAGTGTCCTCTTTGCTACTATCGGACAAATCATGCTCGCAACGTCCCGTAGCATCAGTGTCTATGCTGGAGCACAAATATTTTTCGTACTCGGTGCGGTGGGTATGTACCAATTGGGTGTTCCTGAACGAACGGTACAGTAATGATTTGTTCTTCTCACACTTGACAGGGCTTAAATGCATGTTGCAACTGTTTGCAGGAGGTCAGTTAGCCCTCGACCTTTTGTGTGATAGTGGACTGACCATGGATGTTGTCCAGATACCAGCAATCTGATGCACCGTTCTTTCATGAGTGCTGTGCCGACGATGCCAGCGATCATAACAAGCTGGGTAACAGGCCATGTTTAAAGAATCCAAAAGTGCTCACTGATGATCCTTAGACTGCATCTTTACTGGCGAATGCTGTCCTTAAAGGCGCATCATGGAGGTGGGGATATGGGATTTTTGCCATCTTGGTGAGTCAAGCAATGGGTCACGATTCCTGTTTCTTCTGCTGTTCTGTCTAATGAGCACTTGTATAGTTTCCCGTGACTTCTCTGCCGTTGCTCATCACCTTATTCTACCACCAACGCAAGGCAGCCAGATCGCTTGGCCCTCGTCCACGATTCGACATGCACAAACAGTTGACGCACTTGAAGGAGTTGGATCCTATCGGTCTGCTCTTCTTCAGTGCCGCCCTGGCCTTGATTGTGGTTCCCATCACGATTTCTCAAACGAACACCGGTGGCTGGGGGAGTGCCCATATCATTGCGATGCTGGTTGTCGGCGTTGTCAGCGCCATCATCTTCGTCGTCTGGGAGCTCAAATGGGCAAAGTATACCATGCTTCCACCGGCCATGTTGAAGAACCGAACAGTGGCAGTATCTGTGATAAGTGCGTCATTCCGCTTCCAAGAAGGCATGCATGCATCAATATCCAGCAGAAAAACTGACCAGACCGGCCTCCGATCTAGTTGCGATTCTTAATTACGGTGCCCTCTACTGCTACTATCCGTACCTCTTCACCTTTGTCGTCGTCAACGGCAATCACAGCACGGTCGCCGGCACCAACATGGTCATCCTTCCGACCTTTTGTCTGGTGTTTGGACAAATCATCGGTGCGATATCACTCCGGTACTTTGGGAGATACAAATGGACAGTGCTGTTCGGAAATGGAGTTCAGGTCATCTCTTTTGGGCTACTCTACAAATTCCGACATACTGCCCACAGTCTGGCCGGGATGATTGTGTCTCTGGTCCTGTATGGCCTGGGCGGCGGCATGTTCAGTGTTCTTCAAACGGGATGTCAAGCATCTGTTAGCCAAGGGGGTACGTACGAACAAACAAAGCCTACCCTGCCCCAGTCTACAGTCTACAGTCTACGTCTGAGGAAACTCATCTGTAGCCCTCTGAACGTACGCCCTCCCGGACTTGAGTGCTGACTCGGTTGCTTTCATAGCCATGGCGACCGTCACAGCCTTGTTCTGGACCGGGCTCAACCTTGGAAGTTCTGTTGGCGGAGCTATTTCTGGTGGCATCTGGACAAGTAAGATGCTTCTTCCTCTTATCCCTCTCTTTTTTTTCTTCCCATGCTAAACTTCTCCCACAGACTTGTTGCCCAACAAGCTCAAGCACAACCTGCCAGCCAGTGCGCAATCGGAGCTTGCAGCGATCGAAGGTTCGATTGTTGTTGCCATGGAGGTTCCTTGGGGTTCCGCATTGCGCGATTCCATCAACCTGTCCTACGACGAGACCATGCGGGTCATGATGATGACTGCGCTCATCGTTCAGGCGTGTGCGTTTCTCATGACTTTGTTGTTGAAAGACATCGACTTGAAAGCAGTCGACAGCACGCGAGACTACGGTGGCGCTGTGGTTGGACAGGTGGACGGCAAGGCAAAACAACACTCTGGACAGGAGATGGACAAGGAACTTGAGGTGTACAAGCAGTAGCAGGGGATTAGAATTTGTGGATAGGGGGTGAGGCCAGCATGGTGTTTGAGACATGAGGACCAAATCCAGATCTGAACGCCTGTACTTCGTACATGTGGTATATACATACAGTATTAGGTATACATACAGTATATACATACAGTATACTCCTATAGGATCTAGGATCTAGGATCTCTGATCTACTGTACACTGACTGTGCTTGGAGGGAGTAGAACTTGAAGTGTACCCGATGATAGCCGTGGTCCTACCCGCCTAGAGTCTTGATCTTGATTAAGATCTTAGGCACCCCTACTGTATGCCTAGAGCTGTGTATTTTAGTTAAGACCCTAGCATTGCTACCCCCGGGACGTCTATAATACACCCCCAACACATGAAATAGTCAACTATAGGTAAGTATAGTTCAGTATCAGTGCCTGGTCGCTCGCTGCCTGGCTGTGCAGTGGGTGTTAGGTGGGTGTCACTGTGTAGTGGGCACTCTCTCCGCGGCGGTGCTTATCATACAGGGTTAGGGTTAGGGTTGGGGTTATATCGCAGCTCTATCTCAGCTCTATCGCCGCCTATTGTACTCCGTCCTCCATACTGGTCCTTCTGCCCTGTCAATACATCTTCTCTTGTGTCCTATGGTGGCCTGCCGGAAGCCTACAGAGTCTGTCCTACCCTACCGACCGATGTGTTAACATTAAACCCTGCCCTCTCCTTCTGCTTCACCTTCACTGTGTCTCCCTATCCAGTCCGCGTCGGTCCAGCTTGGCCCTCCCTCGATGCATATGCATGCAGACCAACCACATCCACATCCACATCCGCCGAAACGAAGAAAAACAAAACCAGCCATCACTCGCGTTCGAACAGGATGTTATACATGTCGCGAGCGGCGAGTCAAGGTACGTCTGGACACATACACATGTTGATCTTGAAGCTGCGGTAGAGACGTCGTGCACATTCTGCGGTAGAGACGTCGTGCACATTTTGCCTGATACTGGCATTGTTGTCGTGCACATTTCGCCCGATACTGACATTGTTGCCGCCACAGTGCGATGAAGGGAAACCCGAATGTAGGGCATGCGTCAAACTCGGCCTGGTTTGCGAAGGATACAAGCCACGATACAGATTCTTCGAGACTGTCTCTCCAGATCAGGACCATGAGCCCCAACCCTTTGAGACAGTCCAATGGACCACGCCCCTGGTCGCTGGCCCGATGCCACCGCTCTCGCCAGCCATTCCTCCTGATTGCCTTAGGGCGATGCCTGCACCTGGGAGGTCTAGGCGAGTCTCACATGCTGGAAGTGCCACCGAAACACCGCCTTCCAGCGCATATTCATTCCAAGACGAGGATCCATTCGCAAACACGTCGCCATCTCACTACATGACTGATTTCCCGGGATTTTCGCCACTGGACGAAGCCGTCTCCCAGGCCGCTCGGGCATTCGAACCGATAGAACAAGAACAACCTGACCAAGAAGCTGATCAAGAACAACCTGACCAAGAAGTTGATCAAGAACAAGCTGATCAAGAACAAGCTGATCAAGAACAAGCTGATCAAGAACAAGCTGATCAAGAACAAGCTGATTACCCCGCCAGTAGCCGCAATGAAACGACCACACTCAACGTGCCCGTGCAGCCGGATCGTCGTAAAACGAGAACGGTCGGTCCAGATTTCCTGAGGGATCAACCGCCAACCAGTATATTGTCTTCCCTGAGCCCGGCGACAAGTACCGAGTCTGCATCCGAAAACTTGTATCTTGCGCTTTGGTACAGTGAGGTGTCAGCACTACTGCCACCAGTGTTCCTGGAACTGACTGCCGTGATGCCCGACTTCCCACCGTTGGGAAGTGCTGTTCTAGCTATTTCAGCAGCCTACCTTTCCCACCGGGAGTCGTCCGTGGTCGTCACGACCCGTGGAAGAAAGCGAGTGTCGCGCTACATACCGCACAAAGACCACCAATACCAGAGTCTGATATACTACAACACGGGAGTACAAGGTCTGGCCGACAGCTTTTCCAACCTCGCCCAAATGAACCCTGTCCACATGCTGGCGACATCAGTCTTGTTTCACCACTTCGAACTGGACTCGGGCTCCTTCACCGGCGGTGCCGGACACATGGACGGCATCGACAAGCTACTATCCACCGAATACCACCAGCTCAACTCTAGTCGAACAGGGCGGGAACTGCTCTGCACGACCATGAGCCTCCGCGCGCTACACGTACATCGACGGCTTGTCGCAGGATCGCGGTTCTCGAAGCCCATCCATAAAGCCGACGGCTTTCCACTGAATAAATCCATTATCAACGGCCAGGCAGGATCGCATTACGATTCCATCACGATCTTGCTGTGCGACTGCATGTACACGGAGCGGAGAATCGTGTTGGACTGGTGCGCCTGTCGGGTCGAATCTCTCAGCCCCGACATCCAACCCATCATGGCCAGAATACTTGGTCAAATGTGTCTTCCTGAGTCACGGCAGGCTTCGACAAATTCTCAGTTGAAGGAAATCGACGAGTCGTACGGACGAAGCCTTGAGCAGCAACGCGCCCAGCTGGACGAGTGGCACGCCCGCCTTCCTCTCTCTGAGCTTCCCATCGACAGCTTCACCTCCCGACAGCAGGCCATGAATGGCTACGAGGACTCGGAACCTGACTTCAAAATGCACCCTTTGAAATTCCACACCTTTGAATCCGCCATGAACTATGCCTATTATGCCGCTTCGCAGATCTTGAGTTCGCCATATGTACTCGACCGGTTTGAGAAACCAACTATGACAACCGCTAGAAGCCTTCCATTCACGCGGCGACACTATCCATGGGAGAAGCTGATCTTGCGCATTGCCGCCGGGCTCGAATTTGCCGACTGCATCCACAAAAACACCTTCCGCACCGGCATCATGACGCTTTTGACTCTGTGTCTACTCTGGCGGCCTCGTCCGGATGTGGCGGTCTGGATTGACAATTGGATCCGCCGAGTTCAAGACCATGGCGTGCCACTCGACAGCGGCTTGCCGTTTCTGACTAGCCGCATCAATCCCTTGATCACGCAGCAGCATCGGAATGGGATGGATGTTTTTATGCTGTCACCTGTTGACACGGAAGACGCCGAGAAAACCGATCTCTACCAGAGCGACTTCAAGGCCCAGGTCATGGTGTGTGGCAAGGACAGACATACGGGGGAGTTGTATACTTGTCAGCTAGATGTTCCTTGATAGTAACTGGTTGACCAATCCTGTTGGAGAGATCTGTTGTGAAAAGTGATATACATATAAAACATAGTCTTGGACAAATACAGATCGAGTATAGTGATCTGATGATGATACTGATGATGATACTGATGATGATACTGATGATGATACTGATGATGATACTGATGATGATGCTGATGATGATACTGATAATGATGCTGATGCTGGTAATTCTGTAGGGTATATACTGTGTATAGTAAAAGTAAAGTTTAGTGACATTTCCTCTCTCCCTCTCCCTCTATCTTCTAAATCTATGATTCTCCAGTCCTTCTCCAGTACTAGATGTCAGACTGATGTAGGCTTAGGGCACTAACTTTAGGCCGAAAGTGCATTCTCAGCCTTGGCCTTGCCCGTTAACCAGAAGGCTAAGGCTGGTATCGGCGGACCTATATATGTGGTCTGGGCTTAGGCTCCCCCCTCCTCTTCCCATACCCCTTTGATAGCGAACATGGAACAATTCAACCTTTGACAAGTACAGGTAGAGGTATAAGTGTAACCACTAGCAACAGTACATTTTCCAACCCTCCTCCCTCCTTTCTCCTCAAAGCAATGTCTTCTCCCAGAATGTCTTCTCCTAGAATGTATTCTTCTAGAACGTCTTCTTCCCCCTCAACAATGTCCTCTCCCAAAACGCCTTCTGAGCCAGCAATGACGCTCGAATCGTCTCCTCCTTATGCCAGCCATGGCCTTCGCCATCGTACACGACCGTCTCGACCTCCTTGCCCAGCTCTTTCAACACCCGCTCCATCGTCCACGCCTGCACCGGCGGCACGACCGTGTCGGCCGCGCCCTGGAGTAGGAGGAGGGGCGCCTGGATCCGGTCCGCGTGGTAGGCTGCACTGCGACTATGATAGATGGCGTCTTGTTGCGCTTTGGTGAGTCCTTGGATCCTCTGTCCTTGCCTTTGCTTCTGCCCTTGTCCTTTGATCCCCTGCCCTTTGATACTCTGTCCTTGCTCTTGTCCTTGCACTTGTCCTTTGATACTCTGCCCCTGCTGATGCTTCTCCTCTAGCTTGGTCGGGTTTAGGCCATTCGTGAGAACGCCTTGACCCTGCTCCTGCTCATTGTCCGCTTTGCTGAGTCCCTTGCTCTCCTTGATAGTTTCGCTCTCGTTGCTCTCGTTGCTCTCATTCCTCGTCTTACTCTCTGTGCTCATCTCTCTCTCGTCACTCGTCTTACTTTCTGTGTTCGTCTCGCTCTCGCTGCTCGTCTCACTCGCAGTACTCATTTGGCTAGTCTCACTTGTCTCCCTCTCGTTGTTTGTCTTAATCCCATCGCTCATCCTACTCTCTGTCCTCGCTTCGCTCTCGTTGCTAGTCTTCATCTCTGTGCTCGTCTCGCTTGTCTCACTCGTTGCACTCGCAATGCTCGTCTCACTGGCAGTAGTTTGGCTAGTCTCACTCGTTTCACTCGCAATGCTCACTTCGCTCGCATTGCTCTCGCCCCCACTGCCAAACACCAACCCCAACACATAATGACTCTCAAACTTATGCGTGATCTCAGCAAAGCCCAACAAATCACTAATGCCATACAGACTGACCCCGCCGGCCCAGAGATCCGCATACATCCATGCGGCCTGCAGCACGGCATAGCCGCCGGCGCTCTCGCCGACGATGCCGACCTTGGTGGCGTCGACCAGACCCTTTGCCACAAGGTACGCGACACAACTAGCCGCGTCCGCGACATCGGCCACCCCCCACGCGCCGTCCAGCAGCTCTCGGTACGCGCGGCCGTAGCCGGTCGACCCGGCGTGGTTCACCTGCACGTAGGCGTAGCCGCGCGACGACCAGTACTGCGTGGTGAGCGACAGGCCGGGCGTCACGTGCGACGTCGGCCCGCCGTGCATCCACACCAGTAACGGCGGCTTGGTGTTGGCCGGGGCCTGGAACGCCGGGTTCTTGGGGGCGACGTAGATGGCGTGCGAGAGGCCCTGCTTCTGCGTGCCATAGGTGCGTGGGAAGCTGATGTGTTGGGCGACGCTGAGCTGGGTGGTTGGGATGGATAGAGAGACTGTAGGGCGAAGGAGGGTGATTGTTGGGGTGTGCCTAACGTTGCTGTCGTCCTCGTGCTTGTTGCCATTGATAGTACTAGTATTGGTAGCGGTGTTGGCATCGTTGTTCTTAACATTGCTGTTGTCCTCCTCGTGCTTGTTGGCATTGCCAGTACTAGTATTAGTAGCCGCGTTGGCATCGTTGTTGTCCTCCTCCTTACTCAAGTCGATCCGGTAAAGTGCCTGCGGCGCGGTACGAGTGCTGCCGATACAGACGAACGACGAATCCGACAGTCTAGCCACGGCGTTCTTCTGGATATCGACCACATCCAGCCCTAGGTCCTGGTAAGTTTCGGCCTCGAGGTCGATCAGGACCAGATGCGACGTGGCGTTGATGGAGACGCTGGCCACGAGAGTGTTGTTGGTCAATGGGACATATGTGCAGCTGTGAGTCGACGTTAGCTTGTTAGACTTGGGAGAGATGAAGTGAGGGTAAGGTATGGGGTATTGTATAGGGTATGGTATAGCCCCCACAGTACGGTGTGGGGTATGGTATAGGGTATGGCAAGGGTATGATATAGGGTTAGGCAGCATGGCATGGCAGTAGTATAGGTGTGAGACTCGACACTCGACACTAGAGACTCGACTCTGCGAGAAAACCAATGAAAAGTAGCACATATCATAGCACACTTACTTGCCGAGACATGGTTCTCGAATGCCAAATTCGGCTGATTCCAGTCCTTTCAAATGCACCCATTTTGCCATGGTGGTGGTGCTGGTGGTGCCATTACTTGCGGTGCCATTGTTGGTGGTGCTGATGCTGCTGCTGCTACCGCTGCCGCTAGACCCCTGATCCTGCTTCTGGAGTCTGTACAGTTGCCAGAACCCCGTCTTGTCGCTGACGAAAAACAGCGTGCCGTCCGGACCCCATCGTGGCTGACAGATGCTCTCTGCTCCAGCTTGGCCGGAGATGAGGATGGGATTGATCAAACGCGGAAGTTGGGTCTGTGTCGGTGTCTCTGTCTCGTCAAACTGCATCTCTGTCCGTGTCTCTGTCTCGTCAATCTGTGTCTGTATCTCTGTCGGCGTCCGTTGCGGCTCAAGTTGACAAACCTCCCACTCCGCCGTATACAGCTCGGTGCCCGTCCACGGCATGTCGGGATGGTTCCATTGGGTCCAACAGACGCGAGTGCCGTCCGGGCTGAACAGAGGGAACTGATAGAAATCAGCGCCTTGGACGACTGTGGTGACGGCTCCTGTGTGTGCGTCGATGGCGATGATGGAATTGTGGACATGGACGTGGTCCTTATCCTGGTCCTGATTCCCACCACCATCATCCCTGTCTCCGTTTCCATTCCCTTTCCCATCTCCATCCCCCACGTGCGTCTCTCGCACCGCCAGAATCCACTGCTGCGCCGTCGGATGCGTGCTGAACGCACCGAACCGCACATTCGGGTCCGGCTGCACAATCGTCTCGACCTGGCCGGAACGCGGGTCGAGCCAAAACACCCCGTTGGTCGGATGGTTGGTGAAGATGATGCGGCCGCTCGGGTGTATGGCCACAGATCCGCCGCCGTACTCGTGCACCGAGCCCATGGCGCTGTATTCGGCGGGTAGGACGTCACGGCTGACGGTGACGGTGGTCGCGGTCGGGTCGCCTGGGTCTACGCCGACGTCGACATCGACGCCCACTTCGACAATGGCGTATCTTCCGCCCTCTGTCGGGCGGGATTCCAGCACGTACGGTGTTCCTGTGTATGACTGGTTCTGGTCAGCTGAGGGCATAAGATGGATGGATGGGATGGATGGATGATGGATGATGGATAGATGGTAGATGAATGGATTATGGATGGCTCGACATCGACATGGCATCGACATGGCATCGACAGTACAGGGCATCGACAGGACATCGACAGCTTACTTACATCGACGTGTAGGCCTTCCAGATGGATGCTGCCGCTGGCCAAAAGGTCTTCTGTGATCGGACTCTCCCACGTGCCGTAGGGGGCGATTTGTACGGCAGCTGTCATTGTGTGTGTGTGTGTGTGTGTGTGTGTGTGTGTGTGTGCAGCAGCCAAAGTAATTCTCAATGAGTTCTGATCTCTGGATTTTGACTTTTGACTTTCTGTTCTGCTGTTCTTCTGTTCCGAGACCCAACGATCAATCAATCAAGAATCAGTATCAACCTCGACCTTGAAGGTTCCTAGCATAGACCACCACCGTAATAGATATAGATATAGGTATGGATATATACAATATCAGTATCGGAATCAGAATCAGAATCAGAATCAGAATTGATTCAATCCGTACAATCTCGTCACGGCAAACTTCAACCGAGTCCAACGATGCACATACACTCCAAGAATATAAAGAGGAGAACTTTAAAGTGCCAGTGTGTAACAGTAAGATGTTTTCAAACTAAGCCAAGCCAAGCCAGAGACATGAGACATGGTGCAACGATAAGGTAGAGGTAGAGGTAGATCTATGGTAGATAGATAGATACCCAACGCAAGGCAAAGATCGAGACAAAGGCGATATGGTGTTGACGTGGACTCCGGCTCCCACTGGACGGATTAGGAAGACGAGAGCGACGACTGCAGTTCAGTTCAGTTCCGTTCAGTGTCCGGAGTGGTGGAGAGGGTGGGGGGAGTGGAGCTCGCGTTGATTCCCGAAGAGGGAGATTTTCGAGGCCAGGCTGCGACACTATACTGTACACTACCTGTACACTAAGGTAGGCATGGCATGGCCGGGAGCCTTATCTAATATGTATATCCTATAACATAACATCATTAGATACAGTACATTACAGGAGACCGACGTAGAGGCTTAGGCCCGTTCGCGATGCACCCAGTACGCAGGACGGAGGAAAATACCAATTTGTCAGGCCAGCTTTCTTCGGAGGTAGTAGTAGTAGCAGTAGTAGTAGTAGAAGGCAAAGGGTTTGATCTGGTCTGGTCTGGTCTGGTCTGGTTTGTTGACACTATTCCTGCTCTTGATGTTATTGGCTCCTAATAACCTCCTAATGACCTCCTGATGACCTTCTGCTTATATCGCACTGGACGGACCTACAGCGCAAGCACAGCATTAGAGATCCCTCGAGATGATTGGCACCAAATAGGTAGGTACTGTCTAATGAAGGTTGAAATGTTCCATGTTCCATGTTCCATGTTCGCTATCAACGGGTCGCAGGGGGAGCGCATGCTATATAGTGTAGATAGCACCTAAAACAACCTTCTGGTTAAAGCACAAGCCTGGGAACGCCTAAGTTAGTGCCTGCAGTAAGTTTGACAGGTACATGGTGCAAGGTACAGTACTCCGTACGTACAGAACACAACAGAACTCTATACCAAATCCCATATCCGCCCATCACGTCACGTGCCTTGCACTCATCCTGGTCAACTTGAGGTTAAGGTTAAAGTCAAGCCTGCTCGCGGACTGGATGATGATGGTCCCTCATCTGCCCATTCGATTTGGCCTCATTTGGCCGATTTCGGCATTTTCTCGGCTCGACCGTCAACACTCGACACTGTTTGTGAAATTTCCCTTGGTGACCATGGCCGAAAGGAAGGTGGAGGAGTGAGCTGGGGATGGGATCGAAGTCAGAGTTGACTTCGTTCTCTCTCCCCCAATATTCTCTCTTCCTCTCTTCCCAATTCCTCTCTTCCCTTGGACTAGGACTAGGACTAGGACTAGGATTAGGATTGAATCAAGATAGATAGAGTACGTCTATAATTTAGACTCGGGGAAATGGAATCAAATCAAATCAAATAGACAACTAGTGGAGCAGCCAGCTGGACACGGCGCAGCATAGCACATTACTTGCGTCGGAAAGAAGAACGTTATAGTATAAGGACAGAACACAATGCTCAGGCAGCAGGAGCAGGCAGCAGACTGGTAAAGAGTAAGAGAATGAGTTAGAAATTGAAGTTTGAGTAATCCCCCATCCTATTCACCATCCCGCTTGTCCCGTCGCTTCTCATCTTCCCAGCAGAGGACGAGCAGGTAAGCCCTCATTCCTTTCTTATCCAGCACTGGAACTGGAGACTGTTGAAGGCTCCAGGACACGTTTCTAGCGACTGTTGAAGGCTCCGGTCCACATTTCTCATAGCGACAACGACAGCGACAACAACGTGCATGCAGTTGAAGCATCGACTTTGTGTATGTGTGTGCCAGATCTGCGCACGCTGGTATTTTAATGCCAATCTTTTGCCTTTTCTTTTCCTTTTCCTTTTTGACTTTCGTCCTCGTCCTCATCCTCACCCTCGTCCTCATCCTCACCCTCTTCCTCTTCCTCTTCGATGTGCTCGTCCTCGACTTGGGCTTGGAGATTGTTTTCGTCGGCGTAATGTAGACTTCCCGCATAAGAACTCCCGGGGTAAGATGTATAGTCCATATATTCCCCTATCGGCTGACCATCTTCATTGTAATTGTTAAAGGTAGTGTGTGATCCTTCTTGAAGCTGATAGTCATTCGGCCACGAGGATGGCCCCAGGTAATTCAGTAGGTCCGGATCTATCACGGAATCGGGAATATTTGGCATATCATCAACAGGAACACTAGACAACTAAGTTAGCTTTGCTAAGGTATGCCATGCCGCATAATGCTGTTCACATACGACGGCTGGTTTTCAGCCCATGTTGACGAGAAGCCAAGCATCGGCTGGTATGCAATTGCAGTTGCAGTAGCCTGTTCTGTTGATTGACTTGGCCCTGGAGCTTCAGAATACCCCGGATGCGCGTTGACCTTAGGGTCACTGTCGTAGGAACACTTCTTCTTCAATCTCTTGGTCTTTGAACATCGTTCACACGCCGTCCCTGGACTCCCAGCAGCACACTGGTCGACCGGACAAACGATGGTTAGCCTTATCCTCTGAATGGACAGTGTAGTGTGGCTTCCGCTCACCGGTTTGTGGTTGTGTCTACAGTTGTTACAGCTTTTGGGCTTTGGACCTTTATAGGGTCTATATCGATCTCTTCCCCTTGACTGCGAACGACCTTGACCTTGTTGGCCTGGCTGTTGGCCTGGCTGTTGGCCTGGCTGTTGGCCTGCTTGTTGGCCTGCTTGTTGGCCTGCTTGTTGGCCTGTCCGTTGACCTGCCGGTGCTGCAGTTGCCGCAGGGGTACTCTCGCCCTGGTCTCGCGTGTTTCTGTACAGCCTGATATTAGTCCCGCACGGCCCATTAAACGACGTAACAGGAAACATACGCAGAAGGGTCATCTATCGGCTTTGGCGGAGTCATGGCGATGGAATCTGTGGTAAACAGCGTATCCCAGATGCCGGCGTGTAGAATTCATCGGAGACGGAGAGGAATCATGGCTGAATCCGTCGGCGGAAGGCATATTTATACACCTCAGACAGACTCTTGTCTATCCTGTAACTGCTGGATTGGAACAGGTTGAATTGGATTGGATTGGATTGGATTCTCAGTTGAGAGCTGCAGAGTAGGAGCTGCAACTAAAGCTGCGCGGGACGGGACAGCCTAAGCCTGTCAACAACAACACACATATTACCCGGGCAAAAAGAGCGCACATTTCCAATCCTGGCATAGACACTTATGACCAGCGACCACCTATGGAGGACTCCCAGGGGACCTGGGCGTATGCCGCACCTGTACGGAGTACACAATGCAAGCCTTCTACGGTATAATCATGCCTTGGGCACGTATACTTCACCTCGCCCAGGCGGACCTGCTCGATGTTTTGGTCTCTGGGGGTTGAGACCGGATAGCCGGGCCGGATACAGTGTCAACCTTACCAAGGGCTGCAGAGTGCCAAAGCGCATGGAGTCATGGCCAACCCCCGCAGGATGGTTTGTAACAGCGCATCGTGATCGTTTTCGTAGCTGCACTGCATCAGGCTGAGCTGTATAGATTCGTATTTGGCCGACTCCCCGCGTCAATCAGGAGACTCGCTAACAGCAGGTTAGTACCAGTAGCCAGGTTGCCCGGCACACCGCCAGATACTCAACGCCGAATCATGAAGCTCTGAAACTGAAGAGGCAAAGTCCGGTGCCGGTGTGCCAGATTAGTGTCTTGCATGAACTGTCCAGGCTCGCTAATATGCGGCCACAGGCTACGTACTCCGTACATACCCTGAAACGAAACTGGAGCCTGAGCCCATGCGGCCACTAGTAAGCGAAGCCAAGTCATATAAATCAATCGCACATTCCACGAATTTTGTCACATGGCTCCAAGTCAAACAAAACTGGCTGAGTAGAATGCCGCAAGTTCTGCCACGTCTTGCTTCTCCTGCAAGGCGCACGAGGCAGAACAGAGGAGCTTGTGCAAAGGGGCGGCCCTAAATTTCGTGGCTGGTATGTAACCCCACCTAAGCGAAATCCTGGCTATCCGAAGCCGAAAATTGGGCCATCTCAAATGCCAGAACGGCGACACCTTTCGTTATTGACGATGCCAGGTCACAATGAACCCTGGCATTGTCGATATGTCCCGTCGGGGTTGGGAATGACAGCTGTACAGAAAGTCCACTGCAGACGGAGCCTTCAAATTTAGTGGAATGCAATGGAATAGCTTCGACCTGATCGTGATTGATACCAGCCTCCTCGTGACCCATGCTCATGCTCGAGCTTGCCTGGAGTAATGCGTACTTAGGACCTGATGACATACTGCAAGTTGATGGAGAAGAAGTGGTGTTGATGTTGACAACTGGTGCATAGCAGTTGTTGACTTGTGCTACGGGTCCGCAGCCGTTTCATCCCAGCCATGTCCGTTGCGGTTGATCGTGTCGAAGCCAATTGAACTGAGGCGGCTTAGATGGCGAGAGAGGATCGCTGTTCAGGTTACAGCCACCTTGACGAACCACTGACTCGTTTTGAGCCTTTGAGCCTTTGTTGATGCATGTACTCTGTGCTCTGTACTCCTGCTGCCAACTCCATGACAGCAAAGCCCTCTAGTGGAGTGAACCAGGGTTCTTTCAATACCTGCACCTAGCAGTTGTGGGTCTCCTCCATTGCCCACCGCCTTTGTGACCGGTCAGGGTATTCTGCTAGGCTAAGGTATGCATCGTGATGTTTGATTTGATGTTATTGCAGGTCGTATTTGGAGAGGAGGGCTGTCGAGCTGAGTACTCGGTGCATAGCATGTAGGTGGCAGACTATCTGTCGAGTGTCGAGGAACAGGAGCAACTTGATCAGACTTTGACTGGCGGTTCAGAAGACTCCATGTCCAGCGATGTGCATGACCGACTATTTTGTAGGCTCGGAGTACCGATGTCGTGTCCTGCTTGCAGTCAGTCCAACTAAACACCCAGACATGGCATCACGTTCGCACTGCCCGGCATCGTTGTGTATTTCTCGTTGGTGTAGGGGTAACAAGATCGTGAAGGGACTTCAAACGCTGTCTGATAGAACGAAGCACCGTCGGGTATAGACATTATGGAGCTGGGTGCAGGTGGAAACCGTCCAGAAGACCAAGTCCCCAAGGGTACCATAGGTTAAGGGACAACGGGCATGACTCGGCAGACGCGTCGCTGTACCTAGTGCTTCACTGCCAGTGTGACTCGGAAAGAAAGCGCAGCTGCCGCACTATCACATGACCGGGATCGCTTGGAAAATGGGGGGGTTATATTTTATTGTTTCACAATTCTTGTCGCCCATCGTGGTAGGTTTGGTAACCTAGTGGTACGACCACAGCCTTCGGATGCCCAGAAAGCGTATTAGAGGATTACGATCCTCTGCCTTAGGTGGTTATCCGTTCCTTTAGGGTTCGGCTCTTCAGTCCATACCTATAAATTCGAACTTCCTTTTTTGTCCTTTTCTTTTTTGGCACTTTTCGTCCCTTATTATTTTTGCCCGTGAGGAATTGAGAGAAGAATGTGTGGCCGGCGGTGAAGTAAGGTTCCGGGCATGGCTTGGCGACGAGGCTGCGGTGACAGGGGCGACCGCCTCGATATCAAACGGCAGTGATGCTCGAATGGTTTTCTGCCTCACCTGCGCAAAAGTAAATAACAATAACACTTCACTGTCAATACAACGCGTGAAAACTTCTTGTTTGTTGTTCGCAGTCTTCCATCCAAACTCTCACCTTTCATCATCTCCTCCCACCATCAACCAAACCTTTTCGTTTTGAACAGCTCTCTGTTTAGTAACGATCCATCTCTACTATCATCCTTCGAAGGCTCTCACTGTTTTCGATCACCCTCTTACCCTACCTTCGCGTCTTACGCAAGGCTTGATCCCTCTTACCTTTCACCATCATCTCACCTCTTACCATAATCTCACCTATTCGTAACTGGCATCATGGGACCAAAACGTACTCGACACCAGAAGAATCAACAAGACAAGACGAAGCGCTCTGAGCTGCGACGTAGATTCGGAGGACTTGATATCGATCAAAAAGACAACGCAACATCAGATACTCAGTCCGCCGCAGCTCCAACTGCAGCCCCTGCTAGGCACCCTACCCACGGCCCAACAACTATTGAGATTTCCAAATTCCCTCTTGTTGAGCGATGGGAGCAAATCGAAGAGGCAGAGCGAGCGTCAATTTCCAGACGACACAAGGCCAGAACTGGTCCATTCGCATTTGAGCCTGAGTACCTCCCGGTTCAGATCCACGCTGCTGTGCCAGTTCACGGGAGCTTCACCCGAGAGATCGAATCGGACATTGTCAAATGCAACACCATTGAGGCAATCAAGGACATTGCCAAATCAAGCCTTCCCCTGGAGTTCAAGCGTTCCAACATGAAGCTCAATGAGACCAAGTTCGCCGGAATCATGACCTACGGTCCAACCACCGAGTTCTCCACGAGAACTGTCAACAACGTCACTCGCGGTCTTTTCCTCGACGAGGACGCCTACAAGAAGTGGTGGATGACAGTCAATATGACCAAGAGAGAGGAAGGAGATATGGTCAAGGTCGCCGTCGTCTTGTGGCACGAGGGGGAGGCCAAGGCCAAGGGAGTCCAGTTGCCGGACTTCTGGACGGAGGAGAACACACGTGTCCTGGGCAACATGTTGGAGCGGCTTGATTGGCCAATCTTCATGAGCCAATCTGAACTGGAGGCTGGCTGCCGTGCATACGAGAAGTTGCAGGGCCAGCTCCAGGAGGCCAGGAGCGATGCAATCCTGGCGGGCGACTGGAAGGACGAGCGAAAGGAGCTCAAGAGTGAAGTCACCAGTCTTAACGGTCAGCTTCGCCGAGCAGTGGCCGCCAACACGAAGTTCTCCGGCCAATTGATGGCCATATCGAAGGCCTTCGATGAAGGCGATATGGAGAAGGCGGGTGGTCTCTTGACTGCCTGCAAGAAGGCCATTGAGGCCAAGGAGAAGAGAGAGGCGGCTGAGGCCGAGGAGGAGGATGAGGAGGCCGAGGGGGGCGAAGCGGTCGAGGAAGAGGAAGAGGACGCCTATGGCCCCGGAGATCCCTCCGACGACGAGTGGGTTCCCTATTAGGGGGCGTGCTCGTTGTCGAGCCTCGACTGACTTTGCTCCCAGGAGTGGCAGTGTACAGAGTAGATAGGGGCAGGTGACGCCCACAAGATCACCATGAACAATGTGAGAAGTTCGGAGACTTGCGCAACCCACAGAAGATTGTTTTCCTTTTTGATATGATATCGATTGACGTTCAAAGTTGAGAAATTGCAAGTGCCGGCGCCGAGCCCGCAACGGGCCGTGATCCCGCCGCCAACATCCAACCAGGATTAGTCATCAGTACATGCACCAACCAGGCAAATACAACCGGACCAACACAGGTAAGTATATGTAGGAAAGCACTCCTGATCCTGAGAAAGATCATTACAGGATCTCAGTTGGATTCTCTACCGCAGGAATGTCACGTGGAGACAGTGAAGGATGTCGGTGAAGCAAGGAGTAACACCTGCGGTGCTGGCCTTCATTACCTATAATTCATCTGGTTCTTCCTCTCTTTCTTCTTTCATCATTTTCTGGTAAAAGATTTCTGTCTCTATCTTTTACGCATTATTTCTGCACAGACGCGCTACTGCAACATGAACAACAAAGTTCCCCTGCTGGTAGGCTCCAGCAATTATATCGAATGGCATCGAACCTTCGCCCGCGTGTCCAAAGACAAAGATGTAAGGGACTTGCTGACTGGAAAGTTCAAGCCCATGGCGTCTGAACCCGATATGGATGACATGAAGTACCAACCGTGAAACACGACTATCAGCCAGCCAAAGTTGCAGAGTCTCGGTCTCGCACAAGACAGCAACGCTGACAACGAAGCTGACGCCGCCGAAACCCCTGCCCAAAATCCCTCGAACACCTCAGTCTTCATACCCGACAACACTGCTTTCGCTCGTTTTCAGCATGATCATAGGCAATATGAGAAAGGTCAAAAGAAAATCAAGACTGCGCGCAAACTTATCACAAGCTCTGTCAGTCCTATCATTGCGACACGCATCCAAAACAAGGATGATCCTGTTGAAGCATACGAGTTCTTGAAGAAAACATACAAGGTCTCGAATACGAATGCGCGACAAAAGTTGCTTGCTCAACTCAGAGACACCACTCTCAACAAGTACAAGTTCAATGTCGAAAACTATGTCAGCAAGGTATTGGAGATTCGTGAGGATCTACTCGAATACGACGAAGAACTCAGCGACGAAGAAGTCTCTGAGTATCTCCTTTCGGGGCTTCCGGACTGCTATGCTGGGTTCAAGGAACATTACGGTTGGCTTATGCGCTTCCGCGGCGATCCTGATGGACACGATCTTCAAGCTCTCACCGAAGAACTTATCAAGGAGAGCGCGCGACGTGACGAAACTGCCAAAGCCAAGAAATTCAAAGCAGCCATTTCATGATCGCCGACACCAACGCCCGACGGAAGTTACTGGAGTATGTTGAGGGTTCAAGACAAAGACACTACAGCTCCTACCTACCCAGTTCAACTGGTCACACGGTTAGCTACATAGCGTTGCACGGCTGTCTTCAGTTAACGTCGTGAGATTTTGGTTAATTCCTTTAATTAACAAAAACCCAGGTAGTTGCTAGTTGTTGACTGAGAATTCCACAATCACCATCACGATAACCCTGGCACTGGCACTGGCACTGGTAAGACCGTGACGATGGAATTGATACATTGAAATTGAATGTGAATGCACTACTAGTAGTGCTACTACTACTTCTCAGGTTTAGTATCGCGTGTACCCCAGTCCAGTTGGATTCACTCACCAGAAGTATTCACTGCTTTTGTTATTCTCTTGGCGGGGTCGCGTACCTACATAAGGTACGCGACCTCCCTGCCTCTTTTGTACTTTCATCATCATCAATTCTTCTTGCTATCAGTTTCAACTAGGCCTGCCTGGGCTGGCCCATGGCAATGGCAACAGCAACAGTTCAGATAACATGGGACAGACACCAAAGGGTAAGAGGAGTTCATGAATCTATTAATCTATCAGATGAGTCGACATATGACTGTTGATGTTACAGGACTCGGAGTCTAGGTAGGCGTGTCTGACCTCCGAAGCCATGCCAAACCAAACCAAGCCAAAGCAGAGAAATCATTGCAATTGCAATTGCAATTGCAGTGCATCAGACCTTTTTCATCAGGCTGGGACCCCCAATGTACAGCCTGGAAACCAGAAACAAAACACATCCCACCGCACAGGTGCAACCGCTAAAGAGCTGCAGGTACAGGAAACCACCGTGGTCGCGGCTGATCAAGGCGCCGCCGATGGGACTGCCGGTCAAGGCGCCGATGGAGCCGGCGGCGAAGACAACACCGGTACGGACGCCGATCTCTCGGATCGGGGAGATCTCAGCTATCAGGGCCGGGGTCAGGCCGATGGCAGCGCCGGAACTGAAGCCAAACAGCGGGGCGAAGACGATCTGACCGGCGTTGGATTTGGCGGGAATCCAGAGGGCGAGGATGAAGATGGTGGTGAGGGTGCAGAAGACGGTCATGACGTTGAACCGGCCGACCTTGTCACCGAGAATGCCCGGGAGGGTGCGGCCAAAGATGGAGGCGGCGTTCAGGATAGACACAAGATACTGCGCCAGCCCGATGGACATGTGGCGGCCGCTGGCGACAGTTGTGATGAACGAAAAAACAGGAAACATACCCCAATAGAAGAAGAATACCGCCAAGGTGGTCAGGATCATGGGCATTTCGCTGAAGGGACGCACAAAGGCCGCGAGACTGAATGGCCGTTTGCCGGGGGGGATGCGGGAGCGGAGAGTCAGGTTGGCGAAGATGCACAGACCCAAGATCAGGAATGCGCAGGTCCGCATGGCCCACGGAAAGCCCGTTTCGTCGATCATGCGGCTGACGATGATGGGAAACAGGACTCCGCCCAAAGAGCTGCCGGAGGCGGCCAGGCCGATGGCCATGCCGCGTTTCTTGAAGAACCAGGTGGAGACGCAGGCCATGGCCGGGTTGAAAATGAAGCAGGCGCCGATGGCCGAGCAGACGCCCTGGCTGAGGAGGAACTGGTAGTATTCCTTGGAGATGGATGCCATCATCAGCCCGAACACGTGCATGAAGGTGCCGACAAGGAGGAGGTATCGGGGACCGTGGTTGTCGAAGATGTAGCCGGCCACCGGGCCCGTGGCGAGCATGAAGAAGGTCTCCAACGCCGGAATCCACGCCACCGTCGACGGCGAATACTGACTGAGTTCAGCTCGCATGTAGTAGTCTTGGAACACGCCGATACAGTTGATCCATCTGCAGTTGAGGACTTGTCAGCGCGGGCCATTGGAGGATAGAGGGTGCCCAATGTTCAGAATATATTGAGCTGTGACATAGAAGTGGGAAATTGAATAGGAAGTGAGATATTGGATAGGGAGATGAAACCGAAAACCGAAAACCGAAAGCTGAAAACTGAAAGCTGAAATTTGAACGCTGAAAACTGAACGCGTTGTATTGTACGTACCCCCAAGAAACGAAGAAACAAGCCGCCGCCCCCGCCACGGTGAGCCAAGCTCGCAGTCCACCGTCCGGAAACGAGGCCGGGTCCATCCAAGGGTTGTAGGGGGCCTTTGGAGCCTCATTATTTGGAGCATGTTCGAGCGACGATTTCTCCGTGTCCTGCTCGGGCGTGCTCTGTGGACCTGTAGTAGCAGCAGCAGTGTCGGTCTCGTTCAGGCCCTCGATTGGCACTTCCTTCTCCAGTTCGGACGACATGATTGTTGTTGTTGTTGAGAGATGTGGATGGTGATTGTTGTTGTTGATGAGTGATGTGAATGGTGAATTTGATATATTCCGAATATTGGGGACCGTCTATTCTCGGGTGAATTGGATTAGATTGTCGCGCTGAGCCGAGCCGAGTTGAGGGGTGGTAGATAGATCCTAGCACCTGTACTAGAAAGTAGATATGGAGATGATGGAGGTTGGGTCGAATGATGGATTTGAATCGAATGATGGATTTTGGATTTTGGGCCGTGGATGTTTGTTCTTCGGCCGCGGGAAATGCTTTGTCGCAGAACTGACGTGAAGACTTTGTATCCGTACCGCGGCGGCAAGGCGTCGATATCGAGACCTAACCTATCTATCGGCAATGGGTGGTACGGAGTATATCGTTCGGGTATACCTAGGTACGAGTATCCCGGATGTACAGTAATACCTGGACTCGTATGTACTGATGTGCCAGCAGATCTAGTACAGTATGTGGTACCTAGTATGTACCCAAGTATGTGGAAAATGGACAACCCCCGCGCCGTGGGACTGCTCAGGTATTTATTGTTGATTATCCGTACATATCAACAGATTTTCCCCCTGCCCCGGTCGGAACAGAATGCGAATTTGGAGCCGAGTGGGTTCGCGGGCAGCCTAAGGCCCTTTGACGAGATCGGCCGATAGATGCTTTCGGCTTTAAAAAAGGGCGACGCAGGGACCAAGGACCGTGGGTGGTTGATTGATGTACGAGGATGGATGGGATACCTCAGTACATTAGTAATAAGTGCGGAGTAAGGCTTTCATATATCTGACTCACACATCTGGCCGACAAGGAAATGGTACGGAGGACGTGTACATGGTCGTGGGCTCAGGCTTCAGACTCAATCATGGGTATTCATGATTACTGTGTAATGTTCACAGCTCGAAAGGTGGGAGGAGGAGGACCGTTGGTGGCAGTCGTGCACGTGTGTCCACAGTCCACAGTCCAGGGTTCGTACAAGTCGTACATTCCTCGTACGCTGTAACCGTACTTCGTATTCCGTAGCTATTGGTTGGTCTGAACAACTATACTAACAACCTACTAAACAAGAAACAACTTCGGCTCGCTCGAAACGCGCCAGTCTTCGCTCTTTCGGTCGGAAAGCAAAGAAAATGCACGGCAGGCAGGCATGGCAGGCATGGCACCTGTCTCGACTAATCAACCGTCTACGGTTGCAGTCCCGCGGTTGCAGTCCAGTACCTGGGAGTACGGAGGACGGAGTTCCATGGCATCTGCCAGTCAGTCTCAGTCTCAGTCGCAGTCACGGTCAGTCGCTGTCGGCTTTAACAGGTCGACTCCTCGGACATAACTCACCTTTTCCCTTTTCCAACAATTTCCCAACAACAGCCCGGAGTTAAAGATTTTCTCTTTTCTGTTTCTGTTGCCTGGGGTGTTTTTAGAATGAGTCACAGCATCATTCGTGAGAGCATCCTTGTGGTTCGAGTCACGGCATCATTCGTGAAGCCATCGTTGTCATCCTACAAAATCATGCGTATGGTCATTGGGGAGCAGACTCGTGGGCCAATGTGTACGTATACATGCATATGGAGGTTGGATGGCCATGGGCATATTGGTGCAAGACACCTCCGCGTCACTGCAACTACAACTGCAACTGCACAAACATATCATTGTGCCTAGCCTTGGTCGGGTGAAGAACCTCTCGACGGGACAGGGCTAAGTATCCAGTGTGTTCTATGTGCTTGAAGTCAACCGTTGCAGTTGAATCAGTCACCCTGAGCCTCAGCAATTCAAGTCAAGTCAGGGCAGGTCACGAAATGCCTCAGGGCACCCATTTAGGCACCCAAATCGTACGAAACCCACCTGAATGGGTGCCTGAATGGGTGCCCTGAGGCATTCCGGCAGATCAGGTCCGAAGTTCATTGAAGTCTAGTTCCTGTTGTCACATGCATTCTTGAGCAGAGCAGCTGTAGCTCTCTCACTATTATACCAACGTCTGCATATCGACATCGTCCAGTCTCGCGATGTGTATCGTCCTCAATTCCATCGTCTGCATTATCGACATTGTCGTGGTCGTCATCATTGCCGTTGCTGAGGAATTCGAGACAAACCGTCACTGAGGAATTTGAGACAAGGCCCCCACGGCACCACGCCACCCGATTCCCTCCTAACAAAAGCAGAACCATCTGCCCGCAGTATATCTTTTGGTTGTTCTAGGAAACTCTTGATTCACCTCACCTCAGCGACATATAGACACCCCTGGCTTCCCACTTGACAGCCCTCTGTTCAACAGTCTCGGCCTTGGGTCGAGATTTCTCCTTTTTCTCCGAGTTTGACTTTGAATTCTTGCTAGTGCTGGGCAGCAGCGCTTTGAGACTCGACATGGTCGAAGTGCTTCGGATGGACGCGGCGTCTGTCATGGTGTTTGTCTTTGCGTTCGAAGGGGCCATTCTATAGACAGATAGATATAGATACTATGTATGTGTGGATGTGTGGATGTCGCTCGGTCTTTATACCCGTATTATACAGGCACAGAACGGTGTGTGCGAGTCGTTGATGTTGTCGATATAATTCCCTTCCTCTTCTGCGACAAGACAAGAAATGTTGATTGTGCTTGGTTGTACAGGGCTGGTAAGAGTCGACAGCTGATGTGATGAATGTGAATTATCTGTCAAGGTAGAAGATATAGAATCGACGTGGGTAGACAGTACTCTCTCTGTAGTGTATAGAATCGACGTGGATCGTGGACAGTCCTCTCTCTGTAGTATAGATTCGACGTGGATTGTGGATAGTAGACAGTCCTCTCTCTTTACTATGTAGTGTATTGAATCGACGGCCCGAGCGTTCCCTCGTTCGTTGGTTGCCTTTGACCTCTTCAGGATGACTGCGGATGGAGATGGTGATGATTGAGAACAGAGAAAGTCAATGCCTCAGGCCACTTGACCAGACGTATATATACCTACCTACCAGGTACCTAGTATACATATACCTACGCCCGAGGAGACCAAATTCGTCAGCGTCAGCGTCAGGTGGGCTGTGGGCTGTGGGCTGTGGGCTGGACGAGGTCAGCTATAGGTAGGTAGGCCATGGTAACTACCGTCCTGTAAACCCCTACCGTGATTAGTAGTTTCTTTGGATGCCTGAGGAAAATAGAAAATACTCCGTAATATGACTGCTCATGACTAGGTATGACTCTTCATCTTCTGCACTGAACCAGAACCAGAACCAGAACCAACAACACGGTCCAGTCACCAGGATCCAGTCACGTCCTTGGTCCCCACAATCCACAATCCAATCCACAGTCCACTATCTGGCATCTGGCATCTAGCATTGACATCCAGGGCGCACTATTGACACTATCCGTACTGCAGACCATTACTGACTCATTGATATTATTATTGTGATGTACTCTGCAGACCATGATTACTTATTGATATTGATATTGTGATCGGTTCACCTCAGGTAAGAATGATACAATTTGTGATTTTTGTATACGTGACATTGATTTGTGTAGTATTGCTCCGCCTCAAACCTGGTGCTGGTGCCTGCGAGTTGAGAAAACATGGCTGCCTGGCGATCGGCCATACCTCCAGAACGGAGCAGGGAGCAGGGCGCAGGGAAGAAGGGAACAGGCAACAGGGAGCAGGGAGGTGGGAGTACGAGTACGAGTGGTGGGAGTACCTAGACTGCTTTGTCAGCCCGGTCTTGTCGTTCGCATCCCGCCCTTTGAGCTTGTCTAATGTTGGTGCCTGCACACAAGGCTAGACAGTAGACACTGGCTAGTATACGAATACGCCGTACGCCCTATGGCGTTACACATTCGATCTGCAATTTAGGTATTTATGTGTCACTACCAACTGCTAATAATTAGGTACCTTTCCTGACCGGCCACGTATAGAATGTCGGTATACTGTAGTCCGTAGTCCTTGCTGTCTAGACTCCCGATGCGGACATTAACGCTGAGTACGCTGTACGGATACAGCACCTTAGGTACCCAAGGGCCAAGGCAAGAGCGCGTACAGTACCTATTACTCCAACATAGGTACTCCGTACAGTGCGGATATTACAGTGCGGATAGTAAGTAAGGTACTCTGTACCCCTACACCACCTGGCACCTACAACTATCCAACCCACAACCTAACCTAGGTATTTACGTACCTACCATTGCGTTTTGCACCAGTGCATCGTATTCGGGTTCAGAGCCACAGCCAGAGCCACAGCCCGGCGGGATCTCCACCAGAAGATGCGATGACTCAGACTCAAACATCAAAGTTCCCATTCAAATTCAAAGTCATATTATAGGTTAGGTAAAATCCCCATCACCATCACCATTCACGCCTTTTGACCGAGTCAATAAGAGTCGAGTCTACGAAGTGGTCTGCTTATAGATCGGCCCAGCCCTAACCCTGGTGCCTGGCTCTAGCTTGGCTTGACTCGACTCGACTCGTTCTCAGCCACTTCTACCGTGGTCCCTTCCCCTTCCCCTTGCAAGTCATGCGATAGGACGAACATGGTCAGTGCTAAGGTATGGAACAGATGACGATCTGGATCTGGGTCTGGGTCTGGGTCTTGGTCTCGTATCTGAACGCTTCGAATGTCTTCCCTTCCCCGGCCGAATTAGGAACCTAGTAAGCAACATGGTCCGCCTTTGATATACCGATAGGTACTACCTCCCTTAGCTCTGTATGGCAAGGACATTGCACCCGGTACATCTTTTTGAGATACCTGTACTACCTCCCTCAGCTGTGTATGGACATGGACATTGTACCCGGTACATACAGCCCTCGGTCATGTCACATCCAATAGATATATTTGAACATCTATACCCAGATTGCCTGCCTGTCTGCCTGCCTGCTTTTTACCCTTTGACTCTTCTCTCTCTACCGCGCCAACTTCTCCGTCAACTCGGGAACCCTCTCAAACAAGTCTCCTACCAACCCGACGTCGGCAACCTGGAAAATAGGCGCATCCGGGTCCTTGTTGATGCAAGCAATCACCTTGCTGTCCTTCATTCCAGCGAGATGCTGAATGGCCCCGGAAATCCCCACCGCCAGGTAGAGTTGCGGAGCGACATTCTTGCCCGTCTGCCCAACCTGCAAACTGTTGTCCGCGAATCCGCTGTCCACCGCCGCTCTTGAGGCACCAATGGCCGCCCCGAGGGCGTCCGCCAGCGGCGGGATCAATCGCTCAAACTCCTCCTTGGACTTCAAGCCACGCCCGCCAGACACTACCTTCTCCGCCGATGCCAGTTCCGGTCGGTCAGACTTGGCCAAGCTTTCAGATACCCATTCGGTTTGTGACTCGACTTTAGGGTCGACCCCCTCCTCCACCGACGCTGAGCCGCCCTCGGTCTCGGCGGGAGCAAAAGCGGTTTGGCGTACCGTCAGGAATTTGATCGGGTCGGTGCTCTGCACGGTCAAGATCGCATTGCCGGCGTAGATGGGTCGCACAAAGGCTGTGGAGAAGTATCAGTAGACCATCCCGAAAAAGGGGGGTTGCTTGGTGTAGACACTCACTGTCCTCGCTCTCGATAGAAGTGACATCCGAGATCTGCTGGGCGTCAAGCAACGCCGCGACGCGGGGCAGGATGCTCTTCCCGAAAGCAGAATGTGCCGCAATCACATGCGTATAGCCCCCCTTCTTGATGTTCTCGACCAGCAACGGCGCCCAGTTCTCGGCCAGCCCGCGTTCATATGCTTCGCTTTCCGCCGCAATCACCTTCTCCAATCCCTGAACCTTTGCAGCCTCTTGAGCGATCGATTTGGCGTTCTTCCCCGCCACAAATCCATGCACGGGACCTCCAAGCTTCTGGCCAGCCGTGACAGCACCAAGAGACCCCGTGTTGAGGACGCCGTCTTTCTGCTCGAGAATGGCGAGGGTGGATAGTAGTCGTGCGAGGGATGACGAGTGCGACTGTGCGAAGAGGGATTGGGATTTCGGACCGGTCTGAGCACGCACAGCGCGTAGGGCCGAGTGTCTCGCTGCAGACAACATGACTGACGCCAGACTCGGAGAAGCCCCTTCAGCGGTGACCAAGAGAGAATGAATTGGCTCGATGGTTAAACAGCAGTGTGAACATGAGCAGCCGTCATCTCAATCCTTTGAGTCGACGATTCGACGTTTTGCGCACATGAACTCCGCCCTAGTCTACCTCGGAAATGCCGCTGCGCGAGCTGTGGCCGGAGCCAACAGGCCCGATCTCGGAACTCGGCCAATCCGGATAGACCCGCTTATATACGGGAGGCTTGACAGATCAGTCGCTCAGAATGCAAACTTGAAGGGAAATGGAAATGATAATGACTTTTGGAGAGGTCAAGAGTTGCCGCTGACTCCTCGGTAAAGTGGTATGGTATCTAAACTGTCCTTCTTACGTGGCGGCCCACTCATCTCACCTCGACGGACTGCAATTTGGATCAATACTGTAATCAACCACATGCGCACAAAAGCAGTCAATCCTTCCCGCCACGCCGCAGGAATGCCGGGTAGCCCTGCATACCTATCCATTTCGCTATGCACAGTGCTGAACGCTAAACTCATATCGCCCCTGAAAGAGACATGCCAGGAGGTGGTGGAATAGACAACAGAAACAGCTAACAATAGCAAACCATGCAGACCAGCCCATTCTGTCCCGTCAGTATCAGGAAAGCTCACGCGGATGATGCAGCCGTATTGGCACAGTCGATTATTTCGGTTTTCGCCAGAAGTATTGCTGCTACACGTCAGTATCCACTCTTTCACATTCGACAGCGCTGAAAAGTATACCTTATGCTGCTTGCGGCATGCTCGCAATCCAGGTTTGCGTAAATCATTCACCACTGCTTCCTTTCTCTTGTCATCCTGATCTTCATCCGGAATATAGTAGTACTCGCTCTCGAGAGCCTTTCCTGCCGCGTCTTTTCCTTCCCTGGCTACCTCCCCAATGCATGCTGTCTCCCTGATGATTCTCTTAACATCACTGCTTGACAGAACACCTGCCTCTTGAGGAAGATGGCTCAAAATAGTCGACAATGGAGTAGATGACAATCTTGAAAATGCAAGTTGGTTGATAATGTGCCCCTGTACGTCGATTTCTGGAACCGGCTGTTTGGCCAGCCCTGGGCCTTGATTCGGCTGAAGAGGTTCCACATGTATTGACCGGGAGCTCTTGACAGAAGTGTCGGGATTAGGGGAGTCTCCAGCGGTGAATGCGGCCATCCGCGGCAGTAGGTTAGCTCCATACGGTCCAAAGGAGTGAATGATCGGGTCATTCTCCTCGTCATTGTCAGAAAAGTCCTCGGTAGTGCTGGAAACGTTGATCTGGGAAACGATGGGGTTCTGGATGCTTTCCGACAGAGCTTGGGTAGTCTGGGACACTTCTAGCACGTCAACGACATCGCTGACCTTTTGGGGTGATACGGGGTCTTCGTATATCTCAACAGGTTCAACCGGGGCTCGGGCTAGAGGATGAGGCGGTGAAGACGGCATTATTGCTTGGACGGCCGGTGAAGGAGAAACCGGTGAAGCAGGTCGTCGCCGGGTTTGTAACGGGCTTGGGCTTGGTGGTGTCGAGTGGCGTAACATGACACGCTGCCGCTTGGAGGGCGAATCCTCCTCTTCTTCCTCATCAGATGATATGGCACCCAACCGAGGTTTCGGGGGCCACATGACTACCACACGACTGTCATGAACATCAAGCATGATTTCAGCATCCCTGACATCCGAAGAGAACGTTTCCCCCTTCTTGACCTCGTATACCTGGCCCTTGCAGTGTATCTTGACACCATTCCAACCGGTACAAGTGATCTCTACCCGATCGCGTTCTAGACTCGAACTCGCATGCTTGTAGCAAGCTTCGACGTGGACCCTGGATATCAGGCGATTGGCGGACAACTGGTAGTCACAAGAGGCGCTAGATCGTCCCATACGCGTTATCTTGCCATCGCCCTCGAGGTGAATGGAAGGCACGGCTCCGAGAGGCGTCCGTTCCGAGAGCGTGGAAGAGGTCTTCTGAAGATTGGACTTTGCCGGGGGAACGCGTGAGGGCGAAGAGGAAAGGATGGCAGTGGAGGAAGTGGGCACTGGCGTAGGATACGTTGGGTGCTCGTCCAAGGCATCTCGGTTTCGCTTGAGAGGCCTCGGTAGAGACGGCGACGACGATAGTGGCTCGAAGGCGGGCAGGAGGGACATTGCAGGTTTCCTAGAGCCCGGAGTGGGAGCTGCATTGGTCTGTGAGAGAGAAGTAGAGGGAGGCATGGTGCTCTAGCCTCAGCTATCTAGATAGTGGCAGCCGAGGGACGGCTACAGCCAGCTTGGAGCGCGTCCTCGGCAGGAGAAAACACAAGCCCAGATAGTCGAGTCTGCTCATGAAGAGATCACAGCAGTGAGGACTCGAGGAGGCGGACACTAGACATGTCCAGCAGCAGTGAAGTGGAAGGTGGTCGAGAAGAGGTCGGCTGGAGTTGGAAAAAGAAACAGACAGTGAGTGCAAATGCAACGGGCACCTATACGCGCCAATTCGCGAGTTGGCGCGTTTTCGCACAGGCACATTTGCAACGAACGGACCCGCCAGCTACGTCAATTTTACCAGCAGCGAGAACGTACGTTTCTTCGAGATGTGGCAGATGCCAGGACTATTAGACACGAGGCGATGTAAGCGTTTGATTTGGGCAATTCGACTCTCCCGACTACGATCTAGAGCAAGCGAGAATGACAGGCGGCTCGGCTTCTCCTCACAGCACCAAGAACAGCTGGAGGCAGCGGACTCGAGGACACGGCACTGGGCAGAAGTCCCGTGTTCTCGAGTTTATCCCAGCTCAGGGCTAGACGTATTGCAGGATTCAAAGTAATCAATGCTGGAACAGACCACCCCGTCTCCCTCAATCGTGTCGCGTGGTGTGTGTAGCAAAGCGCGGTCAACACCGTGCGGATGGGGAATTGTCACTTCTATGGATACGTACTATTGCTTAGTACACGAAGCCCCCACACTCGGCAAACCTGCCACTGCCAGCCATCTCACTCGGAGGCTCCGCATCGGCGTGTGACGATTTTCTATCGCCGACTCTGAAATTTTTGGTGACCACGATTCCACGATTGCACGATTCCACGATTGCACGATTCCACGATTCCCGTGGCCGTTCCCTCAAGCAAATCTTCCACGACCAGCAACCATGGCTGTTACAACTCAGTCGACGGCGAAAACGACGACGGTCTCGGCCACACGCCCCAAAGGCACGCCGTACCAGTTGGACCCTGACCAGGTGCGTTACTCTTACTTCGGAGAGTGAGTGGTTCGAAGTATCTCTAACATACCCTAGACCCTCAAAGCCTCCCGAGCCCTTCTACAACACGTACAAGCCGAGACCAAGCGCATACAGGAAGCGTCATCCAAGACAAGCCTTCTCGCTGCGGAAACATCTGACCCCGATGACGACGTAGCCGGCGATGGAGAGGCTCCCATATGGCTTACCTTGACCACGAAGCAGCATATTGTCGACCAGACTCGGTTAAAGCCGAGCAAGATATCAGTCCCACACTCGCTTAACACATCTCCCGACTTGCGGATATGTTTGATTACCACAGATCCTCAGCGCGCGGTGAAAAATGTGGTCGCTGACCCTGCATTCCCGGCGCCTCTCAAATCCCGTATCACCCGAGTCATTGGGTTCTCGAAATTGAAGTCCAGATACAAGACGTTTGAGCAGAGAAGGCAGTTGCTGGCGGAACATGACATCTTCCTCGCTGATGACCGCATTATCACTCGGTTACCTGCCGTCATGGGCAAGGTGTTCTATAAAGGAACTGCCAAGCGGCCCATACCCATATCAATCGCAAAGCCTCAAAAAGGCAAGAAAGAGACATCACAAAAATCCACCAAAACCGAAGGATCTGCTCCGCCCACCTCTCCAGCTGCGTTGGCAAAGGAGATTGAGAAAGCCATCGACGCTGTTCCGGTTAGCCTTAGACCAGGGACGTTGGTAGCCGTGCGCGTCGGCCTCGTTTCTTTCCAACCTGAACAGCTAGCGGACAACATCGCTGCAGTCGTGCAAAATGTGATTGACAAGCACGTTGTCAAGGGGTGGAGAAACGTCAGAGGGATTCATATCAAGGGCCAATCTTCCGTGGCTGTACCAATCTGGCTAGCTGATGAGCTCTGGACTGAGACTGATGATATTGCCGTTAACAATGCTGACAACGACGGAGTTGATGATGATCAGGGGCAGAAGCGAAAGAGAAATCCTGAAAGCACAAAGGGTCCTCAGGTCGGTTCCCGCAAGAAGACGAAAGTTGGAGAAGGAAAGGATGATAAGGCGGCGGTAGAGCGTGGGCTCGTGGAAGCCAGAAAAAGCAAACTTGCAGCCCAGAAAGCCCGTATTTTTGGAGAGGAAGTGTAATGCTCAAGAGGGTGCAACGCTGCAGGGATGTTCGTACGACATCACATCACGAAACTTGGAGAAAATAAAGGCGCTCGGCGCAGATTTCTAGATACCCTTCACGTACAGAAACTCTGATTATTGTGTGGTTTGGTGCGGTGCGCTATGCAAGGCTGAGATGACAGCCTCTTGAAGCTTGTCGTAGTGTTTGCCCGCTCTCAGGATGGATTCAACTGCAGTGCTTTGTAGTGCTGTCAATATTGGAGCATGGAATGGCCCAATGCAGGGTCCGCAGGTCCGCAGGTGCGCCCGCCGTTCATTGCTTTGTCTTGGCGCCCATCATTGCGGCGGGATCACAAGTCAAACTTGAACCTGGCCAAACACACATTCAATGGCACTCACCCGTCTCGGAGAGTGAAGTAGGGTATGTGACATATACGCAGCAATATCCGCCGGTTGATCTAGGAGGCAGGAGTCCTGACCTCTTTTGTACCTCCGCCTTCCGTCATGCGAGCGTCAGCACACTCTCTACAACATCGCGGACCATCATGGACCGCAAGCGCAAGAGTAGGCTGGTACTATCCGTCTGGGTATCAGCACACTGACAAACTGGCCAGGGGAGCTACGTGACCTGAACCTGCGCGTCTGGGCAGGCGCAAAGGGTAATGTCTACGCTTTGTCTTGCATTCCGACCCCGCTGATGGAAACGCAGATGTCTACGATGTAGCAACCTCCCTCGATTCATCTCTTAAGAAAAACACTGCCTTCATTAAACGCCTCCGCACCGGTCTCTCGTCCACGGCACAAGACACATTTCTCTCCGAAGTCCGCACGTTGTCCCTGCAAAAATATCTCTCCGAGATTATATCTGCTACAGCTGAAGGACTGAGCAAACTCAAGACCGCAAGCGAGATTGCCACCGCGGTCGAGGTAGTTAGTGCACTACACCAGCGTTTTGGGCCAGCGGAATTCACGAAACAGTTGGCATGGCTGCTCGGCAAGGGATTGACTCCGCCGGACAAGGCTCAGGTGAAGCTATGGAGCCTGGAAGTCCGTGAACGTGAGGAGAAGGAACGTCTTTCCCGTCATCGGATTCTTCTTCGGGTGGTCACAGAGTTCTGGATATGTGGTATTCTTCGAAGTTTGGACGACGTGGATCGCCCCGACGAGAGCTTGAGTCGAGGCAAGGATGTTCCATTACAGGCGGAGTTCAAACCAAAGCCCGCTGCAAATGGTACCCGACCTGACGCTCACATCGAACATGAGCCTTTCCCTCTCGAAGTTTTAAAGGAACTGCTCGGGCACGACCCTGAACACGCCAATCTGAGTCTCGCCGTCCTCTTTGTCAAAAACTTTGCTTGGGACGTCCTCGGACTCAAGCCACCTTCCGAGGAAGCCAGAAAACCGGTCGATGCCGAAGGTAACGCAGCAGAGACGACCGGTCAGGGTGTAGTCTCTAGCGACCTAAGCGAGGAAGATCAACCCATCATGTCACAATCTATCCGACAACGATTCGTAAACGTGTTTGAACGTTATCTGGCCAGTGTCAAGAGCCATGTCGTACGAAACCAAAAGTTATTAAGCAACCAAAGCCGCCGCAACGCAGAAGCCTATGTCAAGAGTGGTGAAATCTTCGAAGACCGACAGGCCAACTATGAGAAGCAGTTGAAGGCGCAAGAGAAATTGGTTACCGGCGCCCAGATCCTGTGTGATGTCCTGGGACAAGAGATGCCAGATCTGGCCGAGAAGGAGAACGCGGAGACTACAGCGGCTGGCAGCGTAGGAATGATCAAGACTGGAGATTATCTCAAAGGATCGGGTGACGGCGCCGGCATCTGGGAAGACGAGGAAGAACGCCGTTTCTACGAGAACTTGATGGATCTCAAGGGCCGAGTCCCTAGCATTCTCCTGGAGGACTCGAAGAAGAAGCCCGAGGCCGACGAGCGCCCAGACTCGAGTGGTGTCGCCACTGAAAGCGAATTGGGCAAGCATTCCGAAGCCGATGACCAGTCAACCACGATTGCCAACAAAACCGTCGGGGCCCAAGTTGATGCTCTCCTCCTGCGACTGCCGGAATTGCAGTCCAAAGACGCGGTTGACCAGGTGGCGCTGGATTTTTGTTTTCTGAACTCCAAAGCCTCTCGGAACCGCCTCACCAAGTCCCTGCAAGAGGTTCCGAAGGGCCGAACAGACTTACTTCCGTTGTATGCACGCCTTGCGACCACTCTGGGTCAATACATGCCAGATATTGTCCAAGGATTGGTAGGGCACCTTGATGAGGAGTTCCGAAGCCTCCAAAGACGAAAGAGCAAGGATTTCCTCGGTCAGGTCCGAATGGCGAACATTCGTTATCTCGCGGAGCTGACCAAATTTGGCTCTGTTCCGGAGCACGTTATTTTTCATTGCTTCAAAGTGAGCTTGGATGATTTTTCCCGAATGAATGTTGAAATCATTGCCCATCTGCTGGAAAACTGTGGACGATACCTCCTACGATCCCCTGAGACGGCGCCTCGAATGGCCTCCTTCCTCGAGACCCTCAACCGCAAAAAGTCGGCCCAGCATATGGGTGCGCAGGAAAGGATGCTGATTGAGAATGCGTTGTACTACGTTGATCCTCCGCAGAGAGCTGCGATACAGCAAAAAGAACGAACGCCGATGGAGCTTTTCGTGCGTCAGTTGGTGTACGTCGATTTGATCAAACGCAATTACCTAAAGGTGCTCAAGACCATTCGAAAGCTACACTGGGAGGAGAGGGAAGTTGTGGAGATTCTCGAGAAGATCTTCAGCAAACCTGGGAAGGTCAAATTCAGCAACGTTCATCTTATGGCGGTTTTGCTCCAGGCGCTCTTCCGCTACCACCAAGACTTCGCCATCGGAGTGATTGATAATGTCCTGGAACAAATCACTCTTGGCCTTGAACAGAACGATTTCAAGTTCAACCAGCGGAGGGTGGCGGAGGTCAAGTACCTGGGTGAGCTCTACAATTACAAGATGATTGACTCGACCGTCATCTTCGACACCTTATATCGGATTGTAACATTCGGTCATGAAGGCGGAACCCCGCAACCCGACAATTACACCCCATTCGACCCTCCCGACGACTTCTTTCGGATCCGCCTGGTCTGCACGGTGCTGGATACTTGCGGAGTCTGTTTCGACCGAGGCATCTCCCAAAAGAAGCTCGATTTCTTCTTGACCTTCTTTCAGTACTACCTACTGACCAAGGATCCGCTCCCTATGGACATTGACTTCATGGTACAGGACACATACTCACTTGTCAGGCCTAACTGGAAACTGGTGTCAGACCTTTCAGAAGCGGCGAGATTGTTCGCGGAAGCAGTGAATGCCAACTACAAGCAAGGCACGGACAAATCTGTTGAGCAAGCAGAGGACAACGAGGAGTCGGGTTCTGAGGATGGCGAAGTTGACGCCGAACTCGAGGCCGAGATGGCGCAATCTTCGGACGAGGAAGGCGAGGTGAGTGGATTCTGGATGGAACAGCCCAATGTTGCAGCTAACCAGAGTCAGGCGGGAGCGGCTGAAGACAGTGGCGAAGAGAAAGAAGATGTCGACTCGGAGGAAGAAGAACAGATTGTTGTGTTACGCCAAGAAGAGCAGATTGACCCTGAAGCCGAAGCCGAGTTTGACCGGGCCTTTGAGAAAATGATGGCCGAAAGCTTGGATTCTCGCAAGTTCGAGCGCAAGGCCCAGTTCGATGTGCCGTTGCCGATCCGCAAACTCCAACGGGTGGCAGTCGAGACCAACGACGAGGAGGCTCCGGCGGAGGTTCGACCTGAACCAAACACCATGGCATTCTCGTTGATGACCAAGAAAGGAAATCGGCAACAAGCAAGTATCCCTTTGATTTTTGTTTTGTCAACGACGCAAGGAGGAAATAGGCCGTGACTGACTAACAATCATGCAGACCAAGACGATTGAACTGCCGTCGGACTCGAGCTTCGCGATCTCGATGAAATCACAGCAAGCGGCAGAACGGGAGGAACAACAGCGGATCAAAAACCTGGTCTTGAACTATGATCTACGCGATGATCAGCATGATGGTATACCCAATGGATTTCCTTCCGGCCCTGTTATGCAACCCCCTCTAGAGAGGAATCCCAATACTAAAGGACTCAATGTGAAACCAGGCCCGGATCACTTCAACCCTCCTCTCAGTCGAGCAGAGAGAGCCGGACGCAATACGGCCCGAGCCAGGCGACTCAACCTGAAAGATGTGGACTGGTATGATACCAACAATGCAACTCGGAGCGGTGGGGTTGGCGGAAACGAAAACAACAGCTTTCGCACACCACCGGATAAGAGATCCCATTTATCCAAGAAGCCAGGCTGATTGGCCATTTTGGCCCGTATAGGACATGAACCCCCAACATCCAGCCAGTGGCTGGCGAATCCTATTATCCATAAGCTCGTCGCTTCGAATGCTATCGAGCGCCATGTCGCCGCCGAAAGGTGGGCCGCTTCAGCCGGGTGGTTTTCGCCATCTGCGTCCATCACATTCGCCGATGGCAGCGTCCGGAGATCGCTTCAACTCTGGAAGGCACCACCCGAGGCGTCGTACATCTCATGATTGTTCCCGAACGGTCAGTCCTCTGAGGGGTCGGCTCTCCAATGCGTCTAGATCCACGGCAGGAAGTGCGCGGCGCCCAGATCGAGGCGTCTGGTGGCACCTCGCAAATTCCGGAGAAGAGTTAAGTGGAAGCGGTGGAGGAGGAAGGTCGAGAAATGAGATGTATCTGCTACTCTCCCCGGGCAAACCGTTTATCCAGTTCCATGGTGAAGAGTGGTCTTGGACCTTGAAATGCAATTTGTATCTCGTCAGATCGGATGTGGTTGCTGGTACTCAACTGTCCGCCGAACTGGGTGGGCCACTGCTCCACATCCCATTCAAGACCGTGGGTGGTGAGCAGGGAGCGACCAAGCACGGGGATGATGCCGACGTTTTCTTCGAAATAGCCGGGCTCGACGTGGATGAGGTTGTCGCCGTTAGCTAGCACAAATGACAAGCTTTGTTCGGACAGGAGATAAATGCGACCTTGCAGGAGGTTGGGGTCGGTCTCGGCCATGTATAGGTGGTGAATTTGCGAGAAGCCTTGGTCGACACGACCGCCCAGGCCACCTATGACGACGACATCCATAATAGTATCATTGTAATGTTGTTGCTGATGCTGATGCTGATGCTGATGCTGTTGCTGTTGCTGTTGCTGTTCCACACACCACCGCCGGATCCATTTGAGACATTTCGTAAAGTCGGTGGAGTACTGGTCCGGATCCTGAATGACGGTGACGCCGCGGCTGCGGTAGTGCTCTTCGACGACACGACTGAGCGAGTCCAGGTCTCCGATGATAGCGTCGGGGAGTCGATTGCGACGGTGACTGTGGCTGGGGCTGTGGTGGTGCTTTTGTGATGACTGGTTCTGGTTCTGATTCTGGTCCGGATCGTGATCGTGGTCTTTAGGCTGGTCTTTCGCCCGCGACTTGGTGGACTCATCATGATCAACCTTGGTTCGAATTTGATTCTGATTCTGGGACTGATTCTGGGACTGATACTGTTTCTGGTACCTGTACAGCCGATCGGCTCCGGCATCGGCACACACCAGGACCGCAGCGCCGTCAATCACGGCGTCCAGCGCGTTCGGGTTCATCGGCTGGTTGAGGATGATGATGGCGTAAGGGTGGGTTGCGTGGCCGTTGAGGAGGCCGCATGGATACCATGTCGTGGTGGTGGTGGTGATATTCGAGTCTGGGTTCAAAGTCGAAGTCGAAGTCGAATTCGAATTCAAGTTAGAAGTGGACGCTGGGGTCGTTTGTGACGAATTCAAGTTCGAAGCAGACGCCGGGGTCGTTTGTGACGGTGTCGACATGTTTCTTGTGCGGCGACGCCGATGGCAATGTCAGCGCTATCCCGGCGTTGAGGTGAGTGCGGTGGGTTGGAGCAGTGATCCCGAAGGCGATGATCGAGGTGGTGGCGGTGGTGTTCAGAATATATCGTCTGTACACACACACCCACACACATACCTTATATATCCATACCTAGTAAGTAGCTCTATCTATATATATATTTGGTGTGGATTCATGTTTACATGTACATGTATGTGTTTGAGAGAGAGGGAGGGAGTGTGTTGTGTAACTTAACTTGTAACGGTCTAGATTACAGATCTGTGGGCGGACCACGGACGGATAAGGACACGGGATCGTATGTACTGTAACCCTAACCCTAACCCTAACCCTAACCCTTCCTACATGTACGCCTTCTAAGCCTTGCCTTGCCTCCTTAGCCTTGGCGCTCACCCAGCCCAATTACCTATGTACTGTAAACTGCAGGTGCTGTCGTGACAACCTCAACATCAATGCCAGTGCCAGTGCCCAACTTCTTTACCTAGTAGGTATCCTTGGTTTCTGTTGCTGGTATATGTACGTACGTATCTTACTTACCTCTGAGGCTTACTCTGGACAGGCTCCCCGGGAAACCATATCTTCTCCTCTCCTCTCCTCACTCTCCAACTAGTGCAGTCGGACTCCCCACGATACTACCGGGTGAGTACTCCGTACACAGCTTGGACCTTCATGTACAGTACTCCGTCCTTATTCTGGTCACTACGCCTCTGCTCGGCCCTTAAAGTCAAGCTTCCAGAACTTATTTTCCGTAATCACTTCGGTGACGCGACTGCCTCCCTCGTTCGCGCCATCCTCTGCCGCCGTCGGTCGTTTGGCCGCCGCCTTCCGCCTGTCTCGTAGGATAAAGAGTTGAATGGCAATCACACTGAAGATGGCGGCAATGACCAACCCCCAGGTGGTGGGAAACCCGCGGCCTACGGAGTGCAACCCGTCAGTGTAAGTTCACATCCACGTCCACGTCCACGTTAGACTTCGACCAAAAGTGTCCCTGTCCCTGCTCACTACTTACGGAAAGTCGGCGCCATGGTCTGCGGAAAGATGATGATGGGCAGCCAGGCCGCCACGGCGTACTGGAAGCCGTTCATGCTACTGATCACCATGGCGCGCTGCTCATTGTCGTCGGCACACGTCTCGTTTGCCCAGGTATAGCTATGGCAAGTCAAGAGCAGTCAGTCAGTCACATGTCATGGCTCTCGAGGTCGAGGTCGAGCCTGTGGTCAGGGTGCTGGGGACAGAAGGTGGAACGTACAAGACTGCGGTCATGAGATGAACATTCACCGTCAAGAATGCGAATTCCTTCAGATGGAGGCTTGAGGGCCAAAACGCCAGAATTCCGTTCGGAAGAAGCGTCAGGATCTGCCGAACAGTTCGCTTGTCAGCCCTCTTTTTTCACACGGTTCGTTGAATCCCTAGGTATCTCTCCCGCCTCGCCTCCGTGAGATGGAGGTGGAGATGGCTGGCAACTTACCAGAGGGACGAGCACCCAAGTGAACCTGCTGCCGGTGTAATCTGACAGAAATCCCCAAAGAACCACGCAACCGGCTGTGATCAGGGAGGTTCCAGTGGGGATGAGGTTACGCTTGACGACCGAAAACCCCTCAGATTTGAGCCAGATGCCAAAGTAGCCGTTCCCACCGCACGATTCGCCATAGAGCTTGTTTCAGGTGTTAGACCAGACATTTAACAATGCTCTTCCATCTCATCTTCGGAAAGAACAGCTCCGAAAGAGACTTACCACATATCCCACCACAAAAGCATACCATTTCCAAGAGCTGAGGATCTTTTTGAACGTCGCCCGTGTGATTTTCACCGGCGGGGCCTTACCGGCTTTCCTCACCCGCTCTTCTGCGAGATGGCGTTCATCCATGGTCAGATACCAGGCCCGGCTCGTGTACGGGGTGTCGGGGAGTAAGAGAAATGTTGCGAGCCCGACGGGGACAGTCATACACTGGGTGAATTGGTGTTAACAACAACAACAACAACAACAACAACAACAACAGCAAAGCAACAGCAACGGCAAAGCAACAGAAACAGCAAACACGGTCTTAACCATGTCATGTCCACACGGCCACTAAGCCCCCAACGCAAGCAAAGGAAACAAAAGACAAAAGCAAAAGACAAAGGATAGAAACTCACCCCACACACAATGTATAACCATCTCCATCCTGCGAGCCCGTGCTTGCCATCCAGATTCTTATACACGGCGGCCTGGAGATAGCCACCAAACGCGGTACCCAAAGGGGCGGTCATATGGAACAAGGCAGTCCGCTTGGCCAGCTCCGTCTTGGTATACCAGCTCCCCAGCACATACAACAGCGATGGAAAAAAGGAGCTCTCGAAGAAGCCGATCAAGAAGCGAAACGCATACAGCTCGCTCACGCTGTGCATGCCGGCCTGGGCAAAGGTAAAAGTGCCCCAGCAAACCTCCATGGCGGCGAGCCAGATATGAGGCCGGACGCGCTGGATGATCAGCGTGCTGGGAATCTGCATGACGGCATATGCCACGGTATAGGTGGTGCCGGCATAGGTGTACTGGTTGCCGTTCATGGCCAGGTCCTCCTTCATGCCCGACACGTACGCGTTGGCCATGTTGCCCTGGTCCAGGTATTTCAGGAAGAAGCCCAAGCATCCGATGCTCAGGATGGCCACGTCGATCTTGAGAAGCAGTCGTCGCTCCTCTGGCGACTTGAGGTGTGTGTCCGTGTCCCAGATGTAGGTGCGGAAGGAGCGGCGTGGCGGCTTCGCGGGCTCGGGCGCAGCCTCGGAGGGCGACGCGTTGGCGGAGTAGGAAGATGCCGGCCGGTCCAAGTCCTTCAAGTTCGCATCGTCGGAGTCGTGGATCCCGTCATCTGTGACGATGGCTTGTTTGCCATGAGTTGTTGAGTCTGCATGGCCCATGTTGGGTGTGAGATATAGAAGAACCGGGTCGTTCAGCCAAGTTCAACGGTGTTCCTATTTCTTCACCGGGCGGGTAGTGCGGGATAGGGCGGGATATAGGTCGAGATGGAGATCCAAAAATCAACCTCGACCCGGTTTGGATTCCTGTTTCTCTTTGGGTTCCTGTTCCTCCTCCTGTTTGGATTACTGTCCCTGTTCTTGTTTCTGTTCTGTTTCTTCCTGTTCCTATTTCATTCGACCACGACCAATCCCACTCACAAATCAGGCCTCAAAACATATCACGGACATGGACACGGACACAGACACAGAATCCAGGTCCTTCAAATGAGCGCCGAGTGAGCTCGAGAAGAATCAGATCAGACACACGATGGAAGCAGAGCCACGGATCCCGGCAAAGAGCGCCCTAGATAACATATATAAGAGTAAAGAGAAAGAGGGTCGGGATCCTACCCGGATGTGTGTGTACACAAGTATTGCAATACCCAGGGTTCCCTCACTAACGCTGGTTAATTACCACACCATCATATCACGACATATTCGTGCTCTAATGCCTCATCGATTACGACAGAAGCACTACCACACCGTACGCCCTATATTCTCATTCTGATTACGTTCTCATTCTTATTCTACACATGCTACCGGTAGTTCATGGTTACTTCACACGTTAATCCCACCCATCGCTATCACCACCATCGCCATGGCTATCACTATCACTATCGCCACTATCGCCATCACTATATCGAGCTAGGAAGGTGAGTGAATCTGAATAGATAGATACACTAAGTAAACTAGGTACAGAAGGTATCATCCAGCCTAACGATAACCTCCCCACCCCGCTCCCTCCCGCTTTTGCATGGATATTAGGTGGCGGTCACGGCACTGCTCTGCTCTGCTCTGCTCTGCTCGATTCGAGTTCTGGTTCTAGTTCCAGTACTAGTAGCCTAACTACCTTACGTACGTACCCGGCACTTCACTGTACCTAAGGTATGTCTGTATGTCTGTGAGGTATATCTATAAGGTATCTCTGTATGTCTGGGACGAAGCACAGCACAGCACAGCACAGCACAGCACAGCACAGCACAGCACTCACTCGTATCAGAGTTAGATTCAGGATCGGGATTACTAATAGTGTACTACATACATACAGAACACCTATACGGATGCACAGAGATAGGAACAGACACAGGCAGAGACAGGCAGAGACAGAACAGAAATAGAACAGAAATGTACTCTGCTACGCCTCCCGTTCGTCATCGTCATAATCATCATCATCATCCACAATTTCAATACCCCATACTTCTCGTCCACCACTTCCTTTGAACGGACCAAGTTGCACTCGAGGCATCGGTCCAGGACCGCTCCTTCTCGTCCACTCCTTGGGATCAGGATGCTGCTGGATCCAGCGCTGGAGCTTGGGACTGTCATAGACGACACTGATCACATTGGCCAGATTGTCAAAGTCGTACCTCAGTTTCCGCAAATGTCGGTAGCCCACGCAATACACCAGCATCGTCACCAGTGCCAGAATAAACAGGATGATCAACGAAATATATGCGGCCACTGGGGACATCTGCAGAACTTCGACCGCGATATCCACATGGGCTGGAGCGTTCGTGTCCGTCGTCAAGCTGCTGTTCTGATCTTGATGGTTTGACGCGCCCGAGCCGTCATCTATGATCTGCCCGAGGTCCCCAGGCAACGTAGCCCCGATTTGCTGAAAGCCCCAGCCGCCGCTGGCAGAAACGTTGGAAGAAATGAAATGCTGGAAGAAGGTCGACAACACCCGCTGCCCGAGCCGTGCCATCTGAGTGGGGTCCATCAACACTTCCAGGTCGCCTTGCGCGAGCTGATACATGGAGTAAGACATGAGATCGGTGTTGAGGCCTTGAGGCGGCAGACGAAAGTTGAAGTTCTTGTCGTCCAAATCTTCCACGTGGGAAGTGGTTGACCCGCCACTGGGCCAAAGCTTTTGCAGGTCTGCCGCAAACATTAGAGCGTCCTGGAACAGTACGCCGTAGCTGACGGTGACCTGATCGTGTATGACCCCAGATTCGGTCCCGTCTCCCGGCTGGCTGTAATTGTGGGTGAGATATGCGTCGCTCCAAGGCCAGTCGACTGTCTCGGGAGCGTCGATGATTGAATACTTCCAGACGCGACCTGTGGCCATGTCGACCGTCACGCTGGCGTTGCTCCATTCAATCCGAGGCTGGCAGTTGAGCGCCGACATTCGAGGCGCCTCCTTCCAGATGAGGTGCCGGAAATCGTCGGCTTCTCCATAGCCTCTTGCGTAGCTCGAATTCATCGAGTAGAAGTGTTGATCCGCAGTGCCTCGGATCCATTTCATGGTGAAGTTACGAGGATAGAGACCCGTGGACGATTCGAAGTCGTACACCAGGTCCTGCGGGTAGTTGTTGGACCAGTAGCCAATCGCAGCCGAGTCGCGGGCCTGACTGGACGCGTTGGCGCAACACAGAATCGTCCTTTCCCGGCTCAGGATCGGTGTTGTCGAAAAGTTGGCCTCGCGATTCAGCTCGAATTGCCCGTTGACTTCATAGCCCTTGGTCAGCGTGGTTGGATTCAGCGAGACATTCCAAATTCCGGGGTCGGTCAGGTCCCAGTCGGTAGTCCAGCTTGATAGATTCGTGGTCGATTCGATGCTACTACAATCTGCCGTGGCTCGTAGTGCAGGCGTGATGATGGTGATATTAACACTCTTGCCCAACGTCGAATTCCCACTTGTAGACGAAGAATTCGTCGTAGGGGTATTCGTGTACATCTGCGACTCCGTTATGGAAGATAGATCCACTGGCACAAAGCTCCAGCCGTCCATGCTCCAAGCAGGTTCTGATCCGTTGTATGCAAGCTGCAGGGTTGCCGAGTAGAGCCAGTTGGTCGAAAGGTGGCCGTAGAAGTCGGACAGGATATCCTGTCCCTCAGGGTCGCCTCCGCCCATGGAACTCCCAACCGAATACACGTAAACGAACGGCTGAGTCCTCGGCTCCCAATTGCGGATCAGGTTCATTTCACCCGTCCGAGAACCGTCGGCTCGTTGCCATAATGCGGACATGGACACGGTAAAGACCTGGGTGAGAATGGCGCCGGCAGAAACCAATGCCACGAGCAGGTGTCCGTTCCTGACTGCTTTGACCACAGAGCCGACTGGATGCGTGGCCAAATATGACAGGCCAATATTAGGCGCAGCAGGCACCGCCTTATGAGCCATGGTCACATACGGTTGGAGTCTGCGGAAAGCCCCGTCGAGATCATCCCACCACAGACTGATAACGACAGCGAGGAGGGTGGGCACTATCGAATAAGGCGCAAACGTGAACAGGTCACTGCTGGAAGGGAGCAGGTCAGTCTGATACGTGAAAGCGGATTCGTAGAGACCGGCGGTATGCGCAAGTACGAAGAGCACCAGGATCGCAGCGAATACGACAGTCAAAAGCGACAGCAATAGGAGGCCCGCGAGCCGTCGTACCACGAAGGGTCTCCAATCTTGATGGGTATCTGTCTGAGTCGGGACAGGAGCTGTATTCGGAAGTCAGCGCGCTCAGGGATGGGTGCGAGGGAAATTACTCACCGGGTTCTTCATCGACGGTCTTGACTGACCGTATGAGTCCGTCGCGCAAAAAATGGGTTGTGTGGTCCAATTTCCAATCCGACAATGCTCCATTGCCGTCGTCCCGTGCCTTAAAACAATCGCGGATGACGGAATTCCCTTCGATGAGTTTGACCACGGCTGCCACTGAAGCAGGGTCATTGTGCAATTGCAAGGGACGTCGGCCCGAGAGGAACAAAACCACGGCCATCAGCCCAGCTGAAACAAGGAAAAGTACAGCCAGCGAGATGGCGATGGGGAGGTTGACAACGACCCTCCGCGGACTCTCGATGACCTGGCCAGTATGCACAACCGGTCCATTCTCGGCGATATTGGCAATCATCATTTCACCTAGGAAACGCTGTTTGATTCTTCGGGCGCTCTCTCCGACAGACCCAGTGTCCATCATGCTGCCTGGATTGAAATCGTACATGGCCGCCAGCAATGCCGACACTCCTCCAAAGCTCGGTAGTGAGTTGGTGTTGGGGGTATAGATCATGCTGGTCCAATTGAGGTTCAAAAAGGCATCTTCAAAGCGATCCTGATCGAGACTCGTGGCCGGCAGCAGACTGCGACGAGCATTGAACACGGCATCATCAACGTCCAGAGTGGTCCCACTCGGCCCTGTGGTCGCGGTGACAAGCATGTCGGCAGCGTAGAACGAGGTCTTGCAGGACCATGCCGCGGCCTTGAAGTATTTGTTCCAGCTATCTGACGTATCACCACTCCAGGTGCCGTTGGTGGACAGCACAACCTGTCGATCGTCACATTGTGGCGTGGCGTTATAATACTGGCCTGAGGAGTTGTCATCCCAAATGGGCAAAACAACACGGGGTGGTGCAAACCATGAGCCACCGCCGTAGAAAGTCATGTATTGAGAAAATCCATTTATGCCTGCCTCACAGCCCTCATTGTCCGTCAGCAACAGTGAGTTGTACTGATGGGGGGATGTCGAGCCATCTTCGGTGACGTTCTCAACCCAAACGGCTTTTTGCACTTGCATTGCTTGACAGTCCAGCCCGACAGAAAGCACGGTCGTGTTCGCTTGCCATTGCTGGGCCTTTTCTGTCCCAGCGATCCCAAGGTCTAAAGTCACAGACGACGGCGAGAATGGTACGATGGCGTACTTGTCCGTCAACCAAGCGGATGTTGTGAGATTTTGGAGAATATTGCCGATGGTTCGGAAATACACAAGGTCATCGGCCGCCATGCTGATAGCATCATCGCTAGAAACCGCATATCGAGTAAACGGTACCCTCGAAACCAGCTCCACGGGCTGACTTTGCAACAAGGCCGAGGACAGAGGGTTAATCAACAAGGAGCCGATGACATGAACGAGTACAGTTGCCAGAAGGAAGTAGTTGAGATGCCCATGATTCTCACGCTTCCTTAAGCTGTCCGCAATGATAGACCACCACTGTCCGGGGTTCTTGAACAAGCTTGAAGTTGAGGAGGCGCCGGACACGTGGGACATGCGCGCAAGAGATTCAGTCCGGGCGGCGTCATGCAATGTAATGGTGGTCAGTATTGCATATAAAACGGTGACGAGGGTGGGAGTAAACCGCCATCCGAAAAGGATGGCAGAAGAGCCGTCGTCATGCCCGAGGCCATCGTGCACAACGGAATACGCCAACAGAAAAACCACCACCAGCCCGAGTACCAGAGCGACAACGAGGGTGGAGAGCAAAACGGGCCATCTGAGCGAGACTGGCTTCCAGAGCGGTGTCCTCGGAAACCCCGTGGACAGCGTCGGTTGTTGCGGATTATTGCTGGTTCTGTCTTCAATATCTACAGTTTGAAGAGTGGCGTACTGCGAATGCGGTTGCTTTGGTGGAGTTGGGCTTGTGTGGTCGTGGGCAAGTGTCGGTTCTGTGGCCTCGAGAATGGGACTTGCTTGAGGCTGAAATGGTGATGACTCCTCTTCTTGACTCAAGAGTGGAGTGTAAGAGGAGGAGACTGGGTTTCGCGGATGAATCGGGCGCAACGGTAGGCCATCCTCGTCCGAGGCAGAAAGCTGGTAGCCTTGTTGCGACATTATTGCTAACGGCACGGGCCGGGACTTGCTCAGAGCGCATGCAGAGGAAACCAAGGGCCTTCTAATGGACAGCACGTATATTTGTAGCTGTCGAGCTCTGACATGGCGGCGACGATAGACTCGATTGTTTTCAACGGGGTTCTGGTTTCAGGCTGGCACCGCTGTATAACTGGCCAGGAGCCTCAATCCGAGACAGAGTTTATTATCAAGCACTGTACTCTGTACTGCGTAAGGCCCCCAGTTGGGGTGGGGGCCATGCAGGCGGCAACATGTGGGAGAGGTACTCCGTCTCCCCCCGCCATTTGTGGTCTGTGTGACACTGCCCTGCTCTCGACATGTCAGTGTTAGTATATGTGAGATTGCTAGAACGATCAGACAGCAGGTCAGCCATTGATGATAATATACAGGATGCCTCGAATATGATGAAGAAGGAAAAGAGGTTCAAGTAAGGCCCCGGGCCGAGAGGGAACTAGGCTGAATGTAGATATCTCTTGCTGCCGCTCTTATTGACCATATAGCGGCGTGACGTGTCGCCTAAAGCAGACGCCATCGAGCTTTCTGCCTTGCGAGGCAACTCTACGCAGCACTCCGTAATAGACCAGGCAACATCAAGGGCGCGCTCCACTGCACTACTCCGTACGACGTACGTACCAGGTATGCTACTCACTACTACTCTGTACGGAGCACGCCTATGGCTGCCTTGTGTCCCGCTTTCGAGGCCATGTCGACGTGTCTTGCAGAAGATTCCGCCCCCATCTTCCCACTCGCCCGATCACGGCCATTTCTCTCTAGTTCGCCTATCTCTCTTTTCTGGTTTAGTTGTTCGCGGTCCTCGCTTGGGATCGAAGCAACTTTTCTATGGACCCGGTGAGGTTGCAGCGTAAGTCATGGTGGACGGACTAGTCGGCCGTTTGGTTTCCATCATCAGCTGCCCTCAAATTGGTAGCTGTATCCGTCACCTCTTCCATGCAGCATTGGCTTTCTTGCATCCGGGGATGCGGACTGCCGCTAATTATGTACTAGTAGTAGCCTTGTTGGCGCCCTTCGTCGGCTATTGACTGCTTGTTCGCCCGATCACTAATACTATCTGCTACGAGTCGGACTGAAAGCTCAAGCCACGAAGCCGGGCTGTCCCAACGAGGGCTTGATAAGGCTGCCCACCACCACCTTTTCTGTAACCTTCTTCTTCTCATATCCGAACCGCGGTAAGATGGCTGCCCTGGCTCAAGCTCAACCCCAGCCTGACCAGGCTCGGCGGCATATTGACACCATCCGTCGAGAAGCCGGACTCGAAACCGGCCAAGGCTCAAACCGAAACGTTCAAAACCTTCAGAACGCTCTTCACACGTACGCAGGGCCTTACATTTTTAGAAGAATGCCGAGCACAACTGATCCATCGTCACAGACTCGCCGAGGAACTCTACCAAAAATCAACTCATTTTCTGCTGGAGTTGATCCAGAACGCAGATGACAATGAATACGACGTCGCCGAGCCAAGTATTACTCTGACATATAAGAACCGCTATCTGCGGGTCGACTGCAACGAACGAGGCTTCAGCCCAAAGAATGTCGAAGCCATCTGTAGGGTTGGTAGCAGTACCAAAGCAGGGCAAGACCGTGCTTCGAGCTATGTCGGAGAGAAAGGCATTGGGTTCAAGTCGGTTTTCAAAGCTGCAGATGTTGTCTGGATCTCATCCAATTCGTACACTTTCAAGTTCGACAAGAGACAGGTCTTGGGTATGATAGCGCCCATCTGGGAGCCTTTCCCGGGTCCGTCCGAGCCATCGATGACCTCCATCCTCTTGCAACTGTCCCCCGACTACCAGGAGAAAGGACTGCTATCTGACCTCAAACAATTCGACCCTCGGATGCTGATGTTTCTACGTCGCTTGAAGAGGGTCAAAATCATCATTCATGAAGGCGGGGCTCCCTGGGAGACCACTTTGAGCAAGAACATCGGGATATCCCACCAGGAGACTTCCGTTGAGCTCACCCAGGACGACAAAACGATGCGGTATTTGGTCAGTTCTTACACCGCAAGGAGTCTTGCACCGGAGCCCAAGCGACCTGGAGCGACTGAATCACAAATCATGCTTGCCTTTCCAGACTTTGCAGAAACGGAAACCATAGAGCCCCAGAAGGTTTATGCTTTTCTTCCCATCAGAGACTACGGGTTCAATGTGCGTGGTGTCCCTGAAGCCCAATCTCCCTGCTGATTTTTACAGTTCTTGCTGCATGGAGATTTTCTTCTCTCTGCCAACCGAGAGGACATCTTGGACCATTCGGAGTGGAACTGGTCCCTTAGACGAGAATTTGTGGATGCTTTCGTGGCTGTGGCTAAGACATACAGCCATAGCCAGCTAGGTTACATTTGGCCTCGATACATCCCGCTCAAATCGACGCAATCTCAATTCTTTGCGCCCGCAAGACAGGCGATCATTGCGCAGCTTTCTCAAGAGCGTGTGCTGAAATGCCGGACTTCCGAACTGAGAATGCCATGTTCTTTGTTTCATGTCCCCAAGGACTTCTGCGATAAAGAGGGTATACCGATGACCTCCACTACAACAAGCGATCAGCGTTATCTAAGTCCTCAATACTCCGACTCCCTAAAGGAGAATCTAGAGCTGCTCGGAGTGAAGGAAATGACCGACTCCATCTTCTTGGACCACCTATCAGCCTTGCTGGACCAAGATGCTGTCTCATTCCAAAAGCAAAAATCGGTTGCCTGGCATACCCGACTTGCGGAAATCTTGTTGAAACTCTCCTTCGAGGCTGCCAATCATGAAAGAATCGTTGATTTGCCGGTAATCCCGCTCAGTGACGGTCGATGGGTGTCTGCAAAGGAGGAATACATCTATCTCCCCCAGGAGGCGGAAAACTGCCCTGCACCTGAGGGCTTCAGACTCTCGTTGGTCCGTGAAGATGCAGCCAATCATCCAACTGCTCGTTCACTGTATTTGCAGCTCGGACTGAAAGTCCTTGGACAAGACAGTATCGCCCTTGGCATCATCAATGAGCACATGAAGGAATCCTTCAACCCGTACTCGATGACCGTTCCACAGCTCATTTCCCAGCTTGCTTTCCTCTTCCATGCCAGAATCGACGACTTGCGTGTCAAACATGTTTGGGTCACGACTGGGATCGGTTCCGCTCGTTTCCGCGCCGAGGAGACATACTTGCCTTCGAAAAATCCCTTCGCCGCGAGCCATTACTTCGCGGGCCGGCCTGAGATCCCGTTCCTCCATGCCGACTATTCGACCGCTGGCAGAGAGAATACTACCCGATGGTTTGAGTGGCTTGAGAGTGTTGCCGGCATGTCCATCCTGCCGCGACTGACCGAACGTGTTCTGAGTCAACCAAGGTACTTTCGCCTGTCCCGCCATTTTTTGTTCATCATGGAGTCCAACGAGCCCAAGGACTTCTTGGTCCTCCTCCGAGACAACTGGAACCATTACTCAAGTTGGTTCGAAGATGACGGCGGTGTTTTCCCGAATGATTCGCGAGAGCTCAGTCGAGAACGCGTCATAAAAGAAATACAGGCATCGCCGGTGCGATGCCGAGGTGGCATAACAAAGTCCTTGCGGGACGTTTTTCTGCCAATCCCTGAACTCGTGGACAAGGCACAGGGCCAAGTGCCTTTCATTGACGTCGCCGATCCTCTTGACCAACGCTGGCGAAGACTGGGTGTTCTTGGTTTAGGCGTGGAGGGAAATGTGAGCTTTTACCTACGCTGCCTAGAATCAATGCGCGGGAAAGGCGACCCGGCACCGGTGGATCGGGCCACCATGCTGCTTGAGCAAATTCAAGCACGATATTCGGATGACGAGGAACTTGTAAGGTATGTGACGTTTATGACTTGATCTTCTCTCCCTGAAAGCCGTCACTGACAGTAGATATAGAAAATATTTCACGGAAAAGCCGCTTATCTGCATACCAAACACGCAAGCGGGCCGACCAGTGCGCTGGGCCAAAGTACAGGACTGCCTGTGGAGTGGCCCGGAATGCCTCCGGCGATTTGTGGCCCTCAAGAACATCTATCCATCGTGTCAGAGGCTCTTCCGCGACTTCTTCCTAGTCGCAGATGCTACTATTTCGGATGTTGTCCGCGAGCTCACATTAATCAACATAGGTGATCCTCTGGCCTACATCAGGAGCTTGTTCTTGGAGTTAGAGAAACAACTCGAGAAAGACGAAACATCTACTGCTGTTGATTCGCTTCAAACGCACAGTATATGGCCAATCTACACGACGGAGGACAAGGATGACTGGGATGCGCTTGGATGTGCGAGGGAACCCATCCCGTGGTTCATTGCTGACCGAGTGCATTTACTTGAAAGTTTCCAGGGCCTTGTTCCTCTATTGGCGTTCCAGGTTGAAGATATCCTCAAGATGCCGCTCCTCATCAGAAAGCTTGGTGTCGACAGGAGAAGGCTGACCCGAGCAGCTACGAGCATCGCTGAAACCGTGGATGTCGTACACTCTGACACGGCTTGCCAGGACGACTTACGTTCAAAAGCGGATTTCATCGCAAGGTGTGTAACTTCCGTCTAGTGGACTTTCTGCCGCCCACAGCTTTCTCATCTCTTCCGATTTCCACAATATCTGCTCTACTCGTGTTTGTGCTCGTGACGATAGTGCTGACTTAATGCCTCTAACAGGTTGATTCCACAGAAGGAACGCGGCAAGATGGAAAAAGTCGCTAAACTGAAAGCCTTGAAGGTCTTCTCGACTTCACGAGTGATCCAAAAGTGGTCTGTTCCAGTTGGGCAGGAGGCACACCCAGGACGGGCCAAAGACGGAAGTGTTGTGCTCGCAACTGAACACGAGGTCCTCGAGATCTATCTCAAAGAACGGTACTTTGAGGAGAATAAGACACCCGCCGACCTAGTCGAGGCAATTGCAGGTTTCTGCGCAATCGAGGACCGACACTCGCTTCTGCTTACAATTGCCCTGACGGAGAAGCCACCAAAGGTCCATGAATGGTTTCAGCGCCACGGGATTTCCGCTCTCAACCTCGAAGATGACCTTCCGGACGATGTGACAGACATTGACGATTTCGATCCCCGGAAGAAGGTAGGAACCACTCCCCGTCGCATTTACAAGACAGTGGTTTTGAAGGACGATTTGGTACGAATGTTCGTTCCCTTTGCTTCACTGCAGGAATTCGGCATGGGAGGTCTCGCTTTGGCATACCAGGTCGCCGATGGCACTAGCGGGCTTCTGATGGACCACAATTGGAATGCCGCGGATCTTTACCTGGATGATGATGACAAGTCGATCGTATCTAAAGCCGAGTCGAGCTGGTCAGGAACAACAATCGGCGGTGGAGGGGCAAAATTACTCGGGCTATTGGGCGGCTCGAAAATGCGGAGAAAAATGTTCCAGAAAACTCTGACGCCAGCGGTCAATGAGGACTTGGAGTATGTTGGGCAGAGGAAGGTCTCGCACGAGCTCCGTCGCATGCTCGGAAAAGCCTATGATCCCAACAAACACTGGACGAGCCCTCTGCGGACCCGCGACGGCAACAAGACGTTTTCACCCGATCGGAACAGCGATGGCAAGCCGAAGGTTTATGCCAGCTTTACCATCAAAGACACCAGCAAGGTCTTCACCCGTTACCTTGCTCAGGGGTACTCGGACGCAGCCAAATGGGTGGTCAAGCCGCCTGTGTACCATCTGGATGTGAAGACCACAGCCGGGAATCTGAACTCTGAGTTTTCCGTCAGCAATGCCCAGTTGAAGATGGCTCGCATATACACAATCCCTGCACGAGAGGTTTCCGGGATTCCAAGCAACGTCTATGTCCTGGTTCGGGCTTTCAACACACATGACAAGGATGCAGATATACAGTTCCTGTTGGACCCCTGGTCACTTTATTTGGCAAACAAGATGGACCTGGAGGCGGATAAGGAGTATCGCGCAAGACTACAGGGAGCTGGCACGTGAAGTAGCGGAGTGCCATTGCTGATAGCACTATTTACATGTACATATATTCGCACCGTGTTGTCCTCTCCTCCTTACCTGCAAGGCTTTACCTGGGAGCCTTGCATCGACAACAAGGTGAATGATCTGCCATGGTGCTCTGGGCCCAAAGTACGGCGCACCATACACTGCCGAAGCGTGGTACCAGCATTAATTTAGGTACCAGGAATTAGTAATATTCCATTGCATCAAGGATTTGTATGCCAGAGCATTATTCTTCCCATTCCAAAGTTTGCCTGCAGCTGCTGTCGTTCGTTTCTAACCCCCAGGTGCCATATTATGTCTCGGTCGCTCCTAAGTTTCTAGGACAGGACGGGAAGAAGCTCTAGATTCTTTTGCCAATCATGTTCCGACCAGCCGCTCGATCGGTATTGCGATCGGCAGCTCGCCCTGGTCTCGCTGCGCCGCGGAGTGCCGCTGGGAGGCGATTTGTGAGCTCGTCGCCGGTGAATGCGCGAAGGAGTTGGAAGGGCACTCTACTGAGATGGGGCATTGCGGCTGCAGGCGTCTATTACTATAACACCAGCCCCGTCTTCGCCGAGCAACCACAGCATAGTACGTTGGATCTCCTGGTTCCCTTTACTACCGATGACTTGACAAGGTTGCGGACTGACGATCTGTGTGTCAGATCTTTTGAACCCCAATCTTGACGCCGTAGAAGACTCCACCGAAGAGTCGCCGTTAGAAGCGTTGACTTCGCGCCGACAGCGACAAGCACAAAGCAACTCCGCCGCCCTCCATTCCGCTGCAGAGACCGTGTCCTCCGAAAATGCCTCAACGTCAGTCTCGGCTCAAGAGTCGGAATCGCTCCCTGGGGAATCTCCCGAAGAACTAGAAGAGGAGGCAGCCAGCCAGGGAGCATTCAACCCAGAGACCGGAGAGATCAACTGGGATTGCCCATGCCTTGGTGGAATGGCACACGGTCCCTGCGGACCAGAATTCCGCGAAGCTTTCTCGTGTTTCGTCTTCTCGACAGAGGAACCCAAGGGGATGGAGTGTATCGACAAGTTCCAGAACATGCAACAGTGTTTCCAGAGATATCCCGAGGTCTACAAGGGTGAACTGGAAGACGATGAAGAGCTTGATGCTGGGTTGGAGGCCGAGAAACAAGAGCTAGTCAACGAGATTCAGGAGAGGAAGGCCCAGCAGCAGCAACGGCAGCAGGAGCAAGAGGTGGCTTCGCGATCCCGATTACTGGAAGAGCCTGAACCCGCACAACCAGCTCAAAAGAGGTCCCCGAAGCCGGACGAGAAGACTGCGCAATCGGGCAAGAAGTCTGTCACACCCCGAGAGCAACAGACGAAAAAAGAAGACAAGGTTCCACCTGCACATCTTCAAAGCACCAAAACCCCCCAAGAGGAAGCCAAGGTCACTGTCCACGACGATGCGACCTTGTCACCAGAGCGTGAAAGTATCAATGAAGGCCAGAAATCGCCTACCGTCAAAGAACCGCAAACTCTTCCGGTTCGCGACGTCTACTCGAGTTCTGAATCAGATGTGGTACCCAGAGCGGCGCACGATGCCACGGGCAGTTATGGTGTGAAGAACAGGGAGACGGAGAAGTAAGCGAAAAAAGTGTACGTAGTATATCACGGTTGTCGGCATGGACGATTTTGCATAGCAACAGCATGGGATGGTCGGCTCAAGAAAAAAAAGAACCACGGGTTGTACATCAAATGAAGGCCAGGCTGTACAGTATGGGGAACGACTTGACTATGAGATTAATAGGGAAAACCATCCGCTCTGTACCTCACTAGACTCGGAGTCTGAACCGATAGCATTTTGACATGACTCGAGCAGCGTCCCAAGCAGCAATTACGAAGTACAGTTCCTGTTGAGATGGATGCCCGCTGCCCAAAGTACTCGGTTCTGTACAGTGTACGGAGTACTACTTTAATATAGACATCATTTGTGTGATCGGGCTCAGGATCCGGTGTCGCGTTCGCGATCGCGCATCTGCAGGGTCCGGTCCCCTCAAGGGGTGAATGATTAGTGCAGGTTGTTGGAACAGAAGGACAAGGCGCAAAGTCCATTGACCATCGACGGTCTGGAGGCTAAGATCCCATGTGGTCCTGTGCCACTGGTTTGCAGCACGAACGTTCAGATTGTGCCGGAAATGCCATGGTCTGTCTAATTAGGTGTATCCGTATGTGCAAATCCGAAATGCATACGAGACCCATCTCCAAACTCAAACCACGGGAGGCAATCTCCCCTGCTGTCAAAAGCCTCGTTTTTCAAAAAGGCTCAGCTAATTACTAATTACACATGATTAGTCTGGCGGAATGAATTAACACTTGGCTGAAGTCTGCTCAGCAAGACAGCGGGCGTATCTGCCAGTGATACTGTAGTCGAAGAATGTGTCGAAAAGGGGTCTGTTGTGATTTCAAACGGCGACAGCCTCAAATGGTACTGTACTTACTTGCAAGCTGTTAGGGTTCACACCGGCTGATCAAGCCGCTGTCAGTAGGATGGTTCCCTGAAGCTCAGCCCGAAACAATCGACAGTTGACAGATCCGTGGTCCCTAGTACTAGTACTCTGTACGGATAGTCGCAGAAGATTCGCTCCTTATGTTGGGATACTAATATATGATCCTGATGAATTATTAATTAGGTGCATTCCCCCTGATGAGCATACGTGCAAGAAGTGTCTTAGGCAGCCCCTAAGGCCCCGTGACCCCTGGACTCGGTTCCTGTGGTGGGCATAACCTACCTAGGCCTAGATACTTGTAGGTACCTATAGGTAATTACCTAGTAGGATCTACTGCTGTGCGGGTTCTTTGTTATTGCCGACCCCGTAACACGACGAGGTTGAAACAGTGGTCTGGGACGCTCGTCTTGAAGGGTCCAGCATACCTAGGCACCATAGGTACATGTAGCTTAGGTAGTTAGTCAGTCGTCAATCAGAATGTCTTCAGAGGTGGCTTCTTCAATAGCGGAAACCCTGGAGGTGCAGTATACACGATACGAGATGACAATTGGATGCACAGTTGCAAGCACTAGGTGCCACCTTATCTACAGACATGTGCCCATAGGTAGCTCGTTCCTGTTGTCTGCATCTGTGACAAGAATAGACGCCTCCATGGAAGCACAGTTACGTTGGGCTTGTGCCGTGAGCTTGGGCTTGCACTTGACAGAATGGTCCGGCCACGTTTGGGTGGGCGGTGGAGGCGCCCTAGCCCCCTGTAAGCCCCCTGTAAGCCGGCTCAGTATGCAGTGCTGGGGGCCACATAGCCAATCGCTGCCCCCTAGAATGCCGGCTAAGGGCCCGAGGGAGGTGCCCCTGCAGCAGGGCCAGCAGTGCCAATCATCGACAGCCAGCCAGTGGTTCTAGAGGCTCGAATTAACCGTCTGACGCTCACTGGGCGTGGCAGCTCCCTTGCGTCTTATTAATGCTGTTGTCCGACACAGAGAGTAGCTGGCAATACCGGCCAAAAAGGTCGCGGCAGCACCTCTATTGTTTCTGTCAGACATACTACTAATGCCTCTGACATCGGCGCTATCACATCAATGCCTCTTATTCAACTCAGCTCTGCTCCCGTCCAATTCGTCCTCTGCTGCTCACCATCTCCCCTACACCATCCATCCACGCACCGCATCCCCCCCTCCATCTTTTAGATAGTCTCTTCCTTTTTCTGTCACTTCGTTTGTGCTGTCATCACCACCACCACCGCTCCTCTCCCTCTCTCTTATACAATCCACCCACACAGTCACTCTTCCACCTTTGTTGTATCGTTCCCTTCACCGTCGATACTGGCATCGACATTCGACCTCCCAAACCTCGCATCTCTCGCCCTTCCTTTCTTTCCACGCCGTTTTCGCCTTAATCACCTCCAAGCTCCCAGCTCGGCCATACACGGGTTCCATCCAGAACCAGCCTCGAATCTTCCCATCGCAGGCTCGCGAAAACTGCTTCTCTTCGACAACTGCTCGGTCCTCGCACCCATCTCGCTCGCACTACAGTACTTCTAATCGTCCATACATTCTACCAGTCGAAAATACCGAATCGATCATTGCCGTGCAATCATCCGACCGCAGTCAACGCAACCACCTTCCTTGTCCCACTACGCACACCTTGAATATATTTTGCCACAGACCGAAACCGCGTTGTACATTTCGATCATCTGTTCCTCGCGCACGCCATCACTTCTCTCTCCACGCTTCTTGTGCCACAGCTGGCTGAACTTTTGGTATGTCTCATGATCGTCCATGGCGGGTGTCATTCTCAACCACTAACCTCGGTGACCAGGAAGGGCCATCTCTTGTTGCATTCTCACGCTTCTAGATTCCCCTCAATAGTACCTTGAAGTTACTACGATACGGCTTTGTTCGATACCGACCCTCACTAATCTTCTAATCGTTGAAAAAAAAGACCGTACACACTCATTACAATTCACTTCGACGCGTCGGCAGCGCACGGATCCTCTGTTTTCCAAGGCAATCAACCTACGTGGTCCGGGCTTTTGAATTGTTCCGACTCTTATCTCTCGGCTTGCAAACTACTCGTTATTCCTAGAATACAATGAGCATCGACGCTGGCGGTGTTGCTCAAATGACCTACCAGTCTCCCTTCAACAACTCGATTGGCGTTTCTGGCCCGGGCTATGCTTCTCGTGGGAAAGGGTCTCACATCAAACGTCTCAGTGTTGCCCCTCCTCCCAAAATCTCAACCATCGACGAGACCCAACAGGCAAATGTCAACTCGACTCCACGTACCAGTCGCGGCCACCTTTTGGCTGGCCTTCGGACCGCTCCAAAGTCGGCCACGGTCCCTCCTGCCACCAATGGTTTAGGTCCAGAGGGCAGCAGGTACGGCCCTTCGTACCATGGAGCCCAGATTCCTCAGACGGCCACTGGCATGCACTTTGCAGGCAATCGGAACTCGTTCAGGAACAGCTTCCATCAGTCCTACTCCCTTCCTGAGCATGTCCTGGCCCCTCCCGCTCTTGACTTCGTCGACGGCGCCGACACTATGGATCAAACCTTGTACGATGAATTGGTAGCAACCAACAATTACCTTGCACAACAGCAACGAGCTCTCCAGCAGCAGTTGTTCAACGTCACTGCTGCGGCCCAGCAGTTGGGAGGACTGAATCTCAACGCCGGGATGGTGCACAATACTGGACAGCAGTTCCAGTCTCCCGTCGGTTCTCCCTTGAGCCTGTACAACCAGCAGTTCCAGCAGGGCTTGCAACCAGTTGTTCAACCCGTTCCTGGCAGTCCGGGAGTCTTTGCTGTCTACAACCCTATGACTGGCCAGTCCAACATTGTCGTCGACAGTTCGGTTCAACAACGACAGGTTGTGTCTCCTCATGGTCGTACCCATTCTGTTTCGCCTCCACCCACCACCACCACGCCTGGCTATCAGCAACAATTCAACGAAACTTCGTACCCTCTCACTGAAACTCGCTCAAAGACCCCTCCCAAGTCGACACCGTCCCCGCAGCAATCGGTTGAGCCCTTGCCCCCTCCCTCTGCCAATGCTTTCCGACGAGGTCACCGCAAGAACATCTCGTCCGTCAATGTCAAGACCGCGGGCGAATGGACGAGGGCATCCGGCGTGAGATCGGCAGGATTTCCGCAAACTCCTGCCACGGGCACATTCGGGCCTGGACAAGCCAGAGCGGGAGAGCATCCTGTCAGACAGCCCAAGGGTCCCCCGCTACTTCAGGAGCTTCAGGAAAAGCCCACTGCCAAACATGAGGGAAGCAAAAACTTTGCAACTCGACAACGCCGTCAGGCCGTTCATGACTTGGTTCGTGCTGGTCGTGAGCGCCGCAGCGATGGTCGTCAATCCGGTTCCGGAGCTGGAACACCCGGCAGTGAGAATGAATTCAACTTTTCCGTCTCATCCGACAATGATTCCATGCTTGCTGGCAGCACCAGCCTCTCGAGCAGGCCAAGCCTTGGCAGTCTGCGAGCTGCTGCCAATGGTGCAATCGGCTCTGAGATCAAGGAAAAGTCCCGGGAACGGTCATCGGTCGACAGTGTAGGAGCCATCAGTGCTAAGAGCCTGAGCAGTGACGAAGGCAATTCTCTGGGAGGAGCATTTGTTGAAGTCGAGCCAGCAAGACGCAACACCCCACGCCTGGTTCTCAGCAGTGCCGAGAAGCGCAAGAGCTTCATTATGTGAAAAGACATCAGCAACAAGGGCAGTGCCCGTTAAAACACCATCTTATAGAGTTCTCTCGGAAGACTCAGCCACTCCTTTCATACGACTTGATGATGACCCTTCAGATTGATTGATTGACATGACATTACTGCGCCGACCTCGATGGACGAAACATCACCCTGGCCGAAACCACTGGCGACATCATTAATGGATGAATTCATCTATTCCCTGTTTGCTTTTGACACTTGATTCTTGCTTTGCTTCTTTGTCTCTGAACAAGCCGCTCATTACACCGATGGATGGCTTGGAGAATTGGTGGCCCAAATCTGTGCCGAAATGCTCGGAGCGGAACCTCCTGACTCCCTCTTTTCTTGGAGTCTATTTCTGGCAACTGTTCATGCAGCAGAAGCAGTAGGCGCAGAGGAACTCGGGCCACAAAACTTGGATCCGTCGTCGGCTGGGTGGAAATCCCAAGCTGACGGCGCATTCCTGATGGCCTGGACAAGGATGGTGCTGAATGGATTGTCCCGTTTAGGTAGTGGTTTCTAGCACAATAGCACAATTGAATGTGAGCATTGCAGTACCTGGTCGCTTTGATGCTTTGAATGTGACGTGAAATCTCAGTTGTTGACTGGTGTTGAGACTTAGTATCCGTACTCGGTCAGTACCATAAAGTGTACTCCGTACTCGGGCTACTCCTACTAGGTGGTCCAGACGAGATTACATATACTGGACAATGAGTGTATCCGTACTCGATCAGTACCATAAAGTGTAGTCTGGCTACTCCGTACCATAAAGTGTACTCCGTACTCTGGCTACTCCGTACTAGGTGGTCCAGACGAGATTACGGAGTACATATATCAGACAATACTCGACCGGTGCAATGTAAACGGGGACACTTCATGTCTACCTTGGTAGTGACTTGTACTGGCGTAGTCATGGGACAGGAGATTGTATAGACTACCTACAGACACAGACACAGCAACAGAAACAGACACAGATACAAAAACGCACACCGACATAAACACGATTAAACACGTTTAAACACACATTGATATCTTCGTTTCTTCCATCATCGGTCAGGCACTCGGTCGAATCGACCTGGATCGGACTGGGTTGGATCGCCGGCCGATAAAGACACAGTCACAGAGTCAAAGCGACACCGGAGCTGGCTTGGATGGATGGGAAGGCTCTTGTAGGATGGTGGACGATGGACGATGGACGATGGATAATCCACCAGCCTAGATATACACAGTACACAGTAACATACGTATCTCCCGTCTTATCGTGTCTTGTTGTTTGCTTTCCCCTTCCCCTTCCCACTCCACTTCCACTACATCCTCGTTCTAGGTCCAAGGCCACCGCCACCTGTGCCAGATTACTGTACGCACAGATCTTCAAGTCGGACAAGCTCACTTGAGTACTTACTGCCTAGGTAGGTATGGATCCTCCGTGCCTTGAGTACGTACAGCCCAAGTACAAGTGAGCCTGCCCAGGTACGGATCCTCCGTGGGATGCAGATGCCATAAAGACAAGGCTAGACCGACACTCCCTCTCCGCTCAACTTAGCTGTTCAGATAGCGCGCCACCGCACCTCTCAACCGCCTCCCACCTTCTCCAGCGACATTGATCAGATTCTCGAGATCGTCGCCCGCGGTAAGACCGAGGCGGCGGACGAAATCCTTGGCGACAGTCTCGATATCCCCATACTCGCCACTCTCAAGACCCGTCAGGTCGTCCTCAGGTCGGCCGAAGTACGCGTTGGACGAAATGCTCGTGGCGCCCTCGAAGCCTTGGAGGCGCGTCTTGGCTTCGGCTTGGGCGGATGGGTCGAAGGCGTTGCGCCCGAAAAACTCGTCGGATGATATGCCTTTTTGAGTGCCGAATTTCTGGCGCGCGTATTGTTCCGACTCATCTGTATGGGGGATTAGTATAATCCATGGTAAGGAGAGACGGATAGGCCTCGTGCTGCTCCAAAGAAAGAAAAAAAAATACAAAAAACAGAAGACAAATGACAAAGACAAAGCAGGCGAAATTTGAGGGCAGAAATCAGCAATAACGCTGTCTCTTACCATCCACAGGAGCTTTGCTTGCGCCAACACTGCCAAAGCCTAGTTTCTTGGGTGCCGCTGCCGTCGACGCAGCAGACTTGTTTGTGCCGATCTGCCCAAACCCCAATCTGCCTACACCCATACCCAACCGTTCGACCTCGCTGGGACTTCGGGCATGGGTCGGATTAGCGGTAGGGCCAACCTTGGGAGTGATGGCTGCGGCTGGGACTTCTTTGGTAGTGGCACCAAAACCCGCGGCTTTGTTCTTGGCCAGTTCTTCAGCTTTCTCCGACTCGGGATCGTAGCCGAGCTTCTCTATCCTCTCTGCTTCGGCTTTTGCGGCCTTTTCGGCGGCCTCAAAGTCAATCTCGTCGCCCGCAATCTTCTTGGCACCAAGTTTCTGTGTCTTCTTTGCGCCCAGAATATTGGTGCGTTTGGCTCCGCCCCCCGCGGACGGTCCTTTACGGATTGCAGATGAGGAGGTAGTGCGAATCGCCGTCGGAGCGGGAAGGGCATTTTCAGCGTCGTTGGCAGCCGATGACAGCGGAGAGGGAGATTTGGGGCGTGAGGCGCTGCCGTTGGTAGTGTTGTTGGCTGAGAGGAAAGGGGACGCTGTACGGGAAACCACCGGAGGTGTACCGCTGCGTGACGGAGGATTGCTAGGTCGTTTAATAGTCGGTTTGTCCCAGGAGGAAAAGAAGTCATCGGCTGGTTCGCTGGCTGGTGTCGACGAGTTATCGGCAGGGGTAGATGCACTGTCGTCGGTAATGACCACTTCCTCTGGGTATCTGTTGCCCTGTAAGATCTCTGCATGTGTCTGAGGGATAAGGGAGCGTACTCTTCGGCGTCCCTTGCTGCCCTGCGCTTTAGCTCTTCCTTATACTTGTTCGCAGCGTTGGAAGTGTATTTGACTTTGGCATCTTTGCTGGCCAGGGCCGCACTTCCACCGTTGGACTGGAAGAACTTGGTGGCCGATTCGTTCCCTCCGACTTTCATGGTCCTCAGCTGGCTCCATTGCCACACTGTATATTGTCAACGCGTGTTCTGGGTCTTACATCCAAACGGGAGCGAGCCTACCATCCAGGTTTGTCGACCTCACAAATGAGATATGGACACCCAGATTCCTATGATTCGAAGAGCAGTCGAGACACAGGTAAACACCGAACGGGACGGACGACCAAGTCGGGTTCTTCTGGCCACAGTCGAAACATATCTAGACAAAACGCGACAATGTCAGCAAGACGGACGTTTCAGATCACGCGCGGTGGACTCCTTGAGCAGCGGAGAAGGGGAAGCGGTTTACCTTGTTGGCAGGCTTCGACTTGAGTTTCTCGAAGATTTTTTGAGACTGGGCCTTTGTGGCGGTCATGTTGACGGAGTATCTGGTCGACGACCGATATGTGAGGGACCTGGCAGGCAAGGAGATGATTGAAGTGGCGTTCTAGGTGTCCAGAGTGGTAGACACGAGCATCGGCCAGGCCAGAGCGCAGTGTTGAGTGCGAGCCGGGAGTGGAATCAGGTTAAAGCAGCGAGAGGCACAAACGGCCAGATTGACACTGCCTGCGCTAAAACAGCGAGCGACATATCGACATCAACATCAGAAATCAGACATGGACATTCACATCCACATCCATTCTCCGCTCAACTATAGATGATGGAGCTGAGGCAGCCAAGTCACGCACATGCTTATACACGTCTCGGTCTCGGTGTAAGCTGAGATAGCATATCTGCATTATCTGCATGTGTCTGGCCCTCACTTCTCTTCTTACCAGATGGCTGCCTCATCCTGCTATGGACCGTTGCCTACTGTCTGACAGCGGTGTCCGTCCTAAAGACAAAAGGCCGTTTCGGAGACATTGAATATGGGCGCATAAGTTGGCCATGAAGTTGAGTTTTGTCGGTCCATGGTAGCCTCCTTGCGTGTCTGGACCAGACCCTGCACTGTTTGATCTTTACCCGCACTGCTTGCAACGTCTTCACAACATGATGCCGTCCCACGCCTCAGGCAGTAGTACTGTCGGAGGTCAGGTGTGAGACGCCGAGATAACTTCAATGCCGATGAACATTCTTCGCCGCCACTTCTGAAATCCTACTGACAAAATAAGCCACACTCTTTCTTCCATTCCGACTGACACTGTCCATAACACCTCTAGTCTACACCATGCCAGCCCTGAAGGACCTTGTGTGTCAGGTCCTGTGGGCTGAGACAGGCTCTTCATTTCCAGAATATGGCACCCAATATGGAGACGGCATCCTCGAGACTTACATCGCTGTTCCTGACCATCCTCAGGCCTTCTGTATCCGCCTCGCGTCGCGGAAATTCATCTACGAAGGACTGGCCATGGTGGTCTTCATCGACGGAGAGTATCAGTGTAACCGGAACAGAGTCAATCTACAACCTTGGAAGAAAGACACATCCCCAAGTAAAAGTGTAGTTGAGTTTGTTGTGAGACAGAAAGAAAAACCTATGGGAGATGGAACATACATGGGGCGCGAGTGGCGCTTTGATGACTACAACATTGGTTTGTCCTTCTTGACGAAGAATTGCCTGGTAGCTAACACACCGCCACAGTACCAGAACTGCCTCAGGGTGTTGACCATAGCCATTTTCGTGAGCTCGGCACAATCGAAGTCATAGTATTGCGCTGCCGAATCCCCGACCCAGAGGAGAACAACATGTCGACAGCTTCTTCCGCCGCGGACAGTGATGTGCTTGCTTCAAGGCCTGAAACCGATGGTCAAACAACACATCAACTGGCCCAAACCCCACAGGAACCCGACACGGGAGCCGAAGCAGACAATCCTTTTGCCGGTTTGCCTGGATCTTTCGACGGTCCGAGTGACGAACCGCCAATCTACTACGGTAGTCAAGGTGATGCCCCTCCGAATGGGTACCCTAGGTGGAATTGGCATCCGCAGGGAGGTCAGCCTGCGCCATATGTACCGCATGAGGCAGCCTCATATCCTCAGAGCTATCATCCAAACCTGGTCTATCACGTCCCGGCCCGGCCGTCACATGGATATCGAGCTTCACCTACGCCCTCATATGAAACCCCTCCTTACCGTCCTCCAAAGCCTGAACGACGTGTTCACTTCGACTTCGGTGACGGTAGAGGGCCTCAGCAACACCGACCTACATCCTCTTATGTGAGGTACGATGATCAAGCTCGATATCATGGTCCAACCGCTTGGAGAGAAGAGCATGAATACGACCGACCTGCACCCCAGCCGGATTACCGCGAAGGGCCCAACCATAGAGGCATGAATCCATACTCGGATTATCCTATACCTCCCCATGACCGCCATTACATGTACGACGCTGAACGGAAGGCTTACGGCTACTATCCTGAGGTCAACCTGCCTCATGATAGCTATCGGTCGCAAACCCCACCCGGTAGCTCCTTCGTGGTGCATGGAGTTCCCGGTCCAGCAATTCCTCCACATCAAACGAACCCTCCACCCACAGCAGTGCCGATGCCCGGTCCAACACCAGTATCATTCCCAGTCCCACCACCCTTCCCAGCAGGACCTTGGTCGACAACTCAACCACAGCCAGCGCAGTATCCTGTTCCAGTCTGGGTGCCTCCGCCTGCGGGCTCAGCTCATCCCTTCGTGCCAGGAATGGTGCCAATCTATCCTCCGCCTCACAACGTACCACTGTTCCATACTCAGGGCCCTAACCCCGTTGTAAGCGAGGCCACCATTCCACCTGTCACAGCTGCTGCAAGCTCGGGACCCGGTCCCACTGTCACTCAAGCTGATGTTGACACTGCACAGCAGCCAGCAACTCGGCAACAAACAGATCTTCCTGACACTACAAAAGAAGAGGCAAAAGCCGCCACTAACCCGGAAGTCAAGGATGCTGAAGATCCTCCCAAAGATGTGATCGACAACACCAACAACAATGACAGCAATGACACCTGGGCATTTGATGCTGCTGCAAAGGTTAGTGATGATAAAAACGATACAGGGTATGCCAACAACGATTCTGGAAATGACCCAACCTGGGGAAATGACAACCAAGATAACAACGATACAGCAAACAATGGTGCTGGTTGGGACCAGACGGAACAGAACAACAAAGGTTGGGAGAACAACGACCAAAACGCCGGTAGTGGCAACAATCAGGCGAATGGAGACTGGGGCAACAATCAAAATGACAACTCGAATGACGACGCGAAGGCCAACGACGAGCCGACTTCTAACGCGGGCCAGGCCAACAAGCGAGCTCTTTATGGTCCCCATGGTGCCTATTACACCACGAAAGCCGCAGCGGAAACTGCGATAGCCCCCGACGCTGAAGAAGAACCCAGATACGATGTACCTCAAGCCATCGCTGAGAGAATCGGGACGTCCAAACAAGTCCACCCTGGGCAGGGATACATCTACAGTAAAAAGAGGTGTGTTCCGGAATACATTGACAATCTCAAAGAACCTTATGCCCGGTTCGTGTTCAAGTATCGCACGAAAGAACAGATCCGGAAGGAAATCGGGGTGGACATCGGACATGAGCCAACGGCAGATGAGGATGCAAACGCACTGGAGAGCTTGGATAAGGCCGCACTGATCGAGATGGTCTTGAGGGCCAAAGGCGCCTTGGGAGGGAAGATACCCAGCCCACCAGCCAGATTCGCCACACCTACTTCGACGCAGTCTTACGAACAAATCCCAATCACCGCGCCTGATGTCGACTTCCTGACTTACAAGTTGCCACCAAGTCGAAAAGTGTCGGATGGTTCTGGGCTCGGGATTCAATCGTCGACCATCTCAAACAAAGAGAATCGCAGTGGTAAAAGTGGCCAGCAAAATACAAACTGGGATGCCGGTGGCGAAACTGGTCAACAGCATAAGAACTGGGAGAACGGTGCACCTAATTGGCAAGAAGGTGAAAGCAACAACCAAGCTGCCAACAACGGTGCTGGTTGGGACGGGCAACAAGAGCAACGGGACTCATCGACTTTCCAGAATGACAGTCCCACTGAGCCTCCAAGTGGTACAGAACATCCCTCCAAAGCTCAAACCCAGCGCGAGCCGAGTATTGTTTCAGAAGCGCCTGGGAAGGTCGTCTTTCAGTCGTCCGGCGTCGTTCAGCCAGCAGCAGCACACCCACACGGAGGGTTGGTGCCTACGCCACATGGTTTTACAGGGCCATGGGCAACCCCGTCGACGTCAGCATACCCTTCAGCGGCGCCCAACCTAGTTTCTACCTCGCCGATGCCAGCAAACCCAGCAGATTCGTCCGCGTCAGTGTATCCAACTCACCCGTGGTTGCAGGCGGATCAATCCGCGCCAGGCCATTCGTTGATGGCAGGAAATGCAGCATATCCGTCGATGCCAAACCAGTACATGCCAGCAAACACACGGGTACCATCCAACCCGTGGACGCAGGGAAATCCTGCAAAACCAGTCACCCAAACCACGTCGGCGTATCCAACAGCGCCAACATACCCGTGGGCACAAGTCAACGCGCCCAACCCTTCAATACCAGCATATCCCGCATATCCAGCGTACCCGATGGCACAAACAAACATCTCGATGCCAGGATATCCCACGACACCACTAAACCCAACAGGCCAAGCAGCAACCATGTCGATGGTCCCAGGAGCAGATTTTGGGGCGCAAGGAGCAAGCGTTTCAGCGCCAGCCGCAGTAACCACCCCTCCTCCAGTTTCGGCGTCAATTCCACCTCACCCAGTCTACTCCCCAGGCACGGCCGCGCTCGTGGCCCAGGTCCCAATGTACGAAGAACTGTTTCTCAAGAACCGACCCGTAGGCTTCGATCCGGGCCCTCGGCCGCCCACCCCTCCCAGAAACCAGGAGCGCGAGCACATCAGCAGTTCGGATTGGGGACCTATCAACACGGGGTGGTCAAGTGGACTGCCTTACGAGGGAGATTGAGAGTGCATGAAGATTTGCCTTACGAGGGAGATTGAACATGCATAGAGATTGATTGGTTGGTGGTTGAGATCCTCCAAAGGTCTAAAGAAAAAGAGCTCTGCGGCCGGACACCGGACATCGGAGGAACATTACGTGGAGAGGAGCGGAACGCGCTGAGAGAGGGAGGTGTGTGTGGGTAGGTGGGTTTATGTTGTGAGTGATTCTGTTGTGAGTGATTCGGTGGCAAGAATGAAGCCTGCATTGCATGGCTTACCGGGCGGTAGATACAGTCTACAGTCCAGTAGCTGGAAAAATCAAGTCATATTTATGCTGGACGCGATGTTCCCGGAACATGGCTAGTGACTAGGACACGATCCGGCTACTACTTCTGCTTCTGCTTCTACTTCTTCTGCTTCTACTTGGCTTCTACTTGGCTTCTACTTGGCTTCTACTTGGCTTCTACTTCAGCTTCAAGCAGATGTGAAAGCGAAAGCCAAAGTGAATACAAACACAGCTCAGCTCGTTCTTTATTTCTGTGGGTTTGGCTTTGCCTCTTTGTTTCTTTTCCTTGTTGTGCAAGCAAGCATACAAATAAACAACAGGACAAGGTGAATACTGAATACTATGAGGAAGGGGCGTGAATCTAAACTAGCCATAGGAAGGAAGGAAGTAGAAGTAGAAGTAGAAGTAGAAGTAGAAGTAGAAGTAGAAGTAGAAGTAGAAGTAGAAGTAGAAGTAGAAGTAGAAGTAGAAGTAGAAGT